GAGTAAGCTGAGGGGTCAATGACCTCAACTGGTCCTGGGATGTCGCGGGATATGATTGGTTGAGCGAAGTTGGCTTTCCACCAGCGAAGGTGGTACGTGGCATGTGCGGACGATCACGGAAGGTAGGTAGCATGGCTTCCAGCGATACGAGGTACGCTCGTCCTGCTGGGAGTACCAAGGAAGCGTGCAACAACTTGCCATAGAGTTGCTGGACCTCTTGCAAGGTGTGCGTTCGTCGTGCCTCCCATTTGAGGATGGCAGCCAGATACTTCTCTTTCTTCTTGTCCGGAATTGATATGGTGTGCGCCGAAAGGTCCCAAAGGAAACCAATGAATGGTACGCATGGTGAGAAGAGAATGTCCTTTGCGAGCTCCCACGGGATGCCCAGTAGCTTGGATAGATGGTCGATGTCTTCGAAAGAGTAAGTGAATAAGGCGTCCTCAGGAGAACGAGGCGAGGAGGATGATAAGTCCAGTATCGGAAAGGATAAGTCTTCATTGAATTCCTCCACTCGTCCATCTGGCATGACAGATCCCTTGTACCACTTTCTACCCCCATCCACCAGAAGCCCTCCGTTTCTCGCAATGATGGACGCTCGAGCCTCGCGAAGGTTATTGTAGCTGTTAAGGTGTTCACAAAGAATACGTATAAATAAATGATCGTCGACCCACTTTGAAATTGGGCCAATACCCTGAGAACGAAAAAATGTCCGCTCCTGCATCTGCCACCTCGCCATAAGTCCCGGCGGAGGCAGTGAAGCCGAAGCAAAAACTAGAATCAATGGTGAAGTCGTCGAGTCCAGTTCTGACGACCAGTCCCAGCCATTGGGATGGATGGAGTGGGATCGTGCGATAAGCTTCAGCGACGTCGCGAACTGCGGCTTGGGAACCTGGAGGAAGAGACCATACGAGAAGACAGATGGTGGCGGCAGTGCCCCATGTGCATGGATATAAATCAGAGTCAACAGATGAATTAATAGATGATATGGTTGGGGATGGGTGTAAAGGGAATGAAAGATTTTGGACCATGCGGAACCTGCCTGGCTTACCCGGTTTTGGCACCATGGATAACGGTGTAAGTGAAAGAAATAGAAGGGACGCTTCCCATGAAGCCAAACTGTAAGCCATTGGGTATGTGCGCGTATTTATGCAGGAGGTTTGCGGACTTGAGATGCCAGAGCCATACCTCTGGGTTATACGGCGTAAGTGCTCTGGATTCTCTCTCCCTGAGGGCAGTCTTGAGCGCCGTGATCCTTGGCTCCGCACCCTGAACACTCGTGCACGTGAGATTGGGAGCTGCTGGAGCATCCTCTGGGCCTTTGCCAGTCGTAGCATAGTTCGCACCCTTCGGGATTGGTGATGTGTCCTTCGGCGTTGCGACAGCAGCGAGCTTTGGTTCGTTTGTCCCAAAGGAACTCGGACGTGCATTTGTGGATGTTGTGGCAGAATCGACCAAGGCATAGAGCACAGGCAGCTGGTCCGGACTGGCCTGTGCTCGACGGAAAAGACTGCTGGTTGTTTGATGGCTTCCTGCTGGACTGACCGGTGAAGGTACAACAATTCAGATGGTGAGTCTGAACAATATGTTGGGTCTTGCAGAACCTAGCTGCTATTCGACCCTAAAGGGTTTCTGGACCAGGCTCAAGGCTCAGAGGAGAGGAAATATCATAAAAACTACTGAGCACTCAGACTCATACTGGTAACTGGTGAAAAGATTGCTTGATTATGTAAGCTACAAAAGTGCCAACATAAGGTAAGGTAAAAACAGTCTCTACAAGCCCAACCAGAAATGAATCCCTACATCTCATGGGAACTTTAAATCATGACTGTCCCCAGTCATCTACCTATGCAAACCAAAGCTAAGCTAAACTTAAGAGAACTAACCTGGGGGTCCTCAAACACCTTTTGTTTCCTTGACGCGTATGCCAGGTAAACTGCGCCAGTGAGTGAGGGTCAGGCAATGCAATAAAACGATAATCCCCAGACTTTGCTTCTAGTACTGGAGGAGCAGCGATGCTAAAGTGAAAAATGCGCGATGATGGTTGCATGGATGACAATGGGGAGTAGACGGATAGAAAGAGGCGAACGAGGGCTTCGAAATGAGTATAGGGTTGACTAGGTTTGGTGAAGAACTGAGGGAGATATGAAGGAAATGGTGACAACGTGCGAAAATAGCGAAAACAGCGAGTAGCGAGGGCGCGGGTGGGCGTATCGGAAATCTGATCGGATGGATGGAAAGCGCGGAAAAATGCGGTCAGAACGCGCCTAAGGCGATGGGCGCGCGCTCACGGGGCGACGGGATATAAAGAAAGCGCAAAAATGGAGCGAAAAAATAGGGGGGAACGCGCAAATGCGAATAGCGAGCGAATGGCTGAGCGCGCGAAGGCGCGGATATGCGCGAATGAAAGCCATGAACGAGGGCTTCAAAACGGATATAGGGTCGATGGGGTTCTGAGGCGAAATGGGCTGGTGAAAGTGCGAAAAGTGCGGAGGTGTAAGAGGGAGGAGGAGGAAGGGGTATGGTGCAGGGCAACAAGGACTGGTCCTATCAAGAAGCTGATTGGGGCAATGGACAGAGCCACTGGTGGATGGTAAATTGCCAAAAGAGCTAAATGAGACAGGCCTTTGAGCACCCAGAAAACCCTTATCTCCCCTCAACTTCTCAAAAACACCAAAAACTCGATATCTCCACAACTACTGCTCCAATTTCGATGAGCCAGAGCTCAAAATGACCGGACGGACGAGGGGAATACGACCCTAAGTTTGCGAGAGATCCGCTCGAAAAACGCGTGGGAAAAACGCTTATCAATGCGCTGGGGAGGAGGAGAAGATGCTGAAAAGTGGGAATTGTGGGAGAAGCTGGTAATGAATGACTGTGGTGGGATAATAGGCGAATTTGAGGGATGATTGGAGAGCTGGAAGAGCCTAGAAACACAAGAAACCCTCGCGGTGGGCTCCAGTTGAAGGTACAACAATTCAGATGGTGAGTCTGAACAATATGTTGGGTCTTGCAGAACCTAGCTGCTATTCGACCCTAAAGGGTTTCTGGACCAGGCTCAAGGCTCAGAGGAGAGGAAATATCATAAAAACTACTGAGCACTCAGACTCATACTGGTAACTGGTGAAAAGATTGCTTGATTATGTAAGCTACAAAAGTGCCAACATAAGGTAAGGTAAAAACAGTCTCTACAAGCCCAACCAGAAATGAATCCCTACACCGGCAGTGGGTGTGCGGTATGGGTGGTAGCAATTGTCCAAGGTAGGAGGAGAAGGTTCTTTCCCTCTGCTTGAGTTCGCTTCACGACCATGGGATCGAGCGTGGACGTTTGGTGCAGCAATAGAATTCTGCAGCTGGTGGATGATGAAGCCGGGTAGCGAGGTGCGCGAAAGAATGCGATAACGGTGGGAGTGAGTAGCGTGATAAGCAAGTTTGTTGATGGCGAAGAAGCCAGAAGCAAGAAGGTCCCAAAGGATAGCGTAATGGGCGGCAGCATGGAAGAAGAAAGCGAGCGTGGTGATGAACAGGCGCAGATGGGAGCATGGAAGAAAAGAAGGCATGAATTTGTTAGTCGCGAAGTGATGACTCTGCAGAAGTATATACCAATTTGATGCTCTCATCATGTTCCGCTTCCCAGACGTCATCCAAGAGGGTGTTGTATAGAGTGCTGTTGAAAATCCCAATGTTGAAGCCTTGGTTTTGAGCCAGACGGTCATGCCATTCCCGTCTGACGAACCCTGCGTAACGAAGTAAAGTCTTCTCACCACGAGTTCGCATTTGGTGCTCGTGGTTGGTAATGAGAGTGAAGAAGAGCGCTAAGGCTTGCTGGTGCTTGTCTGGCCAGCCGCATTTGTCGATATGGATCAAGAAGCTCATCTTTGCCATGTCGAATTGACGCCAAGAGAGGTGGTGGTCTTGTAGCGCTTTCTGCGAAGCCTTGAATGATGCCATCAGCTTGAACGCGACGTACCCATCAACCTTTGCCAAGCCAAAGGAGTCCTCCGCCGTGGACCTGCAACTGTCTAAAGCTTCCCAGCACCCTTCTGGACTGAAGTACCACAGCTCGACATATTCCATGCTTTTGATCTTCTGCAGTGCATACTGCGAAGGGCGAGGAATGAGAATGTCTGCCACGACAGCTTCGGCATCGAAGTCATTGATCTTGGGCTTCTTCTTCTCTGCTTCTCGCTGTTCTTCAGCCGCTTCGGCTTCCTTTGCAATGCGTTCTTGATCTTCTTGCTCTTGCTGGACTCGAAGATCTTCTTCAGATTGCTGCTGCCATAGAACGATGCGTTCTTGGCGCTCCAGCCTCCAACTCTCTGCCATTTGCTCCAGGGCCGCCTCTCTGGTAGGTCCTCCTGCAACGATAGCATTGAGCCAAGCCGCGTATGCTGGGAACTCGAAGTTCGGCTGCGCTTCGAGCGCTGGGTCAGCCAATATGCAGTTCATGTGCAATTGGTGTGAATTGGAAGGTTGCTTGGATTAGTTTATCTGTAGAGTACGGTGACCTAAGAGAAAGTAGAAATCAATAGCTGATGATAAAGAAAAGAAAAGGATGAGATACGAAGTCGTTGAGGACGACTAGGCTGAAAACACGAGGACGTCGCAGTACGTAGTGTACGGTCAAATAGAGGGGTGTAAATTTACAGGCGTAAATTTACACCTGTAAATTAGCGTTAATCAGCATGTGAATCTCGAAGGGCATTTTGGGGGTGTAAATTTGGGTGAATTTGGAGTTTGCCAATCCGATGGGCGTCTCCGTGGTGGTGAATCTGTGAATCTCGCAAAGTATCTGCACTAGGGCTAGGGCATAACATTCGCAACCATGAATTGTGAAACGAGAAATAAGCTACAGTTACTATCTCTTTATCTTCAAAATCTCCCCGAAACCATTCCTTTGATTCTAATGTGAGTAACATTTTTTCGCGTGTTAAGTTCTCAGTCTCATACTGACTACACAGAAACTAAAAACACCATACAAACCTCTCGTCAAGTGGCATGATATGGAATCCACTATCCTTGGCAAGCTGTCCGCTGAAGATTTGCCTCCTGCTGGTCGAATGCCTCCTCCACCTGAAGCAGGGACAGTGGACTCGGACTCGGACTCGGACTCGGACTCAGCAGAGTTTGACAATGGCGCAGATTGGTTGGATGGTCCAGCTGCTCTTTCAGAGTTTAGGACAGTGGAGAAAGATTTGTTCGTGCTTGCGGCATCCAGCGGTATTGATTTGTGTGCACCACATCAGGGAAAACCTCCTTCACGAAATCAAGGTAATTTCAGAGAATTCCTCTGAATTCCGCTGAAATAAAAGTAAACGAGATTATTCAACTCCAGTCGAAATTCCTTTGAATTCCTTTGAAATCCTTTGAATTTGCTGATTGATTATCTTGAATTATCTTGAATTCAAACAATGTGAAGACACACGAACATCAAATATATTAGAATTAAACGAGAATATCACAACCGAAAGACGGCAAAAAGATCAGCAGACTCGAAAAAGCACCAGTATGTACAAATGACTCGGAAGGTTGATTAATCTTCACCCATTGCATCAAGATCAAGGTAATCACAAGCGGCGTCCAATGAACCAGCGGGCTCTGAGCTTTCTACTGCACTAATGTTGAATTAGTTAGAGTACACGACGATAACAAATAGCGCGTGAGCAAGACATACCTGACTGCCTTGTAGAGACGCGCCATCAGTACATGGTACTTCTTTCGACTACCGTTAAAGATGCGTGTGAGAGTCGCTTGGTGAGCGTTGTAAACACTGATGTGGAAGGAGGAATTGAATGATTTGACTTGTGCGCCTGAGGGTGGGTTCCCGCTGCTCCAATCCTTCAATATCGAGTAAATCTGCAGAGAACATTATGTAGTGAGCAAACAGAGTAAACATTATCAAGAGCGGCACCTACAAGCGTTGCAATCAAACACACCATAGCAACAGGTAGCTCGGGCTCGTTGTTTCCATCCAAGACCGAGACAAAATCGTCACAGGACTGGACACCAATTGAGTTCTCACCATCGAAAAAAGATAAACGGATGGAGTCAACCATAGACTCGTCACAAAACGGTTGGTCCCCAAGGACCTTACCCTGGGTGGTGGATAAGAATAAGATAAATGAAGAGATAGATAACGAAAAAATGAACAGACCTTGGCGTCGGTTGGGAAAATATACTTGTGACCCTTGATGAGGTCGTCTACCTCGTCACCGCAGCCTTTCTTGAGTCCAAAACGAGAGACCACAATTTGATGCGCGAGTTTCTTGAGATTAGTACGGAAGGAACTAAGCCGTCCCTCCGGCTTGTGAGGATGTCAGTGATGTCCAGTAACATACAAGAAGTGTACATACCACTCCAGCGAGAGCCACCGCATAATCAAAGTCATGCTTGATCCTCTTTGCTATCGCATATTCCTTATGCTTCCCGGCAGCATTATAAACTGCATCGAGAGCCATCTTGCGCTTCTGAGTGATGTTGGGAAATGCGTTGTCGAAGATAGAGGCTTTCTTGAGTTCAAAGACGGCAGTCTTCAACACCTGCTGAATCCGAGTATTCTGAGCCTTGAGGTTGATCGAGCTATCGGCTGAGTAGACTAGATCTGTGAATATAGGCCATGTAAAGGAGTGTTCAGACAACTCCTTATCGGCGGAGGCTGGCAGTGCCTCGTCTGTTAGCTGCCGCGACTCTGCGAATTTGGGCCTCTAGAAAACAGTATATTCATTAGTAAGACAGAGTGATGGGAGCGTAGTAGAGTAGAACACATCACCTCAATTTCTTGACGTGCTTCTGCTACTTTGCTCCTTTTCTTCTTCTTCTTCTTGCTTGGCTGTGGTTTCGAGTTGGTGAGTGATGAAGGCTCGCGGTAATCATAACTTGCCTTGGAACGTTGACTGTCACTGCGGTCACTGGCAGACTCCGTGTCTTTGTCAGCAAACTGCAACTCTGACTCAGACTCGTCAGAAACCCCGCTAGATGTCATCCGAACACTATTCGACAATGTTTTGCTGGTTTGCGATAGTGCGCTGGCAGATCTAGCTGCACGAGGAGGCATCATGTAGGGAATCTTAAATAAAAGGTGCGTCATTTTTTTCATCATTCTCAACTTTGGGTAGCTAAGTGACGACTCACCTCTTTAATCAGTTCCTTCTGGGAGGGTACTAAGTCCTCATCATCGTCTTCTGGAACCTCCGCATTATCGTCCGATTTGTCGGTGTCATGATCACTCTCTCCGTATTCACTGACAGAGTCGTTATCTTCGATTGACACTGCGACTGACTTTGGCAGCTTGCTGTTTTTCTTATCGCGGCCTTGACTTTGACCATGACCGTTGACTTGATCCGCTGTTGAGTATCTCTCATACTGATCTGTTAAGCAACTACTAACCATTGTCTAACTTTTCTGCAGGTGTCTTTCGCGCTAACTTGGCGGCTGGTACTGATTGTAGCGCAGTTACTGTGGGTGCGCGCTTACGAGTATTGGTCGTTGTCTCATTCTTTCGCGCTAACTTGGCGGCTGGTACTGATTGTAGCGCAGTTACTGTGGGTGCGCGCTTACGAGTATTGGTCGTTGTCTCATTCCAGACTGAAACAAGGTGTGTCAATGACTGCTTTCTCCAATTGCCTGTACTAACTTTTTCGCTCTAAGGCCTTTACTTTGGATGACCGCTGCAGTGGTTCTTGGTGATGACTGTGAGTCCATCGCATTTTTCTTGGCCTATGGATGTACTCACTCTCTTCTGTATTGCCGGTTTTTTTGCCAGTGGAATCTTGACTTGCCACCTGGGCCTTTCTTTGGGCGTTCCGCTTGTGGGCGGCTATATCTGACGGCGTTGAAGACAGATGGGGACTCGGAGGCATACTACTAGTAGTGTTTGCTTCAGCTGAAGTTGGGAAGGGAAAGGTTGAGATGGTTATGAAAACTTATTGGTGGCCACTCTCATTTTCAGGTCTGTTTTTTTACTGTGCTGTGCCAGCGCTAGGGTCGTTGGTTTTTTTTTCATCTAACGTGTGGTTACAGAAATGGCTAAAACAAGCAGAGCGTCTACTAGCAGAATTTCAAGCTGCAACCGTCAACTTGAATGGTGCTCCCTCTCCTCCCCTCTCAGGTTCAGCTCGCCGCATCATCAAAGAAGCTGAGGCACGTGTAGCCCATGCTGATGGACAGAGAGTCCAGGCAGAAGCATGTACTGCCAGGCAACAAATCCAACTCGGTTCACAGTGTGCCACCATCATTTTAGTACGTTTGTTTGTTGCCGTGCTGTCACCGTAATCTAACCTGTTCTGAAATATCAAGTAAATTCGTGTTGTGTGGCCGCGTCTTCGTACCCTTCCATGCTAAGGAAGGGAGCCTGTACCTTTTTGAAACAACCGCGTCTTCGTACCCTTCCATGCTAAGGAAGGGAGCCTATACCTTTTTGAAACAACCGCGTCTTTGGCCGCGTCTTCGTACCCTTCCATGCTAAGGAAGGGAGCCTGTACCTTTTTGAAACCTGTACTGCCAACTGCCAGGCAACAAATCCAACTCGGTTCACAGTGTGCCACCATCATTTTAGTACGTTTGTTTGTTGCCGTGCTGTCACCGTAATCTAACCTGTTCTGAAATATCAAGTAAATTCGTGTTGTGTGGTCGCGTCTTCGTACCCTTCCATGCTAAGGAAGGGAGCCTGTACCTTTTTGAAACAACCGCGTCTTCGTACCCTTCCATGCTAAGGAAGGGAGCCTATACCTTTTTGAAACAACCGCGTCTTTGGCCGCGTCTTCGTACCCTTCCATGCTAAGGAAGGGAGCCTGTACCTTTTTGAAACCTGTACTGCCAGGCAACAAATCAAACTCGGTTCACAGTGTGTGAATCTTCACACTGGATAGCACGCTGTAAGGTTTGCACCGTCTCTCTACTACCCATCACTACCTACCTACCTACCACCACTACCTACCGCCTGTTTTGTTGCCAACAAAATGATCACTTGCCCAGGTTGCACCAAAAACTTCGAGCACGCTGGATACTCCCATCACCTAGCCAAGACCACGAATCCATCATGCGCAGCCCTATTACAACATTCTGGTCTTTTTCCTCAGTCAGAGCCTGAGGTTGAGAATTCTGACGGTCTTGATGATGGAGATGACAATGTTGATCCTCGTCATCTAACGGAATTTACAGGAGACTATTTTGGCCACTACAACGAACAAGATCTGGAATGGCCAGATAATAATGACGAAGTTGCAGCGGCGGAGCCTCCTTTGGATTCTGATGGCGAGGAAGAGGATCACAATGCAGAGGTTGAGGTTGAGAATGGGTGGGAACGCCCTGCAGATCCTGTACCGCAGGATATCGACGTTGATGTTTTTGAGGAGTCAGATATGTTGCCACAATCACATGCAGCCGAACGACAAGAAGCGGAGAAAGCCCTTGGTCGCCAGCCCACTATTGAGAAATTTCCGCGGCGCCATGCAGGTGCTCCAATACTTAACTCTGGCACTACCGCTTTCGAGTCTTATAACAATGCTCTGCAAGGCGCAGACAATGTTTGGGCTCCCTTCGCATCTCGCATAGACTACGAGGTTGCAAAGTGGGCAAAACTTCGTGGATCGGGCTCAACTGCTTTTTCAGAGCTGCTTGCAGTCGAAGGGGTGAGTCTTCATTTTCTTGGGTCATGAATGGGCCAACTTTTTAACTACGTTTCTATAGCTTCATGATGCCTTAGGTCTTTCGTATTGAAACACCCGTGAACTCAATCAAATCATTGACCGACACTTACCATGCCGACGACCTCGTTTCAAACGTGAAGAAATCATTGTTGCAGACGAAGCATTTGACGTGTACTCGCGTGACGTCATGGAGTGCGTCAAAGCCCTTTATTCAGATCCGGATTTCTCGCAACACCTCAACTACACTCCCGAACGCCATTATGTCGATGCTGACAAAACAATCCGAATGTATCATGATATGCATACAGGAAAGTGGTGGTGGTCCACGCAGGCGAGTCTTTTGAAAAACGTTCTGATTCATATTGAACTTACCACAATATCATTTAGAAAGAACTCGAAGCAGAGAAACCTGGCGCAACAGTCATACCCATCATCCTTTCCTCCGACAAGACGCAGGTCACCATGTTTAGGAACAAATCTGCCTATCCTGTCTATATGACAATAGGCAACATTCCGAAGGAGATCCGTCAAAAGCCATCTCGACGGGCGTGGATTCTCCTGGCCTATCTACCAACCTCAAAACTCGAACATATCACAAACAAGGCTGCGAGGCGCCGAACGGCCACAAATTTATTTCATGCTTGTGTGCGTCACATTCTGGAGCCTCTGAGAGTCCCCGGCAAGGATGGTGTTGCTATGGCTAGTGGGGATGGAGTTGTGCGTCGAGGACATCCGATTGTCGCATGTTATTCCGCCGATTACCCGGAACAGTTGTTGACAACTGGGATAAAATCTGGAGAATGCCCAAAATGCGATGTCCCGCATGAGGAGTTGGGAAGTCCTGATGTTCCTGTCAAGCTGCGAGACCTCGAGGCAATTGTCGCTGCATTGTCGCTCGTTGATGAGGACTATGACTTGTGGAGACAAGCATGCCAGGAGCGCGGCATTAAGCCCATCTACAAACCATTCTGGCTGGATCTCCCGCATGCTAATATATTCCAATCCATCACGCCGGACGTGTTACATCAACTCTACCAGGGTATTGTAAAGCACCTCATCGAGTGGATCAAGGAGGCATATAGCGAAGCCGAAATTGATGCTCGTTGTCGTAGACTTCCCCCAAACCATAATATCCGATTGTTTCTCAAGGGTATCAGTAATCTCTCGCGTGTTAGTGGAACGGAGCACAATCAAATCTGTCGCTTCCTGCTCGGCATTGTCATTGGCATACGGTTGCCTGGAAATCTCAACAATGCTCGCCTTACTCGTGCTGTTCGTGCCATCCTTGATTTCCTGTACCTTGCGCAATACCCTTGTCATACGGACGAAACACTGGCACTTCTCGATGATGCCTTAACACGCTTTCACGACAATAAGGACATCTTCCTTGATCTTGGAATCCGCTCGAATTTCAACCTTCCGAAGCTTCACGGCTTCCGTCACTATGTACATATGATAAAAACGTATGGTACAACTGACAACTACAACACCGAGTACACAGAACGTTTACACATCGACCTCACGAAGGATGCCTATAGGGCTACCAACCATAAAGACGAGTACACTCAAATGACACTCTGGCTCGAAAGACGGGAGAAGATTCTATGGCACGACAACTTTGTCCAATGGCGTCTCGTTGGTGATATTGCCCCGCAAGAAATCATACCTCCAGACATGGATTATCGTCGCGCAATCAAGATGACTAAACACCTGACCATCAAGCGTGTCCAGTTGGACCGCATTGTGCGGGAGTATGGCGCCACATTTTTCACTGAAGCTTTGGCTCGTTACGTCGTCGGGAGAAATCAACCTGGTTTGTCTGCAGCACAACTCGAACGCGAGGCCGCTCACATCATTATTCCCTTTGATACTGTGGCTACGTTCCACAGGATCAAATTCAACTCAATCAATGCTCGGGGGATCCAGGACTCGAGTGTCACCGTGGATTCTGTCCATTGTCAACCATCACAAGAGGACAAGCGAGGGCATATGATCCCCGCGCGTTTTGACACAGTTTTGGTCAACGAAGGGGACGGCGGGACAACAGGCGTGGATGGTGCGTTTTGTATGGTGCATTGAACATGTTAGTCACTAATCTCACTCGATCACTGAAGGTTACCGTGTTGCGCAAGTCCGTGTCGTCTTTACGCTAACAAATCAAGCTTCGAATGTGTTATTCCGCGCTGGACCTGCACAACCACCCACCCACCTTGCCTATGTGGAATGGTTCACTCCATTCCAGCAACCGGAATCACACCATGGGTTGTACAAAGTTGCCCGCTTGATTCGTCATGGAGAACGTCTGGCAAGCATCATTGAGATATCAGATATCTGTAGGAGCATTCATCTTATACCTAATTTCGGCGTAGCGGCACCTCGTGAGTGGACGAGTAGCACTGTTCTGGAGTGCTGTTCCACCTTCTTTGTAAACCCCTTCAGTGACCGACATGCTTATTTAACACTTGTCTGAGCATTACAATGAAATTTGTTGAAATACCTTTGAATACAAATAATTTACCGAATTCTCAGTATTTTCATGCGAGTTTGTGAAATTACCTTGATTTTGTGAAGGAGGTTTTCCCTGATGCAGTCGGGTTCTGCACCAACAAAGAAGGCCGCAAAAACCTTGTCTCCGTCCGTCCCTGACCCTTCTGCTTGGGACGAGTGGAAAGTTGAATAACTCACCTAATTCACTGTAATTCACAGTACATTTGACCTGATTCACCTGTAAAATAGCGTTAATTTACAGACATGTCAACATACGGTAATTCACAGTGGTGAATTTGAAGGCCTCTGGACGCACTGTAAATTTACCCTGTGAATTTCGGACAGTTCCAAATTGACCGTACACTAGCAGTACGAAAGGAAGAGTTCGTACTGCATCCGTCGCTTGCGCAAAGACTACATTCTATTCCTCCGCTCGTTCCTCGTTACGTAATAGAATAATCAATTTTGCAATACATAAGCCGTCTAAAATAAAGGGTCAAGGTCAAGGCAAGGAAGATGCACTATCCTCATCAAGTCCATGAAGATGTATATCCAGGTCGCTGAAGAATGGAAGGTCACGAAGAGATGCGGAGACAGAATTGATGACACCTCGACATAGAGATGTGGATACGGTAGACAAGGTACGTGATTCAGCTTCTTTAGAGGGGATTGGCAAGGATTTGACGGCCATTGTCAAGAACACGAAGCTGAGTTTAAGCATGACACAATGCCATAAATCCGTTTGAGGTTGGGACGAGCAAAATTCAATGTCTTCGATGACCACAATTTGACTGTGCCAGTTAGCCTAGAAGCTTGTTGTCTATCAGTGTTGCAACCGTAGATCGAATGGTATGTTTCTTCCATGTGATAGAGGTTGAATTCACTCGAAAGCACCAATAAGTGCATACGAGAGACTAAACACCGTACATAGGTGACCATAGTACTTCTTGGTGATCCTATGGGTTCAGCATAATGGATCGATGCCTTGCACGACCGTCATAAACAGACGGGAAATCGAGTATGACTCGGAATCGATTCATAGCTTTAGTGCATGTGACGATGAAAAATTTAGCCGTGTAAGAATCAAGGTACATGGCACTTTAACATTAACACATGTACATATTGCGTGATGTTAGGTTACATGCAAGTTGACTGGCATCCATGCAGAAATATGCGCTGGTGTGTCAATACGCGCAGAAATACATGATATTCGGTACAGTGATAAGGCAGGTAGAAACAAAGAATTAAAGTGATGAAAGAATAGTTGTCTATGTGGTGGAAGTGGGGTCGTCGGTACCTGGAGACACACAACAGAGAAAAAATACCACGCGAACCCATGGTTTAGGGTTCTTGACGCGCCTGGCTATTTCACTAGCAGTGTCGGGCCGACGAGCAACAACTAACACCTGCACAGAAATCATCGGACACAGGAATTGGGATGCATGCAAGAAAAACGCACCTCCCGGTCCCGCATCGCGGCAACATCGTCGACAAGACGACTGAGATGAGAGGTAGTTGGCCCTGAGTAACACCGAGGTTCAATTGCTTCATCGGCGTTGGGTGGAGAACGGAAGAGTGAAGATATGGGACCAATGAGTGCACCTGAACGTGACCTCTGAGGCGTTTTGGATCGCCGAGGTTCGGTTGCTTCGTTGATGGAGATTCGAGGGCGGGAAAAAAGTTCGGATAAGTCATCAAGGAGCACTCGTGGACTTAATCGCGAAATCATTGAAGGTTGCGAAGGTCCAGATATCTCATCAGTGTTCGGCGGAGAGCGAAGGAGTGAGGATAGGCGATCGAAGAGCACACGCGAACGTAACTCCGAAGGCACTGGAGGCTGCTGAGTTTCGGTCGCTTGATTGGGTTCGGAACGGCGAAGGAGGTGGGGAAAGCGACCAAGTAATGCAGAAAATCTCACACGGGTAAAAAGTGTTGCAGGGGACTGAGTGTAAAGGGGTCAGGACAAGGACTAATTGGCAGAAATATTGGTGACGAACATGAGCATCGACTTGCGGGCAGTCAAAAAATCCTGGTAGGAGTTCATCTTCCCCGAACTGGCCGAAACCTTGCGTAGCATCAGCCTGGAATGTCAATGTCACCATCATGATTGACGAGGTTGACAAACGCGCCACATACCTCCAAAAACGAATTGTCTTCTATGTCCTGCGATGGCTCGGAGAGAGAAGTGTGCTCTATACTCGAAAAGCCAAATGACGGATGCAGCTTCTGTTCAAAGTTTGGGTTCAACTTTTGATGTAAAAAGAGACAAGATGATATGTACCTTGTTTTTGAGTTCAGATTTTTGTGCCTGATAGCCATTGGGAATGAGATGGCGAGTGGGAGTCAAATTGGCACTCACATCAGGTATGGACAAGAGATTTTCTAGGCCAGCTGTTTTGAGGATGGCTTGAATGTCCCATATGTACGCAATTTCATCCTGCCAACCTGCAGTGGATAGTAACTTTCCATCAGTGGAAAAGGCCGCACAAGTGACGTCATTTTTGTGTTGAAGAGGTGGCCCGATTTGGAGGTTTGTGTCAAGATTCCAGAGACGCGCTGTTCCATCCCAGGATGCACTCGCAAGGAGGCGGTCGTTGGGAAATAAAGTGAGGGAGGAGACAACATCTGTGTGACCCTCCAGAACAGCGATCTGCTGCCATGTGGCAGTGTCGAATATCTTAATTGAGCCATCGTTCAACCCGGCAATAAGCTTCTTTTCCGATGTCCAGGATAAGCTCCAAACTGTCCGATCGAGTTTGATCGTGGACAGCAGCTCACCTGTCTTCGCGTCCCGGATTTTTATTCCATTTTCGTTATAAGTAAATCCTCCTGTGGCAATCATTGATGCCTCGGGTGAGTAGCTCACCGCGTGCACATGTTCGTGTCCTGTCTTGATTGGATTCAGACCTTTGACTGGTTTGCCGCTCTTCACATCCCACACTCTTGCCGTCCCGTCCTGAGATCCGCTCACAACTCGCCCACCATTTGGACTCCAGCACACTGACTGCACAAAAGAAGTGTGTTCTTTCCATTTGACGACAACCTTCCCCGTCTTGACATCCCACAACCTCACTGTCCCGTCAGTGCTTCCGCTGGCAATAGTCTTGCCATTTGGAGACAACGACATGGCAAATATTGCTGCCTCATCCCCTTCATCTCGCCACTCGCTACCTATCTGTGCACCGCTCTTTAGGTCCCATAGTCGAAGTGACCTGTCGACCGAACATGTGATGATGCGCTGCCCGCCGGGCAGGTGTGCAACGCCTGTAACTCCCAAGGTATGGCCTCGTATCGTCTTGCAGGGGGTTACTGCTGACGTCTTTTTCACATTAGCGGCAGTAGAAGACATGGTGCGCGCTCGGGGATCTCGATCAAGGGAATCGTGGACCATATGTGCGAGAGCAGTTTGCTTCAGAATGAGTTGTCCTGTGGGGGTATAAATAGTGGGTGGTTTCACTGGCCTATTTTCTTTCACCTGACTTTGGCATATCAATATAATTGCCTGGAGCGATTGTTCACGAGAACTCCTACCCAGGTGAATTCTATCCTGACTCACAGGACAGCTTCGGGACGACGTATCCGGGAGATATCCCCCAATACCGGCCGGTGAGTGGTCGTATCTTTTCTTCACTTCAGCTTTTCCTACTCCCAACCAGAGTATCACTCACGGAAAAGTCCCACTTGGAACAATCTGACGCAGATTCACTCGACGCAAGAACGAGAGGGGCGAGCTGGTAGCTAAGATAGTGGATGCTTTCTTTGGGATTGAGGGGGTTGCGCAAGTGTTGGTTTGAGTCACCCGCTAAGGTACGTATTCCATGGGGTGTCCTCGTATTCTTCTACAGCTTCACAGTACTAGTGCTGTGCAGAGGAAGCGCCACGTGCGTCTCCCCATCTCTATTCGGCCCTTCAAATGGTCCGATCAGTCTCCATTTTCTACAAACCTTGTACCATCTATATAGGACCCTACTTGGAGGACGGTGTTGCACGCTCCTCTGTATCGCACAGAAGACATGGATTAGTGGTGCAATAACAAGTAGCCACATTTATACGGTCATGCACTATACTATCTTGCTCAAAATTCAAGCATACGCGAGTTTGAGGATTGTCGTTCTTCTGCAGGGACCGTTGCTGGTAAATTAGCAAACATACCTATTGCTATGCCAAAGGAAGATATGGGTTTTTATGCGAACCATCACCGTTAATCGAACTTTTGACGGACTAGAAGCCCAGGCCATCCAGCGATCGGTAGGATATTTGCCCGGATCCGCGAATATTTTGTTTCCTGACCGAGAGGGAAGTACATGAACCCGCGACTACGTGGTTCACCCCACGGTCCACACAGAATTTTTACTAACTCTATACCACTGTGCTCAGGTCTTCGTCGAAGATATTGTACGACAGATGTGTTTGTGGACAGTACTTTATCTATCTACCGCATATCATAGTAGAGCGGCAATCAACTGAATCTAGAGATTGATCATAAAATCACAAAGAGGTTATAAGTAAAGTCAGGGAATGAAACAAGTATGGTACGCTATACATTTGCCTCTGCCGACTTTGCCGAAACAAAACACGATTCACTGGCACTGTCCTGCTCTGGCGTAGCTGCTTGTGTTGCATTGGGTCCTTCTGACGTAGTCCCTGCGAATGCCAGAGTCGTAGGTGCTGCTGGAGCATTTCGGGTCGACCAAACATGGGTAACTGCCCTACCCCGTGCCACGCGTATGATGATGGACAATTGCGTAATGCCCTATTATTATTTTTTGAAAAAGAAGCCAGTGTCAGAGACACAGATAAGTCAGATTTTTACATGCTCACTTGAACTTGGTAGATGGACAGGAAGCATAGCGTGGAGACAGTATCTGAATGCATAGCAAATGCAACTATGAAGACGATGACGTAGACACTGTATATCACGGCGGACTCGACGACCATGAGAATGATTGTATCATAGATGCTAGAGTCATATTCAGCCAACGCCGTCTTCATCTCGCTTCGCATGGAGAGCAGACGCTTCGCCACGAGAATGGTATAAAGCACGGTGTTCGCCACTAAGAAGGCGAGATATGCAATTGCGGCGCTGATAGTGTAAAACGGAGCCCCGGTACCCGCCTGGACCAAGACGTCAATGGCTACTGCTGCTCAAGATGTCAGCGACTATGACCGTTTTGTAAATGATCTAACTGCACCAATCATGCCAATATAGACGAGTAACATGGGGATCATCACATGTCTCGCCCAATCCCATAGCACAAAACATCGGTAAAGCTGAATATTTCAGGGGTCAGGCTTGCACAATGAGGCAAATTATTCGGCTTACGAGCAGTGCTTGCATGAACCACTCCGTGACGTAACCACTAGATGAAACCATCAACGTTGTGTGTAGGTGGATAGGTAAAGGTGCTTGCCAGAGTATCGCCACAAAGTTGATACGGTAGTGCATTGCGTTCTCAATGTGTGCAACGGGACCACCAGGTGCATCACGGAGGTCTATCCAGATCATCTCCGTATATTTAGTACCGCAAGCGAAGCATACCGTCGAAAGTGCGAACGTGAGGAGGGTGTAACAAACAAGCATGCGATGATTGTTTGCAATTTTTTGTCCACGTCGGGGACGTTGCATGAGAGCAGTCACCGCTTGTACAGTAAGAAGAAGGTATACCCCTATCATGGTACAAAGGTCAACTACCGAATCCTCGTGAGTGGGCCGAAAACGTACCGTAGGATACACCTCCCAGAATCATTCCAATAAGACGAGATCGTTCAAGCGGCAAATTTGTCTGTGGTGTATAGGAGGACATGACTGAGAATTGGGAAGACGAGGGGATGTCAGAGGTGTATTTTAATATGTGACATCAGCGGCGGTGATAACAACCAACAGGGTGGTTGAGCCCTGGAGAAGAAGCAGTCATCTATATGGTCTCGGAATACAATTCTCACCCAGGAGAAAGAATGTGTCGACCAGGGACACTGCAACACCGGTAAGTGGACACCCTTTTACGTGAAGTGATAAAGACGAGCGCGACAGAGGGTTGATATATCAATCATCCACACTGCAACGTGCCGTTAAAACCTTGACGTGGGATCGAGCGAAAGAATGGACTAACCTCAAGCGTAGCCTCAGACGCTGAAACATAAATTACGAACTTCTCATAACTTTGGTGAATTATGAATTAGCTGCTGGTCATGCTCAGATGACACCTGCATATATCATACCGTTCATTAGATCCTGCTCACGCCTTTTTCAGACTCGCACCATGTACATCACGATGATATTCAAGCAAACGAATAGATACCCACTCACCCATCCTGCTAAGTACGTATTCGTGCGACGACAGGAAGGAATGTCATCATCTTGATCTTCATTTGGCAACGTAGGAGCTCTTGACTGCCGGACATTTTATGCGACTGACGGCAAAAGGTTAAATATCGATGCAACTCGATGGTCACCAAGGAATGGCACCTCGCCGTGTTTTGTAACTAAGGACGTCAGAAGGTAATACAACCCCCGTCATTAGCACGAACGTACTTTTCTCCATGATGTACTCGCAAGGAGGCGGTCGTTTGGAAATAAAGTGGACCTGGGATCGTGACCCTTCAAAAAGAGGCTGCCACTGTCGGTTGGCAGTGTTTGAGTAATTTCCTAATCGAGCCATATGATACTCTAAACTCTGATAGCTCCAAACGCCACGGTCATATTTTGTTTGAGGGTGGCAGCTCGCCTATCTTCGCATCCCAGATTAACTGATTCCAATTTCCCTCATTGTATTCCCTTATCGCAATCATTCTTGTCTCGGGTGTGAAGTATACTATATACCCGATGGGAGTAAAAGTTCACTGCGACCGCATTCAGTGACCGGCCAGCTGGGAACTATGACCTACCGGGACGGTAGTTTACGGTCAGGGGAAGGCTAGTGGGGGATAGGAAGCTCCAGGTCCTGAATCTGGTGGCCTTTAGCACACCCAGACCCTAAACCCTCTCGCCAAGGAACCCTAATCGGCCGACTGAAAACTTGGCGTCCTCATGCAGAAACGACGCTGAATGAAAGCCACATGTAGGATGCAGCAGCAATGGAAACCGGAAGGCGAACGGTACGAACATTTATGTTTGAACTTTAACGGATGGGAGATACAGGGCGTTACGTTGACTATCGAAGGTGCATGGCAGTCCTGCGGTTGATGCTGCAAACTTTGATACTAGTAGCACTGGTTGTCGAGCCTATTTACCAAGGATACTTACCTGGAGGAGCTCAAAGAATTCAAATGAGACTGGAATTCATATGTTGCAGGTGTACAAATGACGTCAACTTTGTGATCAGCATCCATATCCCTCGATGACTATGGCGCAGTTCGATTTACCAGGAAAAGGACTTGAAGCGCATTATATTGTTGAGAGTGGGGAACTCAGCAGCATGATGTTGTAAGAGATGGAGTAAGATGGAACAGAGATTTTCCAAAAGGAAAATATAGTAATCTGCCTCCAGCAGGGGCGACTGAACGATGGGCTTCAAGTTTGCGCCCTGGCACGCGAGACGCACACGGGTGGACGACGCTTCAAGGTCATAATAAGATTTTATATTGTGGATATTGTGGATAGAATAAATAATAGATAGAAATCAAGTATGGCACGCTATACGTTTGCTTCCGCTGACTTCGCCGAAGCAAAACACGACTCACTGACGATGACTTGCTCTGTCCTAGCTGCTTGTGCCACATTGGTTCCTTCTGCTGGGATTGATACAGTCCCTGCGAATGCTAGAGCCGTAGGTGCTGCTGAAGCATTTCGGGTCGACAAATCACGTGTCGTTACCCTCCCCCGCGCTACACGTATGATGATGAACAACTGCGCAATGCCCTATTTTAAAAGCTAGTATCAGAGACACAGATAGCTCAAGTTTCTGCCTCCTTACTTGAACTTGGTTAATAGACAGGAAGCATAGCGTGGAGACAGTGTTTGAATGCACACAAAATGCAACTATGTAGATGGCGACGAAGACACTGTATGCCATGGCGGACTCGACGACCATACGGATGATGGTATCATGAGTGCTGGTATCATAAGTGCTGGGACCGTAATTACTAGCCATCGCTGTCTTCATCCGGCTTCGCATGGAGAGCAAACGTGTCGCCACGAGAATGGTATAAAGTACGGTGTTCGCCACTAGGAAGACGAGGTATGCAAGCGTGGTGTTGATATTGTAAAATAGAGCCCCGGTACCCGCCTGGACCAAGATGACGATGGCCACTGCTGCTCAAGATGTTCAGCGACTACGACCGTTTTGTAGTTGATTTAACTGCACCAATCATGCCAATATAGACGAGTAACATAGGGATCATCACATGTCTCGCCCAATCCCATAGCACAAAACATCGGTAAAGCTGAGTATTTCAGGGGTCAGGCTTGCACAATACGGCAAATTATTCGGCTTACGAGCAGTGCTTGCATGAACCACTCCGTGACGTAACCACTAGATGAAACCATCAACGTTGTGTGTAGGTGGATAGGTAAAGGTGCTTGCCAGAGTATCGCCACAAAGTTGATACGGTAGTGCATTGCGTTTTCAATTAACGCAACGGGACCCCCAGGTGCATCGCGAAGGTCTATCCAGATCATCTCCGTATATTTTGTATTGCAAGCAAAGCTTATCGTCGAAAGCGCGAACGTGATGAGAACGTAACAAAGAAGTATGCGACGATTATCTGCAATTTTCTGCCCACGTCGGGGACGTTGCATGAGAGCAGTCACCGCTTGTACAGTAAGGAGAAGGTATACGCCTGTTGTGGTACAAGGGTCAACTACCAAATCATCGTGTGTAGGCCGCAAACGCACCGTAGGATACACCTCCCAGAATCATTCCAATAAGACGAGATCGTTCAAGCGGCAAATCTGTCTGTGGTGTATAGGACGACATGACCGAAACATTGGGACGATGTTGGGAAGATGTGTCCTAATATCTGTCACTAACAGTGATGAGAATAACCAGCAGGGTGGTTTAGCCCTGGAGAAACAGTCATATAGAGTCCCGGGAGAAAGAATGTGACACACTGCGACACCAGTAAGTAGAAACCTTTTACGTGGGGGGACAGTGCATTGATGCATCAATTATCTATAGTGCAACGTGCCGTGAATACTTTGACGTGAGATCGAGTGAGAGAATGGACTAACCTCAAGTGTACCTTCAGGCACTTGCTGAAACATAAGTTTCAAACTTCTCATAGAGTGAGTTACGAATTAGCTGCTCGTCGTGCTGGACCTCAATGTCGCCTGCATGTATACTGTTCATTAGATTCTTCTGGTACCTTTTTCAGACTCGCCCCATACACATCAAAGTATCTAAGCAAACACTCACCTGCCTTAAGTACGTATTCGTGCCTTGGCAGGAACGAATGACATCATCTTCATCTAGTCTGCTTTATCGTTTAGCAGTGCAGCAGCGAACGTTTGACTAATTACACTTTATGTGACTGGCTTGAATGTCGATACGGCGCGCTAGTCCCGCAGAAATGACACCCCGGGTTCTGGAATTACGAAAGTCAGGATCATACAGAGGCAATACAATCCCCGTCATTAGAACGAACGTACTGTCCTCCTCCATAGAGTATACTCAATATAAGACTTTTTTACCACAAAAAATTGTTTCGCTTCCTGAACTGAGAAGGTTCGAACGGAACACCACTGAGCGCCAAGGAGGGAGGAAAGCTTGTTCTGACATAAAATATCCGAAGCAGTGGCACGACATGAACGTTCGGGAAGATCCTGTGGTGCTGAGGCTATGAAGGTTGACAGGTGCGAGTTCATGTCCGTTGTGGCTGAAGACACTTAACGCTAACTGTGGTGAAGTATCAGGTAGTCGGAGAATGAACGAATGATATGCGTGGTAATACAGTCTGTTAAACTTCTGATAGAGTTCAGGAATTAACATGGACCCACGACGATAAAAATTAGGGTCCAATCTTTGTCTGATAGGCCGTAAGATTGACATACTAGAAGCCTTTTGGTTCCCTGACAAACAAGTTCCAGCTAGGATCGTAAACTGGTGTAACTTCGGCCTAGAAGGCTGACGCCACTCGCACGCTTCACACCGTGATGACGTCTATGCCAAAGGACAATCTCAACAGCTCCTAGGCTGTGGCGATAATGTTGCATGCCCCAGATAGGATTACGACACTACTGTCGTAGAAGTTGTCATCAACAGATACCTTCAAACAACTCAAGATGTGTGATTTCAATGCAGTTTGTTGCAGCACGTACCTAATAACCCTAACAGTGACAATGGGAACATCAAATTATATAGTAACCTGTCACCAGAGTGTGTCTCCTAAGTCGGAATCACGAAATGTGCCAAGTCCTGCGAAAGGCATGTGTGACTTGAAAGTTTGGTTGGAATCAATGACTCGTGGTCGAGTAGCTAGGGCTTGTTGCACGCTCGATGTGCCCTTAGAAACGCCAGCGTGGAGCTTGGAACGATAATAAATGTGGCATTGCTACCATCTTAGTCTTGCAAAGAACGAGGACAGTGTTCACGACTCCAAATTATGCATGGACACACGACCTAATCACAAAATTTGCACATCGAGTGCCCTCTAGTATGATTTGGATAGCCTACTAACTTGAAAGCACCAAGCAAGAGCGACTATTAACCTACCCAGCTACCGATCCCCACCGATCGGAACCCATCACAAGATTCATGTGCGTGATTTGGCTCGCAGTGTTGGTTGATGGGGATTCTGCGCATTTCGGCCAAGTAGTAGTGTTCACTGTTAGAGTCAACTGGAAGGCAGGAGCGGGACGACTGCGGTTGAGAGATGTGTGGTTGTCACTGGTTGATGATTTGAAGTCCGGCAGATCGCGGGTATCGGAATTACTTGACTTTTGCCAAATTTGTAACTCAAGTTATGGAAGCTTACCAGTATGCCACAGATGGATTTCGAAGACGACTGGACCGTTCGATTTCGGATTCGAGCGCTACTTCTTGTATACGTTTAGCCCTGGCCGTTTCCAATTGGTCTGATTATAAGCAGGCACAACATATCCATTGTGTTACTACGAACACCTGGCAACAAAAATACAACATGTGCAGAGGGACAAAGGAGTGTAAGAGTCCGTCAAAGACAGACACGAGGCGTTTCCAAACCAAACGACCAGCTATGCATCAGGCGAAGAGAGAAACAGAAATGAATCTGGGTGTAAATATGTAGTAGTCACAGAACGCAGACAAGATATAAATATTCATAGGCATGTGGGTGGTGTTTCAAGCGGAGAGAATTGGTGTTATTCACTCCACGCGAGTCTCGATCTCTTGAGCCTCGACCTCGGCTACCTTCACCTTCTCGTCGGTGTATTCAGGAGGAGGCACAAAGTGGGTCTCTGCATCATGTTCGAACATGATGTACCCGTGGCTGATCTCCTCCGATCTCTCACCTCTGACAGTGCGATACGCGAGGACAGACATTACCCAGAACATGCGAAGCAAAACACCGATTCCGCAACCTTTCCAAATACATCAGAGATAATTTAGGGATACAATATAAGTACTCACCAAGAACGAACGCAACAGCGCGACCCTCCCATAGGCCGAGGGCCATAATGGCACGGTGAACACGCCTGAGGAAAGATCCTGCTTTCTTGTGCTCCATGTCATGGTTATGGTGGTGAGATTCAACTTCATGGTGGCGATAGATCCGTCCCACGGATCCATCAGGAAGAAGCTCCTTGACATCGCCTGCATTTTCCTTCTCAGAGGAACTGGTAGGGGCGCTTTGTACAATAGGTTGTCCGAACAAGGGAATGGGGAGGATGTGAAGTTCTCCAGAAACAGGACCGGGGTTGCTGGCGACTTCGCCCTTGAATGAGTCATGATCACCCATCTCGATAAGAGGAAGGCCGAGAGCATGACGGAATGCGTTTGACATGCGAAGTGCCTTCGCTTTCAGGGACGTGCCGCAGAAGTGATGTTTGCCCTTGACTTCGTTGGAAGTGGTCATTGCGAGGCTCGGACGCACCAAGCGGGCGACGTTGTCAGAATCATCATTGCCATTCACGTTGGCGTTGGCGAGGGCATGACCGAAGCGAATGTTTGCATTGGCATTTGAGGGGCGCCCAACTAAGACACGGAGGGGCTCCGCACTGACTTGGCTGACTGTGAAGGCGTCAGTAAGACTCATCACATGCTCACTCAAGTGAAACGTACCGATACCAGCCCCTGCAACAAGAACGGGAAGTATTGAGAGGCGCATCGGGCTTACTCTCGGGAAGATTTTGATATCTGAACTGGAAACTGAGGTTATAAAAGAAGGCGTTCACAAAATGAGATTTGTTTGAAGACTATAAAAGAGATGATTCAGCGTGGTAGTGTGGTGTGTGGTGTGTGGTGCAGTGGACTCTCATATTAGAACTCCGCCCTTGGCCAAGCGCTGCCAAGCTGTGTCAAGTTTCGGCCTAAACCAATAGACCTTTCCCCTTGATTATGACACACACAAACTGCGCCGCAGTATCATTGATATTCAAATGATCTACTTGTCAACACTTAAGTCACCTTGTCGTGACCGGTTGTACTACTATCATCCGTGTTTTTTTCTTATGCCGGGTCCGTATGCAAGTCTTGGCATATTGTCATAGTGCTAAGTATGCAGGTGCGATTCCCAACCTGTCTTGGTCCTGGACCGATACCATCCTGAACCGTCCCAGTGACTGACAACAAGAAAGGGTACTGCATGCTATTTATGTTAAGAGCTTGCCATAATTATCTGCAGGTATTCCAACTATGGTACTATGGTATCTCACCGCTAATTCATGCGTTAACAGCTACCTGAGATCGCACATATGTGATACTTATGAGTCCTTGTCTTCGAAATCTTTTGACCATGGCCAACCCTACCCATTTACTGCGTAACTTGGTGGTATATATCCTACATGATATCCCCTTTGGACTCGGACGTAGCTGCCTTGCTCTTGGAAATGTGGAATGTGACTCTACCCGCAGGTTCACCATTCCCAAGCAACTCGAGTCCAACCTCTGTCAGGGTCTGTTAGTCGAGTACAACTCGTTGGAATACCCTTTGACTCACGTGCATTGGAGTTCTCGAGGAGGTCACCAAGACTTTGATTATTCTCCGTCTTCTTGATGACCTTGTAGCTGAAGAAGCAACGGCGGGCAAACACCTCGATTTCAATCGAGGAGGACTCCATGGCATCACTAACTCCCCGTCAGTCTCAGCATACAAGACATTTGCAGGGCATACAAGGTTATACTATCCTTCCAAACGGCAACATACTCGCCATCTTTGGCATACTTGGTAATCTTCGATTGCTTCGTGAATCTGTCTCCCTTTATGCGGATGTAAAATTGTCCACTGAATAACCCGATTTTTTCTGGCAGTCCACTTGCTTTGATGTCTACGACCATACTCGTCAATAGCACCTCAAACCTGCAGCCAACTAAGCGCACCAGTGATCTCGACCGACAACTTGGACGGATGGACAGAGTCATCGTCCAGTGACGATGTCATGTCAGGTACTTCAGTGGTTGGAGAAACGTTCCGAGGTGGAGTTTGGTCTGACATGGCGTCCTGACAGTATCCCAACTAGCTTGGATGGTAGTGGCAGGCTGTGGGGATTAGCGAGCATGACTTGTTCTCACTGATTTTTATATGATCGCAGTCCACCTTGTCCTGGCGCAACACGCCCATTCATTATCCATTCGGCGACCTCCAGTATGGTATGGCGGCATGCCATTACCGCGAATTGGAAGAGAAGGGCATTGTGACAGTATGATCACCTCCTGAGGAGTCTTGTTCGTTCGAAAGACGATGACTGAGAAGGGAATAGGACCCTTTTAGGATGTCTCATATCCTCAGTTTCTTAATCACTAGTAGAATTTCTACTAAAGGCTGATCACAGAAGACGGACATGGGGGTAGCTCGCCCGACTTGCGAGGTGAAGTGCAAACAAGCCTTGAGGCTTTATTGCTGCTTGCGCCTGATGGCCAACATATAAGCAGTGCTACTGATCGCCGAGAGGATACGCAAGTCATGACATGACGAACGCTCATGTTCGCTAGATGCTCGTATTTGGATTGCGCCCGCACATGCATAACGCACCCAAGTAATTCGAAGGTTCTTAGCGGCTTGTAGTATGGCTTCTAGGCTCGGTATACGCATGACTGTATCGAAGTAGCTCCCTTTGATCATGAACAAGCGGATATCCCATCATACCTTCGTTCAAGAACCAGGCGTGTTTGGCGATTTCACAAGGACGCGTTGTCGTAAGGGCGGGAATTTGATCGAACTTTGCAGTCAGCCTTAAGTGAGAAATACTGTATTCTGAATGAAAGATGCATGTGCATGATATCACACCCATAGCATGGAAAATGCAGTTTAAAGATTCGGAGCGTCCGCAAGTCAGGGTATCATTTTCCACCAAGTATATAGCATCCTGCTGTCCGCCTAACAGTTTTCTGTCGTGGTACTCGGAGACACCCATACAAATTCGAATGTATCATTACATTATTTGCATGTCCATATAGTGAAAAGTACAGTATATACAATGCGTCAAACAACATGCGTAGCAGTCCACACTCTCAACCGGCTCTGCAAACAACGCCTCAAACTCCTTCGGACTATGGCCAATCACACCAAAAACAGTTTGGAGCGTACGCCCAAGATACTCCAACTCCTGAGTCACGCCTTTCATAGTAAGAGCATACGCAAAGAAAAGCAGCTGTCGAGACCCTTTCACATCCCTGTTCCTGACTACATCCAATTTCCGGATTGCATTGACCTATAAAAGGATAGGGTATCTATCATATCAATTTTCGATGATGGATTTTGGAGACGTACCAGACGCTCCCTCGATTCCTCAGCTGGTGGGAGGTACGGAGGTAATGGGGCTTTCAAGCGAAAGGCGGATGCGAGCGTAGAGAAATAAAGAACGATGTTTCCGACCATATCCCTTCGTTCCTTATTCACGGGTAAAATGAAATCTTTCCTTACGGACTGAACGATGTTACGTCAAAATAAATCCATCATGAAGGAACGTAGATTACCGTAATCCACTCCTCTCGAGTAGTGACGCAACGCATGCTGTGCAGCCTATCCAGGATAGTCTGGAGACTCGTCAATATCGCTCGGTAGAGTGCTATAGGGAAAGGTCCCTTCAACCGAGGCTCATGCTGTGTCTGAGCCAGGAGATCTTGCAACTCAATGAGCTTCCGCTGGAGGTGCAATTCCCTGCATATTTCGAATTAGCGACAGTTGATGCGTAGTAAGCCCACACAAACATAGCCATGAATTCGTGAATGTATTTGTCAAGCTTGGCTTTAGCGGACCTGGGCAGGAGCGACGTCGTCTCGTCCGCACACTGCGTCTCAGGCTCGTCTTCATCTGTGTCATCTTCTACGCGAGGCACGCCTGAGTTGGCTGCTACCAAGTGGGTGTATAGCCATCCGATGTTCAGACAAAAGCTAGGCGCAACAAATCAATATTTGACGTGTTCAGCAAAGACAAACTTACTCTCCCAGCTCTCGACTGAGCTCCCTTCGCGCTTCTGAAGGCCACCAGAAACGTGATACAATCGCAGCCCAGAGGACACCAGCGGTAACCGCAGTCGAGCGATAAAACGCAATATCGATCACAGATACTTCGGCTTCTCGAACGTTGTACCTGCAAATGATAAGGAAAGCAGGATAGATCAAAATTCTGTACGAGCAGCGAAGCTTTTGCCAACGTACGAATAAAGGCACGTCAAATTATATGTCAAAAGGGCAAATCTCCCTGTCGTCGCATACTCTGGAATCGCAATGACGTAGTAAAAACAGGGGATCGAAAAAAAGAAACCGAAGATCGACAACACAATTGCATTCTCCGGGAAAAGGCTATAAATTCCAGCTGCGGCACAAGCTCCGAAACTTTAAGTGATCAGAACAAAACGGGCGAAATACTAAACAAGACAACGCACAGAGTACCGAGGACACGATGAATGCTAAGGAAATTAGTCTAACAAACGAATCAGCAAGGACACAAGACCGTTAAAAATCATCTTACAGCTCCGATCGTAGGCGACATGACTCCAAAGAACTAAGGAGGAAAAAATCAGCCACACATAACAATGTAAAAGACGCCTGTACGCACGGAAATCAACTGCCCATTCACCCTTATAATTCGTATACATCGGTCTCGTAGCATCAAAGAACGCAGGTGCAGCCAACACAGCAGTGGACATCCCCACCTTGAAGGCATATTTCATTTTGCGCTCTTTCAAAATTCCACCAAAATCCCACAGTGCGCGCTTCATACGACCAATAAAAGGGAGGTTTGCAGGATGGGGCGTTTGTATCGTGTTTGGAGCATGTGGTTGGACCTTGGGAAAGAATACTTTGGTGTGATGGGGGGAAGTGAAATATGATGCTTTATAGCACACCGTCAGTAGATTATGAGCAGCCTTGAAAGTAATCACTGACAGAATCGGCGCAGTCCTGACCGCTTGGATTTCTCATAAGCCAAGTTACGCCGACGCAATCGCATTGCAGATAAAAGATTTGATGGACCGTGTAAAATATATCGGTTAAACCAGCCCGGCGTATCCGCTCTGACTTGTTTGACTGCATATATTCTGCTCATAGCGTCCGTGAGAGAAATAAGCTCTCTAGAGAATTCCTGCAACGTGAAAATGAAACTGAACCACGACTTCTTGAGTATGGAAACTCTCGAGTAAAATTATCGAGAGCTTACAAGTAGAGAAGGAATATGTGTTCATGTTCGCTGTTCATAAGGACATTATCCAATGGGGCTGAAGAATCAAATGAAATCCCCATAGACGAGGCAGCGAAATTGCTCCGTTTGTATAAGCGCATAACTGCATGGTTCGAGGTGCTCTCGAAAGTAAACAGCGCGCGGTCGATCTCATCAATCAGAAGATGGAAATCATGAGGTTGAAGTGGAGCTTCTCTTTGGACATGTTTGCTCTGCGCAAATGCTTCGCGTAGACGTTTGAAACTTGCAGTACAGGTTCTCTTGCAGCTGCTTGTGAGTACCTTCCGCAGAAAAGATGACGTTCGACTCACCGTCAAGGCCTTCAGTGGTGGACCCAGTTCATCAACTAGATCGCCGAACATATCCGCCGCAGCTTGTAGTAGAATTTCATCTGCATCGTCCCTCATGTCCGAACCGCAACTGGACGCCCTCCTTCCCTTCCCCGCAGGAGAACGACACCCGCTTGGATCATGCTCTCTTCCGATCGTTTGATTGTGTCGCTTCAGCGTCAAGCGTCCCTCGCTGTGAGCCTTCGTGAGTTCGTACTGCAAGCGGGTGCCGCTTCTCAAGCCATTCAGATGTTGAGCAAGACGCGTGAGGCTATCAACCGCGTCCCCGTAGGCCTTGCCTCCTTGTCCGCGCAGACCGCTGAACCATTCCGACTTGGCTTCTTCTAAATTCTTTTTGAGACTCGTAAAACTTGCCTGGTGGTTCTCGACTGCCTTGTGTATTTTATCCTGGCTAGGCTGGCGAATGGGTTCTTCGAGGAGGAAGGTGTTTGTGACCATGCCAAGGAGGGTGGTAAACGAATCCAAGGTCTTTGTCATATTCAACTGGAGGTTGTCTGTGGCGCTCTTGGGCCATAGCGTGAAACACACAACGTTTGATATTAAGGTGCCGACGAGTACGACCGAGAAGACTTGCAGAAGTGTTTCCAAGCCTCCTTCCCTGATAATTCTAAGAATATATCAGTGACATGCTTCAAATATGACGCATGATAGATAGCCTACACAACAGATAATATTATGGCAGTCATGCTACACGCTGATAAATAGTCAGTATTAACACGAATTAAAGCCTTTGATTGACATACCCGAATTAAAGGTGGGTTTATCCATCCACACTTTTATCCAAGTGAGACCCCACATACTGACTCCAACCCACAAAATGACGAGAGCGTCACCAAGCCACTCCCATCCTGGTCTGACCTCGAGAGACCAGAACATGGACATGCTTCCCAAACAAACAAATGCTGCATAAAGAAACGCAATGGAGCAGTACGAATTAGCCTCCATCATTCCCCCCATAGTTTTTGCGGGGTTATAGTAAATTGCGCTGCAAATGATCAGCATCATGCCTGAAAAAGGGTGAAGAAGACACATACATTGTGGCTATCATGTGACCAGTGGGCGCTGGGAGGCCATTCCCTGCTCCCGGTGTGGAAATATCACTGAGGAATCCAGAGAGATATGGTGAAAACGTAAAGAGAGAGGCAATAAGATATGCCACTGCGCATTTGAGAATGTTCCTCCACAAGAGTGGTATTGTGGGTGCTTGCAAGGGAGGTAACCGATGGCGTGATAGCAATGTAGGAGCGGAAGTAGCTGAAGAGCCGTTGAGGCAGGCTTTGGAGTTGTCTTCTGGTTCAGTGGGATCATGATGCCCATTGGATAGTTCTAAGGACGCCTCTCGGGTGTTGTGCTCCTGCGGATGCGATTGGAGGGACATTGTCGAATGGGTCACAGTCAGTGGAGGCAGCTTCTGGAGTCACAGATTCCGGTGAAGAGTGCTCGGAGCTCATAAGATGGCGTCTGTCGCGTGTCGTAGGGCTCCTCAGCTGGCCCTCATTCTCCATAAGTTGTTCGAACAGTGACCATCGCGATTCTGGTAGTGGGGGCCTGGGACGAGACAAACGGACAAGAGAATGCCTAAGGTTCCGAGCACCAGTCATATTAACTCCTGAAGGAGGCGTATGAGCAACAACGTAGGAAACACTTCGATTCCGGCTTGGTCGTAAAGTGGACGACGGAAGAGAACCATAAGAAGGAATGGGGCGCATAGGTGGAATACTAGGCTCTCCTAGGGTGATTTGGCCAGGAGAGCCCACAAAATGGGCACCACCGTAGACTGGTGCATCACTGTAGAAAGACAAGTACAGAAGGTCATCTTGTGAGTTGTTCTCGTGAGCCTGAAATGACATGTTTTCGCATAGGACTTCAAGCTTCGATCTCAGGACCTGATGGAGTAACTGCCTTCAATGTGGACAAGGCGTGGTAGTGATCAAAGTGAAGGTACTGGCACCTAGTGCTGGTTCACGACGTCGCGCTTATATGACAAGGCCCGTGCCAATGGAGCCGATATTAATTGTCACAGACTTATAGCTTGGCGACAAACCGAAGAACATTATTTATGTTTAATTTATGTAATACAGTGGACCCGAACATTATGTAAAATATTTACACATATTGACAACTCTTGACTTGCATAAATTGTTGTACCACTACTTATGATTTGACTTTGGTAGCATGCAAACAGATGCAGGCGCAGCATTAGTCTAAATCGCAGCATGCAAATAATTTCCTGCGGTTGTCGGGAACAGCTGTCTCTTCACGAGTCAAATTGAACTTCCTATCCTTTTGAATTCCCCCATCGTCTGATATACTATGGCTCATAAAATAAAAGGCTCAAACGCCAGCTCAGATCGACATCATCTGCTCAGTCGACTGCTAACATAGTTGTCCCTCTCCAGTCCTTTAATTGGGTCCCCTCATAGTTCGCCGAGTCACGCCGACGAATGCAATAGCATCGTCAAACGGTTCGAACGAGGAGACCTTGAAAAACACGCAGCATACTTCCTCGTTGCTCAAGCAGCCAACTGCACCAGTCCCAGGGAGTGCCGAGCAAGCGCGCCCCGAAGCAAGTACCAACCTAGACCTTTTATGCGGGTGCTCGACCACATCCAAGGCACCGCGACGCCTTCACTTCAGCCGAATTTCCTGTCACAACGGTTTAAGTAGAACCAGAGACAGCCCCTGTGAAGCAAGGTAAAGCGAGTGGCTTGTCATGGTACAGACTCATGAGCCCATGCCCAGTCGATAGATAGGGGATCATGCACCAGCTCGAAGATATCCCTGAACTGCCAGAAAAGAAACGACAGGTAGAACCCGATCTTTCCAACCTTGACTACTCCGACAGTTAATTGCATCGTCACATCTCCCCTGATGTACGACGCACCTGCAATATTCTCCCATCGTGGGCCCCTAATGTCCTCGAGGGTCGAGTCATTAATCACGTCGGCTGCCCTGAATTCCCGTGCTCTGAGTGGGACAACATTATCACCGGTCAGCCCGTCAACCTTGGTGGCGTCCTCTCCGACTTTATGCAGGTCCAGGACCCGTGATTGTCACTACTAGTCTACGTCGGATTGGTTTTCCGCATGTAACTGCCTTGTGCAAGCATACCACTTCGCGCTCCCCCATCGGACACATGAATTTGATGGACCTACGGAAATCACATAAACACTATGTTCTACGCACATCCCCATCTCACCCATCTCACTTCAAAATCATCAATTTTGACAAAGCAATCAGACAGCAGGTAGGCTCATGCCGTAACTTGGAACTTTACCAATTTCGAAAAATTCATGGGTACTGACTTCTCTTACTTCTTCTCTTATGGTCGAAACTGCATGGAAAGCTTAGAGGCTGTATCTGAAGGCAAAACTCCTGACAGGAAGGAGCCCTGCTGACGCTAGGTCTACGGCGTTTGCACATATTCCTCTTCATTGTGGCATCACATACGTGGTTGCGACTAGCAACCACCCTGCATGTGAGCACGAGGAGGGTGGTTGTAGTCCACGGCTTTTGTATGACGGTCGCTCTATCGTGGACCTGCGTCACCATCGCCAGTCTGGATTGACTTCTTCATCCTTCACCGTGTAAAATTATTCCTTCCCTGTTAATCAAAATCTCGTCAACCACGCAAAGCATCATCTCTCCTCGCTTCAATCAAATCAAATCAAGACAAGACAAATGCAAATGCAAATACGTATCCCAGCCTCCTTTCGCCGTGCGCCCCTTCGTCTACATATAGCAATCTAACCAGAGATCTCCCAATCAATACGGTCTCAACGGTCAGCGCGATGTTGATCCGTGTATCGATCTTGGCAACTCTAGCGCCCAACGTTTGGGTATCTTTTCATGTGCCTGGTAGTCTGTATCCTGCTGTGTTTCCATTTCCATTTCCTTACTACCTCTACTCGAACTAAGCAGATCCAACGTAGTCGTGACTCGTGATGTGGCCTATCGGGAGCTTTTGAAACAGTCGCGCAGCCGACGCCCATCATGCTTATATATGTGCATCCACATGGACACTCAAACTCTCGCTGCATCTGGTCAAATACATGAGCGCCATGATACGGTATATAAAGCCACCAATGACCATGTCCACCGATTTCTGCCGAATGCAGTCCTGCATCTTAGGCCTGTCGGTGGCAAGTCTACGAACATGGACTCCAAACTCGCTGGATTTGGTTGACTGCACCAACGCGGCGGGCAAGCATCCACCATTTTCTTCTTCAATATACCACGTAACAGTACAACAAACAAGACATACACGATGCGACAACTAGTGTTCAACACAAATAGTACGCAGACTTTCAAAACGGAGATGACTATTCAACAAGGGTCTATCAAAACACAAAACGAAAGCAAAAAGGAGATGAGGCACGACATACAAATATATCAACTAGAGTAATAATTACGATTCGGCGTGACAGGGAATGAAAATGAGGAATGTTTAGATTCGTGGGGTAATGCGAGTTTCAGGTCCATAAGGTCTAGTGTCCGCGCTGCCGCTGTCCGTGGAGAATATTATAACGTCCAGGCTAGATCACAACGTCCGAAAAGTACTAGGTGTCCGTGAGGGGTCATAACGAACGTGAGCGTAACCATAACATAAGAATGCAAAAAGGCACTGTCCATAAGAGATTAGCTAAAGTCCAGTCAAAAATGAAGAAACGAGGCCAGGCGGGGAAAAGCGTCAATATAATAGCGTGTCCAAGTCACGAGAGCCAAGAGTCCGTTGGTCGGGAATTAAGTTTTTTTTTTCCGAAGTGTGCACACGGACTGCTGTCACCAAGCATTTTCGCTATCGCTAAATAGGCTACAGCCCTGACAGTCGCTTTTGTACCTTGGCCACTGAATAACCCAGCAGGGGGAAGCGTGCGCTGAGGTTGTTCATAGCGTAAAGCATGGTCCCAATTTCACTACGGACATCCGAGCTGCTGACGAGCGGCCATGAAGACTCGATGACATTGAGTTCTCGAATCAACGTGTCCACAGCGCACGTCCAACAAGGCTGTGTCAAGAAATTAGTCAATCATTCTGTGTAGCACACTCAAAAAGATACTCACGCCGATGATGGGATCGAGGTACTCGTAATCTGTATCAGCGATATGTTTGATGATGGATACAAGACACCGCGCAGCCCGAAGGCATTTTTCATACGAGACAGGGTCTTCAGCACCAAATGGATAATACAGATTTATCATCGCAGCGTGAGCTAGCGTGTGTGTCGCAATATAGGCGTGTTTCTCGTCAGGCACCGTGGCGTCGAGTTGATGTACCGGAATAAGGGTCTGGATAAAACGGGCTATCGTGTGTTCCAAAGTTTGAAAGTCATCAGTAAATGCGCTCGACATTACTAAAGCTGCAAATTGATCAGAAAGTAGTACTAATCTGGAGAAAATGGGCCTACGTTGGTCCCAGGTTGATGCGAGGTGGTGCGCACGTTCGAACAGAGCGGATGCTTTGACACGGAGGGCCAGTGGGGAAAACCCTCCGCGGACGTTTGCGACCTGATGTTCAAAGAAGCTCCGAACAGTATGGAAGCTGTGCAAATCATCGATCTGACCCTGAGAAGAGTGAGTCAGTATATGCTCTACCCACTGATAACGTAAACGTACTGCTACATATTCTTCCATATCTTGCGGCCACGGCATTGTGATGGACGCGTATCCATCTGAACCATGCGGAATGGTCACTGGTTTATGAAGTACCACCGACCAGCACCGATCCAGGACAAATACATGCCAAAATGTCAATATGCGCTCGCCCTGCTCGATAGCGTCTTTCGGAGGGTCAAGTTTGAAGGGTGAAATGGAGGCTGTGGTCTCAAATGATGATCGATTGGTCATTGCTCCGTGAAGGCCGCATTGAATAGCCAGTGATGCAGCAGCGTTGGCATGGTAACTGCCTTCTAACGACCTTCCGTTTGATAGGAAGTACACGGACAGAAGACAGGATGCTTGGATGACATCAAGCAACCTGTTTTGGTACTGGATGGCATCGCTGAGGGAGTCGAGGGCTCGACTCAAGTAATGAGACTCGTGCGTGCTGAGGGGGCCTGGCCTGGAGATATAGCATGCCCACAAAAATATAGCGTTAGTGAGGACAGGGTGATGCTGCTCCATGACGGGTCGAGTGAAAGATTCTCGTAGTCGGCCCATGTGCAGACCCAGGAGGGACTGTCGAGAATGTGAGAAAAAGACGTCTACGAGTGTTTGAGCGAGCTCTATTGTGGGTTGTGGTTCCTCATGGTAGATATCCGTGAATGGCGTAGGTGAGGGTGAGGGAATGCCTTGTATCCAAGAGCTTTGAGGGGAATTGTTTGCTGTAAAATATAAGATTTAATGCGAGATGATCACGACGGATCAACACACCGGAAGGAGAGAAGGAAGAGACTGAAAGTGAGAAGCCTGTGCTTGCGGGAGAGCCAGTAAGGGAAGAGGAGGAGCTTTCTGAGCGACCATGACGATGCGGATCATGTAGAGTTACGGATGGCGAGGTATACTCAGGATCCTCGAGCTCTCGTATACGCTGTTCTAAACGCTCGATATGTTCACGGAGAAGTTGAGTTCTCGTCTTTCCCTTTCCATCGTCGTATTGACAGGCGTCGTTCTGTTTTGCACGAACACATTGTTGACAGGCTGGTTTGCTACCATCACATCTCTGATGAGTTGATTAGCGACTGACAGAGTATGAGGATTATATGATGACTTACCATCTTCCTCTTTCTGGACAAGGCGCGTTTAAGCATGGTCAGCGAGTTTTTATGAATGATAGACGAATAGAGAAAATACCTGCAACGCAAGCATGCTTTTCCCCTCTGGAGAGTTGGCGGGGGCGTGGTGGACTGATTACTGGCCATTATGGGAACGGATACTAAATATACACGAATGAGAGTGGAACTAATGGGTGAAACCGTATCAACGAGCTGCGGAGTACAGGGTTGAGAAGAGTAACATACCAAAGAGCCTTGTGGATGTGACCTTGGGGAGACGCTAAAGATGAAGAGAGAGATGGAGTATGAGTACTCCAGGCATGAAGTGAGCAAGTGAGACCTAGTAGTAGGGGGGCGGTGACACGAACTAGTCAGAAATAATTTACTGAAAGCACATGAACAGAGTGCTCAAATAGTTCCTGAAGCCGTGACTTCAGATAGCAGAGCCCGCGTGATGTCGGACAAACCTTTGAGTGGTTAGTTCCGCCGGAGATCCAGGAAACTTCCGAGGTTTTACGATCCCGACAAAAGTCGATGATGATCCACATGCAATGGCGGTCTTTGGTGGCTGTTTGTTTCTATTAGGATCCTTTGCTGGTCAAATCTCACAACGGTCTTTCTATCCCGTGTCGTTCATAACCTCCAGGTAATACTAAAAATCTATCACTTGGCACAGATTCCCACTTATTGCTGTACAAGGTCAATGCCAACACAGCTTCACCCGACAGATGAAAAAGGTACGCAGCACAAAACAATGTGGTAGTACTTTCACTAAATTTCACCTCCTCTCGCAAACAAGCCTGACGAGTCGCGCGAAACTATTATCTGACTTCTGGCTGTTAAAATCCGCCAAGGCAGATTGGTTCTTCGTCATCCGACGGAATGAAGCAGGGCCAACCATCTTCGCCACGTTTTTGTTCATATCCGCGGAATGGGTAACGACCTACGATTTTGGGACTTTTCAGACAACCGGCCCTGCAATATTGAATTATCTAGGACTCCCTTCATGTCGGACTGCGTGGCGCTAAAATATCTGTGCAGACAATCCATCTTACGACACACCAGTATCAGGTTCTTCACCGGTCCGCAACGGCACGGAATGTTGCGACTAACAGTCGACGCTGAGACTACGCCAATGTATTTGCTTTCTACTGAGAAGGCAGACTTGATACCGTTAACATGACTTCTACGTTGCTTCACATCAAAAAACTGTTATCGGCAGCTTCCATCCTAAATCATGTTGGTTTATTCTCTGCGAGCATACTTTACCACACTGCCCGTGATACATCATCCATCTAGCCTTATAAATAATCAAGGTATCAAATAAGGTGCGCCACAGTCCAGTGCAAAATTGCTATTGAATCAGCTTGCATTAAGTTTGAGATTCTGCTAAAGCGCTCAACCTAAGGTTTGATCGTGTACCTTCTCCCCGCATAACCTGCCGTCCTCGTGTTCACAGAAGTTACGGTACTCCAGGGTGCTCCGCTATACCGTTTACCTTCTGCCATGATGCCCTTCATAACCGACGCTGTTATGAGCAAGTTATGATCGCGGGTAACTTCTTTCCCGGGCTTACCCCATCACCTGATGACGTCAACAGATCTCGAGGCTCTGTTGTTCATTGCATGGCTTTACACAGCTATTTGATCAATTTGCTAACTCGACCATAATTATATGGTTGGGACTGATCGTATCCATATTACATTACTAGTCCGACAATGCAAGATGTCGAATTTCACGACATCACCTTGCACTGACAAGTCAGCCTGAGAGCGCTCGAGGTTTGACAATACTTTTCAGACTCTTCCTTCATCTCCGTCTCAACTGTCTTCCCCGTTGATGAAAATCCATACTTCTGCTCCCATTGCTTCTGTCCCCTATCGATCACAATGAGTATCAGGGTACACACTGCCTCAAATTTTTTATTTCCAAGTCCAAACCTCCGTCTTCTTTGAATCTGAGCTTCGACTGCACGGGCGCAAGCAGCAAGCTTATCTCTCCGAGGGCCTGTTTACATTCCGTAAGTCATTGCTATCACTCCTCATCCTATTGCAAACCTAATATTTCTGTTTCTTAAGTTAGCGTTTAGACACCCACCACGTTATTCTCGCTAGTACATGTCCGGGGCCGCGTATCGGTATCGGGCACAGATACCGCTCTGCCTTTCTTCCCGATCTACGTCTTCACGTACGCCGCGTGTGCGTACCTTGTCCTAAGGTCAGTTGGTCTAGCAGTGCCGCAATCACAACCATCATTTATATCAAGCTCGCACGACGGGCAGTACCTGTATCGTTCGGGGCCGTGCACAGACTAAATACCACCTCGCACCATGGTCCAGTATTTCCCATTTTCCTCAATACGTTCGGTTCCGCTGACATTGATCGGCGACTACCTCACCGTCACAAATGCAGCCGTACCCTGAGCACCCACAGTAGTCTTTTTCTCCCCACCAGCAATAGATAAGAACCTGATCCACACCCAACCCCGGGTTCTACCCCGTTGAAATCCCTGTTCAGCATTTACCCTGACATAACCACTGATATCAACTCTCACAGTGGCAATTCCACACCTCGACATATTCGGTGCCGCTCATTTTTCCCATCTCGTACTCCGTGTTTGTGACACAGGCTGTTTTGATCTCGCTCGGAAATACAATGAGAGGGATCTGAGCTTCGAATTCTTTGTCCTGTGGGTCTTTTTTGCCAGCGGTTGTATCATCCATGACTATTAATATTGGCGGGGATATTTCCAATGTCTCTTCGCGGGAGGTTTGTTGCTCCATTTGCAATAATCGTGGCATGATATGATATTGTCATTGATAGGCATCAACATATGCGTTTGTCGGTCCCCGATGACTTCTGAAGGTCAGGGACGTTTGCTTCCTATTGCCTCGGGAATTTCGAATTTGGTCAGGGAGTCGTCGACTTCTTGCGCTGAGTGCGCAAGATAATTACGACAAGTCTATATCTCTACGCATGGTATATCTGCATAAGGAATTACATACTCATTCATTTGTCGTTCGTTCCTGACAGAATCGAGGAGGTCGTCAATTGCCGAAGGGCTTAAATTTTCAAGACTGGTGAAGATAACAAGAGGCTTCGCGAAGGTCATTTTGATTTTGTTCTCCACAATGTCGGATGATCATTGATATCAGATAATGATGCATGATGATATAGACGCCGTGCCGCCGGAACTCTCGTACGATCACATTTACCTGGGAGCGGCCCCTGGTCTGTTCAATAGATCAGGCCAACTCGAACCAACTGTAAAACTGTAAGAAATATCCCGCCGGATAGCAAGTATGTGAGTGCCTCTACGGCGCTAGAATGTTACGATCGAAGTGCTCAGCGAACCTAGACACATACATACACCCCATCAATCCGCTGTCATCGTGCAGAAGTGGGGTAGAATTCGAACCTCCAGCCCTATTTATAGAGGGTGATGAATCAAGCTATTGGGGACGAATCACGGGAAATGCCTCAACGCAATGCCTCGACATCCGTTGATCGTGCGCGCGAGGGAATACCCTGCGACTACAAATGCATTGCGATACGACTTGCTTACCTATCATGGAGTGCCGCCAGAGACGAATCTCCACATCCGTTGATCGTGCGCGCGAGGAATAACCGTTAACCAGCGACTCTGCAAATCTATGCAACACATGCATGCAAGATTTTAAAACTCCGCTGATCGTGAGGCGACTGCACATGTACGAGCAAGTTACGCGGAGTTGCTAGACGAATCATATACCTCCACATCTGTTGCAGCGACCGCGATACGTGCAAGACCCCTGAGCTGGTAGAATCAAACACCTTGTATCGTGAGAAATGTGCAAATGACATCCCGCCCAATATATAAACCAACCGTGATAAGTACAACTTACCTAAATCCAAAGATATAAAACCAGAATAAAAGAATGGCCGTAAAAGTGTCATGTTAAATACGTGGTAAGTGTCAGATCCTAAGTAAGTCAGTATGAGTATCCGAGTTGGGTAAGCAGCGAAACCAAGACTCTGTATGGTATCACAATAAAATAATAGATGTGGTATAGTCTCTTTTCTTTAGAGCAATATGGTGAAGAAAGCTGCCACAGATGCGAGGAGGGTGAGGGAGACAGCAATGTTTGATCTAGGAGATGCAGCGCCGGAGAGGGGGTTGCCTGAGCTGCTGGTCGAGGTAGCTGAGTTAGTCACCTTCGCAGGGTTTGGATTTGAAGTGCCGGTTGCTGTAGTGCTCAAGCCACTGGCAAGCTGCGCAAAACCAACAGCAGCAGGATTGGCACGGAAAACGGAGTACACGTTCTTGAGGAACGTGTCACCAATTATCCAAGTGGGAACGTTAGAGCCACTGCCAACGCTGGTGCCGATGTCAAAGATACCACCAGCGCACATTTGAGTCGTAGCAGCCGAGGTGGAACTGGAGATAGAACCAAGGTTCATGTCGGCAGGGTTGATCGTCCAGGTAGAACCGCCGAAAGATATGGTGACTGTGACATCAGTGGTACAAGCTAGAAATAGATGAGTCTTCTGTTTGTCCAACATTGTACAAGTGATACTGACGGAATGCGTATAGGCCTGCGTATTCTCCCGTAAGCGCTTCGGAGCCTGGAACTTGGGCCCAAATATCTGCGGCAACGGTGGAAGGTGCGGCGATGAGGGTCGTGCCTGTGTCGATGGCAGCAAGGGAACTGGATCCGACACTGACCGTGTTGCCTTGCACAGAGAGCGCTGTTCATTTGTGACTGATCAGCAGACTAGCGATATAACAAAGTGAAGAAGCTAACAATTAACATTGAGCAACCAATACGATGCCGGGCCAGTTAGGTCCAAGTACTCAATAGAGCCCTGGTACAAACTCGAATTTGTTCCACCAAGAGTGAGGGTACCACCCGGAGCAGTGCTCATGGTGGATTGGTCGATATAGCGTGCAAGGTAGAAAGAGAACAAGGGTTCTGAGAGCTGGTTGGCATTATAGAGAGCTTGCCAAAACGGGGTGGCATTGAGGGCAGAAATGGTGTTGAATCCAAGACCCATGATACCTGAGAGTTCACCGGTGATCAAGCCAGATGTAATTGAAGAAACAGCCACTGCGACCGAAAATAAGTCTGAATCCAAGTCAAGTCGAGATAAACGTACAAATTTCTTGCTGATTGATAGTGAAGCCACCGAAGGTGACAGTGTCTTCGGCGACAGACCCTTTGACTGATCCTGAGCCATAATTAATCTCCAGTGGGGTGCCTGACGACTGGAATGTCGAGGATTTTGAGGTAGTAAACTCATATGATGCGCAAGCGGAACATGAGGATGTCGCAACCCAAAGGTCGGAAGAACCAGTGTCGAGAACAAGATCAAAATTCTGGGCCCTTGGAGACGATGAGTATTTGTTGAGATTGTTTCGATATTGTAACTCACGGAGTCCCAATGCTCACGACACCCGAGTAACTGGAATCGTTACCCTAATAGAATTATTATCCAAACTAAATAAAAGCCCGAATTGCAAACCTCATCAGTGATTGGAACTGCAGCGGTGTTTGCTCGCTTGGAATATGTGGCACTTGTTGGCCGAAAACCGTATTTTGCCCGTAATGCTTCGACGGCTTTCGGTAAGTTTGCGACTCTATTTGTTTGACTACGTCTGACGATTGGGACATGAATAACACCTGTATCCGGCTGGGGAGCAGCGAGAGCAAAGGGAAGGAGTGCGGCAGCTATTAGAGGTAGAGAAAACATGATAGAACAAGAAGGAGCTCGATGAGAGAGAAAGAAAGAGAGAGAGTACTTAAACACAAGACTAGCTTGCGTGAGTGGGCTTGTGTCAAGAGGAAACTAGACACTTGGCCTTGCGCAGTGCAGGGCTGTGCAAGATGAATATCTTGGCTTCCACGCTTAAAGTTATGACAACCTTGTTCCCACATATGGGGGTCAATTCTGGACCCTAATTCGAAAGGACAATTGTTCCTTCATCCTTGTTTCAGACTCATAATTGACGTTAGTCGTGCTGCAGACTTCATTCGAGGAGGGACTCGAACTGCGAATTTACAAACTCATGCGATCACAATCATGATGCGCTAAACAAAGTCGCGGCAGTGCGTCAGATGCTCATGATCAACTCGTGTACACAGCCCAAAATCTGGCTGTAGGCTCTGGGACATAGTACCAGTGTGAACTCGCTTTGGCGCAGCCACTGTTTTGTATATCATTCTCTGTGCTGTGCATGTGTCCGCAAGAGTCATTCCATCAGCGTTTTGTGAGTCTCTCATTCCCGTTGTTAGATCTTATCATGAACCTTACTTCAACGAGTCCTTGTTCCACCATAGGCAAGGCAAACATATTGCCCCAATTCGATTATCTGCTTTCCCTGTTTCTCAGCGTCTCTCGCGCGTGTCATAACACTGCGATCTAGAATAACTCGGTACTAGGCCGCGTGATGATTATATTTGTTTCTTTGTTATCTTAGCTTTATTGCTATGACACTGTGTCCATGTTCTGCCAACATTTCGTAAGTTCCCTCGTTCCTTTCATCTCGCGATGCATTCCCCTCTAGCGACACGTCCATGAGGTCAACTTGGGTCCAGTTCGATGTTGGTTCGATGTCGAGGCCCAACACCGCATGTCCCGGCAATTACATTACTTGGCATTTCACTTCTCCGTTTGCGTCATCTCTCTTGCCTGTGTACAAGCATGTTCTTGTTGCTTTATCGGCTGTCCCATACAGGATACCTGCACAATTGCTTGTATCAGCGGTCCTATTCATAAAGCACTGTTGTTTTCCCCGCAAGGACATAAATTAGGGGTCACGGTAATAATAAGGCACCATATAAGGACACGCGACCCTCATTTCTCATCGAATATGGAAGGCGTTTCGAATTAATTGTTGTGTGCATCAAACGCGTGCTCGACGACTGTCAAACCCATTCATCACATCCAAATCCCTAACCCATGAAACCGTGTCCGCATATACACCAAAACACAAAATGAAAAGATCCCAAGACTTCGTATCGTCTCCTCGAAAATCATCTAATCACAAAAAAGCTAAGGTAGCGCCTAACCAGGTAGTCCACCACGCGAGTACAGCATGCGAGGATGATCATGATGCTGGTGAAGCGGAATGGACCCGCGTGGAAAAACGCAAGACCAAAAAGAACAAGAAGGTCGAAGCCAAACACGATGTGTGTCTTATTAGTGCCTTCCTTTGTCGTCCGCAGCTTTTTTTGAATGAGATATATGTTTCTTTCTGGTTTTAGGCACTGATGCCCAGATTCATGTACGTGAACGGTGAGATCGTAAAGAGAAAAGATGCTGTCCATATAAACGTGAGTCACTTGTTTTTAGGAGTCCTAGATAAATTGACCCTGTGTCGTCGTAGGACGTTCGAGATTTGGTGTTGCACATAGTCGCGGATGCACCTCCGCCTAACTGGGTCAAGGTCGAGGTATGTCTTCACAAGTTTCATCTCTGGATCATGGTTTTCACCGTCATCTGTCCAGCACGCCCGATCGATCGAGAAAGTCGTAACACTCCTCATACCTGGAATCCTTCCTTCTACACTGGCCCTTCCACCTCTGCCGACCTCAGCCACCGTTAACCCGAATATTCCACTCTCAATTCCACTTCCTGCAGAATCGCACACCCCCATTCCCTTCATCGCATCTACTTACAGCCATGCATGCCCAACCCGTGCTCCAGGCGACCAAACTCGGATGTACTCCGTTCTCAGCGAGTTCTTCCAATGCCAGGTTACACCGCAGGAGAGAGCCAAGAGACAAGCACAGCGAGCCTGTATGTATGCTATCTATAATATCCTTGCCAAGATTGACGATGGCCTTGTGTAGCACAACGTGCCTTCGATGGCACACCAGCATTGTACTTGTTAACGTTGAGGGAGATGATAGAGAACGAGTATCCAATTCCCTCATACATGGCCGATGTATTCGAGAAGGGACCCGGTTGGATCGAGACTCCACAGGCATCAGAAGAATCACTGTTATTGCTTCCAGCAGATAAGCTAGAATCAAAAATATATGCTATCGACTGTGAAATGGTGCGTGACTACAGAGCTGGATCTAGTGTCGCTAACTCAAACCAAACTCTAGTGCTTGACCGAGGATGGCAAAGAACTCACCCGGGTTTGCATGATCGATTACGAGAGCGGAATAGTCGTATACGACAAACTCGTCAAGCCCCCAAAACCAGTCACCGATTACATGACTAGGTAAGCGGGATTCTGACATCTGATGATCAAATCTCGATTCTGAAGATTGTTTCAGATGGTCGGGCATCACAGAATCTTTGCTCGCATCGGCTACGACAACTGTCGCTGAAGTTCAAGCACAGATCATGCCCATCCTCGCTCCAAAAGATGGGCCGACCTCCATTCTGGTCGGACACTCCCTTGAATCTGACCTCCGTGCCCTGCGGATCTGCCACCCGAAGTGCATCGACACCGCGGTCATTTACCATCACCCACGCGGCCGGCCGTTGAAGCCCGGGCTTGCGTGGCTCACCAAAAAATGGCTGAATCGCGAAATTCAGACACGGGGTGATAGTGGACACGACCCGGAGGAGGATGCGCGGGCGTGTATTGACCTCCTGCGGTCGAAAGTAAGATACGGCCCAAGCTATGGGGAGTTCAAGACTGATTTTGAGAGCATATATGAGCGTATGGGGAGGGCAAGCGGGAGGGGCGGACCAGGATCTGTACGGAGTGTAGTGGTGGACCATGGAAACCCTGGTGTGATGCATGGATCCAAAGCCAGCTCGAATGTGCCATGTACTAGCGACGAAGAAGTACTTGATGGACTGTTACAGGCTATTCCAGCACACGAGTTCGCATTTGGACGGTTTACCGGTGTTGCAGATGCACTGGGCTGTGAGTGTCGTACAACTGTTCGCCTCATTATATATACTTATGATTTTTAGGGCTAACACCAAAGACGCCCGCTGGAGAGACCCCAGTCGTCACCCCAGCTGAACCATCGCCCGTTATTCTCGCCAACGCCCAAGCAACTCTTAACAACCAGCTGGTCACCCTTTACGCATCTCTTCCCGCACGAACGGCATTGATCATTTTCACCGGTCACTCGGATCCCCGACGGATGGCCAGCCTAAATGCCAGGAAATCGGCATTCGAGTCTGCTATTAGGAGCGGAAAGAAGGCCGAAGACATCGATAAGGCAGATTGGTGGACAGCTAGTGAAGGGCGTGAACTCGAGGAGGAAGTGGAGAAGGCGAAGAGGGGATTGTTGTTTTTGGGAGTCAAGTGAAGTGCAAAGAATAGGTTTGTTGGACTTGCATCTTGTTGCTGTCTCTTGGTGGTTTTCCTGTGCATATATCTCCACTCTTGCATATTTCATCTTGTGGTTTTATGGTTCATTCGTCCCAGTCCAAGCCAAGCACTCCTTCCTTTCCTCCTCGCACAGCGGCTTCCACGGCTTCTGCAAGTTGTCTCAGTGTCCTGGTGTCTTCATCTAACTCTTGAGGTCCCAATAGGTCGTTCTTGAGCTGCCTAGTGTCAACTCCAAGGGCGCGATGTAAGGCATCCTCTCTATCTGCACCTCTGAGCTTGTCTATAGAAGTGAGGAGCTCTGGCAGACGAGGATTCAACTCCAGCACGCGACGCACAGCAGCGGAAGTAGCTAACAGGCGGACAAAAGGTTGAATACAGGAAGGAAAAGTTATTGAATGGACATACCGATGGCTTCGTATTGGTGAACTTGTAGCGGCCTTGGGTCATCACGTTTCAATGGGTCGGGATATGCTGATTCTTCGGGTACGTAGGGCCAATTGAGAGAAGTGAGAGGGCGTAGCGGCTTCGGATCGTCGACCGTCTCTTCTGCGGATGAAGGCTGTACTACTGATCCTCTGTTTGAGCAACTGTCGGGGTCTAGATGAAAGGAAGGAAATGTACCTTCGTGAGTCACGGCTGAAGTTTCAGCAGAGCCGCAAGATTCTGTAGGGTGACTTTTCGGATGAGATTTATCTGGCGTGTGTTTTTGTTATACCTTTATGTCGTTTGTAGCACGCAACGGAGCAGCTGAAGATGGATATGAGCAAACACTTTGAAACGCGATGACACAAGGTAAACATACTAGACAGTTGCTCTGCATTTTGAGCATGTATATTTTGATTCGTTTTCATTGCAGATATGGCAAGATCGAGGGGGCATCGTCGAAGTGGACTGTCAAGTAGACTTCAGACAGTTTCAATTTAATACCGCGTGGCACGTGACCACTGCATCCCTCGGATGTTTTACTCCGTTGAGTTTTGGACGAATTCAGCCTGCTCGTTCTTAAGCTGCAGTAGCAGCGTCATTTTTGTTTCATTCTTCGACTGCAACTGAAACAACTTTTCAAGGATGTCCGAAGATGTGGCATATGTCGGAAGCGGGAGGTCAATCGATATCGAGCTTGGAGGACAAGAAGTCATCACAATCGATCTTGACAACCTCGATCCGAACCCGGAAGATGTATTGGATCTTTTGAAGGAGGGACAGTGTAGAGTGTCTGTGTGGACAAAGCTAGCTGGCGAATACTGGAGAAGGGGCTACCTAGCAGCAGCTGAAAGAATAGCTCATTCCGCTATCGAATGTACGTCTCCTAGCTTAAGTTCGTCATATAATTTATCTGAACAATTCCACAGCGTTACAAGCAAACGGAACGACAGCTTCATCTCCTCCAATATACGCTCTTCTTGCAAATATCCAGATAGCTCATGCTCAAAAGGCCCCCAAATTGGTGCTTTCAGAAGCTCGTGAGCTCCGTCAATTTCAGCTTTAGATGTCACTGACATGTCGTAGGCGAGGATAAACTGACGAATGTGCGCCCGAAGGAAGAATATTACCGCGAAGCTGCTCAGTATCTCAACACTGGCGAGAGGGCTGCCGCAGAAGGTGGTGAGGGTGTAGGCGGAACTTTAGCATTCTTGACTCGAGGTACTGCGTTTACCTCGTCTAGTCTCCGACTAGCTTATCACGCTCTACAGGGATACAACAACTCGCGACGAGGTCTATGGATGATGCCATGCGTTCCTTCGAGGGTGTACTTGCTGAGAAACCCACTAATGTTGTGGCCCTCCTCGGCAAAGTAGGTCTATTACCTTATGATTCTAGGTAGCTGGTAACATCTTTGCATCAGGCTCGAATTCTCTATGCTCGAAGGAGTTATCCTCAAGCGCTCAAACTATTTCAACAAGTTCTGCAACTCAACCCGCACTGCATCCCTGACCCACGCATTGGTATCGGATTGTGTCTATGGGCAATGGACTATAAATCGAAAGCGAAAGCGGCATGGCAGCGAAGTTTAGAAGTTGTAAGCCCTGGCTCTAAGTGTGGGGTTGCATCACATGGCTCAACGCATTCCGTAGAACCCGACAGATTGGCCGGCGCTGCTTTTGCTCGGGCTCGAGTCCATTAACGCGAGTAAGACCGAAAATCTCAGCGAGCAAGATCGTGCACAAGCGTTCCTTGCCGGCACAAAATTCATAGAGAAGGCTTTCAATGCCAATCAAAAGAGCGCTGCCGCTGCCAATGCCCTATGTGAACTTTTCCTCAGGAAGGGTAGCTACAAACGAGTATGTTATTTTTCGTTTCCCTCAGAGAGAGCGCACTTCATACTGTGTCATTAGGCATTGAAACTTGCGGAGCGCACCATTCAGTTCGCTGATACTCTTACGCTACTAACAGAGGGAAACCTCAGAGCTGCTCGGGTGCTACATGCAGAGGGCTCTCTCAAAGAAGCCACTAAATATTACACGACAGCCACAGATGGCCAACCAAAACACGTTTTAGGCGCCATTGGCATGGCACAAATGCAGATCCAGAACGGTAAGCTGACTCGAGAGAAGTAGAAAAGGTAACTCATTCCAGTTTCAGATGAGATAGCTGCAGCGATCCATACCCTTGATCTTCTTCTGCAGCCTCCAAATCCTCAGCGTTCTGTTGAAGCAATGGTTATGCTCGCTTCCCTCCGCGCACACCCCCGTCCAGGAGTTTCGAGCTCGGACTACGCTCAAGAAAAAGCTAAAGCCCGTGAACTATTCGATCGTGCTATCAAAACTCTCGAGCAAGATGATTCGCGTACATCCAATGGTCACATCCCGCAGCACACAGCCAGTTATATCAACGATGACTTGGATATGCATATTGAGATCGCACGACTTTGGCAAGAAGAGAGTCTCGACAGGACAACGCGGGCCCTCAAGGAGGCGCTGAGGCTTAGCGAGGCAAACGAACAGGTCGACCCACGGCTGCTCAATAATATGGGCGCCCTTCAGCATATGGAAGGCAACCTAGCAGAGGCGCGGGCCTTGTATGAAGAATCACTCACTAAAGCAGCTAGCCTGGGCCCGGACGGAGAGGGAATGTCAACATCGATGTTATACAACCTCGCGCGGGTGTACGAAGACAGCGGCGACATTACAATGGCGAAGGAAGCATATGACAAGCTCTTAACAAGACATCCGGAGTATGTCGACGGTGAGTGCAGGTAAACAGTACTTGTATCTCTATCTGATTGTTCTCCAGCCAAGGTTCGACAAGCGCAAATGCTAGCTGATCTCAATCAATCAAACGATGCACACGATCTCTTAAAACAAGCCATGGCATCGCAAAACAACAACCTCAATCTCCGCGCGTTCTACACCTACTTCCTCATCCAAAGTAATTTCCCGAAACCTGCAAAAGATTTCGTCTTTGCTACCCTCAAAGATCACGACAAGCATGATGTCTATTCATTATGCGCCGCTGGCTGGATTCAATATCATCAAAGCCGGGAAAGTCGAGATCTGAGTCCGAAAGGCTTGGAAGAGCGGAGACGTGGTTTCCAGCGCTCTGCTGAGTTCTATGACAAAGCATTGCTCTTGGATCCGCTCTGTGCTTTTGCTGCTCAAGGACTGGCCATTGTGACCGCGGAGGATGCCCTAGGGAGCTTTGGAGGCGGTCCAGCTACTTCTGGTGGAGATGATCCACAAAAGCGAATGAGGAATGCAAGAGACGCCCTCGATATCTTTGCCAAGATAAGGGAGTCCCTCAACGATGGCAGCGTGTACCTGAACATGGGACATTGTTACTATGCTCGAGACGAGTTTGATCGTGCTATTGAGAGTGTGAGTCTTCCATAGTCTATTTCACTATTTTGCAGTGGGATTGACGTGCATATGCACTAGTATGAGACAGCATCTGTACGATTTTACAGCGGCCATAACGTTTCTGTGCTCCTATGTTTGTGTCGAACATGGTATGCCAAGGCTAGCAAGGATCAGTCCTTTGTTGCTATGAGTACAGCGCTCAAATATGCACAAAAGGTACGATCAAACTTACATCTTCTCACTTCCATTGGGACTGATTTTTAATAGGCCCTCCACTTACAACCGAGCGACAAGGCTATCCTGTACAATATCGCCATGGTTCAGCAAAAAGCTGCAGAACTACTCTTTGGCCTGAGCCCGTCGAAGCGTACCCTGAAAGATCTGGAGTGGGCAATATTGCAGGCTGGACATGCGCAACGGTGAGATCATTTCGTCAACAGTATCTTGGCTCGATTAAAGAGTATCATTAGATTATTCGCTTCTCTTGCCGCAGACTCTGCCTCTGTCGTACCCTACAGTCGTGATATCGCAGACCAACGTAGGAAATACGGTGAAAGCATGCTGAGACGAGGAGACGAGCATCTAGCAACACAAAAGGAGTTTGAAGCTGAAGCGCAGGCGAAACTCGTGGCTGCTAGGCTGAGGAGACAAATGGAGAAGGAGAAACTGGAGGCTATTGAGGTATGCGCTTTCTTTTTTTTTCACGTTCTGTCTCTGAGCTACTTCCGCAGCAAGAAAGAGTCGAGGAACACCGCCGGCAAGCGGAAAAGCTCGCAGAAGAGCGTCGTAAGGCGAGGGAACAAGCTCAGGAATGGACAAGGGAGGTTCAAATGGAGAGCGATGAAGAGCGTGAACGGAAATCTAAGAGGGCCGCTAGGAAGGTCAAAGTCGAAGGGGAGAGTGGAGACGAAGGGGCTGAACCTAAGAAGAAGAAGAGAAGCGGAGGCAAGCTCAAAAAAGCTATTGATCAGGATGTCGACAACGAGCAGCTCTTCAGCGATGATGAAGTCGACAGCAAACCAGCAAAGAAGGTACGACGTTCTGATCTAGTTTAACTGCGAAGATACTGAGCTTATCGAACCAGCGTGTCCCGAAAAAACGGGTCGTCAGAGATGATGAAGATCAGGACGCTGTTGGAGGACCGCGCAAAAAGCAATAGTACGTCAGGAATCTAGGTTTTCTGAGCTTTTTGCTAATTCTTCTCGCCAGTAAAAGCAAGGAAATCTTATCGGACACGGACGATGAGGAGATGTCATGATACCGGTAGATTTCTCAGTATTATCTATGCTACTTTCGTTCGCGTTGGGCTCCTGTCGAGTCACCCTCGCCATTTTTGTTTGATGTTCGGAATTGCTCCGTATAAATATATGTTGTACCATGCTGATCCGAAGCGAACGCCTATCTTCTACTAGGGGTCGGCGTTGCCGACGTGGACCTTGCTCACATTCCGTCTTTTTCTAGCTCTATCGTGCTCGTTTAGTCTGGCTTCGTCCCAGGATTTCTTCTGACATCACTATATAGCTACTACTACATCGTTTCTTTCAGTGTACTGCACTATGGTACCTTGTTTTCTGTCAGACTGTCTGTCCTCGAGAAACGCTTTTTCGTTTCCTCCGCGAGTCGCTCAATCCTGTTATCTTCTATCCGAAGGTCTTCGTTTGGATGTTGAAGGAATAGATCATTGTCGAAGTCTCTGAGAAGACGTATGCATTCTCGGCCGTGACTTCTGGATAGTGCGACGTATGCATTGAAGGGAGATAGGCGAAAACATGTCGTTCTTCCAATGTCCACTAAAACGTGATCAATCGTCTGTCCTTGTGCTTTAAAGTCGGTAAATGCGTAAGCTGGTGTTACAGGGAGTTGACGCCGCGTGATTCTTGTAGAAGGACCTGTGCCCATGGAAAATTTAATTTCGCAAGGTAACACTGGTATGTGCTGAGGCAGAAGTCCGTGCAATGGCGGTAAATCGCAGAAGTCGAGGTGAATGATAACAAATGCAGGGGGATAACGCAAGAATGCTCTCTTTGCTTCCACAGCGTTGCTCCCAATCTTTGGCTCTCTGGGATCCAGAACGATATCAGTAATTCTCAGTCTATACTCACTGAAAATGAAAGCACATTGATTGTCTGAGGTACTTAGCAGTTCAAATACGCTAGGTTGCATGGTGTTTCGATAGATAGATAGTAAATACGATGTTTAGGGGCGCGGCGTAAAATTATAGGATTAATTTTTATTTATTCATCACATTATTACCAACATATTAACAAAAAAGGGAGTTGTCCGAAAACGACGAATATTGGAAGGGAAGCGCGCTAGCTTCGCCCTGTGGGCGGAGCTCTGGGCGCGAGGGAGTTGCACGGTCTAAGTTATTACTTTGTTATTCAGAAAACGACAAGTATTGGAAGGGAAATCGGAGGTAGGTGATAAGTTCGCATCATCGTATCATGTTGTATGGCGTCACTGTATTTACTATTATTTGGAAATCACATAAAATGATCCATGTGAACCTGACCTTGCTTCGCAAGGTAATGTTGTAGCTCAGGAGAGCCGTAAATATAGGTGTAGCTATTTTCTGTTCGTATGTTAGTGCTTACATAATTTATTCTTATTACTACTGCCGGCACCCGAACTTTTCTAACAGTTCTCCCTATCACTATGCGACGATCGTTCACTCCGTCATGATTCGAAGAACGCCAAATACTCATACGACATTTGAGTCGCCATCAGGAGCAAGTCTTACAACTTCAAACTGCACTCCAACTCAGATATAACGGAGCATCATCCGACATTGCACTATCCGCTCGCTGATATGTAACTTGAACTTGAACCAATTAAGCCATCACTGATAATATCTGAGGTAGCTTAGTTTATCATGAAAGGTTCTGCTCACATAAATTTGTGCCATGACCATTCTTCCAGACCAATCAGAACTCCTGAGTTTTCCAATGCTAGTATAAAAGCAAGCAGTCCTCCCACTGTGTCCCTCCATCCTCAGAGTTAGCATTCGAGATAATCCTAGCAGATTCTTCACCCTCACAACAATGCATTTCCCCTTCCTTGCCGTTATCGTTGCTCTAACAGCGGCATGTACGGCTGTCAGTGCACAGTGCGACCAATCGAACCAACCTTGCCAAGTTGACGGGGACTGTTGTACTCCCATGAAATGTTTGCCGCCGCCTGTACATGTGAGTATGATCAGTTTTGTTGTGTATCCAGGATTCAACAACATGACTGGCCCTCACGCTATGTAATTTAGAATGGCAGGTCTTTATGCGGGCTTCCTATAATGAAGTAGCGGCCAGAGTAACACGTCCCGACAGTGAGTCATGTTTCTGCTTTAGCTTTGGTGCTGTGGTTCAACGTTGAACGCTGATGTGTAGCACATAGCTCGAGGTCAGTCACTTCTGCACCACTTTCAATGCTGTTTGCACAATGTATTTTGTAGGGGACCTTTGAGCTTATACGGGATGGGCAGTGTTTATAGCATGTAGCTCGGATGTAATGACATAGTTCCTTATGTCCTTCCTTCGCCGTCTATCGACGGTTTGCCTGGATGGTCACCAGGCTAGGAGAAGATACCATTCGATTTACAGTTGCAACAAATATCGACGGACAGTAGGTTTCTGGGTTGAGTTTTGTGAATTCCAAACAGACGTGTATGGACTCTTAATTATAAACATCACCCGAAACTTCCAGCATAATTGCATACGAACTGCTCGAGGGTATCCTGTTAAATGTGGCTGGTGCAGAGATAGTTAGAGCGTCTGCGAAGATGTGCCGCAATAGCCATGGGGTGAACCACCCTTTTGACGAAAAGACCATAAATATTCGCAAATCAGAAAAAGTATCATGACGATCTTCCAGTCATCTTTCACTTCTGGTTGGCCGACTCTGAAAGCGTTGTATTTTCTTTGAAACGGTCAACAATAATGATTCATATGAAAATTTATATCTTTCACCACTCCGACAGAGCCAACCCCCCCTTTCACGGTAGGAAAAAGGATTCGCATCTGGTAAAGATTGAGCATGGGGCAAGCAGAGATAAGCACGACGCTATTGGCATCTGTGACTTGCCTGAAGATTCTGATACTCCTCGTTATGTGATGGAGCGATAAAACCTGTGCAATCCCGAAGGACAAACTCAGTGACGTCTAAGTGATCGAACGGCACCTCTTCAGTAGAGCTACCACCAGTCGATGTCCTCTGATATTGCGAAGCGTACGACACCATCCTTCGAGTAAGGTCGAACATAGACAGGCTCTCAGAATAGTACTTGGAGAAAGCGGAAATGGATCGGACCATTTGAAAGGCCAAATAAAGATACGGAGATGCACGTGGCGCTTGGTGTGCACAGCACTGTGAAGCTGTGGAGAGAACACGCGGATAACGAATACATGCCTTGGCAGGCAACATATACCAACACTTGCGCAGCCCTCTCGACCCCAAAAGCAAACATCCACCATCTCAGCTACCAGCCCGCCCCTCTCGTTCTTGCGCGGAGTGAATCTGTCCCAAGTGGGATTTTGCCGTGAGTGATACTGTGGTTGGGAGTAGGAAAAGCTGAAGTGAGGAAAAGATACGACCACTCACCGGCCAGTATCGAGGGGTATCTCCTGGATACGTCGTCCCGAAGCTGTCTGTGAGCCAGGACAGAACTCGCCTGGGTAGAACCTCTCGTGAGCAATCCCTCTGGACATTTCTATTGACATGCCAAAGTCAGGCGAAAGCACATAGGGCAGTGAAACCACCCACTATTTATACACCCACAGGACAACTCATTCTGAGGCAACGATCTGCTCTCACGCATATAGTCCACGATTCCCTTGATCGAGATCCCCGAGCGTCCATCATGTCTTCTACTGCCGCTAAAATGAAAAAGGCGTCAGCAGTAACCCCCTGCAAGACGATCCGAGGCCATACTAAGCCAGTTACAGGCGTTGCACACCTTCCCGGTGGACAGCGCATCATCACATGTTCCCACGACAGGTCACTTCGACTATGGGACCTAAAGAGCGGTGTACAAATAGGGGGCGAATGGCGAGATCAAGGGGATGAGGCAGGAATAAGGACCATGGTATTGTCCCCGAATGGCAAGACTATTGCCAGCGGAAGCCAGGACGGGACAGTAAGGTTGTGGGATATCGAGACGAGGAAGGTCGTCGTCAAATGGAAAGGACACACTGCTTTTGTGCAGTCAGTGTGTTGGAGTCCAAATGGTGGGCGAGTTGTGAGCGGATCAAACGACGGGACGGCAAGAGTGTGGGATGTGGAGAGCAGCAAACCTGTCGAGGGTCTGAATCCAATCAAGACAGGACACAGGTCGGTGTGCGCGGTGATATACTCACCCGAGGCATCAATGATTGCCACAGGAGGATACGATGCAGGAATGAAAATCTGGGACGCGAAGACGGGCGAGCTGCTGTCCACGATCAAACTCGATCAAACAGTTTGGAGCTTGACCTGGACATCGGATGAAAAGAAGCTTATCGCCGGGTTTGGGTTTGGGTTTGACGACTTGATTAGAATATTCGACACTGCCACATGGCAGGAGATCGCTGTTCTGAAGGGTCACACATCTGTGGTCTACTCCCTCACTTTATTTCCCAACAACCGCCTCCTTGCGAGTACATCTTGGGATAATACAGCACGTCTCTGGAACCTTGACACAAACCTCCAAATCGGGCCACCTCTTCAACACAAAAATTACGTCACTTGTGCGGCCTTCTCCACTGACAGAAAGCTGCTATCCACTGCAGGTTGGAATGATGAAGATGTGTATGTATGGGACATTCAAGCCATCCTCAGAACAGCTGGCCTAGAAGATCTCCTGTCCATACCTGATGTGAGTGCCAACTTGACTCCCACTCGCTATCTCATTCCCGATGGCTATCAGGCACAAAAATCAGAACTCAAAAACAATGTATGTATCATCTTGTGACTTTTCAAGAATGAAACACGCTAATATCCCACACGCACAAGCTATCAGATGTACGCTGTGTCTTTTCCTGACCTTGATATCGATCCTGATGTCAACATTCCAGGCCAATGCTACGCGACGTCCGCCTATCCGTCCAGCCCCACGTCGAGTGCCACAAGGCTTTTTTGATGATGTACAATACAGCGGTCCCGTGAGTTACCACCATTTACCTGCACACGTTATTCTGATTTTCATATTTTCAGTCCTCCACTACACACCCTGATCCACCTCTGCATCGCCTCCGTAATGCTTTTGCACTATCCTGGGGATCACATCCACGTGCGCTTCTCGCTGGCATTCCCTCACTCTTCCACCGTTCCCCACCCAACACCGATGAACCAAACGAACCTCAGCAACGTCCACGGGGACCTGGTACCTCCTCTCGTCGCAGTCCTCCTGTTGTCGACGTCCCTGCACTAGATGACAAGAAGGTATGTCGTTTAGGGGATGTGTTATCAATAGCTGGCGTCTCAAGTTTTATATGCAGGCATTGTATGTTTCTCGACGGCCGGAACGAGCTGGCGACAAAGCAAAACGCGTCGACACCTCCAAATGGTGGGCTCGTGTTGTGTTGTTCCTTTGCTGTGCGTCTCCGTCCAACGACGCCGGTCACTGATTGTGTTACAACATGCACGATCACATTCATATTGATATCCTCCTTTTGTTGTATTTCAGCGTTTTTCTGTTCTCATTAAAGACAATCATCGATGCCTCGCACTCTAATTTCTGTGTATAGTGACAGGTCGATTTGCACGCCAGTTGGCGAGGACTGTCTCGCTTGGAGGAGCTCAGTATGACTTTATCCCACAAATTTATCCAGTACATTTCATACACGTGCTTAATGTTATACGGACATGCTTCTCTGAAGAATGTGAGACGCTCTACTCGCCCATTCACTAGTCCAATGTCCAAAGGGGTCAATCGTCCTGCAGATTTGGTTCCTTTTCAACATGAGGAGTTCGCTCGTTTTCGGCCGAGTCAGAATTAGGTCTAAGGTCAAGTTGAAGTTCGGAATCGCTGTATAAATATATGTTGTATCATGCTGATCCGAAGCGAACGCCTATCTTCTATGTTGTAGCTCAGGAGAAAAGCGAGGCGTCGTAATATAGATGTAGCTGTTTTCTGTCCTTACGTGAGTGCTTTTATGCTTATTACTGCCAGCAGCCCTCGTCGACAAAACCAACCCGATCAGAGACCCATGGGAAGGTAACTCGTGCTTTTTTTCGAACATTGCGGGGATCTAAGGTTATAACACTTACCGTTAGAGGATGTCCACAAGATGCTTGACAGATTATTTGCGGCCATGAAGAAAGCCCTGACCATCGCGGTGCCTTGGAGAATATGGCAACTAGGACGAGCGTATGTAAGAAATATGCAGAGGTGAGCAAAAGGCAAATTCCGGATATAGAAAGCTTGTCAACCTTACAATTTCAAACTGCACCACATGACGCATGAGAGCGGCATGACGGAGCATCGGCGGACACGCACTATCTGCTCGTTGATATGTAACTTGAACTTTCGCCATCCATTCCAGCCAAACCATCACCGACCATGGGGTAATTTGTAGCCCATAGGTTTTGCCTAAATTTGTACCATTCAATGGCGATAACCATTCTTCCAAGCCGATCGGAACTCCTGAGTCTTCCATTACTAGTACACTCAGGATATAAAAGCAAGCAGTCTTTCTACTGTGTACCCCAATCCTCAGAGTTATTAGTCGAGATAACCCTAGCAGACTCGTCATCTCGCACAATAATGCATTTCTCCTTCCTCGCCATCATCGTTGCTTTGCCAGCATCTACGGTCGCCAGTGCATGCTTCGAGCAACATACATCTTGCATCCATGACGATCAATGTTGCTTTGGTATGAAATGTGTATCGTTTGTGAGTAGGAGTAGGATTTTTGCATCCAGGATTCGGCAACGTGACTGACCCTCGCGCTGTATCATTTAGGATGGCATTAAAACATGCGATTTTACTGACAAGTGAGGTACTAACAGCCAGAGCAGCATGTCGCTATAGTGAGTTACGCTTCAGCTTGAATGTTGGTGCTGTGGTTGAACGTTGATGATGCAGTAGTACTAGTTCAGAGTCAATGCGGTTGCTTCAAGTTCTGCGCCTACAATTTCAATGCTGTCTACCCAGTGAATCTTGCAGAGTGACCCTTGAACGTATGGAGATGCTTCATTCACTTGAAAGCATGACACATGAGTGACTATGCGAATCCTACAATATCTTGATCTCGGTACCACTGACAACGATAAAGTCCGCATCCGATATGTCAACGTCATCTTCAGGCCAAGGTTTATCCGCTTGCTGTATCATCTCTGACGGCCGCCTCGCATAATCATTTTTGGTGATAGAAGCTCAGTGCGCTGATCTATCTGTATTACAGGCTCAGGCTCAGGCTTTAACTTTTCTGCCGGATGGTATTGAAATCGACCCCACTCGAAAAAAACATCTTCATCCCAGTACACACACTTTGCGATGCGGTCTTGAACTTAGCTCTAGTAGAACTGAGCTCACCATGGGACGAGTGAACCTCGTCGTTTACCCCAATCGAGTCGTCCTAGTGCTACTTGTGAATTTCAAACAGACGTGTACGTATAGATTATGGGCTCATAAACATCACCCGAAACTTTCAGCATATTTATATACGCACTGCTCGAGCATCATGCTTTTGAATGATCGTCAGAAATAAAAACAAGTTTTAGACGAGAAGACAAAACAGGAGTTCTCCTACAATCGGTGCACTTGCTATGGACGTTGACTTCGAATAAAGTGATCTAGTGCATGAATGAAGATCTGCGATTACTAGCTAGCAATCGACAGCATTTTGCCACACCATCTTCCGAACCGAGTCCAAACTGCATAGGGTGCAGGACATGCATACAAGAGGATGTCAAATATGTCTGGTGCAGAAATAGTTAGAGCGTCTGCGAAGATGTGCAATATACATGGGGCGGACCATGTGGTTACATACTGGTTCGTGTACCTTCCTTGAGACGCAGGGAGCAAAGATATTCGCGGATCCAAGAAGGTATCATGCCGATCTTTTCATATTTCACTTCCAATTAGCCGGATGCGTTGTATTTTCTTAGAAACGGTCAAAAATGATGATTCCTATGAAAATTTGCATATCATTTCACCACTGCGGCAGAGCTAACCACTCCTTTTCGGGGTAGCAAAGGGAAAGAGCCTCATCTGGTATGGGTTGAGTATTGGGCAAACAGAGATAAGACACGCTATCGGCATCTGTGACTTGCCTGAAGATTCTGATACTCCTCGTTACGTGATAGAGCGATAAAACCTGTGCAATCCTGAAAGACAAAGTTAACTGAGTGATCCAACGGCACTTCTTCAGTAGAGCTACCACCAATCGGTGTCTTCTGTGTGATATTGTGAAGCGCACGACACCATCCTCCGAGTAAGGTACAACATAGACAGGCTGGCAGAATAGTACTTGGAGAAAGCGGAGATGCATCGGACCATTGGAAGGGCCGAATAACGATACGGTGAAGAACACGAGGATAATGAATACGTGACTCCTTGGCAGGTGACCTATACCAACACTTGCGCAGCCCTCTCGACCCCAAAAGCAAACATCCACCATCTCAGCTACCAGCCCGCCCCTTTCGTTATTGCACGGAGTGAATCTGTCCCAAGTAGGACTTTGCCGTGAGTGATACTGTGGTTGGAAGTAGAAAAAGCAGAAGTGAGGAAAAGATACGACCACTCACCGGCCAGTATTGAGGGATATCTCCTGGATATGTTGTCCCAAAGCTGTTCTTTGAGCCAGGATAGAATTCGCCTGGGTAGAACCTCTCGTAAGCAATCCCTCCAGGAATTTCTATTGACATGCTAAAGTCAGGTGAAACCAGATAAGCCAGTGAGACTACCCCCTCTTTTTACCCCCACAGGACAACTTATAGTCCACGATTCCCTTGATCGAGATCCCCGAACACCCACCATGTCTTCTACTGCCGCTAATGTGAAAAAGAAGTCAGCAGTAGCCCCCTGCAAGACGATACGAGTCCATACTAGGAAAGTTACAGGCGTTGCATACCTGCCAGGTGGGCAGCGCCTCATTACATGTTCGGAGAACAGCTCACTTCGACTATGGGACCTAAAGAGCGGTGCACAGATAGGTGACAAGTGGCAAGATGAATGGCATGAGGCAACAATATGGGCCATGGCATTGTCTCCGAATGGCAAGACTCTTGCCAGCGGAAGCGAGGACGGGACAGTGAGGCTGTGGGATGTCAAGATGGGAAAGGTTGTTGTCAAATGGAAAGGACACACTTCTTCTGTGGATTTAGTGTGCTGGAGTCCAAATGGTGGGCGAGTTGTGAGCGGATCATACGATGGGATGGTCAGAGTGTGAGATGTGGAGAGCGGCGAACCAGTCGAAGGTCTGAATCTAATCAAGAAAGGACACGGGTCGGTATACGTGGTAAGATACTCACCCGAGGCATCAATGATTGCAATAGGAGGATATAACGGAAGTGGAATACCAATCTGGGACGCGAAGACAGGCGAGCTGCTGTCCACGATCAAATTCGATCAATCAGTTTGGTCCTTGACCTGGACATCGGATGAAAAGAAGCTTATTGCCGGGTGGGGGAAGGGGCAGATTACGATATTCGACACTGCCACATGGCAGCAGATCGTTGTTCTGGAGGGTCACACAAAGATTGTCTTCTCCCTCACTTTATTTCCCAACGACCGCGTCCTTGCGAGTGCATCAGATGACGGAACAGCGCGTCTCTGGAATCTTGATACAGACCTCCAAATCGGGCCACCTCTTCAACACAAACATCAAGTCATTTGTGCGGCCTTCTCCGCTGATGGAAAGCTGCTATCTACTGCAGGTCGGGATGATGAATATGTTTATGTATGGGACATTCAAGCCATCCTCAAAACAGCTGGCCTAGAAAATCTCCTGTCCATACCTGATGTGAGTCCCAACTTGATTCCCACTCGCTATCTCATTCCCAATGGCTATCAGGCACAAAAATCTGAACTCAAAAACAATGTATGTATCATCTTGTGACTTTTCAAGAATGAAACACGCTAATGTCCCACACGCACAAGCTATCAGATGTACGCTGTGTCTTTTCCTGACTTTGATATCGATCCTGATATCAGCATTCCAGGCTAATGCTACGCGACGTCCGCCTATCCGTCCAGCCCCACGTCGAGTGCCACAAGGCTTTTTCGATAATGTGCAAGACAGCGGTCCTGTGAGTTACCACCATTTACCTGCATAAGTTATTCTAATTTTCATATTTTCAGTCCTCCACTACCCATGCTGATCCATCTCCGCATCGCCTCCGCAGTGCTTTTGCACTATCCTGGAGACCACGTCCACGTGCGCTCCTCGTTCGCCTTACCCAACGCTTCCATCGTTCTCAATCAAACGCCGATGAACATGTCGAACTCCAGCAACGCACAGGACCTAGTACTTCCTCTCGCTCCAGTCCTCCTGTTGTCGAAGTTCCTGCACTAGATGACAAAAAGGTATGTCGTTTGGGGGATGTGTCATCAATAGCTGGCGTCTCAAGTTTCATCTGCAGGCACTCTATGTCGCTCGGCCGCCGGAACGAGCTAGCGACAAAGCAAAACGCGTCGACACCTCCAAATGGTGGGCTCGTGTTGTGTTGTTCCTCTGCTGTGTGTCTCCGTCCAACGACGGCAGTCACTGATGGTTTTAGAACATGGTCGATCACATTCAAATTGATATCATCCTTCTGTTGTATTTCAGCGCTTTTTTGTTATCATTAATGACAATCATCGACGCCTCATATTTTAATTTCTCTGTAAAGTGACAAGTCGATTTGTACGCCGGTTGGCGAGGACTGTCTCGCTTGGAGGAACTCAGTATGACTTAATGAACCAGTAAATTTGTAGCGGATCACAGTATATATAGCTAATTCACTGTCTCTGATGGACAGGAAGGCTCATCGACTTTGAAATGAAAAGGTGACTCGAGAAATAAAGTAAGGCACTCTGTCAAATGTTGGTGAAAGATGCACATTAATGCGCCAGTGTCGTGCCCGAGGCTTGAGCACTTGAGTGTGGCACTTCGTCTGCACAGCACCGTGAAGCTAAGATAACAGGATAACACAAGGAAGACACTGTTGAGAGCCGATGTGTCCGAGGGAAGTAAGGCCGAGAGAGAGAGAGCCGAGAAAGAAAAGGACGATACGGCCGAAGAATAGAGCACATCGAGTGCGAGCGTCTCCAAACGGAGAACGTCGACGACGTGTCAACGTCGGCAATCTTTTCGTTCTTTAAGTATATATTTTTCATCAAAGCTATTGCTGGCAGACTCACCGTATAAGAGGACGCTGTTTTTCGTCGAAACGTCTCAGATTCGAAACGAATACTGAGACGTAAGTACAAGTCCCACTGTAACGTTCGAGCGCAAGCGCTGACGTACATCTAGTCGTACCTTTGTTCTAGGTACAAACAATTGTTAATAGAGATTCGAAACGAATACTGAGACTCGTACCTTTGTTCTAGCGTGTCGTAAAACCTCCCGCGTGTATCGTTCCTCCACAGACACCTTACAAACAAACACGAAGAAACGCTCGCACAACTTCCTGGACTCCAAACCAAGTGTCAGCTGTCTCAGTTGACAGTGTTTTCTTCCTCTCATAGGTTGGCGGAGCATATCTGTGTATGAACGGGACTTGCTGCAAGTGAGACTCATGGCAGTCATTGTAAGAGGACCGCTGTCTGATAGGTATCTCAAGGATCCTCGTCGAGATCTGCTTCAAACATTCAAGGGCAAGTAGCGAGCAACTGCTCTATATATCACTGAAATTGTATTGTGCGTCGGAATCCGTTACACGCTTCTACTGACCTGAGCTCGGATGGAATACGATTGTTGACTTACCAACGATCTTGGCGCCTGCAAGTCAACGACAACCCGCTCTAAGTCAAGCAAGAGCTCAATGCGCTGCTCCGCATCAGAGAACCTGTGAGAAGAAGATATCGTCATATATCGTTATATATCGTAATATATAGGAAAGGTTTTCGTCACATTGTAATATAAAGTGATATAAAGCAATATATGACCATGTAAAAGCACCATAATCAGCATAATCCCCAGCAAGAACTCACCGGTTTACTGATGGCCCCCCCGCGCATATTACCCACGAATCGTTTTGTTGAGACGCCCGAGCACAGACCATATCTTCCGCCACTGCTGAGACGAAAAAAAAGTCAGTAGTGAAGCCCCATAAGACAACACGAGGCCATACCAAGCGTGTACGAGGCATTGCGGACTTGCCTAGCGGACAGCGCATTATCGCGTGTTCATTTGATGCAGGAGTAAGGACTTGTCTCCAAAAGGTAAGACTATTGCCAGTCAAAGCGATGATGGAACTGTGAAATTGTGTGACATCAAGACCGGTCCGGGAAGGTTTTCGCCAAATGATGAGGGCACGCGAAATTGGTGGACTCAATGTGCTGGAGTCCAGATTGTGAGCAAGCGGTGAGTCGAGGCTTAGACGGTACAGTAAGAGTGTGGGATGTGAAGAGTGGCGAACTAGTCGAAAGTCTGAATCCATGATAGAGACGCAGCACCAGCACGTGACGCGTGAACAGTGAGCTACTCACCCAACGCAACAATGATTGCCATAGAAGGATTCAACGAAGATGTCATTAAATTTGGGACTCTGGAGACAGGCGAACTCTCGACATTCAAACAAAACGAGTGAAGCCCCATAAGACAACACGAGGCCTGCCAACTGGTTGTGCCCGGTCATCGGCAAAACTCATGCAAAGGGAGTCCGAGGGTGGCACATCATGCATGATGGGCATGGCTCGGCGGAACTCCACACTCGTAGAGAGATTTGATAATATATAGTTTGAATTAAATAGGGCAACCGGCAAAAAGGGTTTAAAGGGGGTGTGCCTACTAAACAGTGAAATCAAACGTCGTGGGAAAGCGTGAAGCGGGGAAGGGCGTACCAAAAAGTGTTAAACCAAGTGTCGTGGGAAAACGTGAAACTTCAGTACTACTCAGTGATGCATTAAATGCTTCATGCACATGCCAGTGAAGCTACTGACGAGTCAAGAAACTATGTAGAGACATTGTGGATCAAGGTGTGTCTTATCACATACTAATATGACAGTATAGCCCGGCAATTTCGTATCGTAAGTCAGGATAAATTTCAATTCCGATAGCAGAGAGGCTCCAGACTTCCATATAACCATGTGTATGGATCAAACCATCTCAGCCGTCACGGTCACCTAATGAATGTGGATACTGAAGGTGATTTGTTAATTCCCGGTTAATTGATTTATTTCTCTTAATACTGTGTGACCAGTGCTTCACGTTCATTCCAAGCCGCCCACTTGCAACGACACAGTATGGTGGCTCCGAGAGCTCCAGAAATTTCCAAGTCGCACCCACAACCAAGTGCAGATGAGACGGCTCTCGCTGAGCTAGGATACAAACAGGAGTTTCACAGGGAATTCACTCCGCTAGAGGTAAGCTTGATTCAGGCTCTTCTATGTATGCGACACAAGCTAACAACTGCAGGTGTCTGGACTTGCATTCAGCTATGCTGGAGTGGTTCCTTCTATAGTGTAAGCCCCACTATGACACAAGACAATTGAAATAGCACCCTTGATGATAAGAATTCATTCAGCTCCGTGCTTTTCTATGCCATACCAAATGGTGGGCCTTTTGCGATGGTTTGGGGTGTAAGCTTTTATCACACGTGAGGGTTGAAACATCTCATCTTTCCTCTGTGCAGTGGGCAGTTGCTTGCCCCTTTATCATGTGCATCGGATTGACGATGGCAGAGCTCGCATCAGCGGCACCTACTTCTGGTGGTGTATGTCATTGGCATTGCCGCTATTCCACACCTGATTCAAGACAATCTAGCTATACTATTGGACTTACTCGCTTGCCTCTCCACGATGCCGCAATTTTCTGTCCTGGATAGTTGGCTGTAAGTCCTGCATTTTTATGCGACATGCAGCCAGTCCTGACATCTGCAGATGCGAATACCATAGAGATGATCGCGGGAGTCGGTAAGACGAGTCTCATTTTTCAATAGTCTCCCCCTGATTATGTGGGGATAGCTTCCGTAAACTGGGCTTGTGCAATTCAAATCACTGCAGCAATCACTGTTACCTCCTCTGACCAGGCATATGCAGCTACCAATCAGCAACTCTAGTAAGCTCGTCCTCATGCAGACACGATAGTCTTCATATGGGTTGTTATAGTGGCATATACGCAGCTGTGCTTTTGTCACAAGCTGTCCTCGTGAGCTTTGGTACCAAAGTTCTGGCAAGGTTACAGAGACTATTCACGTTGGTGAATGTGCTGTAAGTGTTGTAGAGTTCGTGTATGATCATTGTTTTAAATCTTCCGATAGCCTTTGCTTCATAATCATCATCGCGCTTCCGATCGCAACGCCATCAGATTATCGAAACACTGCAAAATTTGCGCTGGGGGATTTCACCAATTGTATGTACTATCGTTCAACTAGTCTCGCAGCTCATGATCAGTTGCAGTAATCGGCTGGCCATCTGGATTCGCATTTATTTTGAGCTTGATGGCTCCTCTTTCTGCAATAGGTTGGACCATATTCTCTCGAATTATCACGCCATGAACTATCTTTAACGCACCAGGTGGTTATGATGCTGCCGTTCATATGAGCGAGGAGGCCTCGAATGCCGCTACTGCGATACCATGGGCAATAGTAAGTGATACTAGAAATGACCAATTGTTGTATTTATCCCAGTCAGATTAGTTCCATTGCTTTATCGGCCGTCCTTGGTTGGGGTATGTTGAATAACATCTCAATCTGATCTTGATGACATATTCTAATCCAGGGATCAACATTTCCCTTGCCTTTTGCATGGGCACTGATATCATCAGCGTCTTAAACAGCCCTTTAGGCCAGCCTATGGCACAGATCTTATTCAATTCGCTCGGGCAGAAAAAGGCCCTGGCTCTGTGGTGGCTCATTATTGTAGCAGAGTACGTCTTAGCACCGTAAGATGCATTCACAGCCTAATATTAGAGCAGGTACACGATGGGATCGACGTACCTCCTGGTTGGCTCTCGTCAAACGTTTGCATTTGCTCGTGATGGAGCCCTCCCTTTTTCACGGTACTTGTACCGGATCAATCGCTACACAGAAACACCCGTCAATACAGTTTGGTTTGACACCATCTGCGCTCTGGCCATTGGACTTTTGGCGTTCGTAAGTACCGAAGCCATCAATGCGGCATTCACGATTAATGTCACCTCATCGTATGTCGCTTACATACTGCCGATCACGACCCGCTTTGCGCTCAAGAATGATTTCAAACCCGGCCCATTTTATCTGGGGAAACTGGTGGGTTCATCAGCAGCGATGTATTATTGAACTCATACGTCTGCGCAGAGCTTTCCGGTCGCTGCGATCGCTGTGGTGTGGATGGTCTTCGTGATCCTTGTTTTCTTCTTTCCCGCGACCCCGCAAACGACGATACAAGAGATGAACTATACGGTTGTGGTACTTGGAGCGTCCATGTTTCTCGCAATTTTCTGGTATTATTGTCCGGTGTACGGAGGCGTGCATTGGTACACTGGACCCATATACAACTTTACACCGGCTATCGGAGGTGAAGACGGACACCGTGACGAGGATTTGATGTCGGAGAAGGAACGAAGTGATGCAGATGTCTCTGTTCGAGCGGTGGATTCAAAATCATAAGTAGTATTCATTCTTTTCCCAGTCCAAATTCAGTATTTTGATATAGGGTGTAGAATCAACGGATCTCATCTACATCGTAATTATACACGCGAGGGATCTACTCAAAATCTTCATAGGATGAATAAATTCCCACTCAATCCTAGCAGTTTACCACACCATCTTCCGAACCGAGTCCAAACTGCATAGGGTGCAGAAATAGTTGAAGCGTCTGCGAAGATGTACAATAGACATGGGGAGTGTAGTGACCAGTTCGTGCACCTCCTTTTTGACGCAGAGACCAAAGATATTCGTGGATCTGAGAAAGTATCATGGCGATCTTGTCATCTTTCACTTCCAGTTGGTCAGAAGCGTCATATTTTCTTAAAAACGGTCAACAATGATGCACTTACATCACTCCGGCAGAGCCAACCCCTACTTTCGGGGTAGGAAAAGAAAGAATCGAATTTGGTATGGGTCGAGCACGGGGCAAGCAGAGATAAGACACGCTATCGGCATCTGTGACTTGCCCGAATGATACTCCTCGTTACGTGATAGAGCGATAAAACTTGTCCAATCCTGAAACACAAACCGAACTACGTCTGAGTGATCCAATGGCACCTCCTCAGTAGAGCTGCCACCAATGTCTTATGTGTGATATGAAGAAGCGTACGACACCGTCCTCCGAGTAGGTCCAACACAGACAGGCTAGTAGAATAGTACTTGGGGAAAGCGGAGATGCATTGGACCATTTGAAAGACCGAATAACGATACGGAGATGAACGTGGCGCTTTGTGTGCACAGCACTGTGAAGCTGTGGAGATAACGAATACGTGCCCTGGAAGGCAACTTATACCAACACTCGCGCGGCCTTCTCGACCCCAAAAGCAAACATCCGCTATCTTAGCTAGCTACCAGCCTGCCCCTCTCGTTATTGCGCGGAGTGAATCTGTCCCAAGTGGGACTTTAACGTGAGTGATACTGTGGTTGGGAGTAGGAAAAGCTGAAGTGAGGAAAAGACACGACCACTCCCCGGCCGGTATCTAGGGATACCTCCTGTATACGTCGTCCCGAAGCTGTCCTGTGAGCCAGATAGAATTCGCCTGGGTGGAACCTCTCGTGAGTAATCCCTCCAGGAATTTCTATTGACATGCCAAAGTCAGGTGAAAGCAGATAGGCCAGTGAAACCACCCACCATTTATACCCCCACAGGACAACTCATTCTGAAACAAGGATCTGCTCTCGCGCATATAATCCACGATTCCCTTGATCAAGATCCCTGAGCGCCCATCATGACTTCTACTGCCGCTAATGTGAAAAAGACGTCAGCAGTAACCCCCTGCAAGACGATGCGAGGCCATACCTTGGGAGTTAGTAAAGGCGTTGCACACCTGCCCGGTGGGCATCGCATCATCACACGTTCCCACGACAGCTCACTTCGACTATGGGACCTAAAGAGCAGTGCACAGATAGGTAGCGAGTGGCGAGATGAAGGGGATGAGGCAGTAATACTTGCCATGTCGTTGTCTCCAAATGGCAAGACTATTGCCAGCGGAAGCAATGACGGGACAATGAGATTGTGGGATGTTGAGACGGGGAAGGTTGTCGTCAAGTGGAAAGAAGACAGTTCTTTTGTGCAGTCAGTGTGCTGGAGTCCAAATAGTGGGCAAGTTTTGAGCGGATCAAACGACGGGACGGCAAGAGTGTGGGATGTGAAGAGCAGCAAACCAGTCGAAGGTCTGAATCCAATCAAGACAGGACACGAGTCGGTGCAAGCGGTGAGCTACTCACCCGACGCGTCAATGATTGCCACAGGAGGATTTACTTATAACGAAAATGGAATCAAAATCTGGGACGCGAAGACGGGCGAGCTGCTGTCCATGATCAAACTCGATCGATCAGTTTGGAGCTTAACCTGGACATCGGATGAAAAGAAGCTTATCGCCGGGTGCAAGTATGGCCCGATTACCATATTCGACACTGCCACATGGCGGCTGATCGCTGTTCTGAAGGGTCACACATATACTGTCGAGTCCCTCACTTTATTTCCCAACGACCGCCTCCTTGCGAGTACATCTTGGGACGGAACAGCGCGTCTCTGGAATCTTGACACAAACCTCCAAATCGGGCCACCTTTTCGACACAACCATACTTGTGCGTCCTTCTCCACTGATGGAAAGCTGCTCTTCACTGCAGGTTGGGAGGATAAAAACGTGTACATATGGGACATCCAAGATATCTTCAAAACAGCTGGCCTAGAAGATCTCTTGTCCATACCTGATGTGAGTGCCAACTTGACTCCAACTCGCTATCTCATTCCCAATGGCTATCAGGCACAAAAATCTGAACTCAAAAACAATGTATGTATCATTTTGTGACTTTTCGAGAATGAAACACGCTAATGTCCCACACGCAAAAGTTATCAGATGTACGCTGTGTCTTTTCCTGACCTTGATACCGATCCTGATATCAACATTCCAGGCTAATGCTACGCGACGTCCGCCCATCCGTCCAGCCCCACGCCAAGTGCCACAAGGTTTTTTCGATAACGTGCAAGGCGGCAGTCCTGTGAGTCACCACCATTTACCTGCACAAGTTATTCTGATTTTCATATTTTCAGTCATCCACTACACACCCTGATCCACCTCTGCATCGCCTCCGCAATGCTTTTGCACTATCCTGGGGATCACGTCCACGTGCGCTGCTCGCTGGCCTTCCCTCGCTCTTCCACCGTTCCCCACCCAACACCGATGAACTAAACGAACTTCAGCAACGTCCACTGGGACCTGGTACCTCCTCTCGTCGCAGTCCTCCTGTTGTCGATGTTCCTGCACTAGATGACAAGAAGGTATGTCGTTTGAGGGATGTGTTATCAATAGCTAGCATCTCAAGTTTTATATGCAGGCACTGTATGTTGCTCGGCGGCCGGAACGAGCTCGCGACAAAGCAAAATGCGTCGACAACTCCAAATGGTGGGCTCGTGCTGTGCTGTTCCTCTGCTGTGCGTCTTCGTCCAACGACGACGGTCACTGATGGTTTTAGAACATGAACGATCATATTCACATTAATATCCTCCTTCTATTGTATTTCAGCGCTTTTCTGTTATAATTAATGACAATCATTGACGCCACATTCTAATTTGTCTGTAAAGTGACAGCTCCATTTGCACGCCGGTTGGCGAGGACTGTCTCGCTTGGAGGAGCTCAGTTTGACTTGCTCTATAAATCTATCAAGTACATTCTATGTGAAGTTGACGATTCACTATCGCAGTGGCCGGCCCGGGTCGAGCAACTTTGAAACTGTAAGACCAAGACTCTCCGCGAGCAGGTTTGCGCCAAGGCCTTCCTTACTTGCACAAAATTCATAAAGGATTTCAATGCCAACCCAAAGAGTGCTGCTATCACCAATGCGCTATGTGAACCCTTCCTCGGGAAGTAGCTACAAACGAGTATGTGATTGTTCGTCCCCCTTCGAAAACGCACTTCATACCACGTCATTAGGTTTTAAAGCTTGTGGAGCGCAGTATTCAGTTCGCTGATACTCTTACGTTGCTCAGACGAGCTGATCGCGAGACAACGCCGGCTTCAATCAGACCCAATGCTCTACATGTCCTTCGTCTTTTCATGTAACCGGCGACATGACCGTCGTGCGTGAGTTCTGCTTAACACCACCTAAATTTCTGCTACACCCAAAGTTCTTATTCAAGATCTCCTTTAGTAGGTTCCATATCACCTCACGAATGATTTGTTTTTGCTTCACCTGATGAGTGAGACGATTTCCTTCACTCGTTAGATATTGCGCTTACCGTACGCAGACTAAAAGCATCTTATAGTTCTCATCTTCGCAGGATGCCGGGTCTAACATGGCCATCAGGGACGGCAGACTGGTGGGGATATGCCTCGCATCGAGACCTTCGCACTGGGGACACCGGGGGTCCCCTACACTAGTATAGGTTGTCCTCCATATAGAGATCTCAAAAAGACACGAACTTGTATTTTTTTTGGAGGAAAAATATTCGACATGCTAGTAATACTCTTCCAGGGATCATCGACTTTGAAATGGAAAAATGACTAGTAACCACGAATCAGGAACACAAGACAGGGTAGCACACGTGTGTGCTGCCTCGTCGTCCCTTGAATATAGTTTGAAATAGACTGGCTGCAGGACACGGAAATCAAGTACGGCACTCTGTCAGATGTTGACACGAATCACCAAGTTGGAAAATGCACATGACGGTATCGTGCCTGGGCGCTTCATCTGCACAGGTTGTGAACCTGTGGGGACGAAGATATCAAATGGAACACGCACCTTAGTCAACAACTCGAATGACCTCTCAGACAACCCCTTGAGTTCCAAACTTTCGCTGTATCAATCATAAATATTCAATCTGCACCTCTCGTTCGTCAATGGTATTCATCTGTGTCAAAGTCTTCTGAGCTGTAAACGATACGGTTTCTCCAGAAAGGTATATATAGAAAAAGCTATAAGCCTGCTCGCTGACTGGTATCATGTATCGTCGTACAGATCCGATAGCAAACATACACCAGTCCCGAGGCCGTCAGGATCGATTTCCTTTGATAAATTAGAGCGTGAGTAATGTCTTATGCTCGTCTGTCGAGAAGAGTTGAGGTCAAAGCAGGTAGACCAGTGAACTCACCTATAATCGATGCCTCCGCAATACAACCCAAAGATCAAGCAAGCTGCTTCTCGCGCATACGGGCGTAGACCACGATTTCCTTGACTTGGGATCCTCGAGCGCCCGCCATGTCATCTCCTGCTTCGGAGATAAATAAAACGTCAGAATTAACTCCCTGCAAGACAATGCGAGGCCATACCAAGTACGTATTTGGTGTTGCGCATCTCCCGGACAGGCAGCGCATTATCACATGTTCGGGCGACGGCTCACTTCGACTATGGGACCTAGAGAGCGGTGCACAGATAGGTGACGAGTGGAGAGATGAAGGGGATGATGCACCAGTATGGACCATGGCATTGTCTCCAAATGGCAGGACTGTTGCCAGCGGAAGCAATGACGGGACAGCGAGGTTGTGGGATGTCGGGACGGGGACGGTTGTCATCAAATGGAAAGAGCACGCTCAAGCTGTGGAGTCAGTGTGCTGGAGTCCAAATGGTGAGCAGGTGGTGAGCGGATCCTTCGATGGGACGGTAAGAGTGTGGGATGTGAAGAGCGGCGAACCCATCCAGGGTTTGAATCCAATAGAGACAGGGCACCAGCACGTGAACGCGGTGAGCTACTCGCCAGAGGCAACAATGATCGCGACCTGCGGACGCGATGGAATTAGAATTTGGGACGCAGAGACAGGCAAATGGCTCTCCACAATCAAACTTCATCTACCAGTTTGGAGCTTAACCTGGACATCGAACGAGAAGCTTATTTCTGGTTCGAGAAATGGCTCGATTAGAATATTCGACACTGCCACATGGCAGCAGAGCGCCGTTCTCGAAGGTCACACGCAGGGTGTCAAGTCCATCACTTTGTTGCAGAACGACCGCCTCCTTGCGAGCACATCATGGGACGGAACAGCACGTCTCTGGAATCTTGACACACACCTTCAAGTTGGATCACCTCTCCAACACGACAAGGACGTCCAGTGTGCCGCCTTTTCCGCTGATGGAAAGCTGCTATCCACAGGTTGCGATGACGAAAACGCATACGTGTGGGATATTCAAGCCATCCTCAAAACAGCTGGCATAGAAGACCTCATGTCCATACCTGATGTGAGTGTAAGCTCAACTCTCACTCGCTATCTCATTCCCAATGACTGTCAGTCACAAGTATCTGAACTCAAACAGAAAGTATGTATCATCTCCTGGCTTTTCAAGAATGAAACACGCTAATGTCCCATTCATATAAGTCATCATCAGGTGTAAGTTGTGTCTTTTTCTGCCCTTGATATTGATTGTGATATCGACATTCCAGGCTAATGCTAAACGACGTCCCGCCATCGCCAATCGTCCACCCCCACGTCAAGTGTCATCAGGATTTTTTGACAAAGTGCAGGACCGTAGCACTGTGCGACACCACCGTCTCATATCTCCCTGCTTTCTCTGACTTCTATATTGTTAGCTGCCCTCCTTGGGATCACGTCCACGTGCCCCTCTCGTTCACCTTCCCTCCCTTTTCCGTCGTTTGCCACCCAACATTGATGAACCAAAAGAACCTCATCAATGCACGGGATATAGTACCTTCTCTCGTCGCAGTCCTCCCGTTGTCGACGTTCCTATGCTGTGTGACAAGAAGGTACGTCTTTTGTGATGTTATCAATGGCTGGTCTCACAAGTTTTATCTACAGGGAGTGTATGCTACTCGGCAGCCGGCACGAGCTAGTGATAAGGGGACACTCATCAAGAACCCTGCATGGTGGGCTCGTGTTATGTTATTCCTTTGCTGTGCATCTCCTTCCACCGATGGCAGCCATTAATGGATGCAGCACATCAACGATCTTGATATCTAGTTTCTCTGTTTTGTTATCTTGTTGTAATGTATCTTTCGCTATACCACCAGTGACTTCTCGCATCCTATATTACCTGTCAAGCGGGTGAGTTGTCCATATAGCCTGTAGGAGACTGGAAGTTCAGTGTAGCCTAATATCAACTAATACCATTTTAGACTCGCACATGTGTCACACTGGAGGACGTCTGCAGCTCATTCTCTGATTACCAGTGTTTCAGGTTTTGGTTAGCGATCATTTGTTGCTTGGCTATTCCAATCTCCGCGCGACCATCGACTATTTGGAACACTGGTGCGCAGACCTAAGTACTCCACATATACCGTCTGAATTTATCCACGCCACCATGTGTCCAAGAACGCCAAACAAACAATCCACGTACTCACTCATCCATACGACATCCGAGCCACCCTAGCTACGTTTTTGTACGAGTTTGCTCATTCCCCAATTGAAGACGATGATTACGTTGAGGATAAAGTCTTACGCCGAGTTCAAACTGCACATGACGGAGCATCGGCAGACATTAATGCACTATCTGCTCTCTGGCATGCATTCATTCCAGCCAAGCTATTACTGATCATGTAGTAGTTTACAACCCGTAGGTTCTGCCTAAATTCATGTCATTCGACAGCGATGACCACAAACCGATCGGTACTCCTGAATCCTTCATTTTTACACTCAGGATATAAAAGCAAGTCGTCTTCCTACTGTATCCCTCATCCTCAGGGAGATATGCCCTAGCAAATTCGTCACCTTGCATGATAATGCGTTTCTCCTTCCTCGCCGTTATCGTTGCTTTGACATCATCTATGGCTGTCAGTGCATGCGTCAACCAACACGGGAAATGCACCCGGGACAAACAATGTTGCGCGGGCATGAAATGCATAAATCATGTGAGTACGAGTAGTTTTGTTTGCACCCAGGATTCAACAACATGACTGACCCTTGCGCTGTGTAATTTAGTATCAGATTCAGAAATGCGATTTTAGCCAGAGCGGCAGCGCATCGTGAAAATGAATTATGCTTTCACTTGAGCTTTGGTGCCGTGGTCGAATGTTGATGGTGCCGTACGTAGTTCTGGGTCGGTCAGTGTGGCTGCTTCTGCACAAATTCAACATTGCCTGCGCAGTGCATATTGCAGGGGGACCTTTGAGCTTATCTTTCAGGAGATAATACTCCATAATATGACATTGACTTGAAGGCATGACATATGAGTGACTACGTGAATACTACGATATTTTGGTCTTGAGCGGCACCGACATCGATTCCATATAGTACATAATGTCATCTTCAAGCAAAGGTTTGCGCATCTGTTGTGTTCATCGTCTCTGACAGACGACCATACCTCGCGTAAGCATTTTTGGTGATAGGAGGCTAGCTCAGTGCACTCAGGCTAGCACAGGGCTCAGGCTTTAACTTTTCTGTCGGATGGTATTAAGATTGATTGCACTCAAAAAACACCACCCCATCGTAGTATGCAAGCTAATATCCATGGATTTAAACAGCAAGTAGATTCATTTTCATAGTTCATATCCATAAGCATAATAATTTACAACATACATACTTAAGTAGAACAGCGCATAGACTCTATCTTCACAAACCAACCTTCTTCTGCACAGATTCAGCAATTTCCCACCTGCTGAGACCAATCAGCACCAACCTCCGGCACGATGCCAGTTGGATCACCCGCGTTCATGATGCGGCGGTAAGAGCCATCAGCGCGTGCATCGAGGGGGCAACCCTGTGCTAGCGCCAAATAAATGAAGTAACTAAGTGTCTTCCTGAAGTCGCTTGGATCCTCCATGTCAAACAGGATGGGCTCTTGCGAAGGGTCGTCGCGAGGAGCTTTCGGATAACTATTGATCATCGCACTGATGACGTTCGGGTCCTGCTCTCGCAAAAAATCACGATAATCATTGTGAGGCCTGTAAGACTGTCCATGATCAGGAGCAGCAATGCGTGGAATGGTGATGCGAGATGGAACCCGCCGCAGGTTTGTACGCGAGCTGTATGCAGAATGCGAGATGGGTGGACGCTGGGAGTGGGTGGTAGGAATGGGGCAAGCGGGGGGAACAGGAGCAGAGGTGTGCGAGCGACCAGCGCTCGAGTTGACGCGTACATAGTCCGCCTGTCTACCGCTCACCGCTACGCAAACCTGGTTGTCAGCTATTTGCAGCACACTCGCGACAGCTTGATCATCGGTGGTCTCATGCTGCTGTTTGCGGACAAGGGAAGAGTAGGCAGTGGCGGTGGGCCGCGAAAAGCACGCGACTGAAGGACGCTGCTGAATCGTTCGTTGTCTGCCTGCGACATGATGATAGCTTGTGTTGCATTTCTGCAGGGGAAGTTGGGGCCTACTATTCTTTGAGTTCAACGAAGTCGTTCTTAAGGTGCTGCGAGGGGGCCTCGGAGGTGGTGGTGGGGGGTTGGGAAACTGGTCTAACAAGTCCGCGTACATGTCAAAGTGGGCACGAGGTGGTGTAAGGTCTCGGAGACCTTGCGCGCGACGGATGTCCAATATCCCCGGAGCTTGCTCGATGTAGACGATGTCTGAAGTTTTGAGAGGAGCCTTACCACGGTACGTGGGTTTTACAGGATCAGCGCGAGGGTCACGCGTGCTCCCTTGTGAAGACAGTCCATATGACATCGATTTGGAGTGCTTAAGCGAGGGCGTCCTGTCGTCGTGAGACCTGAGGGGCATCGGTTACCATTATACCAACAAGTGGAACCTGAAAACAGTTGACTCACTTTTGGAACAATTTCTTGAAAGAATTCATGGTTGATATTCGAAGAAAAGGATGAGGAGTTGCAAAGATTGTGAGAGGTTGACTGTGAAAGTGGCCAATCTGCGTTGCAATATATATGAGCTGGGCAATTGTGGACGCACCATGGTCATCCACATCCACAACCTCAAATTCATTCTTCAAAGTCCACAACCGATGTAGGCATTAGTGGATGCTTTGATTACCCACCTAAAATTGATGGCGCCCCATTGTATTACAAAGGCACAATGTGCAACAACTGACGAACTATCTGCCACAGGCCAAATGGATGCATCGCGCGACGTGTTCGATGTTTTTCGAGAGCTCGTGATTGTGGACTCGCGATAAGACTTACTGGAGATGGTGGCTAGACTGATGTGGCTCACATCTCGTGCAACAAATGATCGTTAGTCCTAGAAAAGAAGATACACAGACGCACTGCATGCAGAGGATGGGCCGATAGCCATGATATCATGGTGGCCATGACGCCTTGTACAATGTTGAAGGGAGCTTCAGTAAGACGTTTTCTACCATGACATACTGACGTCAATGCTGAAGCAGATATCTCCAAAATAAGATTACCGTGAGCCCGCAACTGATTCATCATTGGTTATGTCCATCCAAATCATATTCTGAGAGTCCGAGAAAACGATGATGAGTCATGACGTGTGTTAGAAGAACAAAATTATACTTGAGCTCTGATATATATAACTTTGTACATTTACAGGCCACTGGAATGCATGGTATGCTCAATATTTATGGTGTCCTTGACAAGTAAATCATTCAATGAAGGTGTCGTACCGTGTGTACTGCTAGATTACTGCCTCGACATTGTGAGCTGGAAGTTGGCATTCCGAGTCATTTCAGAGCCTGAATTGATTATTGTGGCATGTACTTCCTCGACATTGTGAACTAGAGGCTGTCGACATTCAGATATGCACCACAATATGGTAGATTGAATATTGTCGCTGTGGTGTGGTCAAAGAAAGTTAAAATCCTTACTTGACTCTACATAGACAGCTGAATCAGCTCGTGATCCGCTTTTGGATAGGGCGGGAGGGGCCAAATATATGTAAATACTCTCCTCCTCGTCTCTGGCATTGGCGCCAGTCAGCACGTTGCCGAGACCTTGTACATCTTTCGATTCCGTGTTCTAAACCAGCATTTTTGGCCTCACAACAAGCACCCTGCTGGGATTGCCTCTCGACATTGCAGGACTTACGGAGGTCACCGGTCACTCCGCGTCGCACAGCGACCAGCGCATTCTATCACTTCTATTGTCGACGACGTGTATTACCTTCGCTTTTGGCAGAGAGCTGATATACAATTTCTCTGTACGTTCTCTCGCGATCATACGATTATGTTTGCGCTAACCTGTTTCAGATCGTGGGCTCAGAGCTCTATCGTCTTTCGAGCTCCGGCCCGGGTACCTTGAGCTTGCCCGTCCATTTTTTCTGGGATGACTGTCTCCCATAGAAAGCGACAACACCAACCGGATGAAATCCAAAGTATGTGGTTTCTTCCACCCATTCCAATGGTGTCTTCTGCTCCGTGGAATATCTTTCTCACGCTTCATTTACGTAAACTGTGCAGCTGTAAACGAGCCAGGCTTGCAGATTCAATGTGATTGCTGTCAATGCGACTTGACCCATTCTGCTCGTATCAAGTGCGCCGATCCTGTCTGTGAACCGGGAGATGGCGTGGATATCTGCCCCACCTGCTTTTGCGCTGGCAAAGAGTTCGCCAAACACAAAGCAGGTCACGCATACCGAGTCATTGTACGACAAATTCGCACTTGACGTATGTCCTATATTGATTGACATGTTAGGAACTTCACTCTTATCCAATTTTCTCTGCTGACTGGGGAGCAGATGAGTAAGTTACCTCATCGGAGTCATCGCTTCATCTGAAATGTATTTATAGGGAGCTCTTACTTATCGAGGGAATATCTCAGGAAGGCCTCGGAAATTGGCAGATGATCGCAGAACACATTGGCACTCGCACAAAGGAAGATGTAGAAGAACACTACAATAGCATATATGTCGATTCCGCCGATTGGCCACTTCCTGTACGTCCATATCATTCAAGCCTGTCCTTTCACTGAGTAAACTGTATTACAGCGGATGGATGTCGAATTCAACATTGATCCAGATGAATTCCAGGCTCGCAAGCGCAGGCGAATGTCAACCATGACTACTTCTTTACCTCCTCCACCCAAGGTAGCCCCAACCTCCGCTCCCGGGGTACACGAAATTGCCACTTTCCTCCCTGGTAGACTCGAGTTTGAACACGAACTCGATAATGAAGCGGAGGATCTTGTGAAGGATTTAGAATTCGGAGTCTGCCATACATGGGGCGGTGATCAGATTATAGAAGATGAGAATGACGCGGATGTCCGCGCCAGGGCACGGATGCAGGAAGAACGCAAAACTGTTGCCGGTTCCAGGAACAGCAGTCAGCCACCTATCAATGGTGTCAATGGCATCATGAATGGCAACGGACATATTCCAATGAACGGCGATTCGCGTGTCAAGTCAGAGGAACCGTCTAGTGAACAGCAGGCCTCAACGGAGGATGACCCAAATGCGGAAGAAGCGACACTGCCTCCTCCATATGAGACGGACGAATCACTCGCCTTTAAGCTGACACTGATGGAGATGTACAATCAGCGTCTCGACAAACGACGAGAGGCCAAAGCTATCATGTATGAACGAGGTCTTTTGGAATACAAGAAGGTATGTCGATGTATGTACGTACGTCACAAACTAACTTTTTTTTTCAGATGCAAGCTGCGGAAAAGAAGCGTCCGAAGGAAGAAAAGGACATTGTTCAACGGCTCCGACCGTTTGCTCGACTTCAGACTGCTGAGGATTTCGAAGTTTTCACAGCTGATATTCTCTGTAAGAACTTGTAATATTATAGTGGAAAGGCGCTGACGATGTAGCTGCAACAGACGAAGCTATGCTGAGAAAGAAAATACAAGATCTGCAACATTATCGGCGAATGGGACTTACCACTCCGGCTGATATCGATAAGTTCGAACTCGATTCATTCGCAGGGTAAGAAATGTCCCATAATTGTTTTTTCAAGTCATGCAGCTTACCTGTATGGTTAGGCTCAAGCGAAAGCAAATTTATCTCGCGACTACTATTCTTCAGAACGTCTGGCACAGCTCCGTGCATCAGGCAGTGCAAGTATGTTATTTATTCATTTTCCCTGTTTACATTCTTTATTGACACTACTGCAGGAGATTCAGAAGGTCGCAAAAGTCACGAGAGAGAATCAACTCCCAAACTTGGGACTCCTGCTGGAACGGGTCCTCCAATCCGCAGACCACGTTCGTTTATCCCATCCGAAAGCATGATACAATGGCTCACTTTACTATTTAGCCGCTCCTCTCAATCTTGCCAATAGCCCATCCTTGCATTTACTTACCCCAGCCGAGCAGACGCTCTGCTCGCAACTCCGAATTCTACCCAAACCATATCTCGTCATCAAGGAGACCCTCGTCCGGGAGTATGCTCGTCGTGGGGGCAAGCTTCGCCGCAGGGAAGCGCGAGACCTCGTCAAGATCGATGTGAATAAGACGAGTCGAGTTTGGGACTTCTTGGTGCAGGCCGGTTTCCTCAAAATCACGCCGGACCCGCCTCCTGCTCCAGCCGCTGTTCAGGATACCTCGTACGTGTAATTTTTCTCTCTTATAGCTGCATACTGACAAGATTCTCTAGTGTAAACGGCATCTCCCATACATCACTGAGCGTATCTCCATCCAAGGACACTCCACGCATTTCACCACATCCTCCCGCAACAGGGAATCTGTCCATTAGTCAAAACGGATTTGGTCACAGACCAATGCCCAACCACTCACCACCTAGCATATCTGCCCCACTTTGGCCTTCAATTTGACGTCCCTGCTATCTTTACCCGCCGTTTGCTTTATCAAGTAGCATTTGTACCATAGCACTCGCATACATTATTTACTACATGCAACTTATGGATTCATTATTGAGATTTTAGACTCCAGAACCAGCTGGTTGGGCGATTAGATCGTCAATGATACTGTGGTCGACCGGGATGTTAGCTTTACGCAAGTAATCATCATTCCTACACAGATGTCAACATTTCTCCAACCAAACAAGACGTTTTCTTACCAGAACTGACAACAACCCAAGCATAAACGCATTAGGGAGCATTCTATCTTGCCAGATACCATACACTCACCTTGGAGTAATGTCTGTTGCCAGAGTCGCATCTGGGAAGATATTTAATCACATCATTCATTCCGCGGGTGTCCAGGGAAACTTACAAGATCGTGACAAGTGTTTGACCTTCCCGCCATCCCTTTTTCTTTACGAATTTGATGCATGCCACCAGATTGCAGGCGCTGCTGGAGCCCAGAAATAGGCCATCGTTTTGAACGAGGTATCGGGACATGGCAACCGCTTCCACGTCAGTTATCCTGCATCGTCAATGAGCTTCCATTGAGCTTGGAGATGAAATATTCAACGCACCGGAACGCGTCATCTATGATCGGTATCGCAAGGTCGATGTTGTTTGTCATCCGGTTGATACCTCTGGAGATACAGGTCAGAAGGGGAAATGAAAAATGATGCTGGCGTACACACATTCCCTCGACTACTGTGTCAACTTGATGCCTTCGTTTTGTTCCTTCAGCTTCTCTGCGGTCGTATAATACGCCATGCTTGACCTGAAGGAGTATGAGAGAAAATCGGGCAGCTGACAACGACAAGCTTCGACCTTGTTATAAAGCCCGCTGCCTTCTGGGTCCGCTAGGACGACTTGCACCTCCTCATCCATCGATTTGAGGAATCGTCCAATGCCTGCGATCGTTCCGCCCGTTCCTGGTTCATATAGCATTAAAAAAACTGGACAACTTGAACATAATATACGCGCACCTGCTCCAGATACAAATGCATCGACATGACTATTAGTTTGACACCAGATTTCTGGACCAGTCCCGTCGTAATGGGCTTCAAAGTTACTGCGATTCTATGTATATGTGAGTTCAGCTAGCATTTATTTATCAAGGTGAGCACCTCGAATTGGTCGGCAAAGAAGCCTCTTGGTTTGCTTAGCAGATCTTCACCCAGCGGGTCATCGGTGCTGCCTTCTGCATTAACGTGCGACGATGTAGTCGTGACCACTACAGATGCAGAACCTGTATGGAGCTCGTGGCTTTTATGAGCGTTCTCTAAGCCTTTCCCTATATCTGATCGTCCGAATTCGATGGCCGCTCGCCTAGCGATATTCTTTTTGCAGATTTGTGAATATTCATTGCGTGCCTTTCCTCGACATAAATTGCTCACCACATACTGCGATTATCATGCCGATTCTGGTCAATAAATGAAATGGCGACCACGGTATGAGCTCGCACCTGTTTTTTGTCAACAATGCTCGCAGGACGAACACGCAGGACATCAGCTCCAAGGGCTTGTAACGCATTAATCTTCTCCAGGGCAACATCATCCGGCATGATAATCGCTAAGAAACGTGAGATGGATTCAACAGTTCGAGGAATTTTCCTACTTGTATCATATCCCCTGCAATATCATGTCATCAGACACGACGTTCTCGCACCAGAACTAGGGTCACTTGCCTTGCCTTGGCTATCGTTGCTATCGAGATGCCAGTAGATCCCACAGTGCCTTCAAAGATGCGGGATCCAGTGTGAGGGTGCAGCAAACCTCGTCGTTCCGCGTCCTCGATTACTTGATATCCGTCAGATATTGAGTTTTAGGTCGATTTCTGCGCAACAAACTCACTGCGCAGAGCAACTCGGTCCTTGACACTTCCTCCAGGGTTCAGAAACTGTGAATTGCCGCAAAGTTGGGAACATTGAAGGGACATGTTCTAACTCGACACATACCTCTGCCTTTCCAAGAATCTCGACTCCCAAAGCATCACTCAATGAGTCGATCCTCACCAAAGGCGTATTTCCTGGACGTTCAAGCTTTAATGTTGTGGAAGAACAGTCAAACGGCCAAGAGACATACCTATCAACCCAGTGACACCATATACAACTTCATGGCTTCTCAACTCAATTGGTCGAGACTTGTGTTGCTCCTGCAAAAGGCTTTGACGTCGTCGGGAGCGCCAATATGATGATATGGACGTTGATGTTACAGACAGAGTAAACCCGATGAGGATGCCGAACGTAATATGACGAACAACTGCGTTGGAATACCAGGGAGGTAAAGTTAATTCGAAAAGTTTCATGGCATGAAATGAACCAAGTCCTTGAAATACGTGCTCAAACTTATAATCGACTGTACATGACGGTCATGACCTGTAACACCTGGCATTTGCGTGGCATACACTAGATTTTCAGGTGCTATTCCAGGAACGATGATACATAATGAACATCGCTCTCCAGCAAAGCTTCAAAAGTTTGACATCACAAACATGCATGGAATTCAAATAAATTTGTATTGTAGACAAAACTGCTATGATACAAATAGAAATCCATCAGACAGACGCTCAACTCGTTGGCTCCGTTTCGCTAGACTGCAAGCAGTCGCGCGAAGGACAGAACCAAACGTCCTCGAAACCCCACGTAAACGCGAAGCTATGTTCTCTGTCGAACGAGAGAGCGCGGATGTCATCGAGTGGATTTGAAGAATGTGGCATGTGTAAACATGCGAGACTCGAGTTAGTTTCTATAAAATAGATCCTAGCTGAGTATGTTCTAAGGAATTCATCATTTGCATGCATGGCTTATATATCTTTTCGACCTGGTCCGTGCGCGACACTCCCACGGCTCTGCATCAATTGAACCTTGTGGCGAAGACTCGGGTCCTGCAAAATACCATCTAGATCTTCAACGGGAAGAATAAAAAATAACCTCGTAAACCAGGTTCAGTGACTGTCCACGGATCAAGTTGCGTTGTGAGGCGGCCTGATTTTTTTCTCCTCACAACGCATGACAAGTAGTACGCGCACCTCGGTCCTCTCTGTTCCGTTTCTACCTTGCTCAAGTTCGTCCCACAGAAATTAACAAACCAGAAATGTTACAACGTGTGCCTTGCACCTTTCCTCGCCAACCCACCTTTTTTGATAGATAGTATGGATTGCTTTGCTCGGAATCACCCACCTCGTACATCGTCCGGTCTTTCTGTTTGTCCCGCGCCTTTAGCAACCATTGCTTTCAAAGTTTCGGCAGTGGGTCATTCCGTGGCCATGGCACACTCCAACGATATGCCGCCAGCAATATGGTGCACACGACCTTCGGAATTTCCTCGCGTCTCTGTCACAGCCATTTAATCATCGGTGACTCGGTAAATATTAGGCTAAAATGTTTATTTCTATACACGCCGTATCCTATTCCTCTGATTTGATTGTCTTTGCAGGAATGTGTAGGGATCAATGCTATTCAAGGCCGTTGGTATATTTTCCACGTCCTGCTGCGTGTATTAGTCTCCCCTAGGGACCGAATATAAGCAAGGCGACTGTTCCTTCTTTGTTATACTGTGAATTTTCAGCTCCTACAAGAGTTCAGAACGTTCAAGCATAAGCACGAAATGAAAGCCAACTATCTGCATGCATGCGTCACAACGGCTATAAATGGATAATGTATTTCCTTGTCGAGCAGTGGAAGACACACGTTACTCACAGTCTCACAGTGACTTTAGCCATCTAAGCTTTCTTTCTCAACATCATGGCAAGCACCATTCAAAAGCAAAAGCTCTTTTTGTCATTTCCGCACTATGCTGTGGTCGGCGCCTCTACAGACCGGTCAAAGTTCGGCACAAAGGTACTCCTTATTTCAATATTTGTCGTAGACATGACAATATTGTTCATAGGTCCTGCAATGGTATATCCAACGGAACAGGCCAGTAACCCCGGTCCACCCGTCGAACGACGAGTTGGAGGGTATAAAGACCATACGGTCTTTAATTGACCTTCCGAACCCGACCGAAACGTCAGTGAGCATCATAACGCCTGCCAAGGTCAGTAGCGTGTTGCCACGTTCAGCGTCGCTACTGAATCCGTCTTTGGCAAGATTACCATCAATCTGCTCAAACAAATCAAGGAACTTTCGATTCCCGCTGTCTGGTGCCAACCAGGAGCAACTGACGTTGCCTGCGTTCAGTACATCAAAGACAACGGGATGTCTGACCGTGTGCTTTTCGAAGGGGAATGTATACTGAGAGATGGTGACGGGGCCTTACAGTCAATGTTATGAGATTCGGACTGATCTGATATGGTCATGAATGAACTATCATTAATATTGCCCTATGAAGTTACCTTTTTCCGCATCCTGGCAGATCATCGCACGGGGTCATGGTCTACGATCACCGGCAAGTCCGATCGAGTGGCCGCTTCCACGATACTAGAGTCCGAGGCACTCATACCGCAAGATCATCCATCCGCGGGGCAGTCCGACTGCACAGTTGCAACCACGTAAATTGCCATCTAGTTCCGCACGAGCTAATAAATCAAGATGACGGAAACGCTATAAGAAGTTGTCTCCGCGGTCTCAATGGTTCTCAGGCTATCGAGTTCCCTCGTCATGCTATCCACCTTCTTTTTATTTCTTCTTGCGCTGACCAATATTAATGTAAGCGCCAGCCCGCTTGACGCCCGTTCCATTGCCGCCCGTTCCACTAAGCCCGTCGTCGCAACTTGGTACGGCGGATGGCATGCGACCGAAGGATTCCCGCTCTCTTCAGTTAGCTGGAACAAGTACAACACGCTGTACTACTCATTTGCGTGAGCTACCTGTATTGGCGCAAACACAAATAGCTTCAGTTGACGCAATCATGTCTGTTTCTCTTAGAGAAACAACTCGTGACGTCACTAGTCTGAGCCTGACAGACTCTGATGGCGAGTTGCTCCCTCAATTTGTCTCTGAGGCCCATGCACATGTGAGCAAACAAGAATTTGTCGCTCCTGCAATTAATGTCTAACCCACGCGCAGGGTGTCGAGGCCCATATTGCTATCGGAGGCTGGACTGGGGGTATTTGGTTCTCTTCTAACCTTGCCAGTGCCAAAAACCGGACGGCGTTTGTCCAAACTGTGGTAGATTTTGCTTCAAAGTACAACCTCGATGGCGTCCAATTCGAGTAGGTTACTTCCTATGACTCCGGCATTACACGCTGACCTAAGTCGTCCTTTGCCAACAGTTGGGAGTCCCCGAACGATCAGGGAATCGGCTGTAACACTATCAGCGCGAACGACACGGCAAACTTCCTCGCATTCCTCCAAGAGCTTCGCCAAAACCCAAAAGCGAAAAAGCTCGCCCTCTCGGCCGCCGTAGGACTAGGACCCTTCTTCGATGCTGCTGGACACCCTTTGACAGACGCCACTGGGTTTGCGAAAGTCCTCGATTATGTCGCAGTGATGAATTACGACGTTTGGGGTTCTTGGTTCCCGACCGTAGGGCCTAACGCACCGTTGAACGACTCCTGCGCCGCGTCCGCCAACCAACAGGGTTCTGCAGTTTCTGCAGTCAAGACTTGGACGGACGCAGGGATGCCAGCCAACCAGATCGTACTCGGTGTCGCTGCCTACGGTCACTCATTCAGCGTTCCTCCCTCTGACGCATTCGAGTCCTACACGAAGAAGCTGGCTGCATACCCCGCCTATAATGCCTCTAACCAGCCCTTGGGTGATGCATGGGATAACACCGGTTCTGTTGACGTCTGTGGCGTTTACGAGGCCCAAGGTGGCACTTTCAATTTCTGGGGCCTCATTGACAACGGTTTCCTCACCGAACGAGGCGTGCCTGCTGATGGTATCTACTACAGATATGACACTTGCAGTCAGACGGTAAATATGTTCTTCCACCCTAAATGAAGAGCGCTCATTTCGTTGCTTGTACAGCCATATGTGTACAACGAGACCTCACAAGTCATGATTTCCTTTGACAACGTCCGATCATTTGCTGTCAAGGGCAAATACATTAAGGATACCAAGCTGCGCGGTTTCGCGATGTGGGAGGCGGGCGGCGATTACAAAGATATGCTCCTCGACTCTATTATCGATGCTTCGGAGTGTTCTTAGACCACTACTCACTTTATTGTCTGGAACTACGGTGCCGGATCACATTCGTTGACATGGATCACTACGTTCGTTTCATACTTGATCGCAATCACGGTCTTTTCCAGTATTATATTAGTTGTCTGAAATGACTTTCCCTTTGTTCAGTACGCGACTGCCGCTGCATCTTTCGTTACATAGTTACAGTCACCTTACAGTTTGAGTAGTTAGTTTAATTCTTTAGTGAGTTCTTGATTCCTATTCGAACTCGTATTGTAAATATTTCCCAATCTCAGTGTGTTCTCCGATGACTCTACCCTGCAATGGTAACTTTCGTGGCAGTCTCCCTTCTCTTCCAAATGAATAGATTGAACCATGTGCATCCCACATCTATTTATATGTCTAACTTCTAGATCTACTTCTATGTCATTCTTCTACTTGTTCGCCGATCATTGACTACAGACCTGTTCGCATCCACTTCTGGAATTGGTGTTTTTCTGCCCAATGCTGAATGAGAACGCCTGCGATGGCGGTTGGCGGGGGTATCCTGAACGGCGGCTCGTCGTTGTTATTAACTTCGACAGATTGTTCTGATTTCGCTGATGCGGGGTTGTTATCGGGACCATCTTGGATCTCTGCGATCTTCTTGTAGTCACGGCGAGAGAATTGAGTTCCACTAGAATGTCTCAAGACAGCGAGAATTTCTTCTCTGGTGTACCACCGAGCATCTATGGGATATCCCCGAGTCAGACTTCGACATCGACGTTTCTACAGTAAACGACTGACCTTCGAGTTCGTTATCTAAATCTATACGGATTGGCGCAGAAGAATCAGCGGTCGCATAATAGCCGACCATCAAGTTGGCTGGATAGGGCTAAAATGCCGGGGTTGATAGGTTGGAATTCTGTTGTGCAGAGTTAACGTACCCAAGGCTGTCCAGAGTGATATCGGACGTTCCAGACTTTCACTCCGGCTTCCTCCCACATCTCCCGCTTGACGGCATCCTCGAAGGACTCGCCAGGCTCTATGAAGCCAGCAAGTGCGGAGTAGAATTGACCGGGGAATTTTTTCTGTTTGGGGCTAAGTTAGAAACCAGCCTGGATCAAAGATCGGTATGCTCACATTTCTCCCGAGGAGGACTTTCTCTCCTGATTCATCTATGGCGAGCATGATTACGACGGGATCCGTCCGAGGATGAGCAAAATTATGCAGCCCTCGCCTTCATGTCATATGAGTGATTGTTTCCTATACAGTATTGGAACGAACCCGGAGGGACAAGGTTTCCTGTCCGTGTTATCGGCCCAGGGAAGTAGAGACGTACAGCTCAGCTTCCATCCAGCCCACAAGGAATATACGGGCGAACCGCAAGCAGGACAGAACTAGATCGTCACATTTCCGTCAAGGTTTCTGTCTGCAAATACTAGCACATACCTTGTTTCTTTGGTTCCAATCTACCATGCTCCGAGCCTCCGCAAAGATCGCTGCAGTATACGCGTCAAGACTTGACATCGCTGCGCGTGGCTCCACAAAAGTCAGTGTCGACCCATCCTTTGCAAGCTCGGTGTTCTCTATGGCTTCATTGACCTTGCTCTCATCGAGGTCTGCGACATCCGCGGAAAAGTAAGGGGTTCCAGTGAGTTTCGCAACAGCAGAATGGGGATCTTTGAATTCGGAAGATGGGAGAGCATTTCCCGAATTTTCCGTCTCTTTCAGACCAAGGAATACTATTGATGGACCACGGACTCGGGCAGCCTCGAGAACGGATAAATCAGATGCGCAAAGTTGCCCTTCCTGCTCGCCCTGACCGAAGAATGGTTCGGCACCGAGCAAGGGCCTAACGTCCTCGGTGGTCAACAACGCCAGACTTCGTTTCTGTGTACCAGTATGAGAAGCGACAAGTGGCTGGCCCCCATTGAATAAGATCCACCTCGTAGCAGGCGAGACGACGACTGCATTGAGGAATGAATGAGATGTCCTCAGCCATGATAGACGATTGAGAGGTGATCCGGCAAGGAAATTCGTAAATCTGGGAAACCAAATCCATCAGAGGGATGCTGTCATGTATGTAAATCATGACACTGACGCTTCGGCCATCCTGACAATGTGCAGTGCTCAGGAAGGCAGTCAGACAATGGAAGAGATTTCAGTAATACAAGTACGTGAGTTCTAGTGCATCAGTGCTCGCTAAGCTGAAGTTACGGCAGGGTCACGCGTGGCATCATGATTGGACACGGGTCCCTATTTCCGAGTCCCCCTCGAGAACACAACCTGTGGCCACACAAACTTGATGGACACACTGGTGCCGCTACTCGGACCAAACGATAGACCATAAAATTGTAATACCTTGTTGTGGTCCTGCTACTAACGTCAATTTACCCCGCATTCCATAACTTCAGTCTTCCATTCCCCGGAACTAGGCTAAGCTACTGTGGCGGCCGCCCATCATGATGGCAGGAGTCACATCGAACCTTACTGTAGGTTCTATTCGGGCTTCCGCAACTGCGAGCGCGTGTTCAAGTCCTTTGTGTTCAAGTTGCAGGTACTTGCCAATCTTATCTTCTTTCTGCACAATTCACGCATATGTTCCGAAGATGAGGTCGTACAATGTACATTGATCTTCCCATACTTGGGTTACAATGCATGCGAGTCACTTCTTGCCACCAGATTCGAGGTGATTTCGAAGTAGAGTGCTTCTTCTCCGTGCTTCCTGTGCCTATGAACCGGTCAAAGCTTGGTGGTTGGCACTCCAATCAGAACGGACAGTGCCTTGTTGGCTGAGCAATATGTCCCTGACACCCAGGCTATTCACCGCTGCTATGCCGCGTTTGCCACACTCGTGGGTGACCCTGTTTGGCTGGCCCCCCTGACTCGTTCTCCTCCAATCCGACTCAAAGCTCACATGCACATTCAAACACGAGGCAAGCCATTCTCTCACCCTGTAAACCTTCAAGACAATGCACGTCACTTCAGCCATGACATGTCATGATCCAATTTGCCCGAGGCGTTTTAACACAGCGCTCAATCCATGAAAGTTACGTGCGCCGTCCGCCTTGAAACTGCCTTTTACGGAAATTCGTTTGTTCCCTACCCATTTTCGGCTACTACGCGAAGTCTTGCGCTCATCGCAGAAGGCCTAGAAATACCGTCCGGTGGTCTATCCGCCCGCTTTCATCCTTCCATATAGGGCGAACAACAATGGTGGCTTTGCCCCTGGTCTACCTCGAGAATCGAAGCGCTCCCGCAGACGGAAGGAAATAAGATTTGGTCCACTAACCAAACCTTGTATAAAAGTCCAATCACCCGGTTCCTGTCCATGTCGGAGTCCCACCTGTTTGAACCTTGAGCTGCCGTACGCCAATTTTGCTACATCGGTTTCTTCTGTATTTCGGATTCCTGAACTCGTATGTTTTCTGAATTCTAGAATGCGATGACGTCCGACCCCCGCCCAAAACAAGATGGGAATACAGGGTCTATGTGTCGCGCAAACTTATCGCCCGCTCAAGTCATCGCGGAGGCGTGGCGACGCGAGTCTCCGCAAAGTCAAGAATTTTGGCGGCAAGCAGAGGCAAAACGCAAAGAGCTCTACACAGCACCCCGGTCACATAAACCACGGGGAAAGATTTAGGGTCCGTATCTTGGCGGCATGACTATTGACAGTAAGCGGCGACCTCCATTAATTCAGTTCGTTACTCACGTTGCTGTCATGCCATCGCCACTCAGGTTCTTCGCATTCTGTGTACATATATTCATTACTTTGGACGATATCAATTGTACGATTAGATAGATGCATTACAGACAGGCTGAAGGCTGCCGGACATGCCTGGGTGACAGAAAGCTATAGTACTCATTGTCAGAGATTGATACGTACTTGACGCACTGACAATACATAAACAATATTATTGTCCTAACGTTGAAGGGACCTCGGTTCCAACAGTTGATATTGTCTCCTCACCATCGTCCTCATCGCAGTCCTCCTCATAGTCCTCTTCCTGTTCCTCCAACGCAGCCTCTGCTTCCGCCTGTGCTTGAGCTGCAGACGCAGCATTAGCGATTGCCTGCTCCAACAGTCGCGCTTGTTCCTCCGAAAGACCATACAGTGATAGCGGCGGTGCAGAAACAGTTGCACTGTCCGCGATTGGAACAAGACAATCATTATTCGGAGCGCCACATCCGTCGTCCACAGGGAAAAGCTGCGATTCGGCCATGCTATGATTGGCAGCGCTCACCGCTGAATTATCTTGTTGAGTTTGAGAGGCCGGCATATTTTGTAGCTGGGCCCTAGCGATGACGCTAGCCAAAGTTGCTTGACTTCCAGCCGGATCAACTTGCATTGATGGAATATCATGATCCACCGCTGTTCCCAGCGCGCTGGACACGTGTGATTGCAGCGTTTTGTGAAGACTGAGCACAGCTTCTTGTGCATGGCCGATGACGCCGACATCCATTTCCCCTTCCTCTGGACCCCAATCATCACCAAACGTTCCGTAACTTGCTGTAGAGGCCACGGAATGAGTCACAATATCAGCCCACATCCGTGTCCGTCGACCTTCCCGCAGTGCATCATCCCCACTCTCCTTGTCCAGTTCGACTTCTTTGATTGCCGCGTTGACGCATGCCTCCCCTTTGCCACCACGAGTTGCGCTGCTATTTTTGTGCCTCTTTATTGCGTCACGCCGCGAGAATAACTTGTAGCAACCAGCACACTGATACCCCGTCTTGTCGTGTAGTTTGGCATGTCGTTTCAGGTCATGATTTCGGGCAAACGAGGCAGGACATGCAGCACAGCGATATGGCCTGTGCACTGCGTGTACTTGTTGGTGCGCTCGTAGGTTAAACAATCGCGCGAAAATCTTGCGGCAACCTGGCACCAGGCAGGGGTATACTGCGGTACCAATGTCGCTGAACGGGACAGGCTGAGGGCCAGTTCCCGGCGGTATCCATGGGCGGGGAGGATACATTGACACGTCAGGGGGTTGCATATGAGCGTTCGGTGGGACAGCGGTGGGGCCGATGGGACTACCACTTAGGACTCCAACCACCTGAATGAGTCCACTGATCTCCTGTAAGGCGTTTGTCTCAGGCCCTCCTCTCGCAGAAGAGGTGACCGCAAAAAGAAATATTTGATGTAACTGTAGCTGAATTGAGGATATGATCGACGGATCTGGCGGGCCGTTGGAAGGTGGATGGGAGGCTAGAGTTTCTGATACCACGCGAACTGCGTCTATTATCTGGCTCTGTAAATGGCCATGTGCGAAAGTTGGCCGTTTGAAGGCTCGTGGCTCGTTCCTCCGCTGTTCTTCTTCAGTCTCATCGCGTTTCCTCTTGCCTTTATCCAGCTGTAGTGCAGGCGCATTAGAATGACGCAGTACGGCAAAAAGAGCGTCGGAGCGAGCCAAAGATACAAGGGTCATGCTGAGTGATTTTGCGAGGTCTTTGGAAATTGTTCCAGCGGCGACTGTGTGATTGAGTATTTCCAGAACGCTGTTGCCTGCACCAGGAACGACCGCAGATGCTAGAGTTGAGTGAACCAGAGGATCCTTCCCTGCAATGTTCAGCACGTTCCCCATCGTCTTCAAGGCGGCCTCTTCCTTCTTGGACGACATAGATGGTTGGGAAGGAGGTTGTGTGATCGGGACTGCAGAAGGAACCGCAGACGGAACACCATTATGTAGTGGTGCACCAGGAGTTGATGTTGATGTTGTCGTAGTGACATTTACGCGGTCTGCCTGCGCTTTGCTGATGTCTGCCCATAGCTGTTCCTTCAACCGACGCGCAATTTCCTCCGCTTCTTCCTCTCCATCATCGTAGTCATCATCATCATAATTTTCGTCCTCTTCAACCCATTCATCTACCTCCTCATCTCCAGTTTGTTTAGTGGTCGAGCTCGCTGTCGCGTCAATTTGGTTGGATCTAGGTTCAGTCATAATAAGTACTAGGTACCGAGATGAGATGCTTAGTGGAAGGTCATATGATTATGATGTTGGTCGGGTACAAACCAGAGCAAGCATCTACATAAGTACCGAACTTCATCGATTTATTATTAACGTAGCCAACTGTCCATCTTACTGACTTGGCGAGACCTGTCTCTACGTATCATATTCGTGGCAATGAGCTGGCTAGTAAGTGGGAGTTATGTCCGCGCTAGTAATCGGCAAATGCTCTTGTGTGAAACTCCGCAATTTGTATAATTGCCAGCCGATTACCTCAAGTTCCAACGGTTCAAAGTCACACTTTGGGTTAATTTTCCCTCAGGAATAGCCAGTCGCAAATGTCGAACACGATCAAGGACCTTGCGGCTGGAACGGCTGGAGGGATAGCTCAGGTATGTATAAAATAGGCTCAATGCTACGTGTCGACTCAATCCGCGTATTAGGTCCTTGTTGGACAACCCTTCGACATCGTGAAAGTGGTGAGAGTGGCTATAAAATCCAAGCAAGTATACTTGCGTACACATTATGACTCTTCCTCAGCGCATGCAAACTTCGGCAAAGGGCACTTACAGTGGCATGCTGCATTGCGCTGGCGGTATCTTGAAAAATGAAGGGCCTCTGGCGTTTTATAAGGTGATGCTCTTGTCACTCTTTACCGTTCTTTCTCACATCATTCTGTTAGGGCACTTTAACGCCATTGCTGGGAATCGGTGTCTGTGTATCGATACAATTTGGAGTCCTCGAGTATGCAAAGCGCATATTCACGGTTCAGAATCTCGCTAGAGGTGAAGGGGGAGAAGAAGGGAAGATGTTGAGTGGGGGGCAGCTGGTCATTGCTGGGGTTGCGGCAGGGCTTGCTAATGGCGTAGTCTCTGGTCCAGTGGAGCACATTCGCATTCGTGAGTCATATGTGTTGCATGTATGACTAGTATTCGGCTTTTGACCTTTTCTTCAGGTCTGCAGACGCAGTCAAATACTAATCCAATATACAAGGGTCCATTTAACGCAATGAAACAAATTGTCTCACAACACGGCATTTCTGGACTATTTAAAGGACAAGCTGTCACCTTTCTACGTGAAGCGACAGGCTATGGCGTCTATTTCTTGGCATACGAAAAGCTTGTACAACGCGAAATAACCCAAAAGGGAATACGACGGGACCAGATCAACCCTATGAACTCTATTCTGTATGGCGCAGCAGCTGGATACGCAGTAAGTTCCATGCCCTCTACCCAGTGCATGTTCGCGTGTACATTGAGCTAATTCTGCGACAGCTTTGGGCAGTGATATACCCTATAGACATGATCAAATCTAGAATGCAGACCGACGGATTTACCCCGTCTACTGGACAAAAATATGCTTCGGCACGGGATTGTGTGCGGAAAGTTTGGAGAAGCGAGGGAATCAGCGCATTTACACGTGGTTTGGGGCCCACTTTGATTCGGTACGCATTTGATTCCTCGGAAATGCTTCACGAACTCATTGCTCGATCAGTTCACCATTTGCGAACGGGGCGACATTCCTTGGATTCGAGATGGCTAGCAGACTGCTGTATTCATAATTATTGAGGATTCATCTCCTACACGTCAATGCGAGACGCTCGGTGGTCACACTGTTGGATCAGTCCGCTCATATTCTCATATTTTAGATCGGACTAGATCAATAATATGCAAACAAACGAGTTTCCCTGTGTCTATATCTCAGTCGGTACTATGGTGTGGCACAGGAATGTACATTTTGACGATCACAATGATTATTTCGGTCAATGTAACAAAACAGTGCATGCGAGTGTCGTGAGTAAGGTTGTACTTACCACGCAGAGGAGACACTACCACGCAGAGGAGACACTCGTTGACAGCTCGAGGTTAGTTGAAATTTGCCGACGACTCCAACGTTGATGAAATATGGTATTTAGCAAGTGCCACCTCCTCGATAAGCTAGACGACATATGATACTTACGATACACCGGACAGACCAAAACCACTGTTGTTGTCACGATTGAGGTCGTCCAGCAGTCCCCACCCTCGCATCTGAGTGTTGACACTGCCAGTGATCTGCCTCGACATATATTTTTCGTGATACGTAAGGGTTCAAAGAGGGTATTTATCCCAGGTTGCAGCATAGGACAATTCGAACGAGATGGTCTTCTGAATGATACCATATTCCTCTGCCTGCTCATGAGCCCTCGGTCCATGCATTATAGCGTTTAAGCAATTGCAACGCTGTCTTCGTCTATTTCTTTGGGATGGTTGGACGGTTGATGAAAATCAATTTCTATCCAAAATTCCGCATATTTCGGTTGAGATACAACGACGTCATCCAGTTTCTTTGTAGCGTTTGCCTTCGCCATGGGAGATGTCAACACAGCTCGATACTTGCGGTGATGGAGATCGTTTCCGATCACCACCTGGTGCCCATAGCGCTCAAGCGCCTGTTGAGCTTTCGGAATCACGTTTGTCTCGTCAATTTCCAGCTGGGAAAATGTGTCGATCAAATGACAACGTAAAAAAAGTGAAGTGAGCATACCTTGAAGAACACAATGAATCCTTCTGGGTTCCGCTCTGACACAAGTGGCTTTAATATCTTCGGTACTTGATCCATTTCTGTGGACAGATTGCCCTTTCTAGATTGTATCCAATGTTCCGACTGACCGTAGGTATTGTCGAAATCGTTTTCCGAGACAGGGTGTGATCACTTACCAATCTCTGCTGCGGTAGGAAGAAATCACTGACAGCGGTAGCAAGATGATACGTCACCTTTCTTCCTGAGACACTCATCGCTCTACTGACTGCGTGCGGTAACCAAAGATATTCGTTCATGGTAACGAACGAGACCATGAGTAGGGTTCCTTGGGCATACACTACTTTGTAGTTAAAGTGATTTGCGGTGTTGGTGTCGTAAGTAGAGGGTCATTTGAGTACGGGAATGCCGAGTCGATAGTCGAGGATGACAGTGATGCAGCATCAATCTCGAGAAAGTTGAGGAATGGGTTGGTCGAGTGGGAACAACGTCGACTGAAAGGTTGCAGGCTGAACTGGCGATGCACGAATATGACGCCATAACCAGCTTTCAGGAAATATTCGGCAGATATCGCATCTCGGGTACCTGCATGATGGTTAGCAGAGCATGACGCGAGCACCTGTGATAATGACTCTCACCGTTACAAGTACGACGGATAAATTAGCCTGTCGTTGCCGTTGGGTAAATTCGTGAACGCCCTTTATGTCGGCGACGAGTGAAGGAGGTTGTGGTTGTGTTTCAAAGTACGACTCAGCACAGAATTTCTGTAGTTCATATGTTGTATTAGACATCCTGCGCGAACCAGGAGACCCTGCACAGTGCAATCTCATCAACAAGGCGAGTAGAGCGTTCGCAGGGGCGAACGGAGCTGGTGCACAAATGGAAGACCCAGTCCTGGAGTCGCATTTACCAGCGGAAAGTGAACAGCGTCATCAGGAAAAGCCACGCGCAATTTCCATCGGTGGTTGCTATCTTTAGACAATCAAGCATGTTCGGCAGTAGTTACCATGTCTTACCTCTACCACCCAGTGACATTGCAACATTTTCGCATTATGTTGACCTCGTGCAATCATATTGTCTGAGGATTGTAAGTCGCTTGTGACATTTGCGATCATCTTGCAATACATACTTAGGCACCAGCAGCGGCTCGGGCCGTGGACTCCAAAATTTGCTTGCGGCAGTCAAAGTTATCTCATCAAGCCTTTCAACCGTGACTACCGTTCTGTATTTACTTCCAGCAGGTGACCAGCACCATCAGCTTACCCAAACCATTAACTTCGGCCGTCACGCGTCATGCCCCCTTAGCGCCGCGCACCCATTGAATACGATTGTGATGCGTGTGGAGCTCATAATGTTGATGCTATTCGTCTGACGAGGCACAGTGCGCACCAGAGCCCGCCGTGCCTACGAGAAGTTCGTATAGCTTCACGAAAAGCGTCTGGCGGCAAAAGCGCGTGCAAAGCGGAGAAATTAGCCTATGTCACTGCGGCATCGCATCCAATGCCAACCACTCAAACACTCACAGGCTGCACTACCAGTGGAAATCATAGCTAGTGCAGGGACTCGGCAGATTCGGGCGAAGGTTCTGTGAATACCGTGCATTTGGATCGCGCTGGCATACTGATTTTATTTATTTCCTATCAGTCAAAGGGCCCTTTCACTCCGAGTCATCCGGTCCCTGAGCCTCTACCAAGATTGACACCTCTGCTCCCTCATACTCTATCATCCTTACTCGAACAGCACACGGATGCTAGTGCCTGTGTTCAGGAAGACGTGTTGGCAAGTGCTCGTAGGCGATTGTAGTGGTTTCATTGGTTGGAACTTGATTATGAGCGCTTGGCAAAATGTTTTCCCTGATGGTCGATGGCAAGCTCACTTTGACTGTGCGTTGGTGTACTGCTTGACTTGTTCTTAAAGGGTTTAAACAGTCTAGACTGAAGAATGAGAATTGTTGCGATCAGAACAGGCAATGGTCGCCGTTATGACTGGTGTCGAAATAGTTCATTAAGGTTGAGCGGTTTCGAGAATATCGCCATGCTCGCTGTACGTTACAGCGAGCAGTGGTGAACTTCATCATGAAGCGCGTGTCGAATGAGCATGTGATTACTGGATCGGATCGGTCAGCGCCGTGACTGACTTGTACGATGTTTGCGCCCTCACACTGAGCGGTGTCATCCCTTTATTGCAGTAACTAACAGAGTCTTAAGAAAAGGCACAACTTAGGAACTCGGGCATACTTGGACGTTGGAACTTGCTAGTACGTTGTGTTGCATCTTTTCCTGATATTCACTTATACTTACATTCATACGAGGATGTCAACCGACTCGACAAGTTCCCTCATTATGTCGACGTACTGTCTAACATTAGTAGCAATGGAATGCACTGACCTATACGAACTCTATTAATCCAGTGTCCGATCTCATTCCCTCGACCATCTTATCGCTGAATCGCTGAAATGACAACTTTCGTCCGGTCATGCCTAGGCGTCCCCTCACAAGGACTCAAAGCACTCTGCTTGGACATGTAAAGCAACGAGTGACTCAAGGGATTGATCGGGTGTTGCATGGCCCAGGCCGGGCACTACGACAAAGACCTCCAAAACCCTGCCAAACCTCGGTGTCAAGTAATCTCAGTCTTTACTCAACTATTCACGTCAAGTTGAGCGCCATCCGTATAATTTATCTCTGGCAAATAACTCGATCCTGATGTTCATCCAACGCTGTAACAGATTGAAGCTTTCAAACCGATGTGGTTGCTTCAAGGACTATGCACTCACGTATTCCATGGTCCACATCCACTAGTGACCTCCACAAAGCGTCTGTACGAACGCCACAAACGGCTGTCTACCACAAAGCACAGTGGAACGACCACAGTCGGGAATCGTTTATATACCTCCCCCAATACCTCCCCAGTGCCATCATCACCCAGAGTTGAAACATATATCCACCTCGGACAGAATCAAGTAGCACCACCACTCATCTTATCCCATCACCAATCATGTCTAAGGTAGGCCTAATCCTCGTGCACTAACTTGAAGACTGACTCGGACGCGGAATATTTAGACCTACATTTGCTCTGCTCATCCTGGCTGCAACGCAACTTTTACCAGGTTCATCGACTTCAAGAGACACGAGGCCGCATATTCATTAGAGTGCATTTTTTCTCCTCTATGCTATATAGCGTACCTCACTCACATTCGCTTATACAGTGGGTATATCTGCACTTGGCCCGGCTGCGACTTTGCGACAAAGAGGAAAGTCAGCTATGAAGTCCATTCTGCTAAGCAGTACGTGTTCATCCATCACTATCATCGATTCCACCTCGTCAACATTTTTTTTAGTACGGGCGAGCAACGCTACATCTGTCCTCACGATGATTGTAACTACAAGACCCACGACCCCGCCGGCTTCACGCGCCACCGCCAGAAACAACATGGGTATGTTCCTCTGCGCCGCGGTCGTGGTGCCCCCTCCATGAAAGGGTCAGGCGGGATTCAACCGTCATCCCAGCCCCCGGCACAGCCCCAGCCCCCGGCAAAGTCTCTTTCCCCCAATACATTCTCCCAATACCAATACCAACTCCAACTTCAAGCCACGCAACTGCAGCCCATGCTACCGCAACCCATGCTACCGCAGCCCATGCTACCACAACCCCAACTGCAGCACATGCTATCTCAACCCATGCTACCGCAACCCATGCAACTGCAGCCCATGTCGCAACCCATGCTATCCCAACCCATGCAACTGCAACCCATGCAACTGCAGTCCATGTCACCGCAGCCCATTCAACTGCAACCCATTCAGTCGCAACCCATGCCACCCCGGCCCATGCCACCTCGGCCCATGCAATCTCATCCCATCGAACATAAATCCACTCAATACCGACCCCCTCCACCTATCTACGACTCATCATTGGGAGTCTTATACGGCTCAACAGATACCGCGGACGACTACACCATGTATACTCCACCTGCGAGGACCTCCAACGGGTGGACTGAGGGATGCATGTGTCCTGAATTGATGCAGAGACGCCCTTCGGAGATGCTAGGGTATGAATATTAGCCTTATTAGTTTTCATGATCTTCAGACGTGAGGAAATCATTTGTGATCTTTTTCTTTCCTTGTCGGTGATGCTTTTCTTGTTTATGTATGGCCTCGGATTCTGCATCCTTATACTTGTTTGTATATCTCATTTATCACTTCTTGGTGTCAAAGCAATACATTATTTTATCAATGTAGCACGTTTCAAGTTGTAATTGAAACATTTGCCTTCCCCTCAAGCTTCAAGTTTGATTCACGCTCTCAGCGCTCTGAGTCATGCTCCGCTACCAAACTCTATTGATTCTAACAAGTGTTCCGATCACCTTCGGACGTTTCCTATCGTCAATTACAGTAATAGATGCTTGTAAGTGGTATGTCGAACACATTTTTTCCGCCGGTTTGAACGAAAACAAAACGGACGGAAACGAATCGAGCGGCTGCCAAACGGGCCCAAAATCTGAAATTCGGATTCGCTTGCAGGTAACCCCAGCCTCTTTGTTACGACGTGTCCAACATTTACAATTCCGAATTCTCTTGCAAGACTTCCTATGCGCCACGGGGCTTACAAGGTTGCAAACCCGTACACACTGAGACGGTAAGGACTACATTTATGCCCAATATGAGTCTGCTCTAGCCAGGATTCTTCATACCAGATAGGATGTAGCTAACGTTGGTCCATGGAATCGCACTCCCGAGACACAATTCAGTAAGAGAGTCTGAACTTTGACGTTTATCTCTTAACGTCACCTTCTAGAAATGTCTCCGATGTATTTCACCTTCATGAGATCTGATTGGGTCGAGATGTTCCTAAAGACCAAGTACCTACCTAGTAGTACTAGTGGGCGCATCAGAGAAGAAGATATATATTGTCATATATCGTTATATATCGTAATATATAGGAAAGGCTTTCGTCACATTGGAATATAAAGTGATAATAAAGCAATATATGACTATGTAAAAGCACCATAATCAGTATAATTCGGACAGCAAGAGAAGTGATCTGAAGCTCATTTTAACCAGACACGGATCCAAAATGTAAGGGATGCCTCGTAAGTGCTAAGTCGGAAGGTATCCGATCAAGTTGAACGTTAGTTCTTACGATACATCCGAGTTTGTGGTGAATAAAAGCCCTCGCGATTTTGACTAGAGTGTCAGTTCGACCATAGCATCCAAATACCCACTCTCAATTCCAACCATGCAGTTCGCACTCACTTTTACCATACTGGTTACATTTGTTACCCTTGCTGCATCACATCCAACACCAACATTGGCCGAAGAATATGGTGAGTACTGAGGACTCGTGCCGTTCTTGTCGGTGAGAGTGATACTGATATGCTATGCAGCTTTGGCTGAGCGCCAGCAGCTTCCGAATCCCTCCATGACTATCAGTATACCTAGCCTTCTTCCCACGTTTTGAGATGCCTGAGACACCTGAGACACCTGGTTCAATTGACTGATAGAGAGGTAATGGTTTTTTCTCCTTTCATTGCTATGAAGTCTTATTGCTGTTCAGCTTTCGAATTAGGGAGGGGTCGCGAGAAGAGGTACTGAGTTTAATACATCGTAGAGCTACGGCATCAGCACGCAGGCTAGCTCAGGTTGGCGTGTTAGAATCGATTCCGAGAGTTTTATATGCACGAGATTCGAGACTTGAAGCAGATATGATCGAGGGACGGACTAGTACTTACATAATCAATGATCTTAGTGTCTTGGACAAATTTGTCACGGCGTGTTCACTGTTAGCGGTGCACTAAAGAGCCCTTGTTCAACCAGGACTAGGTCTAAATTAAGATTCTAAATGGGTTTTCTCCTACTGCAGACTGCCATACAGGGCTCACAGGTGCGCTAAGGATCGCTAATAATTGACTTGGTTTCGGCGCTTTGCTAATGCTCCACGGGTGGCAAGCAGATTCAATTTTTGTCGAGCGCACTTACCTTGATGCTTTCACTTTCTAGTGGCTTGCTCACGTACGTTTATACTGCGACCATTCTATCATATACTGACTAAGGACGACCCGTTCCCAGTTAGTCACGCTGCTCAATTCGCGTAGACTAGTTCCATCGACTTCACGCCATTATCAATTTCGAACCTTTCCTCCCCTTTTGCCCATGATGATCGTGCCCAAATTCATTTGCCTTCAAGCTTTTCATTATGCGAGTGGAATGTGATCTAGCAAGGTATGTCGATTAGTTATTTTAGTCCCATGTTCTCAACACGTGTTAGATGAATGAAAGATAACAGTTTCCTGAGTCTTGTCCTCACCCACAACGCTTGTGACAATCAGCATAACCCGAAATGCTCCCCCGCGTATTAGTGTGCGGTCAGTATCTGGTTTATCCAATGATCAGTTGGACTCTAATGCGTTGCAGGTGAGATTGAGTATGTCCAAGATGAGTTCGAGGAGATGTTTCGTGGGATCGCCGAAATTGTAGTAAGTTGGCTTCCCTTTCAATGCACCTCTAGCTTATGTGCCATCATCCCTTTCCCTCTCCAGCATCTGGTATCAGAATCTCGTTCTCATTTCCTCTCCTCATTTGGGCCCAATGGGCCGTATGAAGGGACTGTCGCCTTGTACAGGCGCAACACATCTTCTGCAGTCATAGGAAAATTTGACGCGCCATTAATTCACGCTCTAGCCGATACGAGCAAGGTCCGCTGGATCGCTCAGAGTAGCAGTGGTTACGATGAAATTGACGTGCAAGCCTGCAAAGAACGAGGTAATGTCCGCTCTCAGTCAGATAACTATTGCTAACGTGCATTTGCCCCAGGAATATTGGTGTCGAATACTCCAAGAGCGAACGAGGATGCTACTGCTACTACCGCTTTATACCTTATGATATCATGCCTGCGGCGCTTCTCGATGGCAGAACGTTCCCTTCGCTCTGGTACATGGAAGACACCCTGTGATGCAGCGCAAACTCACGACGTTACTGGACGCACGCTTGGTATCTTCGGCTTGGGTGGCATCGGTCTGAGATTTGCTCGCCTTGCGCACGCCTTTTCAATGCACATCATATACTTCTCACGAAGGAAGGCAGAATCCGTACCAGACTGGTGCGAATATGTCTCAAGCCTGGAGGAGCTGTGCAAGCAGGCTGACGTACTGAGCATACACGTTCCTCTAAACCAATCCACAGCTGGTATAATTGGAGAGAAGGAGATCAGGACCCTGCGACGGGGAAGTGTGCTTCTCAATACGTCACGAGGACGAATAGTGGACCAAGAGGCGATGATACGAGCACTGGGGGACGGTCATGTAACACTTTTTCTATCGTCTTGTCGTCTTTGTTCACAGCCTTCAGCTTTCATCAGTCGGCTTGGATGTATACCCCGATGAACCGCGCATAGATCCGCGCTTGTTGACCTTCCCGCAATGTACGCTTCTGCCGCATATTGGGGGAGTATCAGCGGAGTCATCGAGGGCAAAAGAACTGCAAGCGTTGGGAAACTTGAAAGCTTTTGTACTGGGTGGCATCGGGGAAAATATTGTCCCTGAGCTGAGGACGGAAATCGGCAACTCAACTATGTTGTAATCGCTAGCAGCAGGCCGGACAAGGCATAGCACAGAAGGAACAACTGCCTTCCCTCGTCTAATGATAGAACGTGGCTTGTATATTGATCACTGCAAGCCACGCCATTCAGCCTCAGTGCTGTCAAAGAAGCCTCATCAGAATAACATTATAGTCTGGTTCGACAGCGCTAACTTGAACGTTAAACCCCGTGCCTCCCGGGCCCCATTATAACTCATCTTTGTCGCATGTATCACTGGACCCTGCGCACTCGGTGACTCTCCAGCCATGCTCTCCCTCGATCAGGGCTCATTGGCACTGAGAAGTCGCACGAAAATGGAGGGAAGAGCTGCCAATGCACGTCGGTAGGGACAGTAAAAGCCTTCTTCGTACCGCAGAGAAGCTGTCAGTGTAACAAAGCAAATTTTGATGTTACCGCACCATCTTGTTCCCCGTACGTACGGCGAGAACTATGGGCTATATGCCAGCCCGCGGCCACTACAACGTTCAATACCTGCAGCACTCGCACTTTTTCTCAGCATCAAGCAGGGGGCGAGGCAGAAGCTTGCTCTACAGTAAACAGTTCACGATCAGCCGCGCAACTTGGAGAGTATCGCAGTGTATCAAGAGATACTTGATGCGTGGTAACACCAAGGGGAGCCAGTTCATGATTACAGTCGTGCCTGTTTAAAGATATACGAAGTTAGGCGTAACAATGAGTTTACATAAGTTGGATAGACAACGAAAAAACTCCAAAACGCAAGACGAACTCCTTTGCACAAAAATTCAAGTTCCTGGAATAAACGCCTTTTATTTGCCCGGTGCACATAATTCTCTGACCACTTTCTCGTCGATCCTCTTCGCAAAACATATCTCGAACGGAGCAGCATGCGTAATTGCACTGTCCGAGAATGCGTGCGTGTCAATCTTCGCTGCAGGATCCTCCGATAGGCGGAAAGCCCACAGAATAAGAGCCGTGTTGAGGAAGATAGACCGATTCGCGAAATGTTGACCGGGACATACCCTGATGTTTTCAAGTAAGGCATAAGAAATGGTCAAGAGACGAACGATACCACTTACCGACGGCCAAAGCCAAAAGTGAAAAACCGCATATCACCGCGCACACGACCTGCATCGTCAATCCAACGCTGAGGATTAAATCTGTGTGGTTCGGGAAAGACTTCAGGATCGTTTGCGATAGCCCTGAAGCATGAGTGTCAGACCAAAAGGTGAGAGGACGAAAATGATTGCCTACTGACAAATGGTTCCCAATAACAGTCGCACCTGCCGGAATGACGTAGTTGTTCCAAATGATGTCCTTAATCGCGCGATGCGCAAAGCCTGTAGTGCAAGGTGGTTGTTCAATATCGCGTCATCACAACTCAAATAAGACGTACCTCCGGGAGTGATAGGTCTCCACCTGAGACTCTCGAGCATGAACGCAGTAACCTGCGGCAGCATTTCCTGATCAGCAAACGTCGGCACTAATTAGGAGCTATCTCAGTCAACAGACGAACAAAGAAAAGGCATAACCTACGCCGCGTACGCCCCACAACGTTATCGAGTTCCTCTTGTACGCGAGCCTGCGCATCTGTATGAGTGGCAGCAGCCATCATCATAATTGTGATTGCGGACGCAGTCTACAACAGTTGTCGAGTGAAGACGCGATGCAATGTAAGAACTTACCGTATCAGCACCGGCCCCGAATATCACTCCTGCAAGGAATGCCACTTCCTTATCTCCGAGCTGGTACTGTTTCTGGTGCTCTAACATGAACCTCGCAAAGGATGGACTTGCAGTCCCCTCACGCTTCACAGTGGTGAGCGAGCATATCTATCATCACACGAAAATCACGAACCATCTGTCTTCGCACTGCGTCTAACTGCCCGTTATAGAAAGCAAATTCTTCTCTGTGCCATGCCTTCAGCTGACTCAGGTAGCCCGGTACGAAACGCAGGATTGGATACGTATCCACAAGATATGCTCCCGGCTTCATAGCTTGACCGAAACGCGCAGAAAACTTATTGATGGTAACAACTTCAGGATCTGTATATGAAGTCGAAGTAGCCTTTCCATAGGCGAAGGACATGATCACGGAAGCTGAATAACTGAAATCCTCGGATTACCACCTGTACCGCGACTAAGAGCTGGTGTTCGTACCGCATGACATGTCTCTGGTGGTTCTTTGGATCATTTAAGATATCTAGAACCACATTCTTCGCATGCCTGGTCTGCATGGGCTCATAGGTCTTCGCAACCTTAGGCTGCAAGTTTGCTTGCATGACCCTGCTTTACATTTAGTCTCACTGATCGCACCTAGTAGAGACAGGATATGTACCTGCGCATCCGGCGCAATCTCTCAGTGCTGCCCTCAAGCACCACTCTGAACCCGCCAGCCAACGTCTCGTGCACTGCAATAGAACGTGGGCGGTCGGCAACATTTGCTCCCTCCTTTTCCATGATATCCACTGCAGCCTGTGACGCGATCCACTTCATGCCTGGCTAGACGATGTATTGTTTTATGCTGACCTGATGACGTCCTATAACTACGAAAATCCTATGGCCTTGTTTGAGCGAGAACACAGGTCCGTATTGTTCTGTCCATCTCGCGAATTGAAAAGGCGCACTGCGTGAGGGGTTAGATAGAGATCATGTTGGTGTCCCTTGACGATGACTTACTATGACTCTGGCAACGTATTTCCTAATAGCCAACGTCCAGGCGGTCCAGGCGGTAATGGCAACCGTCTGGCGGCCTGATATCGTTGTTTCACTATCCAGACGCTAGCTAAGATAATGATAAGGGTGCATGCGGCAATGATGATCGCCATTGAAATGGTCTGGCTTGCTGATAGTCACGATTCAGACACCCCGCTACTTTGCAGTGCGTCAAGTACTCCAGAACACAAAGGTGGTGACTTACTGTGATGGGTGACGGGTACGGTGAGATGAGAGTGCGTGATTACGCTGACTTATACTTATACAAACACGGATTGAACACCTGCACAAATAAATCGGACCCAGTGTGCGAGTCACGTATTGCGGTCTTCCTATAGTATAGGCTAGGAACCTGATGTGACCAGTGACCACCCTGGTGATAAGTTAGCGCGTGTTCCAAGACATTTTGACTCCACCCGAAGATTGTGTAAGGTAGATCTTCATGTCGTTCTCGATGACCCGTTGACCCAAGGACGAACCCAAGGCCGAGGAAGCGGCAGAAAATAAGAGATTGGCAGAGCTCGCAAGGAGCTCGAACTTTTTGGACAAGAACACGACCGTTGGCCAGGAGCTTTGTCTGCAAATGAAATCTAGTGCCAACAATATCTATGGTTAAAGAATCAAGGATACTGTTCTTGTTTGCTCGATTGTGAAGACGGGCGAGTAATACTTCACTATTTGTTTCACCTGTCAGAAAATGACATCGCTTATGTAATGTTCGGCAGATACACGGCATCTATTATATCGCATTCCATTCTGTTGTTGTTCAGTATCTATAAGGTGAAACCATCGCTAGCGGCCTAGGTAAGTTTGGTTTGAATATTTAGGGGGGATATCATTATACCCATAATAACTGCTTTCTGATGGCTTGGGAATCTGACGAGTATGCACAGGCTCTCCTTGCTGTAAGTGTATCTCGTTCATAATGATCAGACAAATTTATACTATTACTAGCTTGCAGCCTTGCACGTTCACAGTCGTCCAACTCGCCAACTCTAAGTAGTCCTCTCAGTGCCCCCAGTGCATCTCCTCGTTCGTGCCACCACCGCATATCTATAATGGGCAGCATGTGTGGGTAGATCAAACATATCGCATCATGCAACACCAGCCCACTGGCGCACTCGACAACACCGTGACATGCTCTCGGCAGAGTTGTGGGTGGACCTTTTAAAAATGTCGAAGTTTGACAGATAAAATCGGCTGGGCTGAGCTCGCGAACCGAGTCCTAGAATTTAAGAGCCCCAGTGCTCCTCATTTCGGAAAATAGAACAACGGCGGAAATCTTTGAACCCCTTCACAAAAATCTCGGCATATCATTCGGGTCGGTCACTTTTGAAAGCAGGGCAAGCTTTATACATACACACAAAGGTATGATATTTTCATAATATTTACTATCGACTCAAGATATATCACTCTAGACTGCATCCGAGATGTTGAGGAGAGAATTGCTCTCTATTGAAGTCGACAGAGAGGACGTACAGTCCGTAACGTGTATGTTCAAGTCATGCGTGCATCTTGGACACTAGGACTCAAACCCCTTATGTAGTAGACGATGATCTGCCATCTAACGCTCGCATTAGCGGGATCGCTATTCCACTGGACTCGGAATCTCAACCGGCCGAAATCACAGCTTCATATTATGATGCTGCGAACAAATTCGTGGCTTCCCAAAAAGAGACATATGGCAAGGACCCGTTCGCAGATGAATATGCAGTGGAAAATTGTAGGAACAATGTTATATCTACTAGCTGCATACTCACGTGGATGGTCAGCTCCAGCTAATGCAGAACACAGACGCAGATCAACTTCCAGCTCTACCATGGCAACGAGCGATGGGGGAGCTGCATCATCAAGTTCTCGTCTTTCTGGAGCATCTGGCAACAACGATGTTTCCTTCCAAAATAGCAAGGTTGCTCGAAGATCTTCGATATGAATGCCAACTCTGAACAGCGGCGGGTCATGTTCGTAGGATCTCATTTTTGTATCGTGGAATTCGCTCATGGTATATATTCAGCTGTTCGCCGTCAACGAGATGATTATTTCCAAAATGGCAGCCATCACATGGTAACATGGTGCTATGATGTTGGATTTGAAAATCACCATCTCTCGGCAGGAACCTATCCAGGAGACGCGCGCGGAATGTTGTTCGTCATGATTTTGATGCATGTAAACCATGCTTAATGAGGAATTCCGAGTGCTTGATTTCCTGATGAATTGGACGTTTGGAAAGGTTAAAGAACAACACAGGCCACACTAATACTCAATACTGGTGTCTTATTTTTTCAAATACTGCGAGTTGATCTAACAAAAGAAGTAAGAAGTAAGATTTCATGCTCAGCGGCCGCCGTCAATCATGTCTGCGCTTGTGGACACATGCCGATCACGGTAGATCTGAGTCCCATTCCCCAGAGAACTGAGTTGGTAGTTTCGGCAGTCATTGTAATCGTCAATCAATTTATATCTGTGTGCCACACTACACCACAGATCGAGAGATGGACAGGGAAACTCGTGTCTGCACATTGTTGGTCTAATGCGATCTAAAGTATGAGAATATAAGCGGACTGAACCAACAGTATGACTACACTGAGCGTCTCGGCATTGACGTGCGGGAGGTGAACCCTCGATGATCATGAATACTAGCCAATTCGAATCCGAGGAACGTCACGCCGTTCGCAAATGGTGAACTGATGAGCAATGAGCTTGTGAAACATTTCTGAGAAATCAGATACGTACCGAATCAAAGTGGGCCCCAAACTACCGATTTCCTTGCTTCTCCAAACTTTCTCCATCTCGCGAATTGAAAAGGCGCACTGCGTGAGGGGTTAGATAGAGATCATGTTGGTGTCCCTTGACGATGACTTACTATGACTCTGGCAACGTATTTCCTAATAGCCAACGTCCCGGCGGTAATGGCAACCGTCTGGCGGCCTGATATCGTTGTTTCACTATCCAGACGCTAGCTAAGATAATGATAAGGGTGCATGCGGCAATGATAATCGCCATTGAAATGGTCCGGCTTGCTGGTGTCACGATTCAGACACCCCGCTACTTTGCAGCGCGTCAAGTACTCCAGAACACAAAGGTGGTGACTTACTGTGATGAGTGACGGGTACGGTGAGATTAGAGTGTATGATTGCGCTGGCTTGTACTTATACAAACACAGATTGAACACCTGCGCAAACAAATCGGACCCAGTGTGCGAGTCACGTATTGCGGTCTTCCTATAGTATAGGCTAGGAACCTGATGTGACCAGTGACCACCCTGGTGATAAGTTAGCGCGTGTTCCAAGACATTTTGACTCCACCCGAAGATTGTATAAGGTAGATCTTCATGCCGTTCTCGATGACCCGTTGACTCAAGGACGAACCCAAGGCCGAGGAAGCGGCAGAAAATAAGAGATTGGCAGAGCTCGCAAGGAGCTCGAACTTTTTGGACAAGAACACGACCGTTGGCCAGGAGCTTTGTCTGCAAATGAAATCTATTAGTGCCAACAATTATATCTATGGTTGAAGAATCAAGGATATTGTTCTCGTTTACTCAATTGTGAAGACGGACGTTCTACGCGAGTCTATTCGTTTTACCTGTCAGAAAATGACATCGCTTACATAATGTTCGGCACATCAACGCCCTGTGACAAATAATGCGCATTCCATTCTGTTGATCATGCGAGTTGTTCGGTATAGTCTTGTTTGAATAGGGGGGATGTGAGCTGATATCATTATACCCATAATAGCTGCTTTCTGATGGCTTGGGAATCTGACGAGTATGCACAGGCTCTCCTTGCTGTAAGTGTATCTCGTTCATAATGAGGGGAGATCAAACATATCGCACCATGCAACACCAGCCCACTGGCGCACTCGACAACCGCCAACAGCACATGCTCTCGGCAGAGTTGTGGGTGGACCTTTTAAAAATGTCGAAGTTTGACAGATAAATTCAGCTGGGCTGAGCTCGCGAACTGAGTCCTACAATTTAAGAGCCCCAGTGCTCCTCATTTCGATACTTGGTGGTCGCCTTCAGCCTTTCCGTATGATTCAGACTCTGTTCACCTCAAAGAGCAAGAGGGATGAAATCAAGGCGAAGAAAGCGGCAGAACTCGAGAGATTGGAAGCTCGCATGGCCCAGAAGTACCTTGCAGTCTTCGGAGTAGAATATGAACCTCCAACGGGAGCTTTGTCTTCATACGAAACTTGGTGGAGCCAGCAATATCAATGGTTAAGAGGTCAAGGATACTTGCTTCGGCCACGCTATGCTCCAGAATGGGTTCCGTCTTGGGAGGGTTCCAAACGCAATTCTTCTGATTGTGAAGATCGACAGATCTTACGCGTAGGGCAACAAGCTCAGCTTCCATTTTAACTAGCTGACGGTTCCACAGTTTTGGAAAATCATGGATGCAACACGCCTATCTGACGGCTTGTATGTTTGCCTCAAAGTAGTCAAGAAGTCGGTGTTTCCTTATGAGGCAGACATTGGACTATATTTCATGTCGGACAAACTTGCGTCTGATCCCAAGAACCACTGTGTTCCGTCTTTCGAGGTGTTGTCAGTTCCCGACGAAGACAATAAACAGATTATCGTGATGCCATTGCTTCTCAATTTCGTCAAGCTTCGATTTGATACGTTCGGCGAGGTGATGGAATGCCTCAGGCAACTTTTCGAAGTATGCCAACCGCTCTGAACTTGTACGTTCTCTCATCAACTTATTGCAGGGTTTTTTATTCATGCACAACCACCACGTTGCACACCGGTACGTTCCTCGAGACTGCCATATAACGTGATCTCACTGAACTGAACAACAGTGATTGCACGTGGATGAACATTATGATGGATACCAAAGACCTCTATGCCGAACCATATCACCCTGTCAAGCCTCACATGAAGCGGGACTATAGCGGTTACGCGAGTCATTACACCCGCACTCAGCGACCCTCCAAGTACTACATCATCGACTTCGGCTTGTCACGCCGATTCGATGCCAGTGAAGAAAATCCGCTCGAGTATCCTATAATCGGGGGTGATAAGACGGTGCCAGAATATCAAAAATATCCGAATACCCCGCTGGATCCCTTCCCAACCGATGTCTATAATCTCGGAAATCTTATCCGAGAACAGTTCCTAAATGTAAGTGCTGATCTGACGCTTTCATCTTTCAAAACTTATGAACGTAAACAAGACTAAAACGGGATTTGAGTTCTTGAAATCTCTCATCGATGATATGGTGCAAGATGATCCAAGTAAGAGACCTACAATGGGGCAAGCGGTCGAACGATTCGACTCGATTCTACAAAACCTCAGCACATGGAAACTGCGGTCTCGCGTGACTGCCAGGGATGAAGGTTCTTTCGGGTATATGTATCACGGGGCTGCTCATTGGAGACGACGGATAGGTTTTATTGTCAAGCGCGTATCGGCTATACCCCGTCTTCCGCAATGAAGCGCGCCTCTACGATTTCGCAGTGCACCTCACTGACATTCATATGATCTTTTGAATATATAAAATCGAGTGGGCGATGAATTCAGTGTTTGTAACTACTTTTGCGTAGAGAAATTGCTGATTATGTACATGGTGAAACGGTCGACAGTATGTGGAGTTCTCAAGTCTGCGTGCTAGTGTTCCATAAAGATGACAGTTGCGCGGAGATCGGAATACCGGCATACAATAAGTAATAGCCGACCAAAACATTAAACACCAGTAATCCGAGAATGAGCTGCAGACGTCCTCCAGTATGTGGCACGGGTGTGAGTCTAAAATGGTGTTAGTTGATATCACGCTGAGCTCCTAGCCTCCTATACGCTGTGCAGCTATGCTTCCCGAGCAAGAGGCGCGGTGGTAGCGGCATTCTTTTGGTTAGAATTGAAAATCTTCTGTATGGATTTTATGCCAGCAAGGAAGGTCTGGGCGCGATCTTGCTCGCTGAGATTCTACGTCTCGACCGACCGCTGTGATAGTGAATCGTCAACTTCACATACACATCAAAAAGTGTGTCCTGTTCAAGACCAATCAGTCGAATACGATACGGGAAATGAAACAAACCAAATTATGAGGGTGAATGGTCAATTGGTCAGATGAGTGGCCTTGCTAGGTCGAGTGCTTAAAGACGACTGAACAGCGGCACGGACTAGGGAAATTAAAGCAAAGCAGAAATTAATTGATTGGTGTATGGATGTGACGATGGTTAGAACACTGCGGTGAACAACGCCACAGGCACATACTGCATCCATGCAAACTTTATTTCGTTGATGGTGACTTCGGGAAGACCGAGCTAAACGGAGTGGTGAGTGATGACGTTGTATGCACAACGCCCATCAACGCCCCGAAGAGTCAGGCGAAGTCGTGGACATCCGAACCTAATTCTGACTCGGCTGGAAACGAGCGAACCCCTCATGTTGAAAATAAAATAAATCTGCAGGAGGGTTGGTGCCTTGCAAGGCATTTGAACATTGCACCAGTGAATGAGCGAATGGACCATCTCGCATTCTTCAGAGAAGCACCCACGTATAACAGAGTCTAGTGTTTGAGGGATAAGTTAAACACGTGTATGAAATGTACTTGATGGATTTGTAGAGCAAGTCATACTGAGCTCCTCCAAGCGAGACAGTCCTCGCCAACTGGCGTGCAAATCGACTTGTCACTTTACAGACAAATTATAATGTGAGGCGTCAATGACTGTCGTTAATGATAACAGAAAAACGCTGAAGGATAGCAAAAGGAGGATATCAATATAAATGTGATCATCCGTGTTCTAAAACCATCAGTGACCGTCGTCGTTGGACGGAGACGCACAGCAGAGGAACAGCACAGCACGAGCCCACCATTTCGAGTTGTCGACGCGTTTTGCTTTGTCGCTAGCTCGTTCCGGCCGCCGAGCAACACAGTGCCTGCAAATAAAACTTGAGACGCTAGCTATTGATGACACATCCCCCAAACGACATACCTTCTTGTCATCTAGTGCAGGAACGTCGACAACAGGAGGACTGCGGCGAGAAGAAGTACCAGGTCCTATGCGTTGCTGGAGTTCGACATGTTCATCGGTGTTTGGTTGGGAACGGTGGAAGAGTGACGGAAGGCCAGCGAGAAGCGCATGTGGACGTGATCCCCAGGATAGTGCATAAGCATTGCGGCGGCGACGTAGAGAGGAATCAGGATGGAGATGGCGGGTATTGGAAGACTGGAATATGAATATCAGAGCAAGTAGTGCAGGTAAATTGTGGTAACTCACAGGACCATCGTCTTGCACATTATCAAAAAAGCCTTGTGGCACTCGACGTGGGGCTGGACGGATAGGCGGACATCGCGTAGCATTAGCCTGGAATGTTGATATCAGGATCGATATCAAGGTCAGAAAAAGACACAGCGTACACCTGATAGCTTGTGCGTGTGGGACATTAGCGTGTTTCATTCTTGAAATTTTTGCAAGATGATACATACCTTCTTTTTGAGTTCAGATTTTTGTGCCTGATGGCCATTGGGAATAAGATAGCGGGTGAGAGTCAAGTTGGCACTCACATCAGGTATGAGCAGGATATCCTCTAGGCCAGCTGTTTTGAGGATGTCTTGGATATTCCATATGTACGCGTTTCAATCCATCCAACCTGCAGTGGATAGCAGCTTTCCATCAGCGGAAAATGCTGCACAAGTGACGAAAATTTCGTGTTGGAGAGGTGGCCCGATTTCGAAGTTCGTGTCAAGATTCCAGAGACGCGCTGTCTTATCCCAAGATGTACTCGCAAGGAGGCGGTCATGGGGAAATAAAGTGATGGAGCAGACAACATTTGTGTGACCCTTCGAAACAGCGGTCTGCTGCCATGTGGCGGTGTCGAATATGGCCATTCCCACACCCGGCAAAAAGCTTCTTTTCATGTGATGTCCAGGTCAAGGACCAAACCATTCCACCGGATTCGATCGTGGACAGCAGCTCGCCCGTCTTTGTGTGATTCACCACCTTTACCGAAGGAAGTCTGTGGCCTAACGTTATGATGGACACGAAAACACTCCTGCATCAATGGACATACAGCGCCAAGAATCGTCAATCCACACTCTTTTGTGCTTTGCTAGGCTCCAGTGTCAAGTGCATTCATCCGGGTGCGTATGTAGCTAGCACTACGATTAGGTTTTGTGGTGCATACAATGTAAATTTGTCTAATACTTACTTCGGGTGTATCACTTTATCCTTGGACTGCTTCAGCCACAATTACAAGCGTGTGAGTGATCTTGTGATACAGTAATACACAAGCTAACTCACTTGATCATGTAAATTGAGGCTTGGGACAAACTTGACCAATGCATATTGTTTTGTAGGCGCTTTGGATGTTTCGACGGAATCCTCGAACGGCTCACATGCCGCAGTGTAAGCCGAAATCATGCGGAAGTTCTCCTAATCATGAATATGAATAAGTACAACTTCCAGTCTTCACAATTAACGCCAGTCCTTCCGTCAGTAACTGATACGAGCAGTGGAAACTCCTGACAAATACAGTTTGGACGAGAATCTCAAGAAACGAAGTAACGCGGAGAGTTCATGAGTGAGGCCATCAGTAAACCGGTGAGTTCTTGCTGGGGATTATGCTGATTATGGTGCTTTTACATAGTCATATATTGCTTTATATCACTTTATATTCCAATGTGACGAAAACCTTTCCTATATATTACGATATATAACGATATATGACGATATCTTCTTCTCACAGGTTCTCTGATGGCCCGAATGTCGCGGAGCATAAAAACTATGATTTGGTGGTAAAGTATTCAGACTTGACTCACTTGAGCGCACAGCGACAAAGAGGGATGATTCACAAAGGTATCGTCGATTACTATTCGACATTTTATGAGGTATGTTGTGGAATATCTAGTGTATCCCAAACCAAAAAAATCACTTCTAGTCACAGCCCATATGATATGTTTTCATCCGTGGTGTGAGATGTTGTATTTAAGCAACCCTCAATAATCGACGGCGTCAATGCCAAGGAGCTGATGTGTATGATGAATAACGTTATGACATGATAGGGTCGAAAGTACGAACACCATCGTTGATTATGCGACCCGCTGGTCGGCGATGGAAGCGACTGGCTGATCTTCAGGCAACGTAACTGTTATCGAAGATGAAAGAGATACCACCAGACCCCTGCCCTGAGGATGCTCCAGATAAACGAGAGCCGGCTCACGATGCGGCCTTCCTATTGGGGTTCCAGAATCAAAGGCTTTAATCGTGTTCAGTATCTGCAGATAACAAAGATATCAGCACAAATGCTATCAGGATATGTGATCCGAGTCTTACACCCTTCCACTTGTTGATCATCCTCAAAAGGATTATATCCAGGAATGGACTTAGCCTGATCAGCAATAAAATTGGTTGCGTGAGTGAAGTGTGTCGCTGTAGGTTCGTCTAGTGTCGATTCCAATGGAATAGCGATGGCACCAATGTGAGCATCAGATGGTACGTCGTCATCTGCGGTCAGTTCGTCAGTCATGTACATCTGGAGGCACGAGTTTGAACATACAATTGACTGGTTGAACATCTTGTCCGTTTACGGAAAGTAGTTGTCTCCTCCCATCTTCAGATGAGCTCTGGCCAATTTTAGGGTATGCTGCGAACAATCAAGGTAGCACAATCATACCCTGGTTTGCCTATACAAGTGATTGGCTGCTGCTGCGAGCAGTCGAAGGGAACGATATCTCGAGTACAATTTTACAGGAGAAAATGATGCACTTTGGTTTGCGACCTCTTTTCTCCCTGACTTTAACCTTCAACACCGTTCAGTAACATGCCAACAGTCTGATACATGAAGCATACCTATCATATTCTTCCTTGGCGTTCACGAAGACCGTTTCTAACTCTGTTAGATTTTTTGCCATGTCACGTATCTTAAATAATTCATCCAGTGTAGCTTCGAGAACTATATCCACTTGATCTAGGCTGCAACCGCGTTTAATTTTCATGAGAGGGAATATCGTTCGATCATATTGAGAAGGGGAACCAAGGTTCATAGGAATAAGGACAGTTTGGCGTTCTTGCTCGGGGGACATCGTTGGCGACAAATCGGACCAGAAGCCATGACTTATGGAAGGTCTTATGTATGTGCAGAGATGTCGTGGTAATCCATCGTTAACAAGGGAATAGTCAATTAATATGGGAAATATCCTACATAGTGCAACGGGGGGTCGACTGGAATTCTATGTACTTGCCATATATGATAATCACGCTTTGATTTTAAAATGGGTCATTGTGTGTACTTGTTTATGTTAGAGGATATTGACTGCCTCATGCACTCTGTCTCAACATCTTCCCATGAAAGCACTTTCCTTGTCGAAGGGCGAGAGCACCACCAAGACGAAGAACGAACTCAAGGCCGAGGAAGCGGCAGAAAGTGAAAGACGCAGAGCTCGCAAGGAGCTCGAACTTTTTGGACAAGAACACGATCATCGGCCAGGAGCTTTGTCTGCAAATGAAACCTGGTGGTGTCAGCAATATCTATGGTTGAAGAATCAAGGGTATCTACTTCGTTCTCGGTACGCGCCGGATTGGGTGCCATCTTGGGAAGGTACCGAGCGCAATCCGTTTACCTGTGAAGACGGACGTTCTATGCGAGTAAGAGATGTTTAGGTACTTCACCATTTGTTGGCTGACGGATGCATAGTTTGGCCAAGTTATGGACGCAACGCGTGTATCCGATGGTTTATATGTTTCACTCAAAATTGTGAAGAAGTCGCGGCACCCTTACGAGGTAGAGATAGGGCAATGCTTCATGTCAGAGCCACTTGCATCGCATCCCAAAAACCACTGTGTTCCTTTTCTTGATGTGTTATCGCCACCGAACGATGAAGATAGACAATTAATTGTCATGCCGCTGCTGCTTCCTTTCGCTCGGCCGCCATTCGACACATTTGGTGAGGTGATAGAGTGTGTTAGACAACTATTTGAAGTAGGTACAACCGTCATCAGCAAATGCCCATACCGTCTCAGCGAGATATCATAGGGTCTACTGTTCATGCACAATAACCATGTAGCACATCGGTGAGTGATTTAGAGCTTGTTTTATGTGTTCTCTTCTTACCAACAGCCAGCGACTGCATGTGGATGAACATAATGATGGACGCCAAAGACCTCTATGCCGAGCCCTATCATCCTGTTGATCCTCTCATGAAGCGTAACTTCAGTGGCCATGCCAGGCATTATACTCGCACTCAGCGACCACCAAAATACTATTTCATTGACTTTGGTTTATCACGTCGATACGATCCTAGCAAAGGCACTCCCCTGGAGTACCCGATTTTTGGTGGTGACAAATCGGTACCAGAATTTCAAAACAATACAAACGTCCCCGTGAACCCATTCCCCACTGACGTCTACTATCTCGGTAACGTCATTAAAGAGGAGTTTATGGAGGTAGGTGTTTACACGAAACTCCTTCAGTTAATTGCTTACCGCCATGATCAAGACAAAAACAGGTTTTGACTTTTTGAAACCTCTCGTAGATGACATGGTTCAGAATGATCCCAATGCGAGACCTACGATGGACGTGGTAGTCGAGCGTTTTGACTTAATTCGACAGCAGCTCAGCTCATGGAAATTACGCTCTCGTGTCATTGCAAGAGACGAAGATATCTTCGAAACTCTGTATCGCACTGTCACCCATCTCAGGCGACGGATAGGTTTCATCATAAAGCGTGCACCAGCCGTACCTCGGTTTCAAGACTGATCACATACCCTGCAGTGTTGCTATGTAGATCTAGAACACTGTTATACTAAATTTACAATTCATGACTTTGGTTCGCAACATGAGTTACAACTTGACATGTCCAGATTTTCGATGGTACTGTGTGCTGAAGTTAATCCAGAAGCTGTATTGAACCATATGCTTGTGCTGTACCCTTCTGTCGTTTCTTCTCAGTAGATACTGAGGATGTATCACAGTGTATTTCTACCTCCAGCGCGGAGAGAGAACTGAGATCATTTCGAGAGAACGATTGCTGAATGTTGTTTACTCGCCGAGTCGCGGAGTTTGGAATGAAGGGGGGGGGTCGCGTTTGCTCCATGTTGAATTGACTCGGAACTGTTCAATTCAATGATGGGTTAAAGACGCCCGACCAGAAATCGTCCAACAGGGACTCGACCATGATATCAACGGAGGCTGTGAGTTCTTGTCTCCTGTTAGCCCATATGAAAAGGTATCCGAGGTGCTAGTGCCAAGTGACTCACCGACAGTTAGTTTCACGTTAATACAAGAAAATAGGTCCTCACTTTGTGGTCAAGACCCACGCGGTCAATACAAATGCATCACGATCGGTACCTGTACAATTGGAGGGTAAGTCTGACAGCGACAACTTGTTCAAAAACTTTATTCACAACACACTCAGGCTAGAGCTCGCACCAATTCCCATCATGATGTCGATGGCGCTGCCTCGCGTGATGGGCAAGTACAGTAGTATCGATCACCTGCATCACTGAAAACCAAGATCTATGATAAACCCTTATATACACATTATAATCCCAACAATGTGTATAATCGTATAAAATATGGCAGTGCAGAAGCCATAGTCTTGTATAGAAATATATTGTTATCCCTTGCGACCAATCTTTATCATGATTACCTGTGCCCGGCATTAGTTGAATGAATTTGGCTGTGTAAAAACTCAAACGGATTGATAAACACGCTAATTGCTGAAAACAAGATATATATGTGTAGAACGCTATCCCCTATGACCAATAATCATCAAGATGGTTTTCATTTAGCATTAGCTGCATGAATCATGTTGTGACAGTACTAAAACTGTACTGAAGTGGTGAAGCATGTTCGAAAAAGTGTCTCTCATTTAGCATTTCTAGCACAGAGGCTCTCCTGTCCAATAAGTAAAAGAGATGGAAATTCTTGCCATCTGTACCATCATATGGACAATTGTTTCATTGGCATCATGGTATTGCGGGTTTTATACTTGATTGGCCAGGAAGTCACATTGGGTTGTATAGGATTATACAGAGACACTCGGTACAATACATGTAGTTTATCAATGCCTCGCCAATTCTCTACCCTAATCTCATCATCAACACCATCTGCAGGAACAATAACATGGGTTGAACCACAACAGATATCGTTAGTGCCTTGAAGTCCAATGAAAGCAAGGTGTCGCGGCAACTTGACACTATTGTTTCCTTATGCAAAATTTGCACTGCTCAAGTGGTTGACTGAGTTTGGCGGTGCCAGTGTACAATCAAGCTCGGCGGTGCCAGTATAGGATCAAGTTTGGCGGTATATAATCGAACTCGTGGTACCATAGGATGTAACAGGATCGAGTTCAGCCATAGGATCGAGTTTTTGGCCATGGAATAGAAGTTGGTCGCAGGGATCAAATCCAAATATGAGATCGAGTTCAGCCATATCATCGAAGACCAGTCATCCTTAGACAGAAACATAGACCACGACATGACATATCCTGTTGCCAGACCATGTAGTACAGTGCGACTTTCTGGATGGCATCCTGTCGAGAAACTTGCAGGAAGTAGCGTTAATGAGTGATTGAAGGCAGAGTAGGTGATAGTGGGGATTGTAAATAAAATCTGAGTCGGATCCTTACTTATCAATGACCGGAAGATATGCTCGGCCGGTGGTGACTGAGGTCTTGACCCTTCCCAAGGGAGTTGTACCTCGTTCGTTTTGAGATCCGGTGGTCAAACTATTTCAGAATAGGAAAAGAGAAGGAGCAGGGTCGGAGCCGGGTAAGGCTGCGAGCTTCGGCGTCAGTTGCAGACAGCTAAAACCAACAGAGATAACGGCAGTTTCGAGCATCGGTCGAGGACACATGGCCAATGTTGACTTTGAAGAAAGGCCAAAATGCAGAATAGGTTTCAAGTGGGATTGAGGGATCATCCAGACCACCATTCACTACTGCCCGATCCCAACAACCGCCAGTGCTTAGCGCACATGCCCAGCACATGTCAGCAAATGCTGATGTGGCTCGAACATATGCGAACCACACCGGAAGGCGCCAGAATGAGAGGAGTGGAGGAGGGCGAGAAGGAGATGAGGGAGAGGTAAGTTTAAGTCTTGAGTACCTATGGAAATGAGGTAGTTAGCAGCATAAAAATGCACAATACATATTACACGCACCTCTGCAGCTTAGAGAAAGGTACCCACAATCCCTCGGCCGCGTTCAACACCATCAATCTCCAGTAAAATGTCACAGCTCATTCCAAGCACCACATCCCTTCGAGCTTTTGACAGACCGGCAGTGCCTGTTCGAAAAGTCGGCTCAATGTCGAGTAAGAGATGTTAGGACCTCAGAAGCGAAGAAGGATGGCACTGACTGCGTCTTGAGATGAATTGTTGAATCAGAAAATATGACAATGACAAGCAAATGTAGCGAAGCCATGGAGGACGAGTGCAACTCACAGTGGTGTGTGTGAGTTTTGTGTCTAGAATTTTTGAATAGATCAGCGCCATATACGTTGAGCGTATGCCTACAGCATCGACGTCTTCCTATCATTCTGCACTGCTATATAGTATTAAGCAATTTTTACGCATGAATGCAAAAACTATACCACCAGCTTAGAATTCGACATACTGTTAAATTAATGTGTCGAAACGACAAACAAGCTCACGGATCAGGAAAATGATGCTTGATAAGTAGGCCAATACATGGGCATATAAGGACAACACAGATTTCGCCAACCTTATAAGGTAAATATTGTCATACCGGGTTATCCGGTTTTCAGTGATGTGGTGTCTCTAGTGGGTCACTCATAATCCACAAGCCCTACCAATACTCCGAGTCGTTCCTGATAGTGATTTATCTTGGTGATTAACTCACAGAACACAGTTGGCGAATACCATACCAGAAACACCGATATCAATTCACCAGTCCAGCTGGGGATGGAGTCCCTTCGCGCAAAAATATTCCATACATCATGATATCATCTCCGGAGAACAATGAGATTGACAATACGATGTCACGGATAGTTGATGCGATCACATGGGAACGAACTTTTCCGAATTTTGTATCGCTTAATGGGCAGATAACAAACTTTCCAGTTCTAGCATATCAAAGCACGTAATTTTAACCATTGTCTCGAGAACCAGTGTTGTTTTTTTTACTAAACAGTTAGCTAAAGGTGGAGTTACTAATGTCTACGGGGCCGCATTCACGATAAGACTTTTTTGATGCTAAATTACATAGATTTATGGCATACGACTTGGTAATTTTACAACACAGAACCAAGCCACTAATTTTCTATACAGTGACATGTACAGCGAAAGTTAACGTTCGTTGGGAAGATTGAATATTGAAAGCTCAAGGTTGCAATCGTTGGGCCCCTTTGACATTTGCAATGGACGAGCACTATGTTAATGAGCTTCTTTAACTCCTTCACACGCATAATAATTGAGTACGTGGCATTGTTCTTTCTCTCATTCTGTTCACGGTTTTCGGACTATTCAAAGGACAGGTTACGGCGTCTACCTCTTGGTATACGAAAAGCTTGTACCACGCAAAATGACCTAGAAGGGCCGCGGCCAATGGTATACAGCGGGACCAGATCGGCCATATGGACTACATTCTGTATGGCGCGACAGCTAGATACGCTGTAAGTTCCATTCCCTCTGCCCAGTGCATGTTCGCGTGTGCATTGAGCTAATTCCGCGACAGCTTTCGACAGTGATACACTCTATAGACATGATCAGGTCTAGAGTGTAGACTGACGGATTTACCCCGCCTACTGGACAAAAATATGCTTCGGCACGAGATTGTGTGCAGAAAGTTTGGAGAAGCAAGGAAATCGGCGGTGGTTTGGGGCCCACTTTGATTCGGTACGTATCTGATTTCTCAGAAATGTTTCACGAGCTCATTGCTCATCAGTTCACCATTTGCGAACGGGGTGACGTTCCTCGGATTCGAGTTGGCTAGTAGACTGCTGTATTCATGATCATTGAGGGTTCACCTCCCGCACGTCAATGCCGAGACGCTCAGTGTAGTCATACTGTTGGTTCAGTCCGCTTATATTCTCATATTTGAGATCGCATTAGACCAACAATATGCAGACACGAGTTTTCCTGTCCATCTCTCAGTCTGTGGTGTGGTGTGGCACACGGATATAAATTGATTGACGATTACAATGACTGCTGAAACTACCAACTCAGTTCTCTGGGGAATGGGACTCAGATCTATCGTGATCGGCATGTGTCTACTGTGGAGGAACGATACACGCGGGAGGTTTTACGACACGCTAGAACAAAGGTACGAGTCTCAGTATTCGTTTCGAATCTCTATTAACAATTGTTTGTACCTAGAACAAAGGTACGACTAGATGTACGTCAGCGCTTGCGCTCGAACGTTACAGTGGGACTTGTACTTACGTCTCAGTATTCGTTTCGAATCTGAGACGCATCGACGAAAACAGCGTCCTCTTATACGGTGAGTCTGCCAGCAATAGCTTTGATGAAAAATATATACTTAAAGAACGAAAAGATTGCCGACGTTGACACGTCGTCGACATTCTCCGTTTGGAGACGCTCGCACTCGATGTGCTCTATTCTTCGGCCGTATCGTCCTTTCCTTTCTCGGCTCTCTCTCTCTCGGCCTTACTTCCCTCGGACACATCGGCTCTCAACACTCCCCCTCGAGCGTTATCCAAACACATCAATGTCCTCAACCTCTGGAGTCGGGGACGTGCCAATGGCTTTGTGAACGCGTCCGCGACGTTGTCGTCACTGGGGCAGTAGATTATCTTGAAGGTACCATCCTTCACGTGGCCGCGTACGAAGTGGTATCGCAGGTCTATGTGCTTGGTGCGCGATTGGAATTTTCCCATCGAGACTAACGCTATAGCAGCTTGGTTGTCGCAGAAGACGGGTGTGGGGAGGTCTTGGGCGTCGTAGAGCTCGCGGATGAGGAGTTGCAGGTAAAGTACTTCCCTTGCCACGCTGGTCAACGCTATGTACTCTGCTTCAGCCGTTGACAGGGCTATGATAGGCTGTTTGCGTGCGCTCCATGAAACGGGGCCTCCATGGAGCAGTACGATGTACCTGCTCATGGAGTGCCTATGTGGCTGCGATGCCCAATCAGCATCGACAAACGCCTCAATTCCTCCCTCGCTGGATCCCAACGTCAGCTCATAGTCTGCGGTGCCTTTCAGGTACCGCAGGGCGCGTTTGGTGGCCTCCCAATGGGGTCTCCCCGGATTCCTCATAAATTGCGACAGTGTTGCCACCGCAAAAGCGATATCTGGCCGGGTACTCGTAGCTGCGTACATTAACGAACCGATCGCGCGTTGATATGGTACGTCTCGCATAGCTTGGAGTTCGGCGTGTGTTGCAGGGGACTGATCTATGGAAAGGACAGTACCTGGTTCCATGGGCGTGTGCAGGACCTTCGCGTCCTCCAGGTGGAACCTTTCGAGGATCGTCTCGACGTATGCCTTCTGTGAAAGTGTCAAGGTGCGTGCTACGCGGTCCCTCGTCACCTTCAGCCCCAATAACCAGCTCAACTCCCCTAGGTCGCTAATCTCGAAGTGCGCGCGCAGCTCGGACTTAAACCGATGGATATGGGATATATGGTTGGCGGTGACGGCCATGTCGTCGACAGAGACGGTGATGACGACGTGTTCGCGCGAGGTGCGTTTGTAGAAAACGGCTTGATCTACTTTTGACCTGCTGAAGCCCATTTCATTGAAGGCTCCAGCTAGCTCCTGCGCCCACTCATATCCTGCTTGTTTGAGTCCAGGTAAGCTTCTTTTCAGCTTCAGTACCTTCCCTTCCTGACCATCCTTCAAGTATCCAGGGGGCGCTCGCATATATATGTCCTCCTGCAGACTCGCATATAGGTACGCACTTTTAATATCGACTTGGTGTATTTCCCAGTCGCGCTGAGCAGCCATCGTTAGGACTGCACGTATCGTGCTCATATTGGCCGTGGGGGCGAAGGTTTCGAAGAAATCGACCCCGTACTTCTGGCACTGCCCATTTGCAACTAGGCGCGCGCGAAGCTTCAGCTTCTCACCGTCCGGCCCGCGCTTTGTGGCCAGGACGTAATGGCATGGGATAAGGTTTACGCCTCGAGGTGCGTCTACGATTTCCCACGTACCTAGCTTCTCGAGTTGACTGACTTCGTAATTGATGGCTTCTTGCCACTCTGCAGCGTCTGGGCCCTTCAAGGCTTGTTGGAGGGTCGGTTCTGGTTGGACGGCGGCCAATGCTAGGTGAATATGCGCCTCTTCATCCAAGAGGTCGAGTTCTGACGCTTCCAACAGGCTTTCCATGGTTAGGGCTGCCGTTTGGCCCTCATTCAGCGCCGCATAGTACCCTGGGGGTGGTCTTACCCTCGTCGACCTCGCTTCAGGAGTAGATGGTTGAGGTTGCTGGGCAGTAGACGGTTGAGGTTGCTGAGGAGTAGATGGTTGAGGTTGCTTAGGAGTAGAAGGTTGAGGTTGCTGAGGAGTAGAAGGTTGAGGTTGCTGTGGCATGGTGATGGGCTGGACGCTACTAGGTGAGTTATTATTACCGTTGCCGCTGTTATGTTCGTTGACTACAGCAGACTCCCCCTCGTCCGGCATACCATCGGCTGCCAGGATCGGCGTGAAGGTCACATTCCTCTCCACCGAGACACGCCGTCTGCCGGGCCAATACACCCGGTATCCTTTACTTTCAGCGTCTACCCCCACAAAAACTGCCTCCTCCGCCCTCGCCTCCAGCTTACCAGCCTCCAGCATATGGACGAAGACCCTGGCCCCAAATTCATGGGCCTGCGACAAGTCCGGCTTGGACTTGCGCACCAACTCGTAGGGCGTGCTACCTGGGATCGCCCTTGAAGGTAGGCGATTCTTGAGCCAAGTGGCGTAACTAACGGCCTCGGCCCACAGGTACTTTGGCATATCTCTGCCTAGGAGCATTGCTCTCGCATGCTCGACGAGTGTCCGGTTGAGTCGTTTGGCGACACCATTCTGTTGGGGTGAGTCGTGCACTGTTAGCTGCCGCTCTATACCTTGCTGACGCAAGTATTGATCGAACTCGGCGCTCAGATACTCTCCTCCTCTGTCCGAACGGATTTTGTGCACGCGCACACCTGGTGATTGACGGGCCACCCATGCCTCATAGGACTTGAACGCGGTAAGTGCGTCACTCTTTTGTTTGAGGAACTCGAGTCGCGTCTGCCGGCTAAAGTCGTCCGTGAAACTGACATAATATTTACAGCCTCCCAAACTCGTCGTCTGCGCCGGTCCCCAGAGGTCCATATGGACTAGTTCTCCGTATGTAAGTGCGCGCATCTTCGTTTCTCTTGGGAAGGACTGCTGAGCTGACTTAGCTTTCACGCAGACTTCACAGAACTGGATGGCGGGCGCCGGATCTATGTCTATGCCCAGGATTAGGCCCTTCTTGACTGCGTCAAGAAGGGCCGCATGTGATACGTGCCCTAGGGCACGATGGACATCATTGATGGTAAGCTTTGTCCTGGCGACGTTGGCACGATGCTTACGGTCGGACGTTACAGTGTAAAGTCCCTGGACTTGGGGTATTTCTGCAATCGTCCTTCATTCGGGGGGAGCAGACAGTATCCTGCACATTCCTCCTTCGAACAGCACGGCCAAACCGGCGGAGGCGATCTTATTGGTGGAGATAAGGGTAAATGCCATGGAGGGGGCATATAGGACGTCTTTTAGCGTCACGGTCGTTCGTTTCGAGCCCAACGGTAAGTCCATCCTCACGTCTCCTCGTCCTGTCGCATTGACAGTAGCTCCATTCGCAGTGTATATCTTCTGCGGGGCGATCTCAACGAAGGATACGAATTTTGCCCTATCCGGGCAGAAATGAGAGGTCGCGCCGGAGTCTACTATTGCTCCTCGGCGCTCTGGAGGTACGTCCATCGATTTTGCTATGACTGCGAGGTCTGACGTAGCGAAAGCGTAGTTGTCCTTTGGCTCCGGCTCTTTGGCTACATTGGCACTTTGTTTTTGGGTGCGTCCTCCTTGTCTCTGCCGTTGATTCGGCCCCTGACCTTCTTTTCCTCCACCTTTTCGCCAACAGTCACTCTTCCAGTGGCCCTTACGATCGCAGTTCGTACAGACTGCATCGGGGTTGGATTTTGGAGCCGAGCTCTGTGAGCTCGTGCTCCTCCCTGCATTTGTTCTCGCGGAGAGCGCACTGTTGGTCCCGTGTTTGTTGGGACGTCGTTCGGTGAGTAACCGGTGCTCGTATTCCTCTGTGATGATGGTGATGAGTTCGTAGGGCGAGAGGGGAGTTTTCGTTATCTTGGCCGCTGCGTTCATCGACGACAGTAGCGGCCGGTAGGATTCAGGTAAGGACCCTAGGATGATGGCATGAAAGTCCGTATCAACGACGGCTACCCCCATTCCAGCTAACGACTCCCTCAGGCGCAAAAGCTCTGAAAAATGAGCCTTGACGTCACCACCTTCTTCGCACCTCGTCTCCTGGAGCCTCCGTCTCAGATCTATCTGGACGAGTTCGGTTTTGCCTTCATGTATGTGGCATATTTCCTTCCAGATTTCGGACGCGGATGCTAACTTTTGGACGCGTAACAGCAGCCGATCTGTGATCGTGCAAAATATTTGCTGTTTTACGAGTGAGTTCTTTTGTTGATACTCATCGGTCTTTGCGTCGAGCTCATCGATTTCTTTCTGCATAGGTGTTGTACCATCCGGCTTCGTAACGGCCCCCGTAGAGCTCTTTACGAAAGGCGTAGGCTCTTTAGCTCGTCCATCGGTATATCTCGTAAGTCCTCGTGCACCTATAGCCGTTAACGTCCTTTCCTTGTAGGTTATCCAGTTCGAGCCGTCTTCGGCGAGCTTCGGGATGTTAAAAAGGTTTGAATTGGTGCTGGGAGTCGACAAGTCCATGGAGGAGACAGGGCTCATAACCTGTGGAGGAACGATACATGTGGGAGGTTTTACGACACGCTAGAACAAAGGTACGAGTCTCAGTATTCGTTTCGAATCTCTATTAACAATTGTTTGTACCTAGAACAAAGGTACGACTAGATGTACGTCAGCGCTTGCGCTCGAACGTTACAGTGGGACTTGTACTTACGTCTCAGTATTCGTTTCGAATCTGAGACGCATCGACGAAAACAGCGTCCTCTTATACGGTGAGTCTGCCAGCAATAGCTTTGATGAAAAATATATACTTAAAGAACGAAAAGATTGCCGACGTTGACACGTCGTCGACATTCTCCGTTTGGAGACGCTCGCACTCGATGTGCTCTATTCTTCGGCCGTATCGTCCTTTCCTTTCTCGGCTCTCTCTCTCTCGGCCTTACTTCCCTCGGACACATCGGCTCTCAACATCCACAAGCGCAGAGACATGATTGACGGAGGCCGCTGAGCATGAAATCTTACTAGTCTTACTTCTTTTGTTAGATCAACTCGCAGTATTTGAAAAAATAAGACACCAGTATTGAGTAGGTATTAGTGTGGCCAATGTTGTTCTTTAACCTTTCCAAACGTCCAATTCATCAGGAAATCAAGCACTCGGAATTCCCCATTAAGCATGGTTTACATGCATCAAAATCATGACGAACAACATTCCGCGCGCGTCTCCTGGATAGGTTCCTGCCGAGAGATGGTGATTTTTAAATCCAACATCATAGCACCATGTTACCATGTGATGGCTGCCATTTTGGAAATAATCATCTCGTTGACGGCGAACAGCTGAATATATGCCATGAGTGAATTCCACGATACAAAAATGGGATCCTATGGACATGACCCGCCGCTGTTTCAGAGTTGGCGTTCATATTGTAGATATCGGAGCAACATCGCTATTTTGGAAGGAAAAGTCGTTGCCAGATGCTCCAGAAAGACGAGAACTTGATGATGCAGCTCCCCCATCGCTCGTCGCCATGGCCGAGCCGGTAGTTGAACTGTGTCTGTGTTCTGCATTAGCTTGAGCTGACCATCCACGTGAGTATGCAGCTAGTAGATATAACATTGTTCCTACAATTTTCCACTGCATATTCATCTGCGAACGGGTCCTTGCCATATGTGTTTTTTTGGGAAGCCGCGAATTTGATCGCAGCATCATAATATGAAGCTGTGATTTCGGCCGGTTGAGATTCCGAGTCCAGTGGAATGGCGATCCCGCTAATGCGAGCGTTAGATGGCAGATCGTCGTCTACTACGTAAGGGGTTTGAGTCCTAGTGTCCAAAATGCACGCAGGACTTGAACATACGCATTACTGACTGTACGTCCTCTCTGTCGACTTCAATGGAGAGCAATCCTCTCCTCATCTTCTCGGATATAGTCTGGAGTGATATATCTTGAGTCGATAGTAAATATCATGAAAATTTCATACCTTTGTGTCTTCGTATAAAACTTCCCCTGCGCTCAAAAGTAATCGAACTGAACGATATGCGGAGAATTTTTTGACGGGGTTCAAAGATTTTCGCTGTTGTTCTATTTCCTGTTTATCTATCATAAGACTTCGAATGCTGGTCAGTAAGATGACATGAATAAGTATGTGTACGGACACACTCATCGTATCGTGTCGTCGCGTTCTTGATGAGAAGTTGAAAGTTCTTTGTGTTCCCTACGAAGTTGCGCATCCTGAAAATCTCATCTAGTGTGGATTCGAGGAAGAAGTCCACCTCACCGATGAGGCCTTTCCTCTGCACTCGACTTATAGGGAACACAGATCGTTGATATTGGACGAGTGACCCAAGATCCATAGGAAAAAGGAGGGTTCGACGTATTGGTTGTTTGGCCATGAGTTGCGGTGAGATATCGACTACAAGCAATGACCTAGTATCAGTGTATTATATATTTTTCGAAGGGAATCATGACCGGTACCGTTACATGGCTAAGCTTATGAGTAAGGGCATAGTTGTTACCATTGACCAACAAAATGTTACTTAATGCTATATGGTTTCTGGGGGTCGACAGCATCTTGTTTTCTCCACTACTTTGTGCGGGCCTAATTATAGCTAACAAGTAAACATTGTTAGTTTCCAATATTTGTGTGTACGTTTGTTTATGCGACGAGTCTGCAACATCATTCCTTCGAACATTCGCCTAAACTTCTACGCATGAACAACACTGCAACCTCTTCAAAGGGCAAACGTACTGCGAAGACCAAAGCCGAAATCAAGGCTGAGCAAGCAGTGGCACGCGAGAGAGACAGAGCCCAAAAGGAAATCGCGGCTTTCGGGAAAGAACGCGACCGAAGACCAGGAGCTTTCTCTGATGATGAGATTTGGTGGCGACGGCAGTATGAGTGGCTGAAAGCTCTAGGATACCTACTCCGCCCTCGGTACGCTCCGGACTGGGTCCCATCCTGGGAGGGTTCAAAGCGCCGTGTCATGGATTGTGAAGACAGTCGCCGGTTACGCGTAAGGCAACGAAGTTTGGACTGCATGGTTGACTGGCTGACAGCTCCACAGTTTGGTCAAGTCATGGACGCGACCCGCGTGGCTGACGGCTTGTATGTGTCTCTCAAAATGGTGAAGAAGTCAGAGCACCCTCATGAAGTAGAGATTGGACAATACTTCATGTCGGAAAACCTCTCATCCGATCCCAAGAACTATTGCGTCCCGTTTCTCGATGTCCTGTCAGTTCCAGACGAGAGCGATATACAAATTATTGTGATGCCATTATTGCTTCCATTCACTAACATTTCATTTGATACCTTCGGCGAAGTAGTGGAATGCCTTCGGCAACTTTTTGAAGTACGTGCGACTGCCCTTTAGCTTATGTGCCATCTTACTATTTCAATATAGGGGCTGCGATTTATGCACAACAATCATGTTGCGCACCGGTGGGTTATCCATGACTGTCGGGTCACATGTATTTAACTTGCTTGAGGACAGTGACTGTATGCGGATGAACATTATGATGGATGCCAAAGACCTCTATGCCGAACCATATCACCCCGTAATACTTCACATGAAGCGCGATTTCAGTGGCTATGTGAGCCATTATACTCGCACTCAGCGACCACCAAAATATTACTTCATCGACTTTGGGTTATCACGGCGATACGATGCCAGTGAAGAAACACCGCTAGAGTATCCGATATTTGGGGGCGATAAGTCAGTGCCGGAATTCCAGAGTAATGTGGATGTCCCGATGAACCCCTTCCCCACCGACATCTACTATCTCGGCAATGTCGTCAGAGAACAATTCCTGAACGTAAGTAAAAACTTACTCGGCTACCCTCCATTTGTTACTTATGACTACGCTCAAGACGAAAAAGGGATTCGAGTTCTTGAAACCACTTATTGACGATATGATTCAGGATGATCCACACAAGAGACCTACAATGGAGGCGGTAGTTGAGCGCTTTGAATCCATTCGACAGCAACTTAGCACTTGGAAATTGCGCTCTCGTGTCATATCCAAGGACGAAGGTCTCTTTATGAATCTTTATCGTGGTATTACCCATTGGAGCCGACGGATAGGTTTCATTGTTAAACGTACCCCAGCGATACCTCGCCTTCGGGACTGACATTTGCTTGTGCTGTACCCTCTTGTTGTTTCTTCAGTGTATATACCCAGAATGTATGACTAGTAGTTTGATCCCGAGCGCGGAGAACGAGCTGAGATCAATTTTTAGTGCAATTTCCGAATATGTCACAGCGATCGCGGCTCTCACGCCTCGCGAAGTTTTGAATGAAAAAGAGGGGGGGTTACACTCAAAAATGTCCAACCAGAAATTGACCTGGAATCATTCAAAAGGAACTCGACAAAGAGTTCATAATGCTCTGTGTGAAAGGGTGTCCGAGGTGTTCGTGTGAGTCAGTGACGCGCCCGATAGCTCCACTTTACAAGAAAATAGGTCCCTGTGTTGTGGTCAAGACCCACACAGTAAATAATGCATCACAAGCGGTGTACGTACAAGGGTTTTTGTTACTCGTATTAAACTTTATCGATATTATCTATAACCCAACACAGCCCGTGCTTGTTCCCGTCTTGATGGTGCTTAGCTGCCTTGCGTGATGGGTAAGTGGAGTAGCTGTAGCATTGATCGCCCGCTGCTCCGGTCCACAAGCCCTTGAAATGGCGTTACTAGTAATCCCCGTTGCTGATAATGATACATCTTGGTGATCATCAGACAGAAGACGTCTGGTTGCAAATACTGCACCAGAATCACCGATATCAAATTCACCAATGCAGCCCGGGATGTCCCTTCACGCAAGAACCTTCCATACATCACGCTATAATGGGGAACAATAAGATCGACAACACGATGTCACGATGGTTGATGGGATCACATGGGAACCGGGAGCGAGCTTGTCCAAATTTTGTCGCTTTGATGGGCGGATAACACACTTTCCAGTTCTAGCATATCAAAGCGCGTAATTTCGGCCATCCAGTGTTGCCTTGTCCTACATAAACGATTAGCTAAAGGTGGACTTTCGAATGTCTACGGCCGCATCCACGATAAGACTTTTTTTGATGCTAACGATTTATGGCATGCTAGAATGACTGAGTGATTTTACAACAAGCCACTAATTTTTCTGTACAGTGACAACGAAAGTCATCCGTAAATAATGATCAAAAGCTTAACCGTTGGGCCCCTTTGACGTTTGCGACAGATGAGCACTACATCAATGAGCTTCACACGCCTCGTTTCTTTCGCATCACACGCATAATAATTAGGTACGTGGCAAGTCTTAAACCATTCATAAGTGATTAATTTTCATCTGGGATAATAACGGGTTGAACATATTATGCATCCGGACCAGATCCTTCGTGCTCCCCACTCTAATGACTGATTGTCCCTATCCTTCTCTATCGGACTCTCTTGAGATTATTATCACGAGAAAACACTACCGTTTATGCAACGTGTTTTTTCAGCTGATTCAACATTCGATTGGACAAGATGTGCTTACCAGCTCCAGAACAATTTCTGGCGTTGACATTCAACGTAGCGCCCCTCACACTGGAACCGGAGAGTATCATAGAACTATTGCACGAAATGTTTGCATTCGCGAATCTACGGGGTTGCTGTTGTGCACGTCTACCAACAGCTCGCGGAGGACGAGCGGGCTGAGGTACCTGCTGAGCAGCCCGGGGCCCGTGCGAGAGGATTTCTGTGGTTAAAGTTGTCAATGCCGTCAAAAAGGAATGATCAAAATTCGTACTAGCGCCGGAGCAATCTGGGGAGTCGACATTCATAGTTGGGTACTCTGCAATGGTACCCTCCATGATCATCGAGTCCACTGCACGCGAGATTCCTGAGGCTACTTGGGGAAATGCCTGCGTCGAATCTACTGCATAGGAGATTCCCGACGTTACTTGGGAAATTGCCCGCGTCGAGTCCACTGCACACGAGATTTTCGACGTTACTTTGGGAATTGCCTGCGTCGAGTTAGCGTGTACAGGAATATGATAGCCTGATCAAAAATGTTTCAGAATTTAAGCTTTGGATCGCAAGGTCGCTCACTTTGAGGGAGGCCAGAACCAGGGTTAACCGAAGGGACACCTGACTGAGGTTTGAAACGAGTCTTATCAGTGGCCGATGTGTCTGCCGATGTTGTAGGAAGCGAGCCTATGGTCTTGACATTTGGTGGTTCATTTGAGTGGCTAGATTCTGTTGCTGATGCGTCTCTAGCAGGTGGTGGGTTCAACTTCTCGTGCCCTCTGCCCACTACACCTGTGGGCGCGGAAACTTCTCCTATCATAGAAGTTACTCTACGATCGTCGATCGTTTCCTACAATTTAATATCAGCACAGATCTGTGAAGAAAGAGAAGCAGGGTCGTAACTTGGACTTTGCGTTTGAGGGCCCTGCACTCATCCAATATCATGTCCGCATTCCTCAGTTTTGCTGTTGATTTCTCGATTTTGTACAACTTTATTTCGCGCTGAAGTCTGTAGATAATCGTCAATCGAGAGAAATAACTTGACATAAAAGACATACCTCTCACATTCATTCTTGAACTCGGTCTTGTCAGTCTCTGCCAGATATGATGGGTATTTGGAGAAAAGTTCCATGACTTCAACGAGTTCCTTCTCTGCATCTTTGTGACCGCGAGGCTTGGTGGGGAATCTAAGGAGTGACCGAAACATGCTGAACCGAACCGTGCGGAGCCATTGGTATCATTTAGCATAGCATACTTATACTAGAATGTAGCCAAAGGAATATACAACCCCGACTCGAGCTTCGGCCAGGAATATCAGGTGGTACTGTTTGACCTCGAGTTTCCCTCGCAACGATATCATAAAATTTTGATGTTTGAACAATAACACAGCCGTTGTATGGAACAAGACCTCGCGTTGATGCCATGCGGTTCTGGTTAGGTGTCACCCACAAATGACAAATCGGAACCTTTGCGTACACAACGTTATCGGTGCATAGCAGGGTTGCAACTGCCAGTGCTAAGCGATTGATGCGAATGCTTTCAAATGTGTAACTAAGCTTCACCAAATTTCAAGGCCTCATTGGACTACAGGTTTTAAGCCCCCTACCGATATTCAACATTTAGTGTGAAACAACGTTTACAGCCCTCGCGGAGTAAGAACTGCTCACTTGCGGAGATTAAACTGAATTACGCTTGGCATGTTGGCCCTCTCATGACGGTGACTGTCAGGAAGGCAGTGACTCTTATGCTGCAAAAACAGAACAATGTTATTGATACATAGCAAGTAAGCACCCGAGGACTACCACAATCCGATGGATGTCTTACGTCGAATTGCAGAATGTTCAAGGCCGTTATACCGCGGCCTGTTCCTGCAGAGTGCCGGTGCCGCTGTCTGCAAAATAACAAAAACGATTGCTAAAGAAAATACAATATGTGATGCACAGATTTCTCACAATGCCGAATGATGCGGATCTTCGTCGTCGTCGATTGATATTTGCTTCCGTGAGGGGACGGATGTGGGGCAATGGCAAGTAAGTTAGCCTTTCTGTACTCTAACTACCATATGCCTGATGGTGACCTGGATGCCCCCGCAGGGGACTGCATGCTCTGCGCTCCTAAAGATATGGCTGAGCCACTATGTCGCTCAGAACCCGATCGTGTCGCATCAGTAGCAGTATCATAATGTGACTCGTCGTCGCTTGTGCCATCGATGTCATCTGCACCACTCCATACTTCTGTGGGATATGTATTCATGGCTAGTAGTTGAACGTGAGCAGCGAGTGACTACGAAAAGATTGGTGTACTCGCCTGCTCCTCTATTATTCCTCCCTCCGAAATTCACTGTGGGTGCAGCCCCTCTGCTGGGGCTAACGATGCATCCATGAAAGTGGTTGACACTTTGTAATATCCCACCAGGCGGTCTGCCATGAAGTATGAACCGTTCCAACGTCTTTGCGGCGCTCATTTCAGCAATATTTCGTATTGTCTCCTCCGAGAGCGTATTAGTGGTTATACTCGAGCTTTGTGCGACTACTCCAGTATTGGGAGGTGTAGATCTCATCGCAGTGTCACCATGTTGATTGTGTCGCTGAACGAGGTCGGGTTCAGCTTGGTCTACTAGTCCATCGAGGGATCTGCGTCGTTGAATGGACTCTACAAACAGTGTTGGAACCCGGGGAGAGAAGAAATTTGACATATCGATTTACCTCGGGCAATCCTCGCTTTCGATTTCTCTGCATCTTTATGGACGATAAGGGACGTTTGCTAGTAATAATAATATCAGTGTCGAGATGGGTACTAAATGAAATAAGCCCCGTACATGAGCGAGAATCCAAATTGCTTCGCAATTTTCCTTGAATTCCTCCTGACTGCCGTCAAAATCCCTCATTTTCCGAATTCTCTTCCACCAGCTTTGTTTTCGTATATGTTTTCCCTGATCAACGGCACTAGAGGAACTATGAGAGCCACTGGCAAGTCATTATTGAATAACAACTCACATAGAATACAATTCAAGCAATCTTGGCAACCCAGGAACACGTACTTGATTTTCTGTCGCAAATGTTTTCATTTGCAGTAGAGTCCCAAGGACTGAGTTCAAACGGCTATACTCTTCCCTTCTTCCACGAAACATAGGTATGTCATTTTTGAGCCCTGTAATATTCGATTCGTCAATCAATCCCCAATCCTGCGCCTGGGCGTCGACCATCGCAGATACGCAATAAAAATAGGAAAAGTAACATCTTAGGTCAGCCCATCGATCCCTCCTTATATACTTTAGGTATTGCATATATGGCATCCAGTTTGCTTAGGAAGTATTAATAAAACAATGTGTCAATCAGGACTCCGGTCACTCCGATTTGACTCCGGTAGGTCCATTGTTTATGACTATTTCAATTATTTGGAGTGAACAGCCATACAGCGCAAATACAGCGCAAATACAGCGCGTGTTGACTTCGTGGTCCTTCGACCTAATGGCTTTCTTTGCTCTTTTCGATAGCAAACTTCGAGCTCAAAGGAAGGAAGAAGAAGCTGAGAACTCCAGACTCGAGTACGAGCGAACTCGCCGATTGCTCGGTTTAAAGATCACCTTCCCCGGTGACCTTGGCTCCGATGAGATTTGGTGGAGGGATCACTTTCTGTGGCTGAAGGATGTCGGATATCAACTACGTCCACGCCATGCTCCAGACTGGGTTCCTTCATGGCAAGGCACAGATAAATATTGGGGTTTGTGCGAGGATAGTTGGCGGATGCATGTAAGGTTTCTCCAGCTGGGCAAGTTTATACACTCATAAAATGCTAGAGCACGCAAATTGCCAGTGCAACGCGAACATCTGATGGGGCCCGTGTCGCTTTGAAACGCATTCAGCCATCTCTTCATCCGTATGAGATTGAAGTGGGCAGGTTTCTGGCATCTGAACCCCTTCGGCAGCGCGAAAACCATTGTGTGGAGATGCTTGATGTGTTACAAGTGCCAAATGAAGTGGACGAAACTATTTTGGTATTGCCCCTACTTCGTCCCTTCGACAATCCTCCATTTGAGACAATCGGTGAAATCATCGACTTTACTCTTCAAGTTTTTGAGGTGAGGAGTTATCATTGCTCCTTTGACTGAAATCTCAAGAGTATCTAGGGCCTACAATTCATGCATAAGCACCGCGTAGCCCATCGGTATGCAATTTCATTCATGTATCGCTGTTGGTTGAACTTGGCTCATGGCTTTCTAGTGACTGCATGAATTTGAATATCATGATGGATCCCAGGGAAATGTACCTACATCCATTTCATCCATGCAGGCCCTCTAGACGTTTGGATTTGAAAGGACCGGCAAAACATCGTTCACGTACAGAGTGTCCTCCGCGATATCTTTTCATTGATTTTGGAATCTCCCGACGCTACCAAGCTTGGCAAGTTGCTCCTCTAGAACCCCCGATTTGGGGAGGGTACAAAGGCGTTCCAGAGTTTCAGACGTCCAATGAACCCCGTAACCCGTTTCCGACGGATGTGTGGTATCTGGGTTACGCTCTACAACAACAGCTTCTTGAGGTGCGAATTTCATTCAGTCCTCTTTGGCGTATTTATCACAAGCACTAGGTCTATCGCGGCCTGAGTTTTATGGAACCGTTGGTTTCGGATATGCTACAAACCGATCCTGCGAAGCGGCCAACCATGGATGAGGTCATGTCTCGCTTTGTACCAACATACAGCGCATTAAGCCCGTGGAAATTACGCTCCAGGGCAGTCATGAAGGAGGAATGGATTATTATGCGACCTTTCCGTGCTCTCTTTCATTGGTTGCGCTGTCTCGGGTTTTTATGGCGACGTCTCCCTGCTATACCATCTCTCACTGTGTAATCTCAGTCATGCATACCCACACTTTCGTTGCTAATGGTCGTTTACTAGTGTAATTATCTACGGTTGACATTCATGGAGCTAGGCTTGCCAGTGTTCGAACGTTCAGAAATGATTCGTTTTATTGCGTGATCATTCCGAGTTCTCGTCAGACATCTCATTTGCTGGCAAATACAGCTGCACAGCGAATAGAAGAAGCCTTTTTGAAACCCATTCGATGTCGCATATGTACTATTTATGTAAATATAGACCTACAAGTCGCTACTATTATGCACAGCTATTTACAAATTTGTATAATACTCTGCGCTCACACGCAAGGCTTGTGGGTATTATAGGTAACTCGCTCAACTGAATGATTCAGTCAACGGTTCTGGCGGTAAGAAACAATTTGTTCTACCAAAGATAATTTCAGTCAACGTCAAGCTTGCATCAGTCGATTACAATTAAGAGTGTACTCACGGACGCCAGAAGCACCCGGAGACCGGACGTTCAAGGTTGCGCTAGACGCTGTCACGCCAGGGCCGAAATACATGACACCCTCACGCCGTGCTGAGATCCCGAGAGATGGATCATCACGACAGGATATCAATGCTAAAGAATTGATCAGTATGCAGATCTAGCATGCTTGAAAACATATGGCTTACTTGCTCCAGTTGCCCCCTCGGAGTCAATGTTAAATGTAGGTGACCCAATAGACGAGTATTGCTCGAATATCATGCAGTTATTGTTATTGTCGAATATGATGTGGCCTTGGTCGGGAGGCGGTGCACGTGAACTTCTCTCCGTGGGTGCTAATTTTCATGGCCTCATTATTGAACATGAAGGTCAAGATGTAGAGCACGTACCTGCGTAGGTGCTCGAGGCTGTTTCTTGGGCTTCAGGAATACTGGCGGAGACTACAGAACTGCTTGTACCTGTTAAAAGGCTGGGAGTGCTCGAGTTCGAGCCGTCTCCGCCTGTCGTGACAAGATTGGGATTGGACTGAGCTGAAATGGAAATTTCGGATGGGGCCCTGACAGGTGGGTCGGGATCAATCAGCGCAATGGATGATTTGAAAGATTCGGGGGTAGCTAATTTATGGCACTCAGTCTTGAGCTACAACAACGGTAGACAACGCCTACCTATAGCTGCTGGAGCTACTGGCGCTTTTCTTATGTTATCTTGTCGGCGTTTCCTGCACGCCCTCTGTAAACTGTTATTAAAATAGTCATCGCTGAATTTAGTAAGAACGAACCTGTACCCTCAACTTCAACTTCTCGCACTCGTCGAGTAGCCCGGGCAAGGTGCTATTAAAAGATGTGCCCTTGTCCTTGCCCAACTGATCATAAGCATCTTCAAGACTATCAATCAACCATTAAAATGTAGTATGCACTACGAAATGATGCATATATTGTACCTGCGGTATTCATCTATAAAAGACGATCGCTCCTCCTGGGTCAGCAAGTCCTTGTTGGCAATGCAGAAGTCAAGGATAGCTTGCAGGACGCTCTTGATATCGGCGAAGACCTGCTCGCGAGTCTCGCGTGGAGTATAGAAGTTCTTAAGGGAAACCATGATGCAACTCTGATGGAATCTAGTGATATGATGAATATGTGGAGTATGTTGATGGGGATCTAGCACATACCTCTCATTCAGCCTGGTATTTCTACCTCTGCGAGACTTGACACAACACAAGTAAGGCCAGTGTTCGGCGTCGAGTTTCACTCGCCACGAAAACAATAAAACATGGACAGAACAATCAATATCAGGATCTTTTTGTTGTTTTGGTGTGATTCAAGTTAGCGGGAAAAACATACGCTCACAAATTACAATGCCCAACACCGTCACACAATTATAAGCGCCGACGAGTATATCGAAGTGTTGTCACGAGCCACAGGTTGGCGGTTTCAGCTATTTGTATAAATGTTGGCGGTACACTCGCCTCGGATATCATTCGAAAATAAATTATTGTTCACCCAGCTTCGTCTGGCTCAGGAAGAGGCGGAGGCACGACCTAATTGTGTTGGGCTGGTCCGAGCGTTACTAGCTCTGGGAGGGACGCAAGCAGGTGGGGCCGCTGGGCGGGAAACCTGTTTATACAATTCCGACTCGGTCGTGCGCTGACTCTTGTGCGGCACAAATCAAGATAAGCATCTTTATATATGCTACCAATTATGATTAACAGTTCGGAAAGCTAATTAAGAGGGAGTGGCGGGTGAGAGTAAGGAACGAGAAGGATAATGAGCGAGGGTTTGAAGATGCCGAACTCAATGATCGATTATGCTAACGCCCAGCTGGAAGTGCGGTGCCGAGAAACTCCGACAGGCGACGTCTCGGCACCTGTAAAATCAGACTGCTGGCAAATACTATCCCTTCCACTGCAATCGGCACCCCACAGAAGTCGGCACTTTCACAAAACTCGTATTTCTAGCTACTTAAACACAAAATTCTTAACATCTGTATCATTCTCTCTCTAATCATTACGAGGTTGACCGACCACGATTAAAGCAGAATTGAGTGAGATAGTCGAAAGTGCCGAAGTCACGCAGAAATGTCACCTGCCGATACATGCCATGACGGAGTTTCAAATTGCACCCCCACTTTGGAAGTGCCGACTGGTGCAGCGCTGCGCGTCCGCATTCGCAAGTTTAAGTTAGCAGCGGTAGACGAGGAAAGCTGCGAGCTTCGTCAGACCCGACATATGAGCCACGCATTCAGGTTTCAATTCAGAGAATTGCAAATGGGTTATACTTGCAGCAAAAGAACAGAATGTGAGTCATGTTTCGTCATGTTACAATGCACATGGTCTCCCTATATATCCACCTCGATTTTACAACTACGGCACTAATAACAGTCGCCCTCGTACTTAGGTATATCTACTATTCAATACTATACTTGCTCATTCGAACGAATACTAATTGACCTTGCCCACTTGCTTGACTGCCGAACTGACTTTAAAATTGGCCTACATGACATATCATGACTCACAGTGACATTTGCGTGACTGCCGACTTCTGTGGGGTGCCGATTGCAGTGGAAGGGATAGTACAACTGGCACAGTGAATAGAAGAAGCCTTTTTGAAACGCATTCGATGTCACATATGTACTATCTAAATATATAGACCTACAACTCGCTACCGTTATGCACAGCTATTTACAATTTCGTCTAATACTCTACGCTCACATCCCCAGGTGCAAAGCTTGTGAGTATTATAAATAACTTGTTCAACGGAATGGTTCAGTCAACGGTTCTGAGAAGTAAGCAGTTCGTTGCACTTCCACTGGAGATAAATGCAGTCAACGCCGGGCCCACATCAGTCGATGACAATTAAGAGTGTACTCACTGATGCCAGTAGCTTTCTTAGACCGGATGTTGAAGGTCGGGCTATCCACTGTCATGCCAGGGCCGAAATACATGACACTGTCACGACTCATGGTGGGAGCTGTCTGCGGCTGGCGAGCGCTTGTGAACGGCTGCAGTCCTTGTGGTGAGATCCTAGGAGATGGATCGTCACCACGGGATATAACCGCTAAAGAATTGATCAGTATGCAGATCTAGCATGCTCGAAAACATATGGCTTACTTGCTCCGATTGCCCCCTCGGAGTCAATGTTAAATGTAGGTGACCCAACAGACGATTGTTGGTCGAATATCATGCAGTTTGTGTCGCTAGGCGATGCAAGTGGACTTCTCTCCGTGGGTGCTAATTTTCATGGCCTCATTATTGAACATGAAGGTTAAGATGGGATGCACGTACCTGCGGAGGTGCTCGAGGTTGTTTCTTGGACTACAGGAATACTGGCGGAGACTACAGAATTGCTTGTACCTGTTAAAAGGCTGGGAGTGCTCGGGTTCGAGCCGTTTCCGCCTGTCGTGGCAAGATTGGGATTGGACTGAGCTGAAATGGAAATTTCGGATGGGGCCCTGAGAGATGGGTCGGGATCAATCAGCGCAATGGATGATTTGGAAGATCCAGGGGTAACTAATTTATGGCACTCAGTCTTGAGCTACAACAACGGTAGACAGCGCCTACCTATAGCTGCTGGAGCTCTCATGAATTCATCTTCTTTGTGTTTGGTGCACGCCCACTGTGAACTGTTATTAAAATAGTTCTCGCTGGATTTAGGAAGAACGAACCTGTACCCTCGACTGCAATTTCTCGCACTTCTTGAGTAGCCCGGGCAAGGTGCTATTAAAACATCTGTCCTTGTCGTCGTTCGCCTGAACATGAGCAACTACAAGACTATCAACCATTAAAATGTAGTATACAATACGGAATGATGGATATGTTGTACCTGCGGTATTCATTTATAATAGACGATCGCTCCTCCTGGGTCAGCAAGTCCTTGTTGGCAATGCAGAAGTCAAGGACAGCTGACAGGACGCTCCTGATATCGGCGAAGACCCGCTCGCGAGCGTCGCGTGGAGTATAGAAGTTTTTAAGGGAAACCATGATGTAGCCCTGATGGAATCTAGTGATATGATGAATATGTGGAGTATGTTGATGGGGATCTAGCTCACATTCAGTCCGATATTTCTACCCCTGCGAGACCCGACACAGCACCTCCAAGCCAGTGTTCGGCCTCGAGTTTCCCTCGCAACGTCGAACATGGACAGAACAAGGGGACCGAAGTTATCTTGTCGTGGTTTTGGTATGATTCAAGTCAGTGGGAACATGGGCCCACAAATTACAATGCCCAAACCGTCACACGATTATATGCACCGAGGAGTCTATTGAAGCTGTAAGCTCGCAGTTAAGCACCCCCGCTGTTGTGCATACCACCAAATATTAATGCTAGCGCTCATGCACAAGCGTCGTGTTGCAGGTTTACTGCCCTCGCGGAGTAGAACTAATTTAGGACAAATACTCATTTGAAATAATTATCGGCGCGTGAATCGCGGGGCTTTAATCAGATTACAAGGCAATATGCATCATGTCTGCAAGCGTTGCTTAACCATACCATAAATTGATTGATGGGCGTTGTTAATCTGTTATAGTATTATATTTCCTTGTCCCACAACTCACAAGAATCTTCTGATTGATTTGTTCCATGGCTGTGCACAGCAGGCTGTCAATGAAAATATTGACCAGGTGTTTGCAGGCTTGGCGCATTTATTTTCTCCAAAAATAATAATAAGTGGCATCAAATAATATTATTAATATGGAAAGACTTTGGCCGTCAAAGCGTCTGGAAGTCAGCACTGCCACTTGGCTTTATCTCACACTGTCAATACGACCAGCCAATTCCCAAGGTACTTCTGCTGCACATGCAATGTACGGGCGAATCAGAATCACGGTGCGCATATCAGCCAATGATGAGAGGGCTGAAGTAGCTCACTAGTAACACGTTACTTGAAAAGTCCTTGGGTAATCACCGGTACGTATACACCAGCGCTAGATAGTTACGAAAACTTGCTTGACTTGTCGTTTATGCAATTACAGTCATTCGCGCACAAGGGTATCAGCCTTTGCGTCCTGAAAAGTCTTGGAGACCAATCGTTTCTATAGTAGTAGACCAGTATCAGCGTTATGAAGTGAACCTAGGATGCGACGGACAGAATCCAAATCTCAGGGAACGTTTCATGATAAAGTTTGTCATCTTTTTAATATTACAGTTTCCTACCACTCACCGATACATTTGACCAGGCAGGGCGCGGACGGCCGTACCCGAGTGGACTTCCATGTGTATTATCAAGCGCCGAACAAGAAGAAGCGCAAGAAGCGGCATTTAGTTGCAAAGACTTCCTTGTCGCTTCAGGCTCTATCTAAGTTAAAGGGTACTGAAAATTGTAAGTGTTGCGAAATTGCCATTACGCTGTGCTTGACGCATCCTAGCTTTCAAAATACCGTTGAGTCCTGTAGCACAGCCCTCTATGCGTGGGTTGGCTCGAGGAAGAACAGTTTCAGTTTTCCTCGTTGTTAAACTTGAAATCCCCGAGACTCGGGCGGAACTCCACGCATTAAAAAATTTGTTGATATCAGAAGACCAATACGACGATGACATTAAGTGTAAGAGTGGTCTTCACAGTCGTGTTAATTGGCTGACAGCTGCAATCTCAGCACTTGGGCGATCTTCACCAACGTTTGAATCGGAATCGGAATCAGATGGAGATGGGACATGTAACTTTTCTTGTTCGAGTCGTGCCATAACTCCTCCAGTCCCACTTGAATTCTCAGGTATACGGATCCGTCGAGGATACACCTCGGACACAGATGATGACCGCCCACTTGACGAGCATGTCAAATGCATCAACGACAGTTATGACAGCTTTTCATTCACAGACAATACCAACTCGAGTGCCGTGGTCAATGTTGTTCCCCTTGCGCCTTCCCTTTTACCCAGTTACACAGAGCAGATATCTGTGGACAATTCGTTGTCATTTATCGATTCCCTTGTCGACTCTTTTTCGTCTTATGCTGAACTTCGAGAGGCTCGCAGTGACTCTGAGTACGAACGTATATTGGAAAAACTTACATCTGAATGGTATTATGTGGGTGCATCGGTGCGTGATGACATGACTGTTCTACCTGCTTTCATTTAGCCTTGATTATGTGTAGTTGGTCGCTCTTGCCGGGTATGTGCATCATCAAAGATGACTTCTTTCCCCAATTATTTATCTTCTTTCCTAGGCTTGACGCGGCTGTGTTCGGTTTTTCGTCCAGCTCGTTATTCTCTGTCAACAATTTCGCCCAAGGCTCAATAGCTCTAGGAAGCGTCGCTTCAGGCATCGGTATCGCAATCGATGGCTGGTTCCTATTGGTGTATAGTGGAGCAAACGCCAAAAAATTCCAGGTAAATCTCAATTGTACGCATCAGAATATATACTCAGAGCCGCCTAGAGATTTGCTCGTGACGTATACGGCAAATATCTGTTCTTTTGCATATCATCGCGTCTTCCTGCTGTATGTATGTTCGTGTCAGCATGTGCCTTAATGGCCTTTTTGCTTTCAGTTGCATGGTCCGCTTGGCCGACTGCCGTGTTGGCCATGTGTTTTATTGCTGGCGTCCTGATTAGCCTCCAGTTCATCATATACGGGCTACACTGCGCAGTAATTTGTATGGGTGAGATTTTTAGGAGAACGCGCAGAGTATCGATGTCGTGTGTAAGGAGGTCGTCGAACGATGTCTTGGAGCATAATGTTTCCAAAAAATAGTGATGTATATTGGACGATTATCTTGCTAGCATCTGTACTACTATGGACCTCAATAATTTATTTTTGTGTTTTACCAAAATAGCGGTTTATATTGAACGATCGAGATATATATTTCTTGAGCTGATGCGGCAATATCCAAGAGGCTGGAAGGGATGTCCGTTGCGTGCGCGATTCAATATTATTCTAACCTGTTAATTAGTGTTACCCAGTGCCCGTAATCATAAATCCCCAAAGGAGAGAGGCAAGAACGGGGCGAGGAAGTCACCTACAACGAGGCCTCAGAAGTCAAGGTACTAAAAAGCCGCCACATTCTTATACACCTTTAAGCCATCGAGCCCCAGGGGAGTGGGCCATCCACGGGAATCAACAATCAATCATCGTCCAATAAAAACCGCGACCGCAGCAATGTTCTTCCCCGGGAGTGCACGCCACAGTGCACAAGCATTTCTCGATTGTTCGGGAACCAAAATTTTCAAACAGACGCGGACAGAAAAAGACATCGTGGGATGGAAGAAGCGCCGTCTGTCCGATCGTCGACACGCAGCCTCGAGTCAATGAGCACCGCTGTCACAAGTTAACTCCGCCCAGCTGACCTCGTTATGTTCGAAAACAGAATATAGGTTGCCCGACTTGCACGTATCAGTCGAAGAATTTCCTTTGGACCCACAGAAACGATATTCGTATTGGTTGCCTTTGGAAGGCATTGTCGCATGTGCTTCGGATTGCTGATGCTACCGAGTTGCATTTGGGGTCATTGTACACGCTTTGGCAGTGCAAAGCTATATCTGTACGTAGCTTCTTGTGGGTCGGTGGACCCACATAGGACGGTGTTTTCAAATCTGGGGTCTCATCCTTTTGTCAATTACTTTTGTGCACAGATTGCGTGTTGGGCCACTTAACTGAATTTTCCAAGGAGATATTTAAAACAAAGACGAGACCCCCTTCACTTTGAACTCCGCGAAGGCAAGTGGCAAAGCGTACAACGAACCATTATTTACACACACGTGCCATAAGCTTACAGCCTAGAATCTCGACAAGCAAGTGCATTCAGAAATTATGGGATACATAGAGTTCCAGCAGGTACCTAGACAACCATTATTCACCGTCAGAGCTAGCAACATCGCTATGTGAATCGTCCTGCTCCCTACGGTCCTCCATCCGTACATCGTCATTCTGGGCAGATTCTGGCACACTCGATGTCGCAGGAGTGAAACCAGAAAGAATGCCACTCCCTCCAGGTTTCTTTGCCTGTGACTGTTTCCAGGCATGAGCCATCTGCAAGAACTTGAAAGATCTTGGATTGGCTTCTCGTTCGTCGTCGGCGAATACAAGTTCCCAATCTGTGTAAGAACAATCAGGAAGCTGTGCTATTATATACGGGGTAGATCGCTGACCTTCTACTACTTGGCCTGTCTCTTTGTCGACGTGTTGCTTCCTGCCGATGATAGGCATCATGCCTTCCACCTTAGCTAAATCGCTCTCGCTGCCATGTTCTTGTTCGAACGCTTTCCATGACTCGAGTAAAGCAGCCCTCTGTGATGAAAGTTCAGCTCCGACTCGATTATGAAACTGTTGCTCATACCTCGGCTTTTAGGCCCTTGACCTTCAAGTCTTTGTAACCACGTTCAAAGACTTGTCGTGATAGTTCGGGATCACCAGCGACAACACGAGGTTCGGCATCATCATCTTCCTCCTCTTCTCGCATAGCTCTGGGCAAGGGAATACTTGACCCCTCGAACTCGGCATAGGATATCCACACCTTGTGGTGTCCGCTGAGAACCACCAGGCGCTCGTAAAGTGACCTAGTCTTCTCTCGATCACCCTGCTCATCGACTTCGAAGTCGATATATGCCTTCCAAAGGATTTCGGGCATCGATAGTGATGCTTGCGACACTCCGAGTTCAAAGATCGCCTCTGCACGGGTGAAGTCCTCAAGAGCCGTCTCGAGTTCAGCGTATTTGATCCACGCCGCTGAGTTGGTAGGATCGTACTGCAGAAGATGTTTCATCACTGCCGAGGAAAGAAAGAGACCTTCGCGACATACCTCGAGATACTTTTCGTACAATGTCCGCACGCGGTCAAATTCTCGCAGCTAAACATGACATTAGTATATCGTAAAGCCAAGAAAGTGAAGATCATACATCCATCTCGAGTTGAATATAACCCTTGAACAAAGACTCCTTCGGGCACATGCCAATGGCGGTCCCGAGCATTTTGCGCGCTGCCGTTAAATTTAACTGTCTGATCTCAAACCTCGCAGCCATGATCCACAGTTTTGCGAAAGTAAACTGCTTGTGCGGTACAAGATTCAAAACTGTACGATATACTTGGCGTGCACGGTCATAGTCCTGTAGAATGATGTCAGTAAACAAGCGGTGTGTATGAAAATGAAAAGACCTTGGTTTCAATCTCCTCGAACAAAGCATACTCAAGCCAAAGGAAGATATACCGTCTCCAATGACGCTTTTCTTGCCCAGGAGGTACATGTGCAACAGCACGCTCGTAAACGTCTCGCACGCGCTCCGTGGCTGCATCCTCCTCTTCCTTGGTGCCCCCTTCTTCTCGCAAAGTTCGTAGGCCACCTTCTTCCAGCCGAACGTAGTCGAACCAGACATCATAATTTCGCCCGTCCTGCGAAACCTCGTCTTCGTATTGGATTCTTCGCTTACCAAGCACAGTAGATTCTACAATGGACCGTGTGCCGTGCTGCTTCTCAAATTTGGTATAAGCTGCGTACAAATTCGCTGATTTTGATCGCGGAAGACGTGATAGTGCGAACTATCATCTGGACTGTCAAGTACGCCTAGCAGAGTATACGCGTGACGACGTACCTTGTATATCACTCGAGCACGCTCGTACTCTTTCAACCGAGTTTCCATTTTAGCAAAAGCATTGAAAACTGCTTGAGCCTTTTCTACTTGCTCTTCCTCGTCCCCAAAAAACTGGAGAGCGGTTTGAAATACCTCTCTTGCCTTGTCCAACTTCCCCCGCTCTTCTTCAAACTTTGCCCACTTCACCCATACCCTCGGATCCGGCCTGACAGCTATCCATCGCTCATATATAACACTGGCCCTGTCCGATTCGTCATATCGTTCCTCCATCTTTATGTATGCTTGCCAAGCTTTGTCGTCAGGTTCCCACTGCATCCACCGCTCAAAGACTTGTCGAGCACCGGGGACATTTTGCAGAAGCTCCTCCAAGTAAACGTACTTGTACCAGAGCTGGTCCACTCGAGGCAATAGAGTTACGGCGCGATCGAATAGATTGCGTGCGTGTTGGACATTTCGGGACTTGAGCTCCATTTCAGTATAACTGAGCCATAGCTGCACGCTTCGAGGGTCCACGTCCAAAGCGCGTTCAAAGATGGAGCGAGATCGGTCAAATTCATTTTGGCTAGCCTAATACGAATGTGTATCAGACCGCAATATCAACCAAAGATTGTGAGCAACGTACCTCCCAGTTTGCATACTGAGTCCATTCTTTGCTGATACAATATTCAGCAAGAGTATTACCAATGTTTAATGCGATACTCACATGCTACCTCTTGTCCTTCTGACCCGCTCTTCAAACTCCTTGCGCTTGCGGCCGCGGTACTCGTGGAGTTCTTCAAAATCCTCAACGCGTTGTTTGGGAGCGCGGAAGGTGGATTCTTGACGCTCTTGAGCCTAAAGGACACAAAATTGTGAATACGGCAAGGCGGGAAACTTGAACAACGCACCTCTCGCAGAAGCTGCTCTGCGGTGATCTATGAATGTAATTATGGAGGGTCAACAAATGCAGACACATATGTCAACGAAACAAACCTGGATAGCGGCAGGCGCCCGATTCCTAATCCTGGAATTCGTAACCAGTCAGTCTCTGTATGATACAAAAAGTTGATAAGGCGAACCTTGGTGCTCTGCCGTCCTGCATAATTGCAACAAACCTATGAATTTCCCGAGCAAAGAATAGTAGGACAAGCTGTCGGGCAAGCAAAGACAAACAAACTTGTCCATTACATCTTACGTAAGGGACCTCCTTCAAGCTGGATTTTTGTTTCGCAACTTTAGAATGTGGATGCAACATGACATGCCCTCCGAGCTCGTAGCGCTGCTGCCAGTGCTTGTATGTCACATCTCGGTTTGTGGGTATCTTTTCCACCAAGATGACAGATTGTTGGCACGATAGACAATGAATTAATTTCAGGAACCCTAGAAGGTTAGTAGTAAAAATTAGAGTCTGCGCACGTCGCATACCGAGCTCCTGTTCCTTCCCTGCACTCTTTACACCATCTTCCTCCGCCCTTGCGCCCATTTGTTCTCCCTGCCCTTGTCAGAATTCTTTCATGTCACGGTAACGAGCTGCTCTTCCACCACGCATGCGTTCATGTGCTCGATAATTTCTTCATCGCGCTTGCAGGCCTGGGGGTGTACGGAGTTTGCCCGGGGGAAGATATCAATGTTGACGGTGTTCCGAGCATAGTCTGCTGAAATGTCTGGGATGGTGTTGAAATATCTGTCGCGTGATCATCATGTCGTACATTCGTTTCTAATTCATTGTACTTGCAGGATATCGCCATTAGCTTCCCCCGCAGCATTATTGATAAGTTCTTTCAACAACCTTCGCAACCCATCGAATTCATGATCAGATGCTTCCAGAGCAGTATCCCTACGATGTGCATGTCCCAAAATTTCGATAAGAACAATATCTCCACCTTCTCCTGTTCTAGGTCAAATTCTCCTCGAGCACGACCACCAAATAAGCTTCTCCACTGAGCTTATACCTTCGCTGTGCGTGCCAAAGCCCTACTATACAAGTATTATATTGCTAATCCATGACACTAGGTCAGTGAACGAACTATCGACATGATGATACAAAGTACAAGTGGAGAATGAACTAGACTATGAAAATTGTTATAAGCAACATTGACGAGTGCCTTAAACGACTCGCGCAACCCATCGCATTTAGGCGCGAAGTTCAGTGCCATTCATGCATTTTCTTAATGCGAGTGCCCACTACATCTGCAGGATTGCCACCCACAACTTCCATCACATGTTCGATTCCTAGCCAATCTAGTTTTCGGCATGATGCCTGACAGCTTTGACTGCGAGAGAGTGCCCAGGGCGGATATAATCCAATCATTGTTGTTCCAACTGGGAACATTGCGCACGATCTCAACTGTTTCGAGGATTCCCTCCATTTCGCCGAGCTCCTCCAAGGTGACTGTTCCAATACTCAAACGATCGTACAAGTCCCTTTTGAGAGGCTGGTCGCGTCCGACACCAATGGCATAGTTATCGGAGTTCCCGATGATCTGATAGATGTTCCTTATACCAGGGCTAGTTTCGACGTAGATAGCCCAGCGAAGGGGACAATGTTGTTGGGGCCCTTCCCCACCTCGCCAAGACTGGAGAAGTTCGACGGTGCAGAGTCTAGATGTGTCAGACATGATAGAAGATGGCTATGGGAACAGGTAAGTCGCAATTTACTAGCTTTTATGGGCGTGCTCACCGAGTGCAGACGACAGATAACTCAAGGATGGGAGAGTAGAGGTTTGAGTCCATTGATGGTCTGTGTTATACTCGAGCCCTTGTGGATTATTGATCTGCGGACAGTCCGAAGTGTGGATGCAACATGACGTATCAATTGTACTCGATGACCTGTGGACTGTGGGCGAACCACCGCCCACTCGATCGAGCGGCCATACAATAGCCTATTCGAAGGCAGGTGGTCTTGGCCTCACTGGGCTAGGCCCTGCTAGGCGGAAATTCCACGCCTTTCTGCTCATCATTGATACTGATAGCATGACAGATTGCATTAAAAATCAAAATGTTTCACGCTCGCACGTGAGTATTCTAAGCTTGTGAGATTATGGTTGGTTAATGAGATCTTTATCACGGCATTTTGATGTTTCACCATTTACCCGATACTCGAATTGAGGAACCTGCGACTCGGAAATTGACCGCTTTCCATCAGTGGGACGTTGCTTTGGTTTGTGGGCCATCTCGTATCACACAGGCACATACAAGTTAGCTGTGAGAACACAATACAACTGTGTAGATTTTCTGTGGTACAGTCTGCACCGCGTCAACACACAACCTACTCCTCTTCACGATTGCTATTGAAGGTACCGAGAAATCTAACGGGTATATCCTCCACCAAAATGGCCTTAAAACGTTTCGTCGAGTCCACCTCGCTCCGATTGTCGGCACGATAGACGCAATGAACTTCAAGAGCACCACCGGCGTGACAAGGTAGAACACGCGCATGCTCGCATACTCTTGATCACAGTGCTTTCGATGTGTCTAATCACTTTGTATACTTGATCGCTGGTTGTTTTTATATGCATGGGGATGGAAAGGGCTTTGTGATGTCGGTTATGTACGACTCGCTCAACGTCAATAAGATAATATCGCGACGTTTGGCAAATCGAACTGCACAGATATTTTTGGAGGTAACTTCGAATGTATTGCTGGTGCATCATAGGGGTCTTGCATAGGCTTGAAGACTAAGTAGTTAATGTATCGAAGTCGGGAAGGGTAGCAGGGGATATGTATGCACAGAGAGAACTACAACCATAGTTGAAAGTTATGCATATAATATCCAGCATGGTTGAAAGCAAGTTAAAAGTCTGTATAATGCTCAGCCATAGTGGAACGCGAATCAAACGTTTCTAATATCCGGCAGCTCTAGACGATCCACACCGGAAGATGTTTGGAATCGGTCGAGCAATGACCACGCTCGAGGTGACTAGGCCCGGTTATAGGGACATCCTGCGATTCGTGTGTTGCTCGCAGATTGAACATTATGCGTGAGGCAAAAACGCTGTACACGACTACCTGGGGGCTTATCTGACTCAGAATTGAAGACAGGGACAACCACGATAGGATTTACCTATAGAAAATATTGGAATATGGTGACTGGGCAGCTTGATCAGAAGTTTATCATATAACCAAGGCAAGCCACTCACAGGAAGCTTATAATGCCCACACAATTCACTATAGAGGCCACTACAAAAATCAAGGCCGTGATCTTGAAGATAATCTATAAGACTCACGGGCAATGCATAGCATGTAAATCATACCATCCCGATATACAGCAGAAACCACTGGGGTGTTTTGCCTGTCGGTAAAATTTGAAACGTTTGTGCACTGTCAAGGCCATCAATACTGGAGTAGGTTAGTGGCCGGTGAGAAAATTTATCGAAATGATATGTACCAAGCTGATAGGTCATGGGTATAATATAGAGGATGCCTAAGAATTGTTTGGCCTCTGATGCGTCACACGTAGATTCTGGATTACGGGTGAGCAGAAGACATGTGAAAGGAGAGATACAGACTTCCGCATTTACTTGCAGCGACATAGAATATTATTAGCGTAGCTGAAACCATGACCTAAATAATGTGCGATGTTGAGCAACAAGAAAATTGCCAAGGGAGAGCATTAAGGTCACTATGCTGAAGAATGATATCGCAATCAATGTCCTCTTTTCACGTCCACAAAAGGCGTGCACCCTCGCTGCGAGCATGACTGAAAAGACGTTACGGGTAGAAATATATTGACTTGGAGCAGATACTGACCGTCAGCAGCAGCGGCACCCAAAGCATTCATGGCTGGCAAAAGAATTGAGTATTCCAGAACGATTTAAGTGAAGTCATCATATACGCAACTGCCAATTACGACCATGTATGTCCCAGAATTTGGCTAGGATATCGTCAGATATACTCAAACTGTTAGAAGAGTCTATGCTCACAGTTTCCCCGTGAGTTGAACCGACGCCGTCTATCCGAGGCACTCATTAGCGAAGGAGATAGAATAACACGAGTACTCGCAATATAAGTACATAGCAACAGTTCCAATTGGAAGATAGCGAGAAATAACGAAGGCTATCCTCATCATCCCCCACTTTCTCCCCCATGTCCAACGAACCTAACAATACCTCAGTTTTGTATACTATGATCGCCGAAATATACTGACCTCTGAGTCGAAAGTAAGGCAGAAGTCAAAAAGCTAGAGGAAATTGGGTTATGATTATAGGATTGCGTTATATTTGTTCCTCCTTATCAAGGCTGCTGTGGATGCGGCTGTCCGAGGAATTCAGTCATGCAAAATAAATCAGAATATGAGTATAGACTACCTTCAACAAACTGAATTCGAATGAGCAATCAAAGGCTGACTAATGAAGCGGGGTACGCACTGCAACAGTTTGCCAAGGTTGATCTACGAGATCCACATAGCTGCCCATCTTGGCTAAATTGAAGAACCGGCCTTCTTTCTGTATGGCCTGCCTAAGGAAGGCTAGAGTTAAGTCTACTATTAGCAGCACAAATGATGCATCCCCTTGCTTGAGAGATACAAACTTATATATATGTCTCATAGCATAGCGTCAAGTTGTCAGAATCGCATCAAAACCGTTCATTTCCGGGTCCGGGTACTCTCATGTGGTTCCGCACTGCTCGATCCATCGGTACGTGGCTTGATTTGGTATCCACCAGCACTGTGGACGATAATTTAAGTACGTCCAGGAGGAGCATATAGCATATCAGTGACGAGTTCACAAGCTCATATGCAACAGACCTGTGATATAAGGTGTAGTTTGGCCGCATGATGCAAAAATTGCTCAATGTCAAACTACATTTCTTCATGATGTATTCAATACGTTGACTTACTAATGAGTCATAGCATCAGTCGCAAGAGCAAAAATGCCGATGCTTCATGCACATGTCTAAGCAGGCGGAGACGGATGTAGTCTTGTCAGATGGCATCCAATTTTATCCCGGGAGTCCGGAGAATGCAAATCGTAGCGTTATAAAAGCTCAATGGAACCACCGTAACTTGGGCTGAGTGAGAAAATCGTGTGCGTGTGAGTGGGAGAAATGTCTGGCTGCGCTCAACGCTCATTGGTCCCAGGCTTCCGTATTGCTCTCAATCGACAGGGTATATCGTAGGCATTCACGACACCTATCGAGGTACCGTCTTTGTTCCAGCAGTTTACTTGCGATGTGTCCTGACTCGTGACTTCCGGAGATCACGGGGGTGTGGAACGAATTTAAGGGAGAGCTACGTTCAAAAATGCATAGCATCAATGCTAAAACATGGCGTCACATTTTGAGGGAACCATTTTCACTTAACTTGCAGTGTATGCGGATGCATTGATGTAGACTCGGAGAACGTTAGAGACTTGCAGCTGTGCAGTGGCAGTAAAATGCTGACTAAGTTCCGCCTCAGAACCCATTTGTCGGAAATTTGCGAAAGGCAATGAACCCCTGCGCGGGCGAGGTTCTACTGGTGACAATAAACACAACCTATTATATATAAGCGGGAGTATGCCTCCGTATGTCTCATATACTTAGGGTCTTCAAACCAGAAGGAGTACGTGTATATTTAAAAAAACACATTGGTGACATGGTCCGACCAAAATCTTGTTTTTCATGTACGAGGACTCCAGTGAAAATTCTATTGAATTCATTCTACATACAACCTCTCACAATCAGTAGTCGTACATTTTACAGGTCTTCCAGCCCTTATCATAAGCAAATCTTCGAAATGTCATCAAATAACTATATCCGCTCTATTCAAAACACCTTCTTCTATTGCTTTGATTTCTACAATTTCGATCATTAGCAACGCTCTATATACCACAAAGAAGGAACTTACGCATGGCCAAATGGAGACTGTGGAAGCGCGCTAGAGACAAATTAGCTGTTCATTAAAGTGAGATTGACGTACACACAACAAGAACGATGCGAAATACCGTTTGCGAACCACAGACCATCATGCCCGCAGTACCTCCACACTCCCGCAGATTGCCCTTCTTCATCTAAACCCCAGACCTGGGTAACTTTTGATGCGATTTCGTCTCCACAAACCTCGCGCATGAAATCACGGGGATCGCCATAACTGTCAGCAAGTATGAGTCCTGCTCATCAAAGTGAAACATTAGCATACCCCGTAGCAAACACTATGATATCTGCCTGTAGCTCGGTGCCATCAGCAAATAGAAGGCCGTTTTCCGTGAAGGACTCGATTGCGGAACCGTTTTTGATTTTGATATCCCCGTTGATAATAGATTTACTCGCTCCGGTGTCTGGAGGCTGTTGAGATATATCTTCGCTGTGCATCAGAGGTACACACACCGATATAGTAGCCACCACCGCGCTCCAGGTAAAGGGCCATAAGACCTGCTCCATATATGCCAAGATTGGTCTTAAAGCCAACTTTGGCCAGTCCATCTAAAATAGCCCTGTGATTATGATCAATGCATCTGGAACTGAGCTTTTGATTTGCCTGGCATACTTGTCTGCGGTCTCGGCGACTATAGGAACCATACGTTGATGCAGTCGCCTAGAAACTGCCCAAGGTAGCGAGGTACTATAAGTATCGGCCAGCTCAGTGGGGAAGTCATCATTATAAAGAGCTAGGCAAGGAAAGTCAAGCCAAACTCCCAACAACCATAGAAATAATTACCGCGTGACATTGCTGCCATTGACTCCACCGAGATCACGAACGTCGACGATCGTTGATACCTGATATTCGGTGAGATATGAAAATGACACTACCGAAGGGACACACATCGTGATGTCGGCGCCGTGACTGCAGAAGTCTTGAGCAATGTCGTGCGCTGATGAAATATTTAGACCTTGTTCAATACGAAAGATGACAGACCAACCAGAATTGCAACAACCGACTACGACTACTTTTTTACCGATATGATTAGCCGCAGATTCGAATTCTGACGAGTGCACGGTAGACCCTTTGAAGCTTGCCTGCGCCCATGAGTCACGTTTTGATCAGCTCTAGCGTTACATACCTTCCCGGGGATATCGGGAACTATGGGACGACCGCCAGATCCAGTGGCAAAAACGAGGTGCTTAACGGTCAGAACCCTAGTACCTTTACCCCCGCGATTGACTTCGACGGACCAGGTTTTCGTGCTATCGTTCCAAGATGTACTGGTGATCGTTGAGGCCGTCCAAACGTCAACCTCAAGCAACCTTCCATATGCTTCCAACCAGTCTGCCAGCTGCAATCACTAGAATCAGTGAACATTCATTATGTGGATAATATTGTACTTTTTCAGCTGGGATGTAGACTGGCCATGTTGGTGGAAAGCTGCAGAACAGATCACGAACGAGTCAAAGGAGTTCTGACAAACCACCCACGTCAGGTAAGGCATTTGGTTGAACCCTGTAAGTTTGTCAGTCAATCCCCTTCCGTAGAAGAAAAAGCACAAACAGATTGTGCCATGCAGACAAAGAGTCTTGTAACGATCTCTCCACTATGAAACCACACTTGAGCCTTTAGCTACACTCAAATACCGAAACTATAATGGGACGAACGCTATCTCCAACCCGAGGTTTCTTATCGATGACAAGCGTGGGTATACCAATGCACTTTAATTGTGCCGCGGCCTCAAGGCCACAGTGCCCTGCACCGATGACAAGCACTGTTGGGTCATTGCTTGAGAACTCAGCCTCTTGGCGCCGCATTCTCTCCCCAATTTCCATGATCGGCCTCTTTGTTTCTGAAGGGACCGAGCTTCCACAGAGTCAGAAAGTGCTCACAAAGGAACGTGAATGCACACTTTTTGAGGGAAATCGGCCAACGATTCAAGACAGGTCAACAGAGTATAGGCTTTCCACTTTGAATCTGGAAGGGGGACGAGATAAACGACCGCAGTACCCTTGCCATGCTTGGTGGTAAAACTAAAGCAAAACCTCAACCAAACAAGATCATGATAAACTTTTTGCAGCACAGGTTCTTTTAAGGGCTCCTGTAAGAGACGTAGTTCGTTGAGACCCGTGGCAGCGAGACGAGCATCTAAAAGTTTTTTGATATCCTTCCTTCCTTCGAATGTCCTGAAATCCCAAGTCAGTGCGATCACGTCCTTCCAGAAGCCATCCTCGAGAAAGAGGTCGACAACAGCTGCGGTATCACTTTGAGCTATTGCAGCTGAGAAAGCGTTGAGCCACTCGGTGGCTACCTCGGACGAGGAGACATTGGAAGGATCAGTGACCCCCAGCCGATCTAGCGTAGGTAAGCGTTGGGGAGACGGGTCAGTCGCCATACTGAAGCGGAAAACTGAGGTGTGCGGATTGAGAGTCTGGGATTTAGAGTGACACCACCAACCATCCTGGTTTTTAACTCCAATTATGCGATCCGGGTCACCTGAACCGTAGTCATAGATTAATCCATCATTAAAATCGTCCGAAGTCTGAAGAGCACATCACATGATTATGTACGTGATCAGTAAACATTGCCAACTTTCTGATATAACGTACCACCATAAGTAATAGGTAACTAGTACGTGGTCGTGACGCGGCTTACAATGTCAGATCATTCAAATACCACCATGGTATATCATACGACTCGAATGCTTGTCCTTCGCATTCTTATCACAACCCTGAGTTTGGCTCGGATGTACTATCAAATAGTGAGTCTCCTCGGTATTGTGTCTACTGGTGATCCAGTCAGTGTTTTTCTGGTCAGTGAACCAAGGTCACGGTCATTGACCACAACTCATGTGAATTTAAAAGTTGGTGAAGTTGACTGTCGTTCACATGGACACGACTTTCAGCGGTTCTCTGGTCCCACCATACCATACTAGACTAGTATACTTGGGGTCAATATGAGGTCAATCATCATTGATTAGATGTTTCTTATCCCACTTGGAACAGTCACGCGATCTGCTTCAGGGTTTTGTTCTCCATATGAGTAAAGCTAATATTGTTCTTGATGTGGTGACGCAAAATGCAAGATCAAACACCTTGCGTCTTACTGAAGTACGGGACGAGTCAGGTGTGTAATGGATATCCATCAACATGATAGTCTAAATCTCACCAGATCGCTAGTTTGAACCAACCAGAGCTACGCCATAGTGTAATTATGGAAGCAGTTCTACTTCACGAAAATATGTCCTCGCAGACATTAGACCGACAGTATCGTTTGGGAGTTCTTCTTGATCTCTGCGTAGCATCAGCAACAAGGATTTAGAGTAGTTCTGCATGGGCGACTACTCCAGGTAATGGTCTCTCGATATCCTACATCTTACTGGTGATCTAGTATTTGGCTCACAAGAGAGTGGATGGGTTCTTCCTCCACCCTCCGAGTCCTCGCTCACTGCTTCTCTTACGATCGCGCATGGATGTACAAAATTCCGTACTCCATCACAAAGCGCCTTCGCCCGCTCGGCGCATACCGTCTCTCAACTCACTTGCCACAGTCTGTACCAGAATATGGTGGGATAATTGACATACGACTTACGATTTCAGAAACAAACCCACACAGCGTCGAGGACTATGCGCAAGACACAGCAATATGTTTATTCAGGATGGAATTTGAGAACGGTGATGCATTCTCGGAATTGGTAACTTTCATTGTACGCCTCGTAATTGGTCCTACCTACCATTAACTTGGTATCCACCGTACGCACAGCGTATCCGTCTGAATCTGGTGTCATAGCAGCATGTTCAATCATTCCTCATATGCCCGTTGCCTATTACCCTATTACATACAATATAAGTCTACACATAATCCAGTCTATTGTCTATCGGATATCCAAGATGAGGGGATGCGAGTTGAGATAAATAATGTTGTTATCAAGTATGTGAGATGACGAGGTGGTTGGGGAAGACGGCCGTTATTCTTTAATGACGATCGTGGTCTACGGAAGTGTGATGTCGAATGAGATGCAGTAAGAGTTTAAGCCAAGATGCCAGGACAATGCCCAGTCGAGCCCAAGGAGATGGTAGGAATGACATGCTCAATGCAACGCGAGTGCGAAGAGCACTCACAAACGTTACGACCCCTCACCGCTCTCCCTCCTCCAGCGAGGAATCGGCACCCTCAACCGTATCCCGTCCCGCGCATCGTGCGGACTGGGAGGCCTATCGTGTTGAATTGGATGGAAACCGTCGTGCGTGCTAGAATGTCGCCCGCCATGCATAACTGAAAGTGACTCGTCATGCAAGATATGATGTGACCCGTCTTGGAGGATAGGATGTTGCTCATCACGAGGAGAATGTTCACCATCATACGGAGAACGTCTCCCCTCCAGCGCCCTTCCCCGTCTCCCATCAAAACTCAAACGCAACTCAGACCGTCGCGTCTCCTGCCGCACTCCAGATCCAGCAGCCTCCTCATAACTGGGCAAACCCGCTAAACTCGATAGTGGGGGGACACATCCCTGAAACGACACGCGATAGTCGGGTGCTGCATTCGCGTGTACGTTTTCACCATCTAGAACACCACTTGCATTCCCTTCTTGAACCCCTCCCACACTCACTTCGACCCCATCCACACCATCTAACTCCTCCCCACGTGTCCCACCACCACCGCTCGAATTCATCTCCGTAAACCCCCTCTCCCAAATCGCGCTCTCCGGGATCTCAGCAGGAGGTGTATGAGGACTATGTGGTGCAGAATGCATGCCACTAAAATAAGGCGTCTGAGCTCCACTTCCACCAACACTAAACGCAGTGCGCGGACGTGAATGTCCTCCCGCATTCGAGGCCAATCCTTGTGGGTATTCGAGGGGTTGAAGTGGCGATACCAGATTCCCAAATGATCGTGAATGGAGATGGGCTCCTCCACCTATACTCACACCTCCATGCCCAGACGCCCCATACGACCCACTGACGTTCGACATCCCCAATCCGTGTCCATGTGTCATCCCCGCAAGATTGGAATGGCTCCCAGTCCTCGAGCCCCCGCTCAACCACCCAGAAGGAAGCGGCTTCATCGCGACCGTGAGTAACGTGCCTCGCGTGCGGGATGCAGGCGGTGAGTGGGTATACGTTTCAGAGTCTGATATCACTGGATGTCTGTGTGAATCTGGGGCGGAGATGGCTATAGGTGAGCCTATTGCCCCCCGCATACGCCGCTCGGGACTAGGCGCACGAGAAACAAGCCGACTTGGGACTTGGCTCGTAGGATCAGAATTCGGCGATCGTGGATGACCTAAAAGTTCACAATTGACCCAATCGAGTACGCTCTGCGGGAGTGTGTGTGCATGTGCATGCGCATGTGGGTGTGGATGTGAGTGTGGATGTGGTGGTGAGCTCGTTCCTGAACGCGGCGGGAAGGATGCGTTGGTGGCACTTCCTGGCGTGGGGGGAATGTGTGGTGCTGTAGACACATAGGGATTCGCGACGCGCATGGTGGATCCGGCAGGTAGGAAGGCGTTGGCGACACGGTCCCTAACATGAGCGGTGTAACTGGGGAGCATCTCACCTTCCTCCTCGTTGTCTTCTCCTTCTCCGAAGATGCCTGCGCCAGCGCTCTCGCCTTCACCTTGGACGTGATCGCCTAAAACAACGCGGCGGACCCAACGCCCAGCAGCGCGAGCTTCTGTGAGGAGACACCCATCGAGTATGGTTATGGGGAGGCTGCAGCGGAGTTCAGAAGTATGCCCGTCGAGGTTTGACATAAGGATGGACCAGCGGATTCGGTGTGAGATGTGGATTGGGTCAAAAGAATGGGACGGAGGGAGAGTTGGTGGCAGGGTGAGGGAGAGCGGGGAAATGAGGTCTGTTGAGGTGAATTCGTCTAAAGCGACGTTTGGGGGTTCGTCGTGGGAGGGATCGGAATCATGTGAAGGAGCGAAGGAGGAGCTTGCGATTGGATGAGAGTGGGAATGGGAAGAGGACGAAGATGGTATGCTGGGGACCTGATGGAGGGATAGATCGGGTAGATGAAAATTTGGCAGTCTATCCTCCTGAGCAGGGGACGTGGGCACACTGACATCGGTAGCGCCAAAGGGGTGCGATTTGGAACCGGTGCCGATGGGCTGCCTGATGCCATACCAACTTTCGCTGACAAGCTTGAGTTTGCCATTGGTAACTTCGTGTTTTGTAGCCACAACAGCTCTGGTGAATTCGCTCCCCCTTGAAGGAATCTTCACGGTCTCGTTGAGGTTGGTGACGACGCTGAGGACGCGAACACCTTTGACGAGAGGGATAAATTTGCAGAGGGCAGTAACGGTATCGCCGGCAGCCCAAGCGCGATGGGGGAGGACAAGGGTGTACATGAGTTTATCAGGCCATGTGTTCTCGATTTCAAGTGTCTGCTGATACTCGAGCGAGTCTGTTGCGAAACTTCGTATTAGGGAAACAGGGTGGGACGCATGGAGGTTGTGCGCGAGGCCAGGACGGACGGCGGTTGCACGGAGTTTATAGGAGATGAATGATTGAGAAGCAGTGGAAGGGAGGTGTATTGAGGAGGGGAGGGAACCGCCGAGGGCGAGTGAGAATGGGAAAAGGTGTTTGCCTGCTTTGAGGGTATGAGAGTGACGTTTCTCGCCTTCGAGGAAGGACCAATCATATGTGCAGATACTGTATGTCTGGCCAGATGAGTTAAGGGAAATTCTGGGTGAATTTTTCAATCAAAGAAGAAGGTTTACATCAAAGAAAGCACATACGGTTCGTGAAGAGAGGGCGGTACACGGGTTTTGCCACGAAACTGGAGGTTTATTTCTTTGATGGATGTCGCTTCGGAGAGAGTGAGGACGACATGTCCAGAAAGTAAGGCAGGCTCGATGTCTACTGTTGTGCCTTTCAGTGCAAGGACATCAGAATCCAGGATTATGTCTATGCGAGACTTGTCAGGTGGTGGGTGATGATGTGATCTGTCTTGATGGACCATGTCGTCGTGTACGCGACTAAGAGCGGCGTGGAGAGCTGTACTGAGATGATCATCTATGGGAGTAGAAGTAGGAAGTTGAGGAGAAGCCGGGCGTGTTATACTGAATGCCATCTTGGCGGAGAGACCCTGGTTAGGATGAGTTGGAATTACAGACGCGCACTCAGGGCAAGCCAAACTCACCAACTAGCTACAGTTGGTCCTAGTCCTGTAATTTGTGGGAGATCCAAACTTCCTAGTAATTGTGAGCGACAAAGGAAACATCGACCGGGCGAGACTTGAATCATTCTTATAATAAACCTCACCTTTCGTTCGTCCGAACGTTGCCCGCGGCTGAGAGCGAAGCCGGCTGCTAATTCTTGATCCGGTATATGGGATCGACGATCCCTGCGGCACGGCAATACCCGAGTCACAGCTTTGTTTGCAGACTTCCACAGAAACCTGCTCAAATAGAATTGCCATCGAGTCATCGGTCTTCCGTCCTGCAGCGCTTATTGTTCCTCCCATTTACGGGGTTCTACACCGGCGCAACACTTATCGCATAGCTTTGCATTTCTAGCTCGTCGCGTGGACCAGCCTGCACAAAATGAAAGGCACATCCATTGGTAGTAGCCGTCGGTTGAATGCGGATACAAACGCCATCTGCATAAATGACTGTGTACGCTGCGTCACTTATCAGCAGGTGTTATCTTCCTGTCGTTAATCTCTGGCGCGCCCTCCATTTCCAAGATCTCGGTATCATGCTGTATATCAACCAGATCTCGCTAACCACTCACTTGACTTCCATTACAAAGTCTTACCCCCGAACTCTCCCAAGCCCAGGCCCTTTCGAGCTGCTCATCACTGCAATGCAGCCACGTCCTAAGTATTTATTTAAATTTAATCTCGCTTTTAGTCCGGTAACACAAGTAGCCTCGTGTTCATTAGGTCAGAATCTGGAACATGAGCGCGAAGTTCCACCGGAATCCTTTGTGTGCCAGCACACCACGATACTTCCTTCAATGTTAAGTCCTGCACACCCTATTTCACACGCTATCATACTATAATAAGATTGTACATCCCTCTTTCTCCCTTTCTTTCATTCCTCGACTCCAATTTTGCCACCGGTCGTCTACTCACTGGATCACGTTTGTTATCTCTACTGTCGCGGTGTTTTTAGGCCATCTACAATCTGCTTCTCTCTTATCAATCGCCATGGTCCTCGCCATGCCGCCATTGTTGCAAGCAATATCGCTATTTGGCACATGCCCGACCACGAACAAGGTAAGATCGCACGCTTGATGTGCGCCAATCTCACGCTCGATATGCACTTGATATGCGTTGATTGACCTTTAAAGTTTTGACATACCATGGGATTCGGTGGTGTTTTACAAGGCCTGCAGACACTAGCAATGACTCATTCCGCAGCAGCCGTGCTTCGGCCTTCCCTGGATTGGTTTAGACGGGTATTGAGCACTCAGCGCTCAAAGGGTTTCTGAAGACCCTCCTAACGTGGATGTGCTTCAAGAAGCCCCTTGAGCAAAGTCTCGTGGAAATACACAAAAATGAAACGCACGAGGCTCAACGGCTATGCTCATTTCGAACATTCGGAAAAGATGGAGACTGACGAATCGTAAACTTGACAGAATCTATTGCTAGCTATGGGATTCGATGCTGCGCCATTCACATGACGCACGGCTCCAACTTCCCTGACTTTAAAGTTTGAACAAAGCTCTATGTTTGCGCCTGCACCTGCGTTCGGACTACTTCGGACCCGTATTCTTCGGAGATCAATCGGATATTGAAACAGTACTGATTTATTTACAGGTGCGTCATCGGGGGAAACCGGAAAACACTCTGTGGCCGCCGAATGCGCTCAGTTGGACGTTGTGTAGTCCTAGAGGTCGGTTGCTATCGGGTCTTTTATGTGCACCTCTCCAGCTATCCATGCTAGTGGAAGTGCGGCTACCTGGAAGAGGTGCACATAAAGACTATTGGCCCATCCATGCAGACATGTTGCAAAGAATACGGCTGTAATGCGGCAAGCAGGCGAACATTATACGGCCGTTTTACTCATTGTAGTAGAGATCTACATCTAGAATTTCACTCTAAGGCCTGGACGTTCACTCATAAGGGAAAAATGCAAAGCTAAAAGCCTGTCAAGAGATGCGATTTAGCACGTTTACACTACAGTCGAATCTAGGAAATATACAAATGTTCGTATCGTGATGTACATCCTACAAGAAAGTGATCGCTATCTTCAAGTTCAAAATCTCCGACTAGCGCGGCAGTACCCTTGAAACAAGCATGACAGTCCCGGCATTTTATCTGTTAAACTACGGAATACTGATTGATTGCACCGGACGACCCGATGCGATGACCACGTCCTTGCAATACCATCTTACCGACGACGAGTTTCCTTTTTTCATCTTCATCCTAGTCCTGCAATGTGTGGAAATGCCTGGCATCTAGAATATGACGTGGCTTGTATTGCGGATTGGACGGGCAACAACGTCCACACATTCGGGATCCGCTGACCTATTCCTATTCATCCGCCTTGTGCAGTAGCTTCCACTATCCCAACTTATCTGGGATACATCGGCCTTCTTTTGTTTCCCATCCCGCTTCCTTGTCTTCTGCGATGTCACGCTGCTTAATACCATTGATATCATTGGGCGGCTCCGATGACAGTGGACGCCTGGTAAAGTTGAGGATGGCTTATTGTCGTGCCACGAATGTGGGCCCGAATGCGTCATTTCTCGATGCTGTACCTTGCGAGCGGACCCTAGTCAATATGAATGTATAGGAATCAACAACTCATCTCAGAGTTCCCCGGCAATCTAATCCAATTCTCCGGCAAATTGGCGATATTTTCGTCGTGCCACCACTGATGATGTACTTGCCATCCACGAAGAAAATAGCGCAGGACAAGCACGATCATTCGCTACATTCAAATTTAGCGATGGTTCGTCGATCAAAGATCCGAGATCCGCGAGAGGTGAACACTTTTATCACCCATGCATACGAAGGCGCCAACAAGATTCCCGGAGATGGTACGGATATAGCGAGTACCTTAGAGCCAATGATCATCCGGGCGGACCTACTGCCAGGTCGACATATCCAATTCCTGAATGTTTGACCCTGACAAGATCAGCGAGAAGCAGTGTGTTATCGGGCGTCCACGCGAGTGACGTTTCTGGACGTTATGGTTGGCTACGAAGTTTGCGACACAGTTTCTTGTGCCTGTATCCCGAATTTCGACCTCACGGCTTGCAATGAATTGCCCGCTTCTGTAAGCCGTCACTACCTGGAGCCTGCTTTTATATCCTTCCAATCGTTTCAACAGCACATTGTCCTTTGAGCTTCGAACTCCACAAACCACCCGTTCATTGATCCTGTCAGGGCGTCACCATGCGCAGCCAATCAAGGAAGAATGAGACAGCCATTGCCTCGGATTCTTTGGTTGTTGCCAATCTTGAAACTATCGAACGAGTATTCTAATGCCGTTATACTTGGCTAGCGCTGGCATTCTTGTTAGCTGGCCCAGTCGGTTTATCTCGAGACCCCTATCAGGCATCCTAGCTTTGTCAGCAAAACGATAACGGAAGTTGCTATAGCAGACTCGTATGGTGGCCCAAGACATATGGACAATGTCGATTCCTCAGCGCTGGATCATTAGACCGGTAGTTCAGGTGAATGATGCGCTTCTCTACAGAGTTCTCCGAAGCCAACTACCGACTGGACTCGATGGAAGCATTCGATAGGCCGGCTCAGGACGACAGAGATATGAATGCCGTCTGGTAGACCTAGATTCCTTAGCACAGACATCTTATTTTGCATGAATGTCGCCCCATTTGTGAAGTAGATTGGGAGACTCGCCTTATTTGTTGACAGTTGGGCTATCGAGGATGTTATCAGTATTCAGATTTCTAATCGCACTCGTACAGTTCCAAGGTACTGCAAGCAAATCGTGTATACGGGATGTCTCACCCCACGCTTCAGACTCATTTGGTACATGCGACGATGGGTGTACTGGTGTGAAGACACGCCTATGACAGATCGACGGTGCTGCAGTTATATCCCATGAGATACAGATGTAGCTGACCTGCATGACGCGAGTCAGAAGGCTACGATGAGGGTGATGATATCATCCCGATGTCTGAGTGATACTTTACGCTGATACCGATCATTCATCGAGGTTGATTGCGCGGCCAAACCTGGCATACAGTGTAACTTTCAGCTCCTTCATCTCCTTTTCGCATTGTTCCGCGCCTGCTGATAGGTCCAAGATTTGAGCTGATAAAGCTGCCTGATCCTTTTCAAGTCGTTTTATCGCGCGGGGTTGGGGCAGGTGAAGAAAAGATTCGCCGATCTTGTATCTGGTTGATAGACCAACAAAGTTAGTCCTTCTTCTTGCGCGAGCACGGTGTTCAAACGCACAGCACACTTTCATCCTCGTCAGTAAGCTCGAGCTCTGTAGAGAGGTCATCTAATGCTTCTTTCTCTTGCTGGAAGCTATCATGAGACTAGAACAAATGTTTAGCTTCTTGACGCACCTTCAGTTCCTCGAGTCGTTCCTCTATGCTCCTCAGACGAGTGTTCAATTTGGAGAACGTGTTGATACGCTGCTGATCCTCTAAAAGCACTCAATCGACTGGCACCCTGAGTGTCAAAAACTCAGAACGCACCCCATGTAACCTCAGTCCCGTCATCGTTCTCCTCCTCTTCCGCAAGCTTGAATGGATTGATTCAGTGATCCTCGCTTCGTGATGCAATTGTCATACCATCCGCATGTTGTTCATGTTATAAACTTGGTGGTTCGGAAGCACTTGCCAAATTAATATGGTTTTGCCGGCTGAGGGTCGTATTAATATAACTGTGCAGGCTGGCGAAACTCACACTCTTCTACAGCTCTCCTACCTATACACTGCTATCACCACGGAAACGTCGATTTCAACACAAAAATGTCTTCCATCAAGCTTGTTCTGCAAGACCCGGTGATTGTCAGGGATTTCCTACGGACCAGGACGCCATACGAGACAGCAAAGACGGCACTTTTCTTTTATTTCGTCATAACTCAATCTCTCAAGTTCTGCAGGCATGTTCAAGCTCGAGGCATAACTGATTCTCTTAGAGACTCCTGGACATGGACCTACAAAGTGCGTGACTTTCATTTAGTTTTACTGCTATGAAAGCTGACCGAAAGACAGCAAGTATTACTGCTAGCATTGAGAGTACCCTCAGTGCAGAAGGACGTTCAGCAGCAATTGAACAAGGCAAGACTGGATATTGAGGGAAAGCTCGTACCCCAAGGAGTCAATGTTTCGCGGCATCTCGTTCTCCCAGACGAAGGGAAATCCATGGAGTGGATAATAGCAGAGATGGAGAAAATGGATGGCGAATTGGGTACACATGCTGATTGGAAACACGGGAAATTATCAGGAGCAGTCTACCGTGCGTCAATTGCCACAGTCATTCCCTATCTCACCTTATAAATAGATGGGGGGGATGATCTGTCAAGAGTTATTGTCGCTGCTTTCGAGCGTTATACAGTTTCTAACCCCTTACATCCGGACGTCTTTCCTGCTATCCGCAAGATGGAAGCTGAGATCGTCTCAATGTGCCTACGGATGTACAACAACCCGGATGGAGCTGGTACCATGACCTCAGGCGGTACCGAGTCTATTGTCATGGCTATCAAAACTTACAGAGACTGGGCACGAGAAGTTAAGGGTATTACGGAGCCTGAGATGTGGGTATTGCGGCTCATAAGCTGTGAGTTAATCCTAATGTCGATATTACAGGATTGTTCCAGCAACCGCACACGCCGCATTTGACAAAGGCGCAGCGTACATGAAAGTAAAAGTGCACCTGATTCCAGTAGATCCAGTAACTCGAAAGGTAAACATTAAACGCGTTCGTAGAGCCATGTGAGTGTCCCTTACCACGTTAAGGATGTGTTACTCAGATAATTTCCAATAGCAACCGGAACACAATCCTTGTAAGCATCTTCTCTATTATAGCGGTAGTATTGAACGCTGTTGCGCAGCTTGTAGGATCAGCTGTAAATTTCCCGGATGGAAACCAAGACGACATAGTTGTTTTAGGCGAATTAGCTGCAAAGCATAATATTGGTCTGCATGTTGACTGTTGCCTTGGATCCTTCATTGTGCCGTTCCTCGAAACAGCAGGTCTTTCTGACGGAGAAGACGGAGGCGCAAAGTATAAACTCAGTCCATTCGACTTCAGAGTCCGTGGAGTTACTAGTATCAGTTGTGACACTCATAAGGTAAGTTGTCATCATATAATACAGTTGCATGTAATCGATGAAGATATTAATGGCATAATAGTATGGGTTTGCACCCAAGGTCAGACTTCGTTCATGTGCACCTCGTAAATGCTTACCAGATCCTATAGGGGTCTTCTGTAATCATGTACCGCGACGCTGCATTACGACGTCATCAATACTACATCACACCTTACTGGACAGGTTCGTGACATTCTGGCAAACGTTTCTACCAACTTCAGTTCTTTGTAGGTGGAGTCTATGCCAGCCCGAGTTTGTCAGGTTCCCGGTATGTTCATTCCTAGATCCGTTATTTTTACGCCTGAATTTCTATGTACTTAGACCTGGTGCGCTGATCGCGGGAACCTGGGCAGCGATGCAATATATGGGATCAGAGTGCGTATATCTGTTTTTTTTTCCCTCGATCTGTTCTTGTAATCTTTGGGCCCATTTCTTAGTGGTTATCTCAAGTCCTGCCGCGAAATTGTTTCATGCGCGCGTACGATTGCCAATACCATTACAAATTCCATCCCAGAACTATATGTGCTTGGCTCCCCGCCCGCTTCTGTCGTCGCATTCGGGTCCAAGTCGCCTGAGGTGAACGTCCACGAGGTTGGGGATGCGATGTCCAAGAAAGGCTGGCATCTCAATGCGCTGACCGGACCAGCTGCGGTACATATCGCATGCACAGTAGGTCTTCTTGCTTTTTCTCTGCACTCATGGAGATTGAATCACGTGCTTATCTGAAAGCGCCTTACGCTCCCGCTCGTTGATACCTTCATCGCAGATCTCAAGGACTCTGTGCAGCAAGCTAAGTTGGCACCGTCTGGCAAGGGGACAATGGTTGCGCTCTACGGTACGTCTCAAAGATTGATTGATTTTCTTTGTGGCCGAGTTTTGTGCCTTCACAATCATCTCCACAACCTGCGTCTGCTTTTTTGTCCTATAATTTCCACCGTTTTCTGCCATCATCAATGGTCACGATCATGGTGAATATATAATTTGACCCTGCTACTCTTTTCAGGACTTGGACAATCTAGCCCCGTCGGCCCGGACATGGTCAGCGAGGTCGCTACGATGTTCTTGGATACATTGTACAAGGCTTGAGGCAGTGCTCTGATTTTGCTGTGGAAACACGGAGCAGTCTTGTACATGTGGTTTGCATCTTTAGCATATCAGAATGATGTATTGTAATTGATTGTAGGCACCCTAGAACAATTTATCTAATGGCGGGTCACGCATAGTGCGATGGCACCGCTATTTCGTATAGAAATATTCGTGGAGGTTATGCGTTAGCCCACCGACAGAAAATCTTTTGTGTCCCTCATTGGTTTCGAATTAGGCATATTGCAATCATGATCTATTGTAGGCACCAAAGCGTGAGTCTCGCTAGAGGAAGGATAGGGCAGTGTTGAATTGTATCTGATGTATGGTATCTCTTCCCACCACTGCTGTACAGGCGCACCAAACCTCAAAATGCTCCTGACGCCTCATTTTCGGTGTCAAGATCACTAAAAGGGAAGATCGGCATGTCCAGTGTTGGTCGAGGCCTCGCTAGGCTCCGTCGTTTTTTAACTCAAAATTATACATGCGGCTAATATATAACTAGTCTCCGACATCAGCCTGTGAGCCATCTCATTCTGAATCTACGTCCACGACTGACCTCTAAGTAACCTTCTTCAGCTTCCATTCTCAAGGGACTATCGTTCCCTTCTGGTTTGTACCTATCTTATTGGTCATTTGTCGTACCCTGATATTGGAACTCAATTGTTATCTAAACTCTCAATTGGCAATCCTTCTCCACCCGACACGGAGTCCACAGCCCCTCTGTCCACTTGACTCCTTCTTTATGCACTAGAGTTTTGATATCGGCGTTTCCCCATTTATCCGACGGAAAGCACTGAAAGCAAGTACTGGAATATTTGATCGAGGGCCGAGACTCAGGCCTCGGACCTTCTCGACCAGCATAGTCTGGTCTGTATATTCATTCCCGTTTATCGTACGCTGATAACACCACATAGCATTGGAAGAGGCCATAAACGAAATTCGGGTATGGCTTCTCCATGGCAAGGCCTTTCAGGCAGTAGCGCTCGTACTATGTAAAATATGTTTGTGCATCTACAACGTTATACTTATTCTTTCATATACTTACAGACGAATTTCGCTGTGCCTCGAGCGTCAGCATTCGCAAATGGGAATTATACATCAAATCTTTGGCATGCGAATCGTACCATGATGATTTAATCGAACAGGACCCATAACGAGGTTCTAGGCGCAGTACGGAGTACCATCGTCTCTCTTTTAGTTCAATCAGTTCGAATGTCAGGACCTCTGGAGTGCATCAGGTATCATGTTTTCATGCTTTGTCCACCTTAATTATAAGCCCCGAACTCGGAGGAAACGATTCTAGGACATTAGCCTTGCGCGCTTTTGCCCGCCGATGTCACAACCGTATCAAATTGCTCGCGTTGCCATCGGGAATATGAGAATATGATACACAAACGGGTTTCATACATAGTCATATGCCGATAGTCAAGACACAAACTCTCAAGATGATGGGCTCAAGCCCGGGATGGGGATTTGAAAGTATATGGTATAGGCCGGGACTATCCTTAGATTTGATCAACACCCTGATTTGGTACAACTATCATAAATATTTCAAGGAGCAGAGAGGGAATAGCCGTTTCATACACAAAGAACCGTACAGCACATGCTACAAAGTTTGTTGTATGTCGTATGTATGTATGTAATTTGAAGGAGGCGCAACATTATAATGAACACCAGAAAGAAAAACAAATAGAACGAAAAAAAGAAAGACAGAAGGATAACACAAAAATCGTACGGAAACTTGAAAGAACGACGTACGACGACGACAAACAAAGAAACTTGGACATGGAAAAGAATATCATGAATATGTGATGTGTGCACCCGATAAGTAGAACCAATGTACCGCCAAATGCATGTGCGTACAAGAAATGAGACGATAAATGATGTATTTGGATGCTTACTAGCTTGTTCAAGACGCCGTTGGTAGCAAGGCTGGCGGTCTTGGAGGCTTCACGCGGAACTCGCTGATGATGCATATGTGACTATCAAAGCATGTCAGGAAACAAGTCTGTATCCAAAAAGACAGAGAGGAGACGTACTCTGATGGGAAATGAGCATTCGGGAACCCTACCACTTTTTCCAAATACCCTCTGTCTACTTCTCCCAGTACCGCATTCACAGCTAGATTTGCAGTCGAATACCATATATAATCGATCTCGCCTTGGTAGCTTGGCGTATAATTCGTTAACGGGAGTTCACCCGCTGCCGCATTCGCACTTCTGAGCCCCAAACGATGCCGCAACCCATCCGTGGTGTACCGCCCATACAGGTGACTCATAAAGTCTGGGTGGTCGGGTGGCACGCTCCCGTTCGTAAGGAACTCATATACACCCGAAGACGGAACGCTGTTGAAGTCTCCGCAAATGATCAGCGGGATCTTGCTTCCATCGCTGTAGACGGGCGCGCGGGGTGTATCCGGCCTCGGGGGCATCCGTGCAAAGTTCGCAGCGATTTTCTCGATCTCATCAACGAGAAGCGCGACTTGGACGAGCTTGACGTCGCGATACGCAGGATCCCAGTGGATATGAGCATTGGCAAGAATGATGCGAGTGCCCGTTTCCTTCACCTCAAAGAGGCAGATAACGGCAATATGGTCTTTGCCAAGTACACGGTTGAACATGTCATCTGTTTTCTTGAAGTCGGGACGCTGCATTGCGACGGTGCTGAACTCGATGAGGTGACGTTCGACGAGGCAGTATCTGATAGAATGAATAAATAATGTCGGCATGATAATAACTTCAGGTCAACACAAAGAGGGCACTCACTTGTCTGCCTTGTAGAACGTTGCACACCCATCAACCTGCCGACGATCTGCATCACTCATCGTCTTATACCTACTCTTTGGCCAGTAAATTCCCTCATACCCTTGCCCCTGCAAATGCTTCACAAAGTAGTCCTCGTACTGTGCGATATCCACTTCCTGCAGGCACAAAAAGTCGGTATCGTAATTCATTATTTCCGTCAATATCAATTCCTTCCTATAATCCCAGCTGAGTGCCCATGACGGTGTGTATCCGTACAACCGCTCCGTCGCGTACTTCTCACACAGAATGTTGTAGCAGAGAGTACTGAGCGTCTCTGTAGCAGGATCCGCGGCAAGGGCCTCCCGCTCTTGAGGCGAAATGAGCGACTTCCAAAGACGTTCTGGTGGAGGAGATGGGACAGGGCAACTGTCGCGCAGATAAGAAATGAGGGCGGGTGTACCGTCTTTCTGCACAATGGCCTTCAGAGACGTGTCTATGGGATTCCCCTCGACGCCGATTGTCTGTAGCTGGTGCAGACTGCCTAGTTCAGCTGGCAGGGTCACAAGATGGTTGTCAAACAAGTATAACTCCTTCAGCTGGGTGAGCATGCCGAGCTCAGCAGGAACTGTTGAGAGGTTATTTCCACTAAGATCGAGGAGTTCAAGGTGACGGAGCTTCGCAATTCCGGCAGGTATAGAGGTGAGGGCATTGTGGTTGAGATAAAGGTTGATGAGGAAAGTGAACTTGAAGAGGCCAGAAGACGGTGGGATGTTTTTAATATTGATGCCACCCATGTCAAGAGAGTTCCAGGTGTTCTGTGGGGGTTTGGCGGTAGGCCGTGGGGCCTCGGCAATAGGAGCAACAGTGGACGAAGGGTGATTGACCACAGAATTTGCGACGCCTGGTGAGCTCTCGCCGGCACTCAAGGCGGGGGTGGAGGATAGAGCTGGTGTTCCGGGTGGGTCTTTCGAGGAGGATTCTGTGATGTCGACGCTTGTGCTCATACTGGGCTTGACAAGGTTGGGATTTGTGATAGGGATAGCGGATTTAATGACCGTGCGTGATGCCATTGCGCTAGCGCGGGCACGGTGATGTGAAGACCGAGAGGACCTGATCATCTTTGTATGACGTATTATAAGATTGAATTAAATGGAGTGCTGTTCAGCGTACCTCACACTTCAGAAGTTGCTGCTGCCAATGGGGTGTTATGATCTGGCTGCCAACGCTTCCTGGTGATGCCTGGCCCATATGCTGCGGGTGGATGTGACCATTGGGTGGAGAAGGGTAATGAGACAAAGAATTCTGGTGCTGGTGGGGAGGGAGCGGGGGGTGTGAAAGGGGATGATGCGGGTGATGCTGAATAGGATTCACAGCACCATTTGTATAGAGCGGGTAACCTGGGGATGGTGGAGGTGGACCTATGCTCTGCTGTGGGTGATGCGTATGTGTGTGATTGACATTTCGAGACCAAGGGGACTGGTCTTGAACATTAACATGGTGTGGGTGGGCGAGTTTGTGTGAGATTGCGGGCGACTGCGAAGGGTAGAACATCGCATCTGGGCCAACGCAATATCACACGCAGGAAATATGCACTGTAATGAGACCTCTACACGTCGGACGTCAGTATTACACGATAGTATAAGCAAAATGAGAGAGACAGTTTCAAGTGCCTTTGACAAGTATCTTGCTCGCTGCTGTCGTCGTCGTGCTCGTCGTTGTCGTCAGTGAAGTCGGTGGAATGGAAACAATAATTCAAGTCAAAAGCTCGACCAGGGGACACTGCCACTGTTACGCCGGCGACGGACGGCGTGACCGGGGTCACTCATGTCTTTGCAGTGTGCACAGCCACCGTTAATCGCTAAAGTAATATGCTCGATCGCGAATAAGGATTATGGATGCTCGTACGATATGCTTTTATTGAAACTTATAAGACACCATTCTATTGCAACAACTTTTCTTCTCATTCCACCATGTCCATCTACCAAGCAACAACATCTGCACCAGTTAACATCGCCTGCATAAAGTGATCATTAATACTATCTACGTGCTCAGACAAGATCTAATCTATTATACGATTGTAGATACTGGGGAAAGCGCAATGAGTCGCTCATCCTGCCCACCAACTCCTCTCTCTCCGTTACTCTGAGCCAGGATAACCTCAGGAGCACAACCACTGCACGCGCTGATCCTTCCTTTGCTGCTGATTGCCTCTGGCTCAATGGCAAGGTGGACCCAATCAAACCTGGCGGTCGTCTCCACACGTGCATCTCCGAAATGAAGCGTCTGCGTACAGCCTTTGAGGCAGCAAATCCAGATCAACCAAAGGTGCGGTTTCTCCACAGACCCTCACACTACATCACTGACACACACCTAGATCGCCTCCTTCAACGTGCACATTTGTTCATTTAACAATTTCCCCACTGCAGCTGGTCTTGCTTCATCCGCTTCAGGCTTTGCAGCCCTCGTATATGCACTTGCCAAACTCTACGCCCTCCCTCAAACCCCTGAAGAGCTCAGCCTCATCGCCCGTCGTGGATCCGGTAGCGCATGTCGCTCCCTCTTCGGTGGCTTCGTCGCCTGGGATATGGGCAGCGACGACGTAACCGGGCTAGACAGCAAAGCCCGTCAAGTCGCCTCAGAGTCCCACTGGCCCGAGATGGAAGCCCTCATCTGTGTCGTCAACGATGCCAAGAAAGGCACTAGTAGTACCAGTGGCATGCAACGCACCGTCGTTACTTCCGCACTCCTCCAGCACCGCATTGGATACGTCGTTCCCTCCCGCATGGCAGACATCGAGAGTGCCATCGCAGACAAGCGTTTCGGTGACTTTGCGGAGATCACCATGAGGGACTCGAACCAGTTCCATGCTGTCGCTCTTGACACTTACCCGCCCATTTTCTATATGAACGATGTCAGTCGTGCCATTATCGCTATCATCACCGAGTACAACCGGCTCTCGGATCAGCCCAAGGCTGCCTACACATATGATGCAGGCCCAAACGCCGTTATCTATGCGCTCACACCCAATGTCCGTGAGATAGCACAGCTTGTTCTGTACTACTTCCCTCAAGCAGAGAAGGTCATCATTGGAGGACAGGAAGTAGAGGCTGCGTTGCCGGAGGGATTCAATGAGGCTGTTGCTAAGCGATGGGAGGTGGGCTCTGTTAAGGGGCTTATTCACACCCGCGTAGGTGACGGCCCCCGCGTTTTGAGCGACAGCGAGGCATTGCTGAACGCACAGGGCATCCCCAAAGTGCTTGCCTGAATAAAATAGAAACAAATGATCCTTTGTATCTTCGTGGAACAGTCAGCCTTAATGTAGAACGTGTTGCAACAATAGATGTACCACAAAAACAAATCAACTCATTACCCGTGCATCGCCCTAAATCTCGGATGAAGTCGTCTACCTGCACGTCAAAATCGCACTCTGTCAACATATATATAGCAACCGACGGTCTTGAAGCTTTGAAGTGGAAAGATCATGTATTCGCAGTTGCAACATCTAATCGATGACGCCTTTCATCCAAGAGACGAGTTACTATCTTGCAACAATACCTTTCGTTTAAATCTGCATGGGGGGCATCCAATCCAAAAATTGCTGAATATTGCGCAAGAGAGGATAGTTCAACCGCTCAGGGTTATTCCAAGGCTTGCCCCAATCGTACGAATGTCGAATTCATCCTGAACCCTCAGATCTCGACGTTCAACGTTTCAAATAATCTTGACAACATGCCAAGCGTATGTGGCCTCTAAATCATACCTATCTGAAACAACCTACAAATCCCAATAAAACACAACTTCAAAACACGAAAACAGAACAAAAAGGTGTCAATCACACACCACCAACCTCATATCCCGTCCTCCGCATCAACCATATCTAAAAGCGAACCTATGGGCTGTTTCCCATCATCCCCCACAAACTGCAATAAACTCTCAAACACCTCCGTACGCTGCCTGAACCGCTCAGGTGACAGCGGCTTTGTCGAAGCGTCCCGCAACGCAGCCTCCACGGGATCTTCTTCCATCAAAAGCACTGCGTGCCGCCGCTTCTGTCCACTAGAGGTCACAGCGGTTGACGTGCTCGCATCAAGCATCTCGTCCTCATCTTCATCATCCAGTCGACTCGTCCAGGCTTCGTCGGGCGTGTTCGGACGTGAACGTTTTTTCGGTGGCTCTTCGAGCAGACTTGTAGTAGTTTCTTTAGGTGTGCTTATAGACTCTGCGGAGCCATCATCCGTGGTAATGGGAGTCGAGAAGAGATGCCCCAGGAGTGCCCTGAACACACTCGTCTCCTCTGGGTTTGTGTGGTCCACCACCGCAGACACTTGCGTTTGCAGAAAGCGTAGCGCTTTAACTGCGGGTTGTTCTTCACACATTTCTCGGAACCTATACACATTCACCATAAGCATATCCTTCTGAAGAGGCTCATAACCTACTGCTGTTGTCGGATCTGGTATTTTGCTCGCCTAATAATTTCCTCGGGTGCAGCTCTGAAGAGTAAACACACGCGTCATTAACACCGTAGAGCGGACTACAGCAATGCTTCTCACCTCAATAGCTTCATAGTCCAAAAATCATCCAGCCTCATCTCCTTCGATATCCTGCTCGGACGATCGTCATCACCTCCCCTCGGACGCTCGTCATCCCCACCTCCGTCTACCTCCGTCTCCACATCCTGCCACCGGCTCATTCACCTCCCCTGCATTTCCGCCATGCATAAATACACGTTTCATCCCCTCATCGTACACTACTTGATGTGCATATCGTGGAAGAGGAACTTCGGCAGGCTCTCCGCCTTCCTGCATCACTTCGGGCAATATTTTTGTCCACTTTCCGGGTTTGGAAGGGTGCACGTACTGATACACCCAATTTGGTGTATCGGCGCGTAAGCTAGTAAGAGCACAAGTGGGCTGCACGCGAGTCAGCCCACAGAATCTAGATAAAGTGCTTGATTTAGAGCAGCTGGGTAGAAATGGGATCGATTGCATACACATAAATCTCTTTCAACCGTCCGTCGATGATCGCCCGCTGAGTGAAACATGCGTCGGGACCCCCACTTGTGCTGAAATTGCTGAACAATTCCGTCACCGTGTTGCTCGCGATGTCGTAGGCGTACATGTCGGACAGATACTTGTCATCACGCTGCCCCGCGAAAATAAAAAGAGTGTGCGACATTGGGTCGAGAACCATCGAATGGCCTATCCTTCTTCAGTATGCCGGACATTATACACATGAGACGAAATAGACTTACCAAAGCGGGGCGAGATGGGCGGCTGTACAGACGATGACATTGACAACGCAGGTTGGGGTCTGCAGACGCAATGAGAATGACAAAAACAGCCAATAATGGCAATACTCGCTGTAGAATTTTCCATTTGCTTGTGCGGACGTTATAGCTATACATGCCAGAGTACTTCGGCGAATCCCAATCGCCATCGACAACTCGCCCCCCGGAAACATACAATATCTGCGCCTCACAATCCATCACCATTTGGTGGTCGAAAATGAGTGGTGGGCCACCAGAGGACTAGCATCATCGGTTTAAAAAAAATGCAAAGCCAGCTCTACCACTCACCGCCGTATCAAATGACAACAAATCCCATTTCCCAACATCCAATCCTCGCGTATGATACCGGTAAAACTCCGAACAGTATGGAGTAGACCTAGACCCGTCCGGTATCTCACCCGCTCTTCTTAATAGTTCTTGATGATCCTCCGGCTTCAAGATATCTCCATCGCCAAGTCGACCCAGGAGATAGATGCACCCCGATTTCGTATCATAAACCATCTTGTGACAAGATCTAGCGATAGGTCCGTTCTTCTCGATAGAGGTACTATGACTTATTACGCGCCATCGCTCAGCGCTCACGTCGTACACCCAGAAATCGTCCAGGCTTTTCTGCCCGTCCCAGCCTCCAAGGAGGTAGATGAGGCCATTTTCAGGGTCGAGTGCCATTGCATGGCCACCGCGTTTGCTCGGAGCGTCACCGTCTGCGTCCACACCGTGGAGACGTTTCCACTGCGAGTGTGGTTGACAAAATTGGATATAAGCATCTAGAAGGCCAGCTGAAGATGCTTCAGACAGAAGTGTTTCGGAACCAGTCCAAGCCCCTTGAAGAACGAGGCTCGAGTACAAGGCTGTCACGACAGGGTGCTCCACCTGAATGTTCGAGCGCGCCAGGATGTTTTGATATGGTGTTAGCAACCTCCGCTGCCTCAAGTGCTTCAGCACGTGGCGAAGCACTATGGTTTCTCGATACTAAAATTGTTCATTTAGTGAACATACGTGTGATAAAAGTTAGGTATCAAACCTCCTCGTATCGCGAGCGGATATTGTCGACATACAGAGGATCGGCTATGCCCGAAACAGAGACATACCAGATTGAAATATGGAAGCTCATCCCATGCGCTCTAACCGATGTACAGATTTAGCACAAACAAACAAATTCAACATGCCCGCTTACGAAACTGGTACGATCTTGATGTACCGTGTCGGAAAACAAATGCCCTCGCCATTCACATGTTTCAAAGGAAATGTTTCGGATATCGTATCGTCCTTGAGCTGTGTGTGCAGCGCCTGCACCATATGGTGTGGATTCAGGCCTACATAAACCCTGAACTCCCTCATATTACAAGGATGTTCTGTTGAATTTGTTCAGAGCCTGGATGTCGAAGGAGTGAGCTCACATACTCCTGTGAAACTTCATCCACCAAACTTAGTTTGTGCATCGATGACAAGTTGGGTCGGCGTCACCTTTCCAAATGTTATACTCTCTTCATTTCATCAAGCGCGGGTACGTCAGCGCGTGCGAGATCGTGAAGCGTAGCAGTTACTCAACTGACAACACTGAGTACTTCTAACTTCAGCAGGATCCATTGTTTTGCTGTAGGTAATTGTTGTGCGCCGCTCCATCTACTTGTTGGGTCCTGTGGGGTGTCCACCAGTATGTTTTCTGGAACGTAGTTCCCGCTGTGCTCCGAGCATCCGGCAACGGTGTAAGTCATAGCCTGTGCAGGAGGCATAGTTGATGGGCTTGAGGTCGCCCAAGTGGCAGCCATGAACGGTTTAATCTTTGGTGAAAGTGACTAGCTGAGAATAAGATGACAAGTTACCAATGACTAAAAGAAACGTCACGGCTCCACACGTGACCGTTTCAGAGCTTGATGCAGGCCTACATCCCGTTTCGTCTTTCTATACCGAAGTGTAATGAGATCTGGGTGTTACAGGGGTTTCCCAATCTCCCGGGGTACGCTTTTCGTATTGGAGGTGCTACAGAGCTTCTTCTGCAGGTTGTTTACCCCAAGTTGTGTCCACACAAGGGCGTTGGTCCTCAGATGCTTTCCTCGACTATTGGCGACGTATTGATACCATCCTCCCTCTCTTCATGGCCTCTTCGGCTAACACGCAGCGCTTGTTTGATCTAGACAGAGTCACGGACTCTTTTGCTCGACGTAATCATTACCTATCTCGTGCCGCCCCTTCATCTTAATACACTGTCTGTCCATTACAGTTGTCTTACGGGTTCTCCTCATCTCCATCACGCAATATATCACTTCTCCTCGCATGTTCTCCATGTTCAGCTTTTGTTTCTCGGTACTAAAGATGTTTATTTAGTGAACATACGCGTGATAAAGGTGGTATCAAACCTGCTCGTATCGCGAGCGGATATTGTCGACATATAGAGGATCGGTTATGCCTGCATACCAGATTGCAATATGAAAGCTCACTGCCGCATGCACTCTAACCGATGCACAAATTTAGCACAAACATGCCCACTTACGAAATTGGCACGATCTTGATGTATCGTGTTGGAAAGCAAATACCCTCGCTATCCACATGTTTCAAAGGAAATGTTTCGGATACCGTATCGTTCTTGGGCTGAGTGTTGTACTCCGAGTATCCGGCAATGGTGTAAATCATGGCCTGTGCAGGAGGCATAGCTGATTGGCTTGAGGTTGCCCAAGTGGCAGCCATCAACGGCTCAATCTTTGGTGAAAGCGACTAGTTGAAGATGACAAGTTGCCACTGACTGGACATGTTCGGAAGAACGTTACGGTTCCACACGTTGAGAAGGTCGGGAACGGGATAATGTTGGCAAAACGGTTTGACCACTGTTGCGATGTTCATATATGAGAAACGGGAAACTTCATCATATCAATTATCTACGAATAAAGCACCTAAAAGTCAATCCACCAGGCGTTAGTACGTACAAAGTACTGCATGTACTTATAAGCTCAAGATATACGATATTGTGGTCAGTAAGATGAAGCAGGGTAACATAATCTACCTTCCATGCTAAACTGCTCTATGCACAACTTAGGAATTCTGTTCGTCAACAGTCTGCATAATCCAAGCCTCGGAGGCGACAAACTGCTGGGTAGGGACACCTAACTCGAGGAGCTTGGAGTAAGCGGCAGAGAAACTAAGACTGTGTTAGTATATGAATGCACCGATTATTAAGCGACGCACTCCTTGAAGAACAGGTCAACGTCGTCAGCGTAGGCCTTTGCATACTTCTTGAAACTCTTGTCCTGTGTAAGAACGTAGTCCGTTCTGAAAGACTTTCAGCCAATGTTGACGATGCATACTTAGAAAAACATACGGGAGCATCATAAGCGATTTGGTCTTCTTGTCCTCAAGCTGCTTAGGTCCGTTCCACTTCTTCCACACCCACCTGTCCCAACAATTTATCAGCACTTCTTCCTTCAAGAGGGGACCATATGCTTACTTCTCATCGAACAAGAGTTTGTAGAAGTCATTGGTGAACGTGGTGGGAGAGAAGGTCCAAGGTCCATCATAACCAGAGCTGGATAGAATTGAATCAGTAACAGAAAGGAAAATACAGTGAAGGCTATACCGGTCGGTGTGGCAACGGCCGAGAGCATGGGCACCGCAGAGAGCAACAATTTCTTGGTCGTCGAAGCTGCAGGTATGGCGTCAGTCTCCCGAGAATTTTGCCACATAAATGGGCTCACCCCATACGGTAGAAAATCTGGCCTGAATGTCAACTTGCATTTGATTGTAAATGAAAATCACATACATCCCGAATATGCGGCGCCCCTTGGGAGGCGTCAGGAAGACGGCCATCAGGGGGTACGTGGGATTCAAAGCCATCAATGCGACCAGGTCTCCAAGGAACCTTTGGGCCAGCCATTTCCTGCACAGCAGCGACACCAGCAAGCGTCCACAAGTCACCGTAGCTGATCCAGCTAAACTCTTGCTTAATCTTCTCTAGCACTTCACGAGCGACGTGAAGACCCGCGTTAGCTCCGTGGAGTGACTCGGGCTGGAAACGCATGGTCGCGTAATTGCTACGTTTTATTGTATAATTACGTCAATGATAAGGCGGCTTCTAATCGGCCTACAGGAAGAACTGACCTTCCGCCAGTGCCAGTAGCCTTGTCGTATGTGCCAGAGGCATGCCATGCCAGACGGACAACTACAGGGCCGAAAGAGCCATCTACGAAAGCAGTATGAGAACATGAACCAAACCAGGCGCTTAAATACTGTACTATCGTAGTCATCAGCATCATCAATCACCTCGGCGATACGGTTGTACACCTGAAACACAAAAGATTAGCTCCAGCTAGCATCCACAGAAAGGTTAGAACAGACTTTCTGGTAGTCTTCCTTAGTCGGGACAAAGTTTGTGGCAACCTTTGCTGACTGAGCCGCAGACTTCAGCGCACTAGAAGTCACTTTCGCCGTCTCCGAAGATGAATCATACAAGTAGTATGCAACACCACCACCAAGAATGACGGCACCAAGGCCGACGTAGAGACCAGTGTTGGACTTGGCTGTTGGAGGAGCTTCCGTTGAATACTTGCGGAAGGAAGACGTGCGCAGCTGAGGCCTTTTGAAGGATGCAGACAAAGCCTGCCTGCGAAGTGGTGCACGAATCGCGGCGAAAGACATGGTGGGGGAATAAAGCAAAATTTAAAAACTGGATAGAGATGGGAAGACGCACTGAATATTAATGGTTGAATCACGCGTTGACCGCCTGCCTGCAGAAATATAATACCTGTAAGGGTTTACATAATCCTTTATCGGTTCTCTGCTAGCCAATTGTGCTCTGCCATTTAGACAACGCGACGAGCCCCATTAGGCCCCATTAGGATATCAAGTATTTGTGGTGAGGGGACTCATCAATCATCGAGGCTTCTGGCTAATGAAAGCTTAGCCGACATTGGGCCCCTTTGACGTTTGCGACGGACGAGCGCTATATTAATGATCTTCTTCAACACCTTCACACGCCTCGGATACATCTCACACCACACGCATACGCGACAAGCCTCAAAGTCATCTATAAGTAGCTGATCTTCACAAGCCTTCCTTGTCATCGAGTCGTCAGTTCACCCAGCTCCGCACAATGCGCAAAAACATTTGTCATTGGTTGGCAATCTTACACAAACATGAACTTCGCTTTGTCAACCTTAGAGAGGGTGCCCGGCCACTGGCATGTCAACGGGGATCTTTATTTGTTATACGAGCACGTATCATAGACTGCACAGCTGCTGCGGAATCCTTGGGAGATCCGGCGAAGCAAGTTCCTGAAGTTGACGAAGTCGAACGACCGAGTTCCACCTTCAGCGCTTCAGCGGCGGTACTTGACTGAGTCCCGACTCCCGAGCATCCGTCGACAACACAACTAAATCGGCTTCTCTTGAGTTGCATCGCCTCCAGGCTCTGAGCGCCTTCGCTCTCAATTCCAAATGTGGACCGCCATGGGCGGTGTGCACTGTCACTGGTCAGTCTGTCACTGGAAACTTGAAGCTAAGCGCTTTACCCCTTGCAGTGCTTTAAATTTGCTTTACATCACATGATTCAGAAGATTACAGGCACCGCCTTCGCTAACTTACTTCGCAATATTGGCTCAGCCCTGCTTAGCCTCTTTGATTCGCGTCTCCTGATTTGAGCGATTGCGGCACACAAAGTCATTCCGGGCACTATCATCATGCGACTCTACCAAGGTGTTATAGAAGACTTACGGAAACTTACACTTTCGGGAGTTGTCGGCTATAGTTCTGTCAACTCAGATTGACGCCCTTACGGACCTATAAAGGTCGCAATATATCCCAGCATATGTTCTGATTATATACCACACACTTCATTATGAATCCGTATCCAAATGGTTGGCCTACCAACTGGTACCAAGGACAATACAACCCTCATGTATATGTCCCCCCCTCGTACCGCAACCAGCCACCGTATCAACCAGCAAGATGGCAAGGATTTAACTGTATGTGCCGTCTAATCTCCATTACTCACCTATAATCTGACCATGTTCTCTGCACACCCGCAGTCGAACAATCACAACCAAAATCTAAATGGCCCAGTCTCAACCCCACCCTTGCATCAGACATGACCTACGTGCGCTACGATATCCGCAAGCCCGCTCGGGAAGGAATCATGTTAACTACATGGCAACAAGTTTATCACATCCCAGCATTCGTGGCGCCTACGTATGAGATCCTCATCATCTCGAAGGCATTCCCTTGGTCAATGGTCATCCGTGCGCCTGCCGGCTCTGTAGTCACATGCGGCGCGATCTTTGAGGGATTGCATGAAATGCTACACAAGCACATCGAAGACTCGGAGTGGGCAATCGTGGCTCTTGATAAGACACGGAGGGAAGCAATCGAGAAGGCTGCGAAGGCGAGACAAGAGAAGGACAAGGATAAACGACTGAAAAGAATTGATTGGCTGGGGGACACGCCGATGTTTAAGGGGCTGGAAAAAGACGAAGAATTTGAGAAAAAGAGACATCTACCTGGAAGTGATACTGTCGCGGAGACATGGGTGGTGAGATTTGGAAAACCGTGATTGTGATGCTATTCGAATCATCATGGGAGTTTCATGATACCTTTCCTTGTTTTTTCTCGGACCCCGTGTAACGATGCCTATGCTTCTACATGCATTATGCCTTGCGACTTCCGTCACTTATTATTAGCCTCATCTGCTGTGCATCTCTTGGGAATCATTCAGATATGACACCACTGATTATCATCGAGAGTGCAATGTGCATCCATGCATGGTGCATGCAGCGCTATACCATGGCGCATCGTCAGACCCTTGATCAAATTACATCTATCATACGTACATTCTATACCCCGTTCCATTTCATTGTACGTACATAGCTAGTGGACACTGGAAACGTTGAATGTTGATCATGATCAATGGTGAATTCTTGATCGTCTACATCGGTCGCGATTCCTTACTAGGGTTAGGGTTACATGTCACTCAACATCTTTTTTTGTTTCTTCAATCTTGAGTCCAGACGCCTGGCATAAGATTGCCTAGGTCTACGCGAGCACGAAAGAAAGTCAGTCGTTCCAATACAACAAGAGACGTCTATAACAATGGTATCATTCCAGTACGCTATCCTTTTCCTTTTTCGCAATCCATATGTATGATCTTAACGCACGGTCCACAGATGTCACAGTTAGTATCTGCTATCATTCATTTCTCGAGTTACACTAACTCTAATATTTGCACCTATAACTACACTAGGCTGTAGTGACGTCGTAAAAAAGCCAAAACTCAACCAACACCACAGTTTCTGCCATGCAGCCTTCGACTGTATCGACTGCTCGACCACCTTCCACACCCCTGCTGAGTACCAGGGACACACTTCGTGCGTAACCGAAGCAGAGAAGTATCAGAAGACTTTGTACAAGGGTCCTAGATCTGTGAGTTGTCTATCCGTGCGTGTTTGATAGTTTTTTTCATGTGAGCAGGCCGGGAGCTGGGGGGCAGCACCTCGAGAGAATGGATACGGTAGGTTCCAAGGCAATGGGGGATACCAGCCGCGACCACCAACGCGTTACCAGGCCACAGGTGCCAACGGAACTCCACTGGGCACACCTCTGCGCATGTCGCCTGTAACTGTAACACCACCAGAGCCGTCAGTAATACCACCGAAGCCAATAGAGGCTCAGCCCCCAAAAGAATCAGCTCCAGCATCGGCAACGACTGAGATCAAATCACAGAAAAAGTCAAAGTCTGATTCAAAAGCTAAGGACACAAAGGTGAGTACGTGTAATTCGTTATTATAGTATGGTATTTAATTCGTACAAGGCATCAGAAAATGTCATTATTGTAGAGTCATTATCTGCACCTTCATCTCCATCACCTCAAAAAACGGACAAGAAGAAAAAGGACAAGAAACATAAAAAGTCTTCTGAGGACGCTGTAGAGTCTACTGTCGACGATACCCCAGCACCGACCGAGATTCCAGGAGACAAGGAAAAGAAATCCAAGAAGAAGGATAAGGAAAAGCGGAAAGCTGCTGTCGAGGGCGAGAATTTAGAGTGTCAGGAAACCAATGACAAAGAAAGCGACGAGAGCCAGTCGAAATCACAGAAGCGGAAGAGGGACGACGAGCCCATAGATTCAGGCACAGGTAGGAAAGATAAGAAGGAGAAAAAGAAGAGCAAGAAGGACAAAGTCGAAGAAACACCAACGAATGACGCCTCGGATCCATCTCCTACGCCAGTCGAGACCGAGGGAGAGACAAAAACCAAGAAGCGGAAAAGAGACAAGTCAGAGAAGATCCCGGACATGGACGTTGACGTAACACCTACAGATGTTCCGTCTGTTGCGCCCGTGGAAAAGAAGAAGAAAAAGAAGCACGGCACGGAACCAGTTCCTGATATTAAGGCGTCGACAATGGATGTCGATCCTCCTCCACCGACTCATGATGAGAAAAAAGAGAAGAGGAGGGATAAGAAGGAGAGGAAGGAGAAGGAGAGGAGCTCCGAAAAATCCGACAAGGCTTCGGCATGATTGGCTGCTTTGTTGAGTATCTACGAGATTTGGTTTGTGTTTTGGTGATGAGCTGCTTTTATGCGGGTTCGATGCTAGCCATTAGAAGGGATGTTGACAATATACCTGGCTCACGGCACACTGAAATGCGGTTACAGTAAGGTGTCAGGAGTCAGTACCCCAGTCGCGTGCCTCGTGATCATTGGTTTCCGGATTAGGTACGGTCGATGTATGTAGTACTGATTGCGGCAAGGGTTCGTCGTTTGCTCTCTCCCTCATCTCCCAGTACTCTCCAGACGAAGCATACCACAAATTACCATGCATGCCATTCAGGTTCGTACTATAGCAACATGGTGCTTGGAGATGGCTCAAGATCCTTTCTAGCAACAATATTGGGCCGTTCGCGACTATCTCAGCCCAGTGCGTGCCATCGCAATTGACCATCGCTAAGTCTAAGTAATGCTCAGGTCCTCAAAGAAAGCAAGTTCAAAGAGCACGGACGTATAACCCCCGGTACGTATTGCATCACCAATCACTAACTACAAGCATCCCAATCTTGCTTTCAGAGGAATTTGTCGCAGCAGGAGACTTTCTATCATACAAATTCCCAGTATGGACGTGGTACGTGCAACCAGTTCTTCAACCTCAATACAGCCTCTCAAACCACACCCCCATACTTCAGGGAAAAAGGCGACGCGTCCAAAGCCCGCGATTACCTCCCCGCTGAGAAACAATATCTCGTCACTCGTGGCGTCCCCTGCCTTCGACGAGCCACATCACTGGCTTACACAGACGCCGATGAAGACGCTGAGCGACTTCTCTCCTTCGGGGATTCTTCGGGCACTGCCGATGAGTGGGTAGAAACGCATGCAGGACGAGGGGCCACAGTGGACTCTGCTGCGAACCTAGGCGAGATCGATGATATCCCGGACTTGGATGGCGATGGACTGGCGAGCGCGATGGCAGATGTGTCGATTGTATCGGAGACGGGCGCTACGGTGGGAGAGACCCCGGATCTAGATGATATCCCTGACATGGAAGAAGAGGGGCTGGAGGACGGCGAAGATGAAGCTACGATGGCACCGGTTGTGCCCAAGGCGGGTGGCGTCATCGACGCATCGTGAGTTTTCCTCTTCGATTGTTGTTCAAGCCCGATCCTAGACAAGATGCGCAGACAGATTGGGGTCGCAAATGGCAATCTCCTACAAGTACGAACATATGACGTGATGATCACATACGACAAGTACTACCAAACTCCCCGGATTTGGCTGCTCGGCTATGACGAGGTTTGTGTCCATCGCTTCGTAAACATGTTCTCCGCTTATATCTTGTGATTCAGAATCGCACACCTCTAACACCATCGCAGATCTTCCAAGATATCTCAGCAGACCATGCTCTCAAGACCGTTACCATCGAAGCCTTCCCACACTCCTCAACGCTGCAAGCGGCTTCCGTACATCCCTGCAAACACGCAAGTGTGATGAAGAAAGTCATCGAGCGCATGAATGCAGGTGTGGTAGAAGAGCAGCTAGCTGCACGGAAGAATTCTGGCAAGCACCAAGACAAGGACGGGAAGAAGAAATGGGGTTTCGGACGCAAGGGCGCAAAGGAGGAGGGCGTCAAGAGCCCAGTGGAGGAAGAGGAAGTGGAGGGCATGCGCGTGGACTTTTACCTTGTGGTGTTCTTAAAGTTCATCGCTTCTATCGTGCCTACGATCGAGGTGGACTCGACGACTGCGTTTTGAGGTCGTTTTCATGGAGGATATATCCGCTGGATTTTTTGGTGCGGTTAACAGTAATAGCTGTGCTATGAAGGGATGGTTTGTGTATGTACCATAGAAATTATGTAGAGTTGGATGTACGCTCAAAGATACTTAAGGCACACGCTCTACCAGAAGGCGGGGTGAAAATGACGCGGTCGTGCCGCGCCTGCCGCGGCCGGCACTGACAAAACAAATGTTTCTAAATTTATTGCAGCTGAAATCTTATCCTCGTATATATATAGACTCATGCAGCGAGGATGAACCACCTTGTAGTACTTTTAAAAATTCTGTGCGGTTTATATTGACTCGAACGGCGACCGTGGTCCGACACCACTTAGGACACTAGCTAATTTTCTGTACGTGCAACCAACCATTTTTGTTATGGGTTCAACAGGCAGGCTAGCATGCCGCTGCCATCATGTCAACAGCTTTGGAAGACATATCATACGGTAAGTGATGCGTCTCATACCCACCAAACTAGCATCTTTCAGGTTTTTCAGGTCTCATGTTTATATGTACTATCTGGGCACTCACCTACAAAAAACACACGAGGGACGTCAATCGGCAGTCGCTGCAGTTTCTTTACTGAGCAATATTACGATTAGATTTTTTTTTGCGTCAGAATCGATCCTTTGGGTCGTAGACCATATGTTGGACATGTTTCGTCATACACTTTCCCCTCGTATGTACGGTCAGCTTTTTGCTGCTCGAATCCGATACAATCTACTAAAGGCTCCGAACACATAATCAATTATTCGTGTCGAAGATGGGCTGGTGAAGTCTCACGACACATTTCAAGGTGGCCCGGCAGCATTCTCTGCAGAAATCAAACAAAATATGTTCATGGCCAGGCGCAAAGACCGTAAAGATATGACCATGATATCAGCACAATCCTATCATTCTGAGGCGGCGAGTTCGTAAGTACTGTTATTCGGTCCCTTTTCTGCCCGATCAAGTCATCGAAAACCTTGGTCTATACTAACCGCTGACCAACGCAGGTAGCCAAACACACCTTGACAATTCACCCGGCTTGTTCCAGTTTTGCATCTTCCAAGGACTTTCGCTTACTTGGGTTTGAGCTTGTGGGAGATAAGAACGAATCATAGTGACACACTATAGCGACTTCTGATTTCCACGACTGGGCGTATCATGCCGTCATTCTCGATCAACATCACTGCGCATCTATGTGGTTCCGAGGAGGCTGATGCTAAAGTTATCTATAGCCATTATATAATGTAGGTGGCTAGTACCCGCACCGTCTTACTACATACCCAACTTGAAGGTATCATTTTCGCCATGGCTTCAACAGACACTGGCATGCCGCTGGATGCCGCTGCCATCATGTCAACAGTTTTGGAAGGGATCTTATATGGCGAGTGTTGCAATAAGTGTATCCGTTTCATGCCCATCAAACTGACATTTTTCAGGCTTTTCAGTTCTCATGTTTATGGGTACAATCTGGACATTCACCTATAAAAAACGCATAAGGGACGTCAATCGGCCAATCGCTGTGGTTGCTGTCCTTCTGTTTTTACTGAGTACTATGGTTAGGTTTTCGTCACTTGAATCTGATACCATCTACTGAAGACTCCCAAGCACATGGTCATAGACATTATTCGGGTCGAGGATGGCTTGGTGAAGTATCGTAACACTTTCCCAGGCGGTCCAGCGGCATTCTTCGCAGACTATACCCAAGAGACGTATGTGGTCAAGACTGCGGTGATTCTCATGCAAACTCTGCTTGCCGACGGAGGTAGTGGTAGGGTCAAAACTTCACTTGCCAACTTGAAACCCTCATAACTTATAGAAATTTCCTTTCTGACAAAAAGGTCTATCGGTGTTACGTCGTTTGGCAATCTGTCTGGGTTGCCATCCTACCATGCATGATGTGGTGTGCAATTGCAGGTTTGGTTGCCATTATACTCAGAAAGTGTGTGCTCTGACGTTCAATTTGTTTCGAAGTGTGTGGGAGTTATATGGTCTATGATCTTTCACTGGCTAGTGATGCCGAAAGTGTCTTCACTAACCAGACTGGACGTTGGGTGGCGGTGTTCATTGTCTTTACTTTTGCAACCAATTTGGTTAGTTCAGGTAATTACATTTCTGCATAAGCGCAATTTCGAGACACTCGTGAACTCAAATATGTGTAGGATTGCTGGCATACCGCATATGGACGATCGAACGCAGTGTCTCTACAATTCGTACCAGGAGGGGTATAAGGCCTATTGTGCGCGTGCTTGTGGATGCTGCTGTTTTATACTCTGCGACCACCTTCTCCGCGATAATATGTTTTGCCCTTTCGAACAATGGCACATATGTCATAGGAGACTTGGTAATTCCACTATCAACACTCGATATAAAAATCATTGAGCTTCAGTCAACTAGATCAATCCGATCATCTCGATTGCCTTCTACATGGTGTTTATTCGCATCGCAATCAATAAAGATACTCAAAAATTCCTTTCGGCTGTTCCTGGGACAGTTGAAACAGACCGAGAAACCCCGCTGCATTATCCTATGCAGACTTTGCAGATTGTATGCAGGGAGAATGAAACATCCTCCTGGCTAAAATAACGATTCATACATTCAGCCTGATACAAACCCCTTCCGTACTCTCTTGTTTCGGATGGTGGCTGCGCGTCACTCTAGGCCTCATGGGGAACACCAGAATATCTGATTGTACTTTACCTTCTACTTGTCTGAATAGGGTTCGAGATAAATTATCTGCGGAAATAGGTGTTATCAACTTGCAGTCTGACTGCTTTTGGCCAGTCATGGAAGGTCTGATGCCACGGAAATTGGCTCAGAGCTCTCGATCAGCAGTGTGCTGCTTCGGAGCACCGTGTCACGTCCGCCCATGTACTACAGATCCCATCCATGTCCATGTCGCGTCAAGCCTCCGAGTCAATTATGGCATCACGACCGCGTCGATGATTTCAGCATCCTGGTCGTTTGCATGGTCTTGCGCTCCGTTGAGATGTTATTCTGATGGATGTCTTGTACCTGAAATTTATGCACTAATAACTTCTTACCGTGTCTGTTCTGGTTAGTGCATTTGTTCGACTTGTTTCGTTGTGCGGTGTGGACGATCTAATCTAAAAATCCAGGCAAACCTTTTATCACTCTCTGACATGAAGGTGATGAGGTGGAAGTGCTTATTGTACAGGATGTCACACGTCACGATGTGCATATATAAAGGTGAGAGGGTCCAGGGAGCGATAAATTAATAATATACTCAACCAGCGCTGCGTCATATTTCAATGTAATCATGTACAAGACCGTCGGGACGTCGACAGGAACCTAGTACTAGTATAGAATGTATTTGTGATTGAGCTGGAACTAGGTTTATAATGAGATCCGATTGACAGGACCCGCCACGCGGCAGACACGGCAAGCTACGCCCAATCTGGTGACGTAGTCCAAGCAAGTACTGGTCATGGTTTCAACTCAACTCCAAACGGCGGCCTGACTGTACCGGTCCGTCATCGATTCATCGACGAGAAATGTGACAACATGTCATTTACTGAAGACCTGCAGATGTTCCTCCCGAGTTCAGTGCGCTTCTTTAATCTTACAGGCCCAGAACACCGCCGGCTGTGCGATAACGGGAATCATTTAAAAGAAGCAACACTGACAAGTTCATTTGATTGGGCTATTAATTGTATGCCGGGAGCAGCAATTGGTAGTTCACCCATAGCGCACAACATATTCACATTCTGACATGTTGCACCCACACTTCAGAGCCACTCGCCAAACAAAATTACCAGGGCTTGGGTATAAATCTGGGTCATCGGCGAACTGAAACCCCACATTCCTCCGCCCTTGCTCAGTCAATCTCGGTGAGCACTATCCAACGTCGTTCGAACTGCAACTTACCGAATCCCGCAGCCACATTGTAATATGCCTGCCCCAGTCATGTATTTTAACGTCGAAGTCGTTCAATTCTGGCAAGGGCAGAAAGAGCCCCTACAGCCATACCCACTTCACTGGGTGATCTATATCCCAACCGGTCCCGGTATCGGGAACACATACCACATACTAGGAAACATGGACACCTACACCATAGATTTCAGACGCAACCAACCATACCCAAACCCAGATGCATGGCGCGGAAGCTTCGCCGTTGGCAAAGTAGCTGCCCATCAGCTAACCCTAATGGAGCGACACCTAGCAAGCATTCCTATCGCGCGTCACGACCCCAGATGGAACTGCCAAAGCTGGGTGTGGGAGAGTCTCAGGCACCTTCGACACCAAGGTTTTAATATCAGCTGGGAGATCAGGCTTTCAGATCTTCAAACGCAGATGTACTGCTTGCTGGAGGATTGGGAATACGGCCGCATTTAAAGAGGGCGGAGATCTGGGGTGAGGGGGGTCTGTGGATGGTTGATCAAAATGTTTGATGTTGTTGCTCGGAGTGGGAACGCTCATCATAAAGTTAAGATATCAGCATCTGCATTCTGCGTCTGTATTAACACCGGCATCATAGACATCGCGAATGACCTTTATTGTCTTGATCAAAAGAGTGTATCCCTCACCGATCAAGTTCTGTCGCGCTGACAGACCGAAGCGAAGTCTTGTTTCATCGTTGTCATACCACGAAACGTGCTATGACCATCAATCCTTCGCATTAGGAGAGAGGCGACTTGCATCGCTCATGTGGAACATATGAAGGAGACGTTGTACAAGTAGTGAGCAGTACTTCAGGACTCCGATATGCGCTTGACAGAAGGGACGACCGTCTGCCTTCTATTGGTCTGTACATGGGAGACTAAGTTGAGCCCTGCCAACCAGATGTAACAGTTGATCCGAGAAATAACCACTGCACACGAATGAAACACGAGGGCGCTTTGGAATTTTGAATCAGAAGCACTGTAATCCAAAAAAATCTCAAACATTCTTGTGTCTCCGGAAACGACTAATTATAAATGATAAGTACACTCACCTCTGAAGCTGAACACATAAATTCCCACCTCGGCCACTGCCTAGCGCTAAAGTGTATGCGACACTGTACAGATCTCCCATGAGTAAAGCTTCGAGCCGACTGAGTGAAGTCCTTCACGGTGAGCCTGTAGGCAATTGGGTGACGTTACTGTGCACAAAAAGAAGTTATTCGGCCGAGTAGGAGAGTGACCCAAATTATGGCAAACAGTTACTGTCGACTCGGATCTGGGTATACAGATCTGGTACTTTCAAAATATGTACGCAAAACGACAACCAGCCTCGAATAATCCTTCACTCCTCACTGTTGTACCACTTCCCACCACACCACCTTGCCCTTACCCTTGCCCTTCTCGCCATCTACATTTTCCTCAGCCTCTTTTGCATCCCCACAGCAATCCGCATCCCCGCCCAGCATGCATCCACAAGCCCCGCACCACCCGCCATACCCATGACAAGACTCGCAGCATAATAAAAATTCGCGTTCCCACGGCCCTCGCTCACCCAGAGTACATGTTGGAGCGGGAGGAGGAGCGCAGCGTGTAGGTGGAGAAGTGTAGTGATGATGGGATGTCGGAGGTCTGGAAGAATGCGAGTGAGGTTAGTACGAGATGGGGTAGGGCTGTAGAAGAGAAGGGGACTTACAGCCATGTACTTCGGGGAAAATGGATATCATGCTTAGGAACAAGCCTGGGTCTGCGAGAGTCAAGTACGCTTTGAACGTCCCCAGGACGCCTGTGAGGAGGAACGCAGCATAGAGCGGATCATGTCTACAGATGGAGTGTATCAGAAACCATGAAAACTAGCAAGTATATATTATGAAGATTATCTTACTGAAATTTTATGCAGATAGGGTAATATGTATATGACAAGGTGGACCTAACTATGCAGTAAGATGGCATGCGTGTACGAAGAGACTGAGAACGCACAGAAAAGACCATGAGGAAGAATGGTCTGAAATGATCGAACATCTCAGTGAAGAAGTACCACCAAGGACCAGGGTTGGGCGTGAGGTCTGGTAGCGTGAGGCTGGGATGCTGTATTTATGAACCATCTGTCAAGAATTGAAGTCGACTTACGTTGCGCCCCACGACGCCCTGACCCAACTCCAGCTTCCTCCTGTGATAATGCACGCCGCGCCTACAAGGACGAGCCAGTATAGTGTGAACTCACCAAAGAGGAATGGTATGCGCTTGAGGTTGCCATGAAAAGGACGCGGTGAAGCGAGGTGAGACACAGGAGAGGAGACGAGGACCATGAAGATTGGAAGAAGTAGAAGAATAGAGGAGGGGGTAAGGTGAACTGCGAATGCGATAGCGAGGAGAGCAGAAGATACTTTGCCTGGAATTGAGGAATACGTGTGAGCCAACTTGGACGGACGCGTTGGGACGTACCTTGAGATGCAAACATGAGAGCAAGGAGGATCAGGGTATTTTCGAATGTGGATGTGGATAGGGCAAGTGATGGAAGGAGGAGGTAGGGGTTCAGCAAGTAGCTGTGCGGTGCGTTAGGTGCGTACTCGAAATATGGTAATGGATCGTACACGCTTGTGATGAGGTTTTCTACATTGGACCTCGTACCCTTTTGAGATAATAAACCCTGGCGTGCGCGCCATATGCGGAGAAGCGCCCATGCTCCCACAGCATCAGATATAGCCCATATAATTGGGAGTGGAGGTACTATGGTTGAAAATACGGAGAGTAGGAGAGGGGACTATGGCGCAGATGGTCAGCCCATGACATTTGGTCCACTGAAATGTCATACATGGTGAAAAGATCCTCCTGTATATGGATCGATATTGTTATCGAGAAGCCAGAGACCTTCTTTCACTGGCATTGACATGTATTAGCAATAGAATCGGCTGGCAGTGCTTTGGCACATACAACGAAGGTTGGAGGTCAATGGGGAGCTAAGTTGATGGTCATGTTTAAGGAGATTTTGACCCGGAAGAGGTAGAACTGCGAGCAGAAGGCGAAGACATACCAGAAATGAAAACGCTGGTGGTGTGTTCATCGCGTTTTGGTCACTTGCAGAGAGTTTCATGTACCGCTGAATATATAAGGAAAGTGTCGTTTATCTGGGTGGCAGTGTGGCAGTGCTCAACCTGGCAGTAGGACCTACACTCGCTGGGTTCAAGTAGAGGCAGGCTTTTTCCATATTTATATTGTTAAAAATGATGGAGGGTAACTTCTTTCACAGCACGGCAGGCCACCTTGATTTCACATGGTTTGATTGGATGTTGCCTCCAATATCTGCACTCAATTGAAGTCAAGCGGGCAGGGCTTTGCCATACTATTGTCTGATGGTATATAATCTCTTCTTCACCACGATGCCTCCTCCTCCAGCTTCCAGAGTCACCGCACACTACCACCGCATCCCCCATGTATTTTGCAACTCGTCCTCGATGGGATATCCCTGATCCCAACACCTTCCCTCCAGCTTTGCACAATGCTCGCTACAAGGGTTGGCCCAACCCTCCAATACAGCTTCCCAATGTCGCCCCGCCTTCGTTCAAGAAGCCCGCTGAACGGCACGTCACATTTGGCCTCAACACCCCGTCAAACCGTCGTCCCGTTGACGGTAACGCCATTCATACCCGTAAGCAACTATTCATGTGCTACATGTGGCTATCTGTCTCAACCGTTATCAGAACCTTACTCGGTTCATTTCCAACATGACACTCACCCACGCACGAATTCTGGGGCGCAAGGTATTTTTTCCCCCCATCGGTTTACCCTAAACCCATTTTTTCTGTAGGTATCATATGGCCAGTTAAATACCAACATCTCGATGTTTCTAACTCGTGCACGTGGAACGGTAGGCTACTGTGGTTGATTCCGGTTATCATACAATCTGATTCGATGATAAAGGTGGCGCTCACCAGGATCCATCTCTCCAAGGTGTTTTTGAGACGCGTACTGCAGCGATTAAACGTAAACGTCCCCGTTCGTTTAGTTACGACTGCTAAGATGTTGAATTGCGTACTTTCCTAGATGGCCCTGCACGACGAACAAAGAATTCAATCCCACTGATTGATAAGGACACACAAATCGGTGCGGTCCAGACCCACTTTGTAATCTGGATTGATCTTGATGCCTTCCATCAGCCTACCTCCTCGCAGCACCATGCGCGCAACTGGTATATGATCTGCGATACCCACCCATCTCTCTCTATTTTACACCATCATCTTCATATGCAGGATGGGGATCTGAGTTCCTTCGAGTGCCACTCACGCGAGCACGGCACAACCGAATACGACTGATCAGCCAAGACTTTCCCTGGGCATTCAACATCGGCCCTGAACCCAGTGCCGCAGAACAGGGTGTGACTTGTCTTGATGTCCTCAATGCGCTGCACGCTGCATTGCAACGTCCACTCTCAGATACAGAGTGGGGAGCCGCTGCGCAGGACAAACGAGCGAGCCTCGTCAGAGCGCGCGATCGTCGGCTAAACATGAAACCTGCTTTGTGGCTCCGATCTGTATCAAAAGCAGATGCACAACCTGCGCGACAAGAGCCTCTAATACTCCGTGTGGACTGGCTTGGGTCTCGTGTTGCGTTTGGGGGGCTCGTCAAGGATGAAGCGTTTGCGAGGAGGAGACTCATTCCAGGTGCGGGAGAGCCGCCTGAGACGTGGGTTGTGAGATTTAAGAGACTATCATAATAATCATCTCTGGACGAAATGTACATACCTTTTATGTGTCGGTTTTTGAGGTTTCGAGATATGAAATTGGTTCTGCATGTCACAGGGGCTATTGCTCCTCATATGGCAAGGTTTCCGAGACCAGGACTCTCTTACTTCAGCATCCAATTTTAACTCGTGTTCAACTTTGGCGTTCGCTTATAACTTTGAGCTTCACTGCGCGCACTAGTACTGAAGAAGAGCATCCCGCGTACATCCACGATGACGGTCGTGGGATTACAGCACTGTCACAGGTCCAGGCAACCCTTGAGTGACCTTCCTATTTTTTTAAACCGGAAATCAGATACTAGGCGCTACTTCACCTACTTCCGAATGCCGCAAGTACTCGCCACAACTACGTCTTGAATCCATACCTTCACTCTACCTTGTTTATTTTCTCGTACTGAACAGGAACAGCCCATGGGAGTAGAGGCATCGGAGGAAGTTGGAAAATGGGAAAGGGAGAGAGACGGCTGAGAAAGATGTGCAGCACATGGCATATCAGACATGTACGTGATGAAACGATTGTCTTACTTCTATGTAGATCAACGTTTCCTGTCGAGATTGTGGATGAATTAGATGGAAAGTCAAGACGGCCACTGTGCACGCGGCCGGTACGGCGGAGGTTTTCCTATGGTTAGTTGCATATATCAAGATCCGGATGTTCCTGGAAATGGTAACAGAAGATAGCATAAGGAAGAGTTCGGACGTTTCAGCCCCACCCGCAGTGCCTTACCAGCGCTACTACTGGGACGTCGTGGGACGTGCGCTAATTGCCGGTTTTGTTGCTTGACTCATCAGGATCTCCAAAATGGAGACGTGATACTAATACTATGAGCGCGTTTACTAGGGCCTGCCGCTTTAGCTCGAGACTTTGGTGTTCTAGCTCCCGCAGAGCACAAGACAAACATGCTTCAGCAAGTGCAACTTCCGGAACTTGCATGTCATGCAGGGCCTTGGAAGAGTGCAATTCGAAAGTTCAGGTAACTGCGACAACGATGCAGCATGTATTCGGTCATCCACACTATGGGCCACGCAAATCTGGCAGGTCGTTGATTGATGCGACCTTTAGGAGCGTGCGATTCAAAAGAGTGTACGGCCGTCATATAGGATGCCGGCTATATATCGGCTACCAGGAGCTCCGTTTCTCACCCTTTTTTTCGGGATGGTTCCTTCATCATATCTGGTGTTTGTCAAAGAAAGAAGGCGACCCCTTCAACTGCAATGCCCCTTCAAGTTGCAGTGCCCCTTCCAGTTGCAATGTGTCATTTCCGCAGTTCTGCTATGTCGTACAGCCAGTCCAGAAGGATATCTCATCATCAAAACTCCATTGGCGCTCGGTTGAGGTAAGGAAAGTCAGATGCATTGCACGCCTATTATGACTCCACTCGCCAGGTCTAATGCAGGCAAGTTTTTTCCGCAATCTATGTTGTCGGTACTGACATGGGTTATAGATCTTGCAGCACAGTATGCAGGTCAATTTTGTCGCACCCCAGTGTAATTGGACATACATTTTTTGCACTCAAATGTTACAGCGGTGTGCAAAACCAATAATCGCAAAAAGATTCCTTTCTGGTCAATCACCTGGCGAAAATTTCCCAGGCAATGCCCGTAAGTCTTTGTGATTTGGAACTCATGACAAGCTCTTTTATTATCAAGCGCCCATTCCAAACGGGGGCGAGTGTGTGGCTGTACTGATACGCAAATAGCACTTGTGGAACTATTTCCCTTTCGTCCATAAGATCACCCCCAATCCTTCCTCGTCACAATACCTTGAGCATCCCAAGTCTCCATACACTATCACATCCTCCCCATGTTTTCTACAGCTCGTCCCCCTTCACAGTACCAGTATGTTACCGTTAGACCCACCATCTCGCCTCCAGCCTTGCATAATGCTCGCTACGCAGGATGGGTCCGTCCCCCAATACAACTTCCCCGTGTTGCTTTTACCCTCGCTTCATCCCTATGAGGTTACTACCACCAATAGCCGTAGTTCAAATTCTAAATCTATTCGGACTCTATGCTTACTTGTTACTAGAATCTCATCCTTACGCAACTCACCCCTGCACAAATTCCAGAACGCAAGGTGATTTCCTTTTCTATGGTTATGTTTTCAAGCTTAAGTTGCTTTGTTAGCATCCGCTGATACAATGGATTATGTTGACTCTCAACCCCGCAACATTTCTCATTCATGGTCCTGGAACGGTGGGTTCTCTGTCTTCTCTGTCGTCATTTGTATACGACCTAATTTGGGTGATAAAGGCGATGCTTATACTCCGTCTCTCCAAGGTGTTTCTGAGATGCGTACCCCAGCTCAACATAATATAGATAACACTGGGCTCATATGTACGTATTCCCCTTCGTTTTACTAACTTGCAAGATGTTCAATCACATGTTTTCCTAGATGACTATTCTACACGACAAACGATGCCTTCAAACCTCAACATCCAAAAGGGTACGCCTTAAGCGCACTTATAGTTATAGATCCATTCTTATACCTCCCATCAGCCTGCCCCCATCCGTTTCTTGCGCCACCATCCGCGCCATTGATATACGACCTGCGCTATGCGCCCACCTCTCTCCGTTTTCTATCGCCACCTCCATTTGCGGGCTGCGGGTACGAGTTCCTTCGCGTCTCACTTACGTCAGAGAGGCCTAGGCAGATACGGCTCATCAGCCCATACTTTCCTTGGGCGTTTGACATTGGCCCAAGTGCCGGAGAAGAGGCTGTGACGTGTCTCGACGTTCTCTCTACTCTGCACGCTGCGTTGCAGTGCCCGCTTACAGACACCGAGTGGGGAACCGCTGGAGACGATAAACGTACAAGTCTCATCAGAGCACGCGACCGTCGTCTGTGGATACAGCTTGCGTTATACGGGAGCTCAAATCCTGCACCACACACTAGACCCACAGCGCAGCGAGAATCACTGCTACTCCGTGTCGACTGGCTTGGATCCAGCGTTGCATTCATGGGGCTTGTCAAGGATGAGGCTTTTGCGAGGAGAAGACTTATTCCGGGTGGTAGGGAGCGCCTTGAGACGTGGGTGGTGAAGTTCCGGAAATTATGACACTGAAGGTTCGGAGTAAATGTACATCACAGTTCCCACACATGGACACAGATTAGGGCACTTTTGGAGATGATCAATGTGCTAGTCTTATTGGAGCATGCAATAGCCTAAGGAAACAACCTGTGTTAAAGGGGAGCTCGAATTCTGCTACACAAAATAAATAGGTATCTATTTATGTGGTGAACTTTTCATTTAACGCTGAGACACCACATCATGGGCCTATGCAGAGAGCCGCTGCTACTCCGAGTCTGTGTCAACTGGATTCCTGGGGCTTGTCAAGGATGTTGCGTTTGCGAGGGGTAGACTCATTCCGGGCGGCGGGCAACCACCTGAGACGTGGTCGGTAAAGTTCTGGAGACTGTGACATTACGTTCGGATGACACGTGCACACCTTTTATTAAGGTTGTTTACCGAGATCTTGGGACTGGCATGCCCGACGTCGCACTGGCAGGGGTTATCGCATGTAGAGTTATTATGTAATAGAACTAAAAACATACTCCGGATTAGGTCGATTGCGATGATCGGACTTCAATTGAAGTTCAAACAACGCGTGTCTTTTCTACAGTATTCTGCAAACAGCTGTAAAATTTATGCTTAAAGTTCGTCCTAGGATCTGTGTTGCGAACTTCTGACCTTACTCTGACATGCAGGCAATTGGCCAGTGCTTTGGATTTCTGCAATTGCTACCGTTTTCAATTACTAGATTTTTACTTTTGGGTTACTTTACAATACGATCTCGCGTGCAACTCACGTGATGGATCATTGCACCAACTCTTCTCTGACACTTTTGACAGATCGGCATCATCTTTGTTGGCATGCATAGTGGCACTGCGCTAAGACGGGAAAATGCGCTATGCTATTTGAGGACTTTGTAAGAAACGGACGGAATCCCAAGTTCAAACGGAACTCTCTCAACTCGAAACTATATAACGCGGACGATCCTCTCAATCACAATGCCTCTTCATCCCCCTTATGCTTTCTACAACCTGTCCCCCTTGGCCCTCCCAGTGGGTTACCTGTGATCCCGTTATCTCAGGCTTGCCTCCAGCTTTTCACAATGCTCGCTATGCAGGGTGGCCCCAGCCACCAGTGCAGCTTCCCTATGCTACTTCACCTCAGTCAACTGCACGGCATGAGGTTTCTGTAGTAAACAATGTCCCCTCGCATCGTCCGCAGGTTAACGCTGCCCATACCCGTGAGCTGTGATTATTTTCCATGGCTATCTGCTCTGCTCAGCTGTTGTTAGAGTCTTCAAGTTATTCTGTTTATCCTCAATATGAACCCCCTTCACGCATGAATTTGGCGGTACAAGGTACTCACCTTTCTCATAGTCACACTTGGAATCCAAGCTCAATTTGTTCGGCTAGCATCCCCAGATACAATAAGTCCTGTCGACCACAACATCCCCAGTTTGCAGCCATGGGATAGTGGGTTCTTTGTCGTTAAATATGATCACCATATGATCTGACTCGCCTGATATATAAAGGTGGCGCGAGCGCTCTATTTATCCAAGGTGCTGTTGATATGCACGCCAGGACTTCGACACGATGAAGAGAACATGCGGCTCATATGTACGTGTCTTGGTTTTACTAACTTGCAAGGTGTTCAAATATCTCTTCCAGATGATCATTCTGTGCCACGAACAGTGTCATCAAACGTCAATGAAACCCAAAATGGTATGCGTCAGATACAACTTGTGATCCCGATCGTTCCTCATACCTCTTATTAGCATATCCCCACCCGCTTCTCTCGACGTCATTCATGCCACTAGTAATGTACGACCTGCGCTTCCCGCCTGCATCTCTCGCTTTTCCATTGTTATCTCCATATGCAGGCTATGGGTACGAGCTGCTAGTATTCGTCCCACTCACCCCAGAACGGCCTAGACAGATACGGCTCATCAGCCCAGATTTTCCCTGGACATTTGACATTGGTCCTGACCCTAGTGCCGTGGAAGAAGGCGTGACGTGCCTTGACATTCTTGCTGCCCTCCATGCTGCATTGCAGCGCCCACTCACGGACACGGAGTGGGGCACCGCTGGACGTGATAAACGCGCGAGTCTTATCAGAGCACGTGATCGTCGCCCAATGATACAACCTGCCCCAGTACTATCCCTTCCGGTGCAATCGGCACTCCAGGGAAGTCGGCAGGTCACACATTTTGGCAGGAAAACGTTACGCTTTTGTTACAAGTAGTCACATTCCGTCACACCAAACCCTGCGAAAAAGCGTGACTGCCGACTTCTGTGGGGTGCCGATTGCAGTGGAAGGGATAGTACGTACCAGACCAACAGCGAGATCTGCACCCGGTGCATCAGCGCCAAATCCTGTGCAGCGAGAAAGGTTACTGCTCCGTGTCGACTGGCTTGGATCTCGTGTTGCGTTTTCAGAGCTTATCAAGGATGAAGCATTTGCAAGGAGCAGACTCATTCCGGGTGGTGGGGAGCCACCCGAGACTTGGGTGGTGAGGTTTCAGAGGTTATGATTTGAATGTCCGAAGAAAGTGTACGAGTGTCTATGATTTTGACCAGTCTTGTCTTGCCGAGAAGCATATCCTATGCCCGTGACAGTCCCTGCCGACGGTTTTTATATTAAAAGTATATACATGCTGCTATCTAAAGGAAGAGGCACAAATCTGTCAGAAAGAAATTCTGAGTTCAAGGAGAAGGTACGCGCCTAACTCAGAGGTTCGAGTGGAGCACGCTTGCCGCGAATTGATTCCGCAGGGTCAAACGCTCCGTCCTTATGTGGAAAGAAGAAAAAAATAGCACAGGCGGACATTCCCGAAGCACAACGTCAAGTTCCGACTCCCGGCGAGTCTCCAAACGAGGGGTGTCTTGTGCAAGATCCGTGTATTGTTCGTTCCTCGTTCACACGTCCCTCTCGTCAATACGAAAGAACTCATCCACCGGGTGCCAGTAGAACTTCAACAAGTATTCTTGCTCATCGTTGGCGACGTGCTAGACTGTCCCAGCATATTCTCAATTGGAGGTGGTATCATTTCAATCATTAATGTTGTCACCCATCCCCTGCTATTAACCGAGGTGTACCACCTTTGGCGGGTTCTTGCACGGGTTTGTCACGCATCCAGGTCGTGTTCTTCGGACGAATTCGACCATTCAGGCCATTTCTTCCACATATCCTCAAGTGATCGCTTGCCCACTCTGGTAAATAGCCCTCGCCCTTCTCATTGCCCAGAAACACAGGGATCGCTCAGAGTTGGACTACTCGATGGTGGATCGTCGAATCATCGCACATATTTCTATGTGCAAAAATCTAAATCTACATCATCTCCACTTCCAGGCTACTTTCCTGTGAGACGTCTGTTCCATCAAAATGAATTTTACTTGTCTGGAGATCTTCGTGGTGGATGAAATATGTGCCGTTGTTGCAAGTGATTCGGCAACACACACGCTTGCCTTGAATCGATGAACCTCCAATCAGTATCTCGTTGTTGAATCTCGACTTTCTGTGAGGTTTATTGGGACCTTCAGCCGACTTCATCTTCTCATGTTGCGGAAATTGACTTTAGGAGGACCACCAAACAAGCTGGAAGCCGACTGTCTTTTAATGGCGCTGAGAGTTGCATCTTTCCATGTGCCGGAGGAGTGCGGTCCAAAAGTTTAGGTGACTGCGACGACGACGACGACGACGCGGCATATTCGGTCATCCACACTATCCACGCAATATCCACGCAAATGTGACAGGTCCTTACTGCGACCTTTAGGAGCGTGCAGTTCAAAAGATTTCGCGGCCATCATATATGATGCCGGCTGTCAGCTATAGCTCCGTTTCTCACCGTTTTTCGGGATCTCCATTGTGATCCTCTATTCTAGTCTGTGCTTGCCAAATTAGAGAGAAGGCAGCTTACCCGCAGTTCTGCTGTGTCGCCCAGCTAGTCTTAGAAGGTTCTCTCATCTTCAGGACTCCATTGGCGCTTGGCTGAGGAAGAAAGGAAAGTCAGAACCCAGGCAACGACAGGTATATCGTATGCATATTCGCCGGGTCTAACGCAAGTAAGGCTCTTTGTGCAATTCGTGTTATCGGTACTGACATGGATCATAGATCTAGCACAGTATGCAGGTCAACCTTATCGCACCCCCGTGTAATTGAACAATACGTGCATTTTTTTACACTCAAATGTTAAGAGAGGCAATGCTCTACTATGTGATATTCCTGTGTGCCGTACTGATTTGGAACTCATGCCAAGTTTGGACACTCTTATCGTGACATCTGGGCGTGCTCGTAACCCCGATATCCCTGTGGCAAAAGTGAAATGGTAACCTATTGCTCTGTCACAGAAGTTTCTAATGTATTTTTAGCCAAGTAATGCGGGGTCATCCAAGCGTATATAATCCTTCCTCACTACAATGCCTTGAGCATCCCAAGTCTCCATACACTATCACCTTCTCCCCATGTGTTCTACAGCTTTCCCCCCTTCGCAGTATGTTACTCTCAGATCCACCACCTCGCCCCCAGCCTTGCACAATGCTCGATATTCAGGATGGGTCCAACCCCCAATACAACTTCCCCGTGTCGCATTTACTGTTGATACCTCCTCGCGTCATCTCCATGACGTTACCACCACCAATGGTAGTTGCAGTTCTAAATCTATTCGGCGCCATGCTCATTTGTTACTAGAACCTCATCCCTATACAATCTACCCTTACACGAATTCCGGAGCGCAAGGTGATTTCCTTTTCCGTGGTTCTAATTTCAAGCTTAATTTGCTTTGTTAGCATCTGTGGGTCTTTCTGACTCTCAACCCCGCAACGTCTCTCATTCATGGACATGGAACGGTGGGTTCAGATCATTATATGACCTAGTCTGGGTGATAAAGGCGGTACTTATACTCCGTCTCTTCAAGGTGTTCCTGGGACGCGTACCACAGCTCAACATGATACAGAGAACGCAGGGCTCATACGTACGTGTTCTCTTTCGTTTTACCAACTTGCAAGATGTTCAATTGTACGTTTTTCTAGACCGCCATTTCACACGACGAATGATGCCATCAAACCTTGACACACAGAAGGGTACGGTTTAGACGCACTTGTGGTTATGGATTGATTCTTATTCATCCCACCAGCCTTCCCGCATCCTTTTCTTGCGCCACCATCTGTACCATTGATATACGATCTGCGCCATCCGCCCACCTCTCTCCGTTTTCCACCATCATCTCCATTTGCGGACTGTGGGTACGAACTCCTCCGCGTCCCACTTACGCTAGAGAGGCCCAAGCAAATACGGCTCATCAGCCCATACTTTCCCTGGGCGTTTGACATCGGCCCAAGTGCCGGAGAAGAGGTTGTGACGTGTCTCGACGTTCTCTCTACTCTGCACGCTGCATTGCAGCGCCCACTCACAGACACCGAGTGGGGCGCTGCTGGAGATGATAAACGTGCGAGTCTTATCAGAGCACGCGACCGTCGTCTAAGGATACAACCTGTATTGCACGGGAGCTCAAATCCTGCGGCACCCGCTAGACCCACAGTAAGCTTTGAGAAAGCTGTGCCGCGGCAGCAGGAGCCACTGCTACTCCGTGTTGACTGGCTTGGATCCAGCGTTGCATTCATAGGCTTAGTCAAGGATGAGGCTTTTGCGAGGAAGAGATTCGTTCCGGGTGGTAGGGAGCACCCTGAGACGTGGATGGTGAAGTTCCAAATATTATGACTCTGAAGGTCCAGAGAAAATGTACAAACGTCTTACTATTGGCTATTTTTATCAAGATTTTGTGACCGTTGCGAACTGCCTGCATTGAAATCTAAGTCGTGCAACAGCTCCTGATGACGAGAAGGATCTTTCTGTGGACATTGTGCGGGCACCATAAAGTGTGATGATGGCAATGCGGAACACGTGAATTCTGACATCGGCCGTCGTATCATGGTATGCAAAATATAATATTGAGCGCTGGCTCATCGACACCAACTAGTCAATCAGAACCGTGCGAGTTTGTCTCAGCCCCACCTGCATGTCGTTCCTGATGCTCTCACGTCCTATATTCGTGCTCGGATCTCAATTGCCGTCTCAATTGATTGGGATTAGGATTCGCGCGACACCGACTCCGTTCCCCTCGGTTCTTCTAGTATCTAGATCACGCCGTGGTCCGCAGCGTCCGCTACAACAAGGTTTCTACTGACACAGGCGGCATTTTGCGACTTAACTCCAGATTGAAAAAATGTTGGTCCCGGCTCGAGCAACCATGTCTGTCTAACTTTGGTCTAACTTGATTTTACTATCACTGGCAGCCAGCATCGAACATGTTTATTTCCTGAGGGAAGTCCTTGACGCATTGTACACAGTACAGCTACCTTCTGAATCCAAACACATGCTCCCTCCTTCATCACTCTGTGATTGGACTGTGTCCCTTTGTGACGCCATGAATGCTGTGGTGGACGCTCTACCGGATATGGGCTGATTATGACCCCACTGCCAGTAGTCGGCCTATGGCATATCAGTGAGTCTAGATTCTGGTAAAAAGCTCGTCCCACGATCCGGACCATGACTATGATTATTGTCTAGGAAGCCGTGGGGCACTCCCAATGCGAGTTGTGTGGGAACTCAGAAGGGAGCTTATGCCAAACTATTTTCCCGTCTTTGTCGGGTTGTAGATGCACTTTCCCGGGATCCCGTTTTCGCTCCTTGTTCACTGCCCTTCATGTAAGGTCCTGCTGACATTGCACGGTCGACGATTCCCAAGTAAGTAAATTCAGGACCAGATCAATGGCATGGTACATAGTACTGACCGATGAACGTCTCACAGATCCACAACCTCGTACCCATTAGGATTTATTTTCGCGCTTAGATGTCCTTTCCGAGTTCTGCCAGAGCGTTTCAGGGCTTCATACGCGAAGTTGGGTCCAGGATCTCATTTTCCTGTGGACAGACTTACTTCAACAGGCCATGTCGCGTACTACTATACAATTTCCTTCGCATATGTCTTCACCCCGATCCTTGCTCACCACGATATCTGGCTGTCTTGAGTATTCCGAGCCCTCTTCACTCATCCATGTCACTTCCCCATGTTTTCTCTAACTCATCACTGGCAATGACATTGGCCTACCTCTGATCGCACTATCTTAAAGCATTCAGTCTTGCGCAATACTCGCTATGAAGGATGCTTCAACTCTTCACTATGGCTTCCTCGCTTCATTGATGTTTCAACACATTGTCTGCATGAGGCTAACACTAGCCATGCCCACGAGCTCTGATTCTTGTTCTAAAGCTCTTTGTTCAACTGCTACTAGAACATTGTCCTGTTCACCCTCAGTATGAAGCTCGCCCTCGCCCAATTTTTTGGGCGCAAAGTAGTCACCTATTATTTGGTTCTACGTTTAAGTTCAAATACTCAAATTTGTCGTATTCTATCGGCATTCGCAGATGTAACGAGTCCTCTTGACTCTCAATGTTGCAACGTCCCTAATTAACAAACTCATTCCGGGCGGTGAAACAAAGTCCCAGAGAATGACTTTGAATGTCCTGATATAGCATGATCTTCGCGATGGGTCAGCCTATGCCAGTGACATATATCCATATGGTGCATTAGATTTCCCGGGCCACCACCTGGTCACCACATGTGATCCCTTAGATCGCTTAAAGTCCTCGGGCCATCGAATATTGTCCATTGGATCTCTGCAAAGTCCCGAGCTGTCAATGAAGGTCGCTGAGCTAACGCCGACATAGAAATAAGTAGGACGGGCACTGGCGAATTGAAAGTCGCGTCGTTTTCAGGAGATGTTTGACCGACATTGGCCCAATACTCATTGTACAAAGAGTAGATACACTGACAGGACCTAGCGACTTGAGTACTTGTCAGGTGCACACTGGCAACGCTGAGTGAGGCCTGCGGGGGGTGGTAGTGCAGGTCATAATCAAGAAGGAACAGTTGTCTTCCTTCTATATGATCTAACTAGGGGAGACTACTGGATGCAAGCAAGTGTTTGCTACCATTTGCATAGCTTATTACAGTAGGGTAGACCGCAGGTAATTAGCGTTTATAATCTGGTTGAGACTACACCAACTTGAACTTCCGTCTGTCAGAGGCAAGCACATTGCCAGCGGCCACGTCAGTCTAGCACTCAGCTGCATTTGCTGCGCAGTGCTGATGGGTGCCTGAGTGAATGACCTCACTGGAATGATGGGCTCGGGAACGACAGACTGTGTTATGTTTTCAGTTAAATTCGGTACCCCGGATCGGCTAATACAATTGAGGCTGTAAGTAGATGACATAGTAGCATGGTATTTACAGCGGGAAGTTCCATATGGAAATTCGAGGCTAGGCCTAAGCTCAACGGGTGCATTCCGAGTTGCGATAGCGTATTGGGGCGTGAATTTTACACTTCGAATAAGTAGCGTGTGCCAAAGTGATGGTGCGAGAGTTTGAGTGGGCCGGGTATGATGCATCTGATGGTGTGGTTATGATGCGTGTGGGATAGAATCTGGAATCTTTGCGAAAGCTATATTATGTAATATTCGCCGTTGAAGGTCCAGAATCATAATATGAACTTCTCATAGTAACGCATCTGACGTCGCATTCGTTCGTCCTTACAAATGGATTGAAAGTGATCGCCCTGGGAGCCAAACACTATTTGCGAGGACATTTGTGTTCGAGTGGGTAAGAATGTGACCCGGTAAGGATCAAACATATTCCATGGCGCGCTCAAAGCTTCGGACACGAAGGATGAGGTATGTCGCTGTATTGTGTATTGAATTCGGAAGCGTAGGAGCAAGCTTACAGCAAGGTGTCGAGTGTTCCGGACTCCGCTGGGGAAGCCAGATCTTTGTGTATCACGTCCGGGGTCTTGCGTAGCAATCGCTCGTACTTGACAACTTCATCGGGGAAGCCAGATCTTTGTGTTTCACGTCCGGGTCTGAAGATCTGAAGTCTCAGCCGGGGTCTTCGTACCTTCTCGAATCATGATACTATAACGTTAGCTCTGGCAAGGACTCCGAACTTAAAGCTTAAAGGAGCGAGCGACGCTATGATTTTGCTGTGATTACCTCCAGAGTCTACAGTCTAGTAACGATACCAAGGCTATAATTATATGTACGCAATTTCTGTGTTGCACAGGTTATTGAAGTAGTATACCATAACCTGGTTCCGGGCTTTGGCCGGGGTCCTTCGAACCGTGGAGATTGAATATGAAATACCTATTTACCCTCATGCAATCTCTTATGCCTGAAAACTATATAACGGGGCCCTCCCCGCAATGCCTCGAGTCTCACAAGTCTTGATACACCATCGTCATCTCCCTGATGACTTCTACAATACATCCCTCTTGGCACTCCCAATGGGTTACCCGTAATCCCACTATCTTGCCTCAAGCTGTTCACAATGCTCGCTACGCAGGGTGGCCCCATCCCCCAGTGCAGCTTCCCCATGTTACATCACCTGCACGGCATATTACTGTAGCAAACAATATCCCTTCGCGTCGTTCGCAGATAAACGCTGCCCATACCCGTGAGCTGTGATTATTTTCTATGGCTCTCATGCTCAGCTGTTGTTAGAGTCTTCAAGTTATCCCGCTCATCTCCAATATGAACGTCACTCACGCATGAATTTGGGGGTACAAGGTACTCGCCTTCCATAGTCACACCTAGAATTCGAGCTTAATTTGTTCGGCTAGCATCTGCAAATATAATAAGTCCTGTCGACTGCAACATCCCCGATTCGCGGCCAATATGTACGCATCTTGATTTTACTAACTTGCAAGGTGTTCAAATATCCCCTCTAGATGATCATTCTGTTCCACGAACAGTGTCATCAAACGTTAACGAAACCCAAAATGGTATGCCTCAGACACAATTTGTGATCCCCATCGTTCCTCATACTCCTCTCTCATTAGCCTATCCCCACCCATTTCTCTCGATGTCATTCGTGCCAATAATGTACGACCTGCGCTTCCCGCCTACATCCCTCGCCTTTCCATTGGCATCTTTATATGCAGGCTGCGGGTACGAGCTACTCTTCGTCCCACTTACCCCAGAACGGCCTAGACAGATACGGCTTATCAGCCCAGACTTTCCCTGGACATTTGACATCGGTCCTGACCCTAGTGCCGGGGAAGAAGGCGTGACGTGTCTTGATGTTCTCGCTACCCTCCATGCTGCATTGCAGCGCCCACTCACAGACACGGAGTGGGGCACCGCTGGACATGATAGGCGCGCGAGTCTTATCAGAGCACGTGATCGTCGCCCGATGATACAACCTGCATTGCAGGGGAGCTCGAATTCTGCGGCACGCACCAGGCCAACGGTGAGATTTGCACCCAACGCATTAGTGCCAAATCATATGTCCATGCAGCGGGAGAGGTTACTGCTCCGTGTTGATTGGCTTGGATCTCGTGTTGCGTTCGCGGGGCTTATCAAAGATGAAGCATTTGCGAAGAGCAGACTCATTCCGGGTGGTGGGGAGCCACCTGAGACTTGGGTGGTGAAATTTCATAGGTTATGATTTTGAATATCCGAAGAAAGTGTAAGAATATATTTACTGGTCAATTGTATTGGTATAATTTGCGAAGTCGAGTGAAAGTAAAACTTATAGACCGGGGTTCTTGTCTGTGTGTGCCAGCCGCCCGGCTAGAATTTGAGCAATGTTTTGATTAAATTTGATTACCAATCGTGAGGTGGCTGGCCCTGCATCCTCTAGAATCACCTCCGACGCCCGCCTTCCTGCCCGCCATGTCATTTTCTTAGAAAATGGAATACCAACAACCATGTTAACTGGTTGTTGTTGCAGTTTTCGCCGAAGGTCAAATTGTTCTGGTTGTCAGAAGTGTGTGGTCGTCGTGGTAAACGTTGACAACGGCTGATGGCAGCCTGGTACACTCCCAGACTGGACCCTATCAGAAGAACAAAAAAGTGCTCTTGCGCAAGATCCATGCATTGTTCATCCCTCGTCCACATGTCCTTCCCGTCAACCTCTCATTTATCGGCTGCCAGTAGAACTTCAACAAGTATTCTTGCTCATCGTTGACGGCGTGCTAGACTATCCCAGGATCTTCTCATTTGGAAATGGTATCATTTCAGTCAATATTGTCACCCCTCCCACGCTCAGATCGTGTTACGAGTTCGACCGTCGAGGGCCAGGCTATTTCTTCTACATATCCCCAAGTGCCAATTGCCCGCTCTGGTAATCAGCCCTCACCCTTCTCATCGCTCAGAAACGTAGGGAGTGCTCAGAGCTGGATTACTCAATGGTCGAATGTCGACTTCTTGATCCTCCTTTCGAAGAGGAGACGTAGGGAATCGGTGGTTATGTCAATGACTGGAGTCAAAACTTCCACATTGAAGTGTTGCTGGACAGACTTCCGCACATCTACTGAATCACGGAATCTTTCTCGCCTACGTATCGATACTTGCTATTGCTATGAACATGTCCAAATCATCGCACATATTTCTATGTGCAAAAATCTAAACATACGTCATCTCCACCTCCAGTCTGCTCTCCTGCGAGACATATAATTCATTTAACATTATACTTGTCTAGAGGTCTTCGTGGTGGACGAAATCTGTACTGTTGTTGGAAGTGATTCGGCGACGCATGCTTACCTTGAATCGATGACCTTTACCTCCGCATCTCGTCGTCGGATCGTGAAAGCTTGACTGTCTGCAAGGGTTTATTGGGACATTCAGCTAACTTCATCTTCTCATGTTGAGGGAATTGACTTTGATAGGACCACCAAACAAGCTGGAAGTCGATTATCTTTTGGCAGCGTTAAGGGTGACATCTTTCTACCTGCCGGTAGTCACCTTTCAGACGGACGCAATGCTCAGCAGAGTTGATGCTAATGATATTGGGTCGTTGCTCCCGGTTGTGGAGGAGGTTGCTGTTTGTAGGTAAGCGCTCTGCCATGTCGTTCTATGCACTTTTCATGCAAACCTCGCCTTGTCTAGGAACTCGTTTCAGGTCAACAACTCAGTGACATCGGAATTCGTGAATCTGAAGCTACACACCAAGTACACACTGATGAGTGTCTGCCATGTATTCCATTACTGGAAGTTGAGTCATATCGAACAATCTGGCCTCGATCCTCAGGTGTGTGCAATGCTGCATTCAGCTCGGCATAGATTCTAACTGGCCCAACTTTACTGAAGAAGAGCATTGTAGTGAGTTGCGTGTTCACGATAGTGGTAGAAGCACAGTGTTCTCACTGAAACAGGCCTGTTCGTTTAACATGTTCATTGCATAACATTGTCTAATCCTACTGCAGAAAAACAAACCCTTCAAATTCCATCGAATTCCATGCAACCTGCTGTAGACCTTGACTTCAATCATCACTCGAAGGTTGTTGATATCACCAGTGCGCTTCGGCTCGCTTACGAACTTGTTTGGCTGTATCGAGTCTATTGCGGTTCACAGTGATCATACTGTGCCGTATAAAGGGGTCGAGCTTTTGCTCTCAAGGAGACCACAAAGAGTGCACTTATGCATTCACTGCTCATTAATCTTGATCTCGTAGTTCCACTGCATTCAGCTCGGCTTCTAACAGGCTGTACCGCCTGCCAGAGCACAAGCCTGGTAATGTCTCACACGCCAGCCTCAACAGGTCAAAGTCGGTTCAGGCTGCTCAAGGTACTTACCTTGTTTCCACAACCTGCATTTTCGACAGCTCTGATGACGCACCACGCATCGTTGATGAAGAGATACCTAACATCAATGAGAACATTGGCCATGAAACTTGTCCTTTTATTTGCATCTCACGCTAAGCTAATCGTGTGCAACCCCGAACAGCCTGCTTCCGAACGTCCTCCAATTCCGGTGCCTATCACTCACCCATTCGCCGCCCTCAACATAGGCCGCGCCGCAGACTACACACCATTCCTCTCCCCAATTATCGTCAGACACTACAGCAATTCCACCTATGCCCCAGAGACCCTTGGCGCGAAGCCCAAGCCTGCAGCACTTAAAAGTCTCTTCTTCATACAACACTTTGAGCCCGCCCAGCTCCGGGACTTTGATTCGTGCGCGGGGAGATGCTGAGCCCCTGAAGGCTCGTGGATATACCTAATCATGAGGATTATTAACTATCGAAGGTGAGTATGCGTGTGTGACCCAGTGGGTGAGCGGATGGCTTGGTGTGTTAATGATAGTTTTAGATCGTGTCTGCATTCCTCCCTCCATGGCAGGTCTGGTGTCGTGGATGTGGAATCTAAGCGTGTGGCTACGAAACGCGAAGAAGGACACGGCGTTGAAGCTCATCAAGCGCGTTCCTGAAGAGTGAGGACGAAGATGAAGATGAGGAACACGAATATCAGGACGGGGAGGGACAGTCATGATACCATGCGATAAGAATTTATGGACGTTGTTCATTTCTTTTCCGCATTCACAGGCGTGTTGGGACGACACACGGCCTGTGAGGCCCGTAACGCAACGTGAAAGGGTCATGCAGGGAAGTATCAGTCGTGACATAGTAGGGAAGGAGTAATGGTCGACTGATTTTCGATAGAACCTTCGATTCCTTGTTCTGTTGCACGGCAAAGTAGAGGAATGTCTCCTCGTGCTCGTGTTTCAGCGATCTGTATAGGACAAGCGGAGCCTCGGCGGCCATCCTGGTTTCGTTGGGCACACCATACCCTCGACAAATATTGTTACACCCGTGCCGGGCTTGCTTTGGTCAATTCGTGCGCGGGGGCATGCTGAGCCCATCACGGCTGATGCGTATACCTAATCATGGGGATTATTGACTATCGAAGGTGCGTGTTGTGGCCTGGTGTGTAAGCGGATAGCTTGGCGTGTCGATAATAGGTCTAGATCATTGTCTGCATTCCTTCCTCCATGGCAGGTCTGGTGTCGTGAATGTGGAAGCTAATTGTGTGGGTACCAGACGTGAAGAAGGCACGGCGCTGAACCTCATCAAGCGCGTTCCTGAAGAGTGAGGACGAAGATGAAGATAAGGAACACAAATGTCAAGATGGGTGTTGGGACGGTACGCATCCTGCGATGCCCGTAACGCAACATGAGAGGGTCCCGCAGGGAAGGAGTAATGCACGACTGACTTTTGATAGAACCTTTGATTTACAACAAAGTAGAGGAATGTCTCTTTGTGTTCGTCCTTCAGCAATCTGTATAGGACAGGCGGGGCCTCGTCGGCTATCCTCAACAAATATTGTTACAACCGTGCCGGGCTTGCTTTGGCGATTGCCACGACAAGAATAGGACACGAATTCCAGACCTCTATACCATCACCCTCATAACGTCTAGTATGTTAAGCAGAGTCGCACACGAAACATGGGCGGACAGGAGTCACTTGAGACGTATGGATATTTCGAACAGCATGTTGGTGAACAGATCCGAGTCAACCAGATTGACGCTATGTCGTTGTATAAGCGCACGGGAGAATTGAATATCTGGGGCGCACAGAGCGATGAGATGAGTAGTGCGATTCATATTCGGGTAGGCAGCTCTCGAGGTCGAGCTGCGAGACAAATCATAAATTTGTAGCTTGAGATTATAATATTTGAGTAATTGTACAACATGCTAAGTTAAGCTTGCCCAGTATGTCGCAAGAAGTCTTCATACCCAGCAACCTTAGACTTGTGGAAATTGTCAAATATCAGTCTGGAAGAATAGTACGCCGCCAAGTCGAGTGGCATCAAATCATGAAGACCTGCAATTGGTGACAAGATTTACGAGCCAGCCTACTATGCAACAGATATTGGCGTCTTCTCACTCTTTCCTCAATCCACTTGCCACACCACCTGTGAGGATGCTAGGAAGCTCGTCGCCACCGATAGAATAAAGCAACGAGATAGAGCCTCCCATCAAGAGGATAAGTGTGATCACTGTCCCTGCGATCAACACGAAGGTGCTGGTACAGACCAGTCAACGAACAAAACCAAGAGAAACGATGCAACTACTTACCTACTGATGTCTTTGCGCTGACACATATCGCCCACCCAGCTTTCCGTCTTCCCAGAATTAGACTTGGTGTCAGAGCAAGCGCAAACGAAACATTCCTGTTCAGCACTGAGGGTGCTCACGCACTGCCCATGACCAGAACAAGCATTGGTCGCGTTGGAGCAGGCCTCAGCGCTCGTGAGGCAAGAGGCAAAATGACGAATCGGTGGTCCCACGGCTGGGCGGAGTGCTGGAAGGGGTGACTGCTGCGGTGGCTGCGGTTGTCGTTTGTCCAGCATAAGAGAGGGGGTGTAGGACAAGACGGCGACGCGGGTCTTTGCATCAGCAGTACTGGCTTCAAGAACGGCTCGGATTGTTCTTGCTGCAAGCTGGTACTGGTCGCTTGAACGACCATATGTTGCTGCGAGCTGGGACAATCCTGTTAACTCCAAGGACGCGAACTTGTCATCATAGATATCTGTGATTGTCTCGATGAATTTGGTAATTGTTGATATTTCTGCAAGGAAAGCTTCGTTTGCGGGTGTTGGGGCAGAAAATATGTCAAGAGTCCGAGGGATGCCTTCTGGGGGAATAGCGAGATCAGAGTAGACGAGGGAGTATGAATGAGTGGCGCGTTTCAGATACGAGGGCACAAAGGAAGTAAGGGAACTAGTGGGTGCCCCTGCAATCGAGAACGAGCGGCTCATGAAAGAAGGAATGATGTCTGAAGGTGCGACTTGTTAATTGTCACTGCACTTGCTCCTGGAGTGGGGTGACCAAACCTTGTAAACTAGCATCGTCTACTAGTAAAAATAACGCGTTTGAAGCCCCTTGTGCGACAAACTCGTGCTCTCTTAGCAGTTCGCTATAATCCTGGAAACTCTCGATTGGCTCGAGACCCAGGTGTTGCGACAAGACAAAATCAGCATGCTGAAGGGAGAGCCGGGATGGAAATTCTTGAGATGGGCTGAGATACACGTCAGCTGCTTGTGATAAACCGACTAACAGCAGACAAGACAGAGCGCTGTAAATTCGACGACCCATGTTCACAAAGGATTTAATCAAGTTGCGCGGAATGGTGTACTGTCAAGTTCTAACTTTCCATTTACGGTGCTTACGCTATACCACCTTAATCAGCGCCTTTGGTCGTCGTCCACACATACGTCCGTCGCCTTAGGCTACAGGAAGAAGCTTGTATTCTGTCTTATAAGTACCTGCGATTCATAACTGTATGTTATGCGTTAGTCAATGCCAGTACCACCGTCCTGTAACTGTTGGCCCGTGCGTGGGAACGCCGCATATGAAGTCTAGCTGAGTTTGAATCTACCTGCCTCTCTCACAGGCCATTGAAGTATAAAAGGACCTCTTCATTCCCCCACCACGACCCTATCCTAAGCTCGCTGTGTCAATCGTCGCTGGCGACATTCACAATGTCGAATAAGATAGTGGTGAGCTGCTCACCCGAACTTGTCTGTAGTAGTTCAGTCCGGTAACAGAGACATTTTTTGAGCCTGGCATCTACCGCGCGGTCATAGACGAAGTCATTTCCGCCATTAAGCCCGAATTCGACGAGTACGGCGTCAGCGAAGAAGTTCTTGCAGAGTTGCAACATGTGAGCATATACTTCTTATCATTCCCGTTCATATCATAGTGTAAGAATTTCGGTGATGCGAATGCTCTTGCAGAAATGGGAAAGCAAAGTCATTGCATCGCATGTTGCAGAGTTTGAGCCACAGCCGCCTCCGCCTCCACAGCACCATCATATGTACCCTCCGCATCCTATGATGGTTCCCCATCACCCGCACTATCCTCCTCCGCACGCATATGCTCCACCGCCACCTCCTGTCGCGCAACCCCAAGGTCCACAAGTCAAGACGGAACCCGTGGATAATCGTTACGTCCTAAGTGCTCCTCCCCCGGGCATGCCATACGCTCTACCGCCGCTCCCTGGGCCTCAATTGAACGGTCTCAAAACACCGGGCTTTCCTGGAGGACAGCAAGGCGTACTGTCGTTCCCTCCTCACCCAGGGCACTTACAACGTCCACCTACCATGTCTAGGCCATACGCGCCCCCAGTTCCGCAGCCACCTTCCAAAGCTCCTCAACATTCTCCTCAGCCGCCAAGCGCTCCCGCCGCCGCCAGTCCCCCTGCACCTCAAGCAAGAGCACCGGGGCAGAGGATCCCTCAGGTTGATGGACCTTCGTCGTCTGAATCAGACTCACCTTCTCCTCCGCCTAGTCAGCCATTTGCGCCTCGTGCATCTCACCCTTCGCTTCCCCAACCATCGCAGGTATCATCGACGACGCACACAGAGGATGCCGAGGCAATCAACAGCGACCTCGACGACTCAGACACTGAGGGCGAAGAAGATGCTGAAGAGGGTGGACAAGGCGAGACTGATATTGTGTTCTGCACATACGATAAGGTGGGCAAATCTGGCATCCATTGATCCAGATTTCTGAGCTCATGTTTCTCAGGTCGGCCGTGTCAAAAACAAATGGAAATGCCTTCTCAAGGACGGTATGATCCATATCAATGGGAAGGACTATCTATTTGCCAAATGCACGGGGTGCGTGGTCCTGATTTGATTGATGAGTTGGCACTGACACCGCGCAGCGAATTCGAGTGGTAGTCACGGCGCTAGCTTTACTACTAGGCACCTGTCAAATCTCGTTCGTCATTGCTCTGCTCAGCAGCTATCTTGGACATAAGCTTCGTCCTCATGTCATTTAATCCCAGTGTATTCTACCAGGCATCGTAAATTTTATCATTTTAACCAAAGCAAGCGGTCTGAACCTGAGCGATCGGTGCCATGGGAACTTGCCGGCAAGTTCGAAAGACCAACAAGGCGGAACAATACAAAGTTCATGCCAAGGGGTCCCGCCAAGCCGTAGAAAACCTTCCGTTGTCTCGGCTCAGCTTGAATCGTTCTAGTATACTTCTCTGACAAAACCCCGTGAACACGGAATAAAATTTGCCGTTGAACCGAACGGATTATCCGATGTATAACCCCGTCAGTTTTGTTCATCGTCTCTATCTCGTTTACGGACGAAAGAGATTATTTTCACCGAGCCTTATCTATAGTTTATTGACGAATACCTAAGTTCAAGGCCGCCATTCTCAAGCCATTCTATATTTATATATATTTATATCCGTTTCGCATACATATTAGTTGCAGGTTCGCCCAGACCCCTACATACGCTATAATGGCACCCATTTTGTACTTTTATCATAAGGTATTACGGCTTGACGTTGGCTTGATACACACGCTAGGATATTAATATAACTGAACAAGGTCACCAAGATCGTGATGAAGATCGAGACAAACATCCGCGACGGCATGCTCAAATAGCCAAAAGTACAATATATGTGTATGTATACATGTTGTGCATGTATCGTATTCATATTTGACAGCGCGATTCAGCGCGAGACCAAGTATGTACCGAGGAATGGTTATGGGTATATAACGTATCATAAGCGAAGAAGAGGAACGTTTGATTGCTACTAGGGACCGCATAGAGAACGACGCTTGCTCGGTAAAAAGCCAAGCACGCCTAATCAGAGGTACACATATCTCTTCCCGCGGGTCGGTGATGTGCGTCTTTACGCAAGAATGATGGATGCAAGCGGACAGTGATGGCGATGACATGTCACTTATCACCTGATGACAGGCAACCAGCGAATAGTCACCCAGAACGTGGTCCTAGCAGCCGAAGGGCTCTATCGTCCACAGGGTCTCGTTTGTAGGGGTGACTGCGTTGCAAGGAATGCAAAGGCGCCAGGCCAACACGCTGCGGTCCAATGCTGCTTGAATCTGCAGAGGACGGCACTTCATATTGGGGGGGAGGCTCTGACCTGAAGAGCTGCGCGGGAGGGGGAAGCGAGATGGGTGGTGAATTATGAGGGGAAGGGAAGCTGGCCGAGTTATCAAGCGAAAATGCGCTCTGGCTTGGTTCTCTGCCATCATCGTCTGGCACTCGAGAGACAGGCTGGAAGTTGCCAATAGTAGATGGTGGTCGCATGCGACATGAAGGAGAGGGCGGCGGAGAACGTGATGGACGGACGTTGAATGAACACGAGAAAGGCCGGGAAGAGTAAAGGTCCTCAGACGCACGGTGTGTACCACTTGTGCTACTCGAAGCAGGAGAGTGATTGATACTGGCTCCAAACGCGGGAGGAGACCCATGATCATTGGAGGTATGATACTCAGCAAAGGGCTTCAATGATGTGTCTGTACGAGGCCTGGCCAAGGGAGGAATAGTTCCGGACACGGAGTAATCGGCAGAGCTTCGGCGGCCATAGTACGATGAGCTATGCTCTGGCGGGGATATGGTTGGGAGTGAGGGACGACGAAATTTGTAGTCATCTTCATATGAAGGACGAAGAGGAGGGAGAGAAGGTGGAGGAGGGGGCGGGGGTACCGAATACTGAGGGATTTCAGATGTCAGCGTACGGAGCTGCTGCGAAGACTGACCCAGACTTGGGCGGTATAGGTCATCAGGCTGAGCATACGGTGATTGTGGCGAATTAGGGTAGTGGGAAGACTGGCTAGAGTATGCAGGGAATGGAGCGTACGTCCGAGTCACGGTGGAATTCGTTGACTTCAGAACATCAGACCTTGAGCGACCGTCTTCCCCCTTGCGGGTTTTGCCAACCCGGGTGCTTTGGAAAGTTCCTTCTGGCACCACGAGGTCAGCGACACCCGGTATGTTATCTATGGTGCCTAGCTCATCGACCGTGGCCTGCGTGAAGTATGCGGCTACAAATAGCTTTAGTGGGTCCATATTTTGGAATGTCACATGTCCTTACTCAAGTGCCACTTGCGGCGACCTTTATCCGTTTCAACCCAAACTGAATAAGTTTGCTTGACAAGCGGATCCCAATCTCGAGGGGGCTGCTTTTCAGAAGACCTAGTAAAAGAGTAAATTTAGGAACAATTTTTTTAGGGCGAGAACATACCCAGAATGACCGGCGTCTGCTGGAGGGGTATACTTCTCATAGTAGAAAAGGAATTCCTTGAAGGGAGATTAGCAGAGTCACAAGGTCATTATTTGGAAGCACAAACGTCTCTGACACGCGAGGGACTCCATCTACGTCCCTCGGTAAAACGCTCGATTCCCAAACCCGTGATTTCAGTATGTGGACCTCTTTCTTCCCATGCATAGATACAACCTGAACATAGGGCGAGACGTTCGTCGGCGTCAAGGCGCCTTGTTATCATTGGGAGCATACGCAGCTGGACTGCATAGAATATTTTATGAGCATCACGAGTGGAACGTATGCGAACATTAGTGCAGGTGGGTCGTTGCTGCATGTGTGGTGATGTGAAACGGGGACAAGGAAACAGACGGAGAAGGCAAATAGAATGGGTATGGTATATATTGGCTACTAGATCTGGGGAGCAGAAGATGGTTTGGTAATTAATTAAACTATTTTCTGTACCAGGGGTATCCGCTGACTTCCGTTCATAGTCAGTTGCTCTAATTTGGGCCAATTCGGGAAACTAACTGATGAATCTTATTGGTGGCGACGACCCAAAAGGCTTGTCGCCAATCTCGATTACAGCGCGAAACTCTATCACTTTACAACTCAATTTCTTTCAAGTCCCCCATATTTCTAACTGCGATCAAAACGCACCCCCCTCCCTGTTTTCCTTGGGTTTCGGTAAATCCCGGAACTTCTTTGAATTGATATCTCATAAATAAAACTAGTTCCCCGCGGCAGTCTGGCTCAGATTGAAATATTCAAAAACCTCATGATTTCGGATAATTTTTACCTTACATAATTATCAGATATTCCAGGGTTGCTTCAATCTATGAAACCGCCCATCCGCACGCTCCGCTCCAGCTCCTCAACTCGTTGAACAAGACGTCAAGCTTTCAAGCTTCGAGGGGATCAACACGTGTTCAAATCAAATCAGGTCAAAGTGACCGTTGAACCACAAGCTTTGTTCAACAAGATGCCGGTCTGGCGAAACGTCTAATCATACTAAATCTTAATCCTTCTGGCATTCGCTCCTGCAGTTTTTATCGCGCCCACTTTTACATATATCATCATACAGATCCTCAAGATGCGCTCACACGGCGCGGTCAGACCAGATCTTCTTCCGCTTGATTGCAACCTGCCAGAACCTATGGTCTTTCATATGTAATACGGGTGTCACACATCAAGAACCACATTCAATAGCCTATGCCCTGGAGCATCTTTCAAGGTTCGTCCCGTTCATCGCCAATTTACGGATGCATTCTTGGACCGAGACTTGTAATAGGCCATGTTCTCATGATATTCCGATCTATCGCACAACATCATGCCCACCAAGAACCCCGTCTTACCCAATATCGTCAGTCGCTTTTGTCCTTCTTTCACCATGCACGTTTGGTCGTTATCTTTGTATCCTATTCTTGCTGAAACTATTCAACATATCTCATATGATGGCCACGTCAGAGTTGCCTGGATCGATTGAAATCCGTTTTGGGGATAGGACAGAACGATGATGAGAACCGGTCGGAACCGGCAAGGGCGAATCGATGAGATGGGCATTGTTTGTGAAATGGTTCCCTGATGCCACATGCAGCGCATGATTTGCCAGTACTAGAGTTGACTTTCCCTGGCGAACGGTATCACTGCTCCACCGGCCATTGAGTTCAAAGCACCAAGTCTGGCCGCTTCATAGCCAACAGCACTTTCTTCCTACGTTCTAGAATGTACCGGGGCCTTGATTAATGCAACCGAATGCAGGGGTGCCATATCATACTATATATATAAGATAATAATGCGGGGACAGTGGTGTTCTGGAGCAGTATCATAATACCGATTGCGGTCTTTACATCCTTGTCCTGACACGTTCATCAGCAAGCAGGGATACTCAGGGTATACGCACACGGCACCTTCGTAAGAGCAGCACGATTCAGGCAAGTATTAACTGCGCACTGCTTTGTCCCGTCCGTCCACTAAAAGCTGTGCGATTCAAGTCGTGCTGCGTCACACAAAGTACAGTCGCCCAATTCGTGTTGTTGTCAAGCTCAACTAGGGACTAGGGATCGATCCAGGGATTGATAGGACGTAGCAGCTAAATTATGTCGTCAAATCCCAATGTAGTCAAATGTGGGTAACGCAGGCAAAAGTATAAGTACACACAACACGAGATAGGTATGATAGGCTACTGCAGATTGGAAACCAAGAGAATGGCGTATGGTGAACACGACAACATCACAGCACTTATAGGTTTAGAGATCATTAATTCTACAGTCCATAGAAAACAGTGCGAAGAAAACACAATACGAAGTTCAGCACAAACGAGGGTAAAAAGCCATTAGAGCCTCCTCATCCAATGGGTGTCTTCGCGGCGGAGCTAGGTTTTGGAGGTACGTAAGAGGCGCTAGTGATTGGCCGTCTCGAGGCTGTGCACGCCCTGAGTAGTCAAACGATTGTAGGCAGTCATTGGGAGGCTGGATCACTGGTACCCGAGAAGAGGGATACGCAGCATACTGAGGGGTGAAAGGGTGTGGTCGCTCTTCTCGCTGAGCACGGCCGTGCTTGCTCGTGTTGTGTCGAGCGCTTCTATAGTTCCCGGGAGGCACAACGATACGAGCAAGGTCGGGAAGGTCAGACACAGTTCGGAGATAATCGAGGCTGTCATGAGTGAAATAGGCAACTGAACAAATGCAAAAGTTAAGTTTCGGCTACTTCAACAAATAGAACAGCGCCGCGTACTAAGGTGCCATTTCTTCCGTCCCACTGGGGTCTCAACGAAGACGGAATACGTCTGTTTGACCAAACTG